ACCAAAAAAGCCCGGCGAAGTCGAGCTTGATCCGGAGTAAAGCAAAACACGGACTTTTTGAGCGCCAAAACAGCGCCGACTCCCGGGCGGGTGGCCACCCGTTGCCCGACACCAAAAAAGCCCGCCGAAAAAAAAACCGCCGAAGCCGACCCGAAGGACAGCTACCTGGGGCCCCGCTTCAAAAAAGCGTTCTCGCGCTGGGCTACCCAAAAGAAAGTCCAGAAGCTTAAGTTTTATTTTTTTCGCTTCGCAAAATCCGCGAATTTTCAAAATTTCAATTTTATTTGCCCGAGAAGCAACGTTCTCCGCAATACGACATAAATTGTTCTTTCGGAGGGACCGAACAAGGCCCGATCCCGCAGTCAATTTGTTTCTGAACGCCAAAACGGCGCGCCGAACCTCGAGGGACGGCCACCGGATGCCCCGCTCCAGAAAAGCCTCCCCACGGCGGGCCGGAGCAAGACCCGATCCTGCAGTCAATTTTTGAAACTCAGAACGGCACGAAACCCGTGGGACGGATACCCGATGCCATCGGCCGAAAAAGCCCTTCGCCGGCGGGTCCGAGCAGGACCCCATTCTGGACCCCATTTCTGAACGATAGCGCTTTGATTGTCGAGACCCGCCAGTGCAGCTGGTCCACACTAAGTCTGCCGTTGTCCTTCATCCTTTTGGGATGTTCGTTGCGAAATAGAAATCAAATCGATCCTGTGCCATAACTAAACAGGTCCACATGCCGTTCGAGGAACTGGCCGTCATCTGTAGGTCAGGTTGTAGTGAAGGTATGTCGATGCTGATAAGTACGTAAAATCTGCAATCTCACGCATCAGGAGAATGCAGGGAAAAGAAGAACTGCATCCCATGCCCTTCTACACCATGCGGCGCAACTGTTCCAGGAGATAGAGTTTTTTGCGCTCGAGTTTTCTCGTTTCCTGGTAGGAATTGAGGATGTAGGTCTGGAGCTCCGTGGCGTAGTCGTGCAGTATTCGGTTTTGCTCGCGGCAGAGCACTTTCCTCAGGTGCGCCTCCTCCAGCACCTGTGAGTAGTACTCGGCGCGGGCCTTTTGCTCGAAAAACGTGAGCACTAGTTCCCCGCCCTCGTAGAGCGGCTTCCGCAGCTTTTCCAGCACGCGCTGCCCCACCTTCTCCGTCGTGGGAAGCTTCGCGTCTTTGGTGAACAGCGTGTTCACGAAGTGCGCGTCTACCTCCTCGAGTTGCGACAGCACCGCGTCCAGCCACAACTCCTCGCCGTACACCACGTGCCCGGCCAGAAAGGTAGCCATCTCCTGCAGGTCCGCGAAGTCCTCCACCTGAAACGTGTGGCTGGCGTAGTTCTCGTCGCTGGTGAACAGGCGCGCGCCCTTGCGCGTGAACATCACGTCCGTGAGCGTGTTCTTGAGGCAGCGGAGGTAGAACTCCTGTTGCTTCTCGAACGTGAGCGGCGGCGCGCCGTCCACCTGGTCGCGCTTCTGCCGCATCGCCTTCAGCTGCGTCAACTGCTGCGTGACGTGCGCGATCTCCGGGCCGGCCGAAAACTCCGGCGTCAAACTGAGGTACCCCGGGGTCTGCGGGGGACACGCGTAGGCGATGTCCGCTTCGTGCTCGAACTTCTGCGTAACGTCCACCACGTCGCGGTCCACCTCGGCCAGCCCGCCGTTGTGCATCCAGAATTCCGGGTTGGCACTGGACAAATTCAGCTCCTCCTGCTCCTTGTCGAAGAGGTTTTTGCTGTCGCTGTTGTCGCTGCTGAAGAAGGCGAACAGGTTCTTGAGGCAGTTGAGCGTGCGCGCGATGAACAGGGTGGTCTGCGGATCGCCCTCCTCCTCGATCACCGACATGGCCTTCTTCCGGTGCTCCCGGGCCTCCTTCTGCCGCTTCTTGCGGAGCTGCCGTGCGGCCTCGTCAGCGTCGTAGACCCCCACCAGCGCGTGGGCCTGCCGCACGGTGACGTTGGAGACGCAGTGGCTGTAGGTGGACATCATCGTGGCGAGGTAGATTTGGATCAGGAGAAAGTAGAAAAACAGCATGAAGAGGAAAAACATCACGCTGGCCAGCACGTCGCCCTTTTGCTTCATCTCCTGCAGGATCCGCTCGAAGTCGCCGAGCAGAAACCGGAACATGGTGTCCACGGCCCGCACCGGCGACCCCAGGTCCGGGATCACCGCCCCAAACTCGACGTGAAACAGCAGCGCAAACCCGATCAGCTGCAGGGTCATCACGACGGTGAAAACCAGAATGAGCGAGAGCGCGCGGGCCAGCGTGGTGGCGATGATGTAGAAAACCTTCCACCCGAGCACGAACTTGACCACCTTCAGCGTGAGGAACAGACTGTTGATGCTGGCGAAAATCAAAATTGTGCCGTACAGGTCGCGCAGCGTCTCGAACTGCAGAAAGATGTACGCGTCCTCCTCGAAAAGCCGCGTCTCGCTGCTCTCCGCGGAAATGCCGTAGGACTTCACCTCGCTGTTGGGCAGCTCCCAGCGGAAGTGCCGCGTGGCCGAGATCATGAAGTTGGTGCGGAAGGCCTGGGCGAGGTAGAGCGCGAAGTAGAGCAAGATGATCAGCGAGCTCAGCGTCGAAGCGGTCTCCAACAGGTTGAATCCGGACTTCGAGTAGTGGTCCATCAGAAACTGCCACATGTGCGGTTTGTCCACGCCGAACGGGTTTTCGTTGTACGCGGCGAAGGTTTCGCGGTGCTGCCGCCGCAGCTTGTTCACCTCCTGGTAGGTGTAGATGAGAACGCACAAAAAGTACAGGATACTTAGCACTAAAATCGTGGTCCGCTCGCCGCTGTAGTAGTTGCCGTCGGAGAAAATCGCGAACGGCAAGGGCACCGAGGACGCGGACTTGAGCAAAAACCCGGTTTCACTCTGACTGAAAGCGACGGAGTTGTAGGTGTAGAGGTCTGTGTTGCTGTTCTGCGTCACGTAGTCGAACACCATGCTGGTGACCTCCAACTCGGAAAAAAGCAGGTCGGTCTTCAGATTTTCGAGCCGCTGCAGGGCGGTGGTCTGGTTCTTCATCAAGTAGACCTGGTAGCCCCCGGTTCTTGCGAAGGTACCCAGCTCCGCGGGGTCGTAAAACGTGTAGCTGGTCCCGGAGCTGCCGACGAAGGTCGGGCGGCTCCGGTCGTTTCCTGTGGGATCCTGGCAGGATTCCAAGGAGCAGCTGCTGACCGTGCAGTCCGTGTACTGGTCACTGACGCGCAAAGACGGGTAGCCGTCCTTCCATTTTGTGTCCGGGTTGGTCTCGTAGCAGGCCTGCTGAATCGTGATCCGAACGAACGTCTTGTACTGAAACCCGCTGTTCCAACCGGCAACGCGATTCACGGTGGTTTCCTCCTCGGCGCAACTGGTGGAACCGTCCTCAAGCAACGTCACCGTCGTGCCGTCCTGCGAAAGGGATCGATGTTGAGTAGTTCGAAAACTTGCATTGCTATGAGAAAGAAGTCCTGAAAATCCTACGAGACCAACACACGACTTGTCAGGATCTTCATCTAATATGGCGTCTTTTTGCTCGTCCGTATGTTTCATTCTGCTTGTATCTTTCTTGAAAAGTATCTCTCAGTACCGTGCTCACGCAGGCTGGAGCGGCGTACAGATTGGAGACTAAGGCAGACTTCGACCAGACGAATACGTCTTGCATCGACTTGATGCCATCGTAATTCACCGAGCGTAGCGGGTCAAGATCGATCCACACAGGACTGCGAGTCTGGTCCCCCAGATTGGCTTGCGACATTGCGAGGGACTCCGGGCCACGAATCTGCAGGGACATCAGTGCAACGAATAGGAAGACGAACAGCAGGAGGTTGAGCAGGGACAGCAGCCCCCCGCTCTCCTGCTCCGTGTTCTTGTCAGGCGCAGTAGCCCCGTCCGCGGCACCGTCGCCTGCACCGCCCGTGCCCGCCGCGACGTCTCCGCCTTTCGACGTGCGACCCAGAGGCGACTTCGGTTGCAAGTACTCTGCTAGCGCGGTACTCTCTATGTATGCGTTGAAAACCTGTTTCTTGCGCGCCACGGTTTCTCGACTTTTCTGCGCAAGCGCCTTCGACTTAGACACAACCAAGGCGCCCAGGCGCTTGTGTATCGCCGGTTTGGGCGGATCCATCAGGCGGTTGCCGGACAGCGACCGACGTGCGTTGATGACTGCCGAACTGGTTCCCGTATCCGTTAGCGCCGGGACCGTGCTACCGCTCTGCAACGCGGGCAGCGCCGGCGCGCCGCCAGGCTCCCCCTCGCCCTCCTTCTTCCCCCCGCCGCCCTCCTCGCCCGTCCCGGGCGCCGTCTCGCCCGTCCCGGCCGCAGCGGCCGCGTCCTCCTCCCCCTGCGCCTTCATCGCCAGCGTGAGCGGATCGTCGTCCCTCGGACCGAAAATGGCCACCCGCGCCGCGCGTAGACCGTCCGACAACGGAATCAAAACGTTTTGCACCGTCTGCCGCTTCACGTAGTCCATGGCGTCGGCCACGGCGTTCGTGGTGGTGCCCGCCGCAATGCGGCGCTCCAGTTCGAACTTCTCAATGTCGTAGCTCCCGAGCAGAATGGACAAAAACACGTTCATCAGCGTGAAGATCATCACCAGGTAAAACATGAAGACGTAGATCGGGCCGATGGCCGGGTCCGCGGAAGTGAAATCGTCGAAGCGGATGGCGGATCCCCCGCAACACAGGGCGAACAGGTAGATCAGCGCGTCCGAGAGGCTTGACAGCAGGAGGACGTGCTGCCCGAACAAAAAGTACCCGAGGAGCACGAAACCACCAAAAATGATGAAGTACATCCCGGTGAAGTAAACGAGGTAAGGGAAGGCGCGCCCCAACACGTTGCTGATCAGGGCGAGGTAGGGAGACAAATCACTAACCAGCACGACGGCCTTCCCAAACACCACGGTCAGGTTGATGGCGGTCACGGTCTGCACGGCGTAGGCGAAGGCCAGGTACTCCTCCATCAGCTTGAAATCCTCCCGCGCGGCCTTCTCCTCGTCGGCGGTGTACAGCTCGGCGTATGTTGGCGCGGACAGCACCGATTTTGTGGAGAACAGGTAGGTGAAGCTGGGGGCAGAGCCCGTGCGCACCAGCTGCAAGGCGACCACGATCCAAGACAACAGCAGTCCGACGTTGTTCACGTACGTGCTGGCCTTCGCGAAGTAGATCTCGATGCCGATGAACTGCGCCTTCTTGATTTCCAGAATCACGAACAGCACCAATAAAATGTACACCACGACTTCGGTCACCACCCGCATCGTCACGCCCGGGACCGCGTTGTTGTAGTTGTCCAGGGAAACGTACTTAAAAATGTCCTTTCGGGTCGCGAGCCCGCTGAAGGGAACGGAGAAGGAGTAGCCCAGCAGCAAAAACTGGCGCCGGTTCCCGTTAAAAACCAGGAAGTCCACGGTGAAAGACGCCTGCTGGAGGTCGAACCACCCGTCCTCGTACAGCTCCTCGATTCTGCGCCGGAGCTCGTGCTCGGACAGCGTGCTGGGGTCCAGCGTCACGACGTAGCCGCCACTCTGCGCGTGGCCGTCGCCGTTTTCGTACGTGTACACTTTTCCCGACTTTGGGCCGACGAAGGAGCCCTGGTTCTCGCGCGCACCGTTGTCCGCGTTCGCCTGCACTGGACTTGTGCGGCCGGCGAAAAGCCAGGGGAAAACGTCTTTGAACAAGTGGTTTGTGCTGCGTTCGAACTTATGCCGCTTCAGCGTGAAGCGGAGCAGGAGAATCTCGTTGTACCCGGCCAGCCGCACGGGCGTGCGGGTCACATTGTAGGCACTTGTTGTTCCAACTGCGCTAGTTAAACTTGCGGCCGCCTCAGCGGCAGCAGCCGCCTGGGCGGGCGGCGGGTAGAAGAAGCCGCTGCAGCACTTCGACTGCTTCGCGATGAACCCGGGGCACGTGACGTTCGCCGGAAAAACGTCGTAGCCCGCGTACGCGCTCGACGAGGCGGGAGCGTAGCCGTCCAGGTACTCAATCACGGCGTTGTCCGCGCGGGGATCGGGGCACTCCGCCGTCTGTTTGCAGGACCGCGTCCGGCCGAGCACTGGGTGACAGACGTTGGTCACGTCGAAGTTCGACGCCCCGTTCAACTGGCACCACTTCAGCAGGTCCCACCGCTGCCAGGGGTTGCCGTTCACCATCAGCATGGTTTGCAGCGCCTCGGCCGTCATGTTTTGCCGGAACGAAGTGCTCCCCTGCTGGCTGTAGAAGCCCTCGCAGTACCGCGTTGGGTCGCCCGTGGTGGCGTCCGAGAAGGCGAACGCCGCCGTTGGCGTGGTCGTGTTGCATTCCGCGGCGGTGGTGGCGCGGAGGCAGAGCCCCTCGATCTCGGACGTCAAGTTGGCGGATTCGGAATAGAGCACGGGAACCAGGGTGTACCGCAGGAAGTGGTAGATGTCCGTGGAGCTGGCGATGTCATCCAGCTTGCGCCGCGGATCCAGCGAAAACGGCGCATCTCGCAGCTTCTGGTTCACGCTGCTACCGATGGAAGACACAATGGGAATCTGTAGTGCTTCCAAGTTCGTAAACACGAACAACAGGCTGAAGAACCCGTACAGCAGAGCGAAGGCCAGGGCGTTCATCCTGCCATAAAACTGATGGTGTAACGGCGCAGATTACCGCGGACAATGCCGGAGTTCGGGCGGGAAGCGGCACGACATCTTGGATCTGATGAAACGGTGAAAAATATTGACCATGCAACCAACGACGCGGAACGTTCCTGACGCGAATCTCTTAATCACGATGCACGATAGTCGCTCAGCAGTGGCCAGAAGCTAGTCACACCAACCACACTCTCCCTGTGGCAGCTCGGTCACCTGTCGGTCATTGCTCTCGCCCAATTCACGCGCAGAAAAACCTCGGTCGCAATTTTTTCATGCGCCGCAGCACCACCCACACCCTTTTTCCAGTCTAAGCGCTGTACCCCCGAACAGTAGCTCCGGCAGCCAATGAAACTACTGTCATAGCTTCGCTGCTAGACAAAGTAGGCTCAATTAATATAAGCGTGGACGTAAATAAGCAGCTCGGCGTTGCTTGCCATCCCTTGTCAGGTCGTGAAAGGGGTCAAAGAAACTACTAATGTACGAAAAAGCTTTCATGATAACGATCGCAGGTCAGGTGTACAAATGCAGTCTCAATGCGTAGCCGCGCTACCCCTATTTCTTGTCATGGCCTTCCGCCTGCCCTTCTGCAGGTGTGGCCGCATCAGGGGAAGACGGATCGCTAGACGAGGACGAATGGGAGGAGGACGACGAAGAGGAGGACAGACTTGAGGTCCGCGTGGGTCTGCGCACGACGCGTCTTCGCTTGGCACTCCCGCTGCTCGCCTGGTTCCCTCTCTTCGACGAGCTGGCTCTGGATCTTCGTTTCCTGCGCCCGCTTGTTCCTCGTCGCCTGTGATCGTTTTTACTTCGACTTGTTCGGGGCCCCTGCAGCTCTGCGACATCTTCAATATCATCCCGTGGCGCTCCGTTTTCTGCGGCGCTCGGCCGGGAAGACCTTCTACGCGCACTTTTTCTCTTGCAACTGCGACTGAGGGCCTGCTTTTGTGCATTTTCTCCAGGGTCGCTCTCGTGTAGTTCTGCGTCATCGGAGTCAGCCTCCTCCGGAGTCACCAGGGACAGGGACTGCTGTCTATGCAGCTCGCCCTTGCTGCTCTTCTTCAGCGAAGACTCTTCTTCGTCGAAATTGTCAACATCTCCTTCGCTTTCTTGTGGATCCGCATCCTCCGCATCATTCAAAGAACCACTCCGTATTTTCTTGCGCTGGGTGTGCTTTTTCCGACTGCGCTTGTTCTGGCTCGAATCTTCGTACTTGTCATCGTCCTCGTCTGCCGCCTGCAATGGTCGTTTCGAAGACGAACTTTTGTCAAACTTCGTCAGCGGTAGCGGCGGCGGCGGAGCGAGACCCTCGCCGCGCACAGTACTAGCGACTGGTGGTGGCGGTCTCTTGCTCTCCGATACGACGACCAGTGGGTTTTTCCGCTCCGAGGCCTTTTTTTCTTCAAGCAGCCGCTTTCTTTCCGGATGCACAAAGTCGTCTGCCGCACTGTAGGCTTCTACTTTTTTCGCCGTGGCTTTGCTACTGCTTGCCGCGGCATAATTTCTGGTTTTGCTACTGCCAACTCGTGCAGCAACCCTCTCCGCCTGTTGCTCCTGTTCGACGTTTACTCCTGCGGCAGGAGCTCCTGCTCTCTGAACATTGTTAATATTATCGGGACGATCTGCAAACACGTGCATCAGGTCGTCTTCTCGGAAGGGCTTCGCGGGCTTCTTCAGCCGGACGCCGCGTTGCGCCTCCTTCGTGTGGCACTTCACCATGGTGATGGTTTCTTGCCAGATGTGGTCCAGGTCGTCGGGGGAGACGGAAGGATCTAGAAAACAAAGCAGCTCGGAAACCACGCGGTGTATCTTCGCGATATCGCCAGCGGTGCGCCGACGGGACGTGGAGGTCGAGGGCGGAGGCGGCGGTGCCGTCGATGGCGTATCGTGTACCACCGGTGTCGTGGTGTCCGCCTGCTGTCCGTACTTCTTCGACTGGTTCTGGTTATTTTCCACCGTGCTACTCCGCTGCTGTTGCAGGTCCGAAGAACCCGAGGGCTGTGAGGCTATGCATGTGACATAGTGACACTTGTCTTCAACGAGTTGCCATGCTCAATTTTGTAATGAGAGTGGAACTCAATTTGGAAGATGCAATGCAGAACGAAGTGCAGGGCTACTAGGAAAACAATGAGAGTCAACACCTTGCGTTTAGCTAAGTAGACCATGAACGGACGCGAGAAACAGCACAACATGCGTGGTCGCTTCTAACTATCTTCTAGTAGCAGGTGAGCGACAAATAAAACAAGTTTCGATATAGTCCTTCCATTTTCGTAAGTCCCACCATCGGAGATGAATTACTTCCGCGCGCTTCCTCCTCCTCCAGAAACTGCACAAAGTCGTCAAACCCCGTAGCGAACTCAGGTTTTTTCTGACATCGAAACACAATCGACAGAAACAGTGCCGCCAGTGCGATCTTGTGAGGCAGAAACTGCAACACAACGAAGGTGCGAAACGCGTCCGTGTAGAAGTTCCGCGCGGTAGCCCGAATTTCCGCCCAGACCTGCGGATCCAGCCAATCCTCATGAACGTGCTCGAGATCCACTCCGGCCCGCTTCGCAGCCTCGATCAGCATCAGTCTGCGGTCGAGTACGCGATGCACCAGTCTGTTGCGCAGCTCAATCTTGCTTCTACTCTTGTGGTTCTTGTTTTGTTCCTTGCTACTGGTGCTGCTCACGGCGCTTGCAGTTTCGCGTGGCTGCAAGTCGATATTGCCTTCCGCGTCTTGGTCCAATCGAAAGTGAAGTGTGCACGGTGGAGTCAGCACAGAGTCCTCGCCCCACCGAGGTTCCACAAAGGGCGTGCGGAGCCGATGCTCTTCCCACGTCGCGCCCTCTTCCAAGATCCGCACTGCAAACGGGAGCGTAGGATACCGGCGCTCCGCATTTTCTACCTCGCGGCCGTCCTCGCAGTCTGCACCAGTAATCGCGGCTCGAGTCCTGATCTGGCTGCCTCGTTGTATGAAGTTGGAATTGGGAATTTGCAGACCTACACATATCGCAATCGATGAACTCGGAGACCCAACATTTTCAACATTTGAACCAGCGCGATGAAGATGATTGAAGCTTTCTTCTTCAGCTTCACGATTCATGTGTATGAGTCGACAAATCCATGCATAGCGTGGTCCAGCATCGCCGCACTCATGTTGCCCGCGTCCCCACCGTCTTCATCGGTGATCAGCTCAAACCGCCCGTCAACGAATAGAGCACGAAAGCGCTTCAGATACACATCCAGCATCAATCGCCCCTCCGCTGGCGGCATTTCCAGGTGAAACTTGATGGCGCGCAGCACAAAGAACTCGATCTTGTGCAACTGATCGCGTAATTCGGACACCTCCAGCTCGCTCAGCGCGCCGGCGGTACTGTTTAGGTGGTTCCAGGTCACTTTTTAAGTCTTCAAATGATCTTTTCATCTAGAAAAGTAGTAATAAATTGCACGAAGATCCACAGTGCGACGAAGCTGTACTGACAGGAACGCGTTTGTTGCAACATTTCTTCATGTGGGACGGAAAAATGGAGTCGCAGTTTCTGTACGACGCGTTGATTTGTTGTGCTGGGTTCCCGGAGGAGACTGCAGCAGCCTGCAGCTCGGCTTGGTAAGCCTTCACGATTTCTCGCATCTTCTTTTGGCTTTCGCCGACTTTGCAGGCGAGAAACACGCAGCCAAGCGCGGTCACTCCAAGGTCTTCTCGGTCGAACGGAATGTAAGCGTGGAAGACCTGCAGATAGAAAAACGCCGTGGACAGCAGCGCCTGCTTTCCCTGCAACTGAAGCTCCCGAAGGAACGCCTCGATGTACAGACACCCGCGGCATCGCCAGGTTCGTTCTTCGTCGAGGCCGCTCAGGACGCCTTAATGTCAAGAAATCAGCAAATCGAAAAGGGTTGTAAAGCCTTGATCTGTAGTTTCTGTTCGCTTGTCAGATAACAAGATGCAACTTGTCACTTTCTTCTGCAAGCGGAGGAAAAGTCAAGCGCTTCGCGAAGGAAATTCCTTTTGCATCGGTTCGAAACATGAACTAAGTCATCTTCTTCAAACTGACGAAGGCCGCAAGTTCAAATAAGATGACCGATGCGCTTCACAAGTAGGAGAATCTACGATTCATTTTGTTTTCTGGGAAGCAGATGCTTAGCACATCACTAGAGAAGTAGATCGAATGAAAGGCAAAGGGTGTGATTGCAGCAAAGAATAGGTTTGCAAACCAGACTGCACGGGGAGTATGGAAGGAAACAAAAAAAAACTACCGGCCTCAGTTTCAAAATGAAATGCATTCACCGCAAGCTAGTAAGAAGCTTCAGAGCAAGACACAGAGACGCAAGGTGGTTTGGGTGTGCGTCGTGAGTGGAGAAAGCATACCACATCAGCTTCAATTCATGCACAGCCTACGAGACCCACCAGCGCCGACAGTTTTTTTCTGATGCCTAAAGGGCGACGTCCAGTCCTTCACTTTTATCAGCGGTAGGATGTCGCGCAACGGTGAGCTCATCATTTGTCAGCATTCGCAGAAGTCCACCGACCACTACACACGAATCACTTGTTTTCAAACTGCTCTTCTTGTTGCTATTATTGCTCGTTTTTACAACTGTAGGAAGGGACGCCACCGGGCTAACCATCATGAGTTTCATTGTCATGTCTTCATTGCGAGGATACAACATTCCTTTACTGTGGTGAAGACATGGAATCAGTTTATGCTTTTTGGAAAGCGATGACCAACGTCAATTTCGCGCGTGCTTCCTGTGGGGACAGGCACTCATAGCGATACAGCTGCTACCACCGTGCGGTATTTTTCGTCGAGGCATTCTACTTACTTATGCTCAAGAATTAACTCATGCGCCCTGGTTGTCAACGGATCAGAGGAATGAAGGTGAATAAACTCAAGCGCATCATTGAAATCAAAGCCACGGCAGAAAGGCACGGCTTTTATCAATCGACAGGGGGGATCACAATATGAAGAAAGACGTCCGGTGCTGCGAGACTAAGCAGATATAGCGCACATGAAGCTCCTGGGTTCCTGGTCGTGCTTCAAACGAATTGTAGTAGCTGGTCGATGCTCGCTATTTCTACGTGATCTGAAAGCAAGATCGGATCTCTCTGGCTGACACATTTCATTCAATGCTGCGACTCCGTTTCTGGGGGCGGGTGGGGAAAAGAATCAGCAAAAAAGAAGCATTTTCTTTTGTCCGCCACAGCATATTGCAGTGCCTTCAGTACAGAAGCAGAGACTCCAGCTGCGTCACAGCCATCACATGGATGTGCTTTTTCCGCCCAGCGAAAGGCTTCTGACCTCCAGTCGGGAAAGGCCGCACGCTGGTGGAGCGCTCGGTTTCCACAACGATAACCGCCTTATTTGCATAATTGATCCCCACTACACTCTTCTGCGAAAAACGAAAGTTGGTCTGCTCCCATCAGAGTGTTCCGCATGGCAGGTCTGTTTCCATCAGGACGGTCTCAGCGGCCGCGTAGGTGAAAAGTCAAAAGGCAGCGTCACCGACAGTGACAGAGGTTGGCTACGACAACACACACCAGCTTAGTTGTTCGTAGCCTGTAATGTTTCTTCTGGTCGGACTCGTATCTACGTAAGAACGCGATCATTGTCATCCTATCAGCCGAGGATCATCTGCATTGTCGTTCGCAGCTGTTTCCGTCGTTCAACGATGAGCAACAATCCCCCGCATATTAGTGCAAGAGTGCACATATGGCTGCAACCAACAAGAACAAAGTAAGCAACCAGCTCACAAACCTTGCGAAAAACAGAAGCAGTGGTCGTGCTGAAGAACAACGACGCAAGCTCTTATCGAGGATATAGGGCGCTCACAGCGCAGCTTTCCGTTAAGTAACAGGCTCGTCGCTCTTTGCTTCTCAGGCAACAGATGAGTCACATTCCCTCGGTAGGGTAATGATCTCTTACCGGTGACAAGTCGCGCAGCAAAATTTAGCGGCAGGTGTGGTTTTCTCATGCGTCAGTAGAAAAAAGTCAAACCACATCTGTGGCAGCCACCCTGTACAGATATTCGTAGTCTGCGTACTTTACCCACTGCAGCATCCTTGCCCGAGACCCCCGAGTGGGGTACCCCCGTTGGTTGAACCGGTGCCGTCGGCTAGCCGCAGACTACCGCCGGCACCACTACCTCGCTGTTCTGCCTGCTCCGTCATCTTCACTGTTATTAAGTTAGTGCTCATCAGCGTGAAGGCATCCTCCACACCGCTACCAGTTTTTGCGCTGGTTTCCATAAAGGCTAATCCCAGCTGTCTAGCCTTTGCTTCGCCCTCTTCCGCAGACACTGCTTTGCTCGATGCTGGCATGTCGCTCTTGTTTGCCACCAGCACCATGCTTGTTGATGCACTGGCATACTTGCTCACTTCTTCCACCCAACTGTTGACGTTGTCTGTGATTGGTGATTCAAATTGAATGAGATTAAAAAGAGATACTAACGCCCCACTCTCGCAACCGCCCAATGCAACATTTCACGACGACAATACGATAGCTTAATCGCAAAAAAAAACTCTTCTGCGCGGCGTGCGCGATAGAGCGACCGAAGTACTTAAAGCACACATCAAACGAAACGGCATGCGTCCGGCATGAAAGACGACGACAAAGCGGAAAAGTGGTACTGAAGCTGTCTCTGTCGCCGCAATCGTAAACGATGACGATGCCATCCGCCCCGCGGTAATACGCACTCGTAATCGTTCGGAACCGCTCTTGACCGGCGGTGTCCCATATCTGCAGCTTCACCGTTTTACCGCTCACATTGATCGTCTTGAACCGAAAGTCGACTCCGATCGTGGTTATGTAGCTCTCGGTAAATTGGTCGTCCGCGAATCGAAGCAGCAAACAGCTTTTACCAACGCCGCTGTCCCCGATCAAGACGAGCTTGAAAAGGTGATCGTAGTCCCGCTTCAAGCTCATTTTTTTCCAGAACGCGAACTTATTGGGTTCTCCCCCAGCAGGGTCAACGTTCGCCAGAGCGGGAAAAGTTGTCTGGTCCGGGTGCTGTGTGGCGGTCACTACAAACGCGATAGCGATACGGCCATTCTATTTTTTTCTGACGTGCAAGTAAACAAAATCTTCGTCTTGCGCTGGACGGAAACCTCTTTTCGTGCGTGGCTGCTGAGCGGCTACTGTAACCGAAGCGAAGACAATTGACTCACGCCACAAAAATTTGTACTTGTACTATGGTATTCATCATGGCGCACAAATCCACCAAATGCCGGTGAAAATAATGGAATCGCCATCAGTTGCGGTTCTCAAAAGGATCACAAACAATCAAAAACCGTCCGCAATGTGGTTGCAACTGTCGATCCAGAGTGCTTGCACACACGCCCGCCAGAACGAGAACCCTCAGTGGAAAATGCGGTATGTGCCTTTGTGCATGTTGCGAGCTTTGGCTTTCTGAGAACACCAAAGCGACGTGGGCATGTAGCGAACATATCGCTCCGATCCTTTCGTAGTAGTTTTTTGTGTGAATACATATCAATGGGTGATGGACCAAAATGAACAGTGCTGCCTCTGCGCTGACAGGCTCACTAGATGTGCATTTGAAAAATTATTTGGTTTTTATTATGGCTTTGCGCACTAAGTTTCTGAGTAGATTTTTCCAACAGCACGAAAATCATGGACGGATGGACAACAAACGTTGCCTTGCTTCCCCACACGCACGGATTTCGAATTGGACTCAACTCCTGTTTCCCTGCGTGCAAAGGCAAACCAAAATGTTTCACATGACACATCCGTAAGAACTGCTTTCCGACTCGCCTAGGTCACGTGCACGTCAGCTACCAACTGTATTCCCGTGTTTCCGCATGTTCCCCCACGGCCGTACTTCGTCGCGTTTCCGCACCCAAGAGTAGCAACGGACATCGTCCTTGGGCGTGCACAGCTGTACTAGGTCGTACAAGTCCCCAATGCTGCGCAATCCTTGGTAGCCACGATACTCCCTGGTATTGAGGACGATGAAAATGAGCGTAACGAATCAGCCCCGGTAGGGCTTCGGTGACGACCAAGCGCAGGTACTACAACAGCTGCAAGATCATGATATTAACTATGGATACACACTTGGAAAATCATACGGGCTAGCGGCTTGGACACCAATCTGCGGACGGTCGTCGATCAGTGCCGCACCGAGCCAAAGAACCCTAGGTTTCGCCGGAAGGAAAAGGGGATGAGCAGGACCACGGACTGGCTAATCGTCACCCGGATTCGCATCTGTCATGAGCAGCTCCGACAAAGAATCAGTGGTCTCCAGCTGATTCAAGAAGATGCTGCAGTGGTTGCACAGCAATCGCATCAGCCGCTCCTGTTGATGGACGAAAGAAGTTGCGATTCAATTATCAGCTTCTTACGAGAACGTGCACTTGCACGCACTACACGCAAACAAAAATTATCGTTCGTCAGAAGGTCTCCAAAGCTTTTGTTCTTCACCAACTTCAGCTAAAATAGGTAAGGAATTCGCAGTTGTTTCATCATTTTGATTTTCGCAAATAAAAAACGCTGCGACCAGATCCTAGAGTATGTTGCGCCCGCCCGGGCGTCTTCGTGCTTGAAAGCATCATATGCGATCGAATTCTCAGGGCGATGAAGGATGAAATGGTTTAAAGATTCATCACTGCTCGTCAGAAGCAGAACTGAACTTTAGGTTATCATCAGTGAATTCGATCGCAGACCAAGTGGATCATCCCCCGTTGTTTAACGGTAGTAGCAATAGACACTTAGGGGGCTACTGATCGCACTAGCAGGCAGAGATACGGATACCTACAACTTGAGTAAAAAAATAAATCAAAAATCTGCAGTACGTCGTTTTTCGAAAACGGGACGCAGCCGCCCTGGAGATCCGGGTGCGATTTTTTGTTGATCATTTCGATGCATCCCACGATTTTCCCGTTTCGAAGCACGGGTCCGATCAGCACGGAATGGGCGCGCCACGCGTTCTGTGACTTGGTTCGCGTAAAGGCGTTGGTACCGTACTTGCGGCTGGCCACAAACCTCTCGTCTGCGTACACGTCCGCGAGATTGAGCATTGCGTTTTCCGGATCAAGGGACTTCAACACGATGTACTTCGTGCCGTTCTTCTTTATCCGCTTCTTCTCCAGCTTCGCGTACCTCGCATCGGTGCCGAGCATCTGCTTCAGCAGTGCGGGCAGCTCCTCCTTGCGGATGTACGCCTGTGGACCAGTGTAAATTGCAAGATGGTGATCCTATGCGGTACGAAAGCTGACTGCTCGAGTACACGAAATACAGCGCTCTATCCATGCTGATATCCAACACGTGACGGGCCGCTAAATGCAAACGGGAAAGCAAAAGTTAAGCTGACCGCATTTTTAGAAACTACGGACGGATTTATCTTCGTGTACCTCTTTTGTCGCGAGTTCGCAGTTCCTGAACCGCATCCGCTGAAAGGAGTGGTTCAGCTTTTCCACGGACAAAAGTCCTGACTGCTCATCCAGTGCCCGCTTGATGCAATCATCGATCTGTGCCTGACTGGGACTCCATCGTTTTGCCAGGGCCCACATGGAGTTCGCGTCGCCATCCTCATCTATGTAGAGCGAGCAACGCTCAACGTTCAAACTGCGCTGGCCTTCATCTGCCACCGATGTAAAGAGGGTTCTGAAAAGTGTATGTTTGATGCATACTTATCCGGTGGAAAAACACTTGACTGGCAAAAAGAAGTCCGAAAAGGTAAAGACCAAAAGCAAGGGACCGCGGCAGGCGCATATTAAGGAGCGCAATGTTTCAGATACCGGAGCTCCTTAGCTTTCCGCCGCCTCTCATTGCGTTTCGTGTCGATGAAAAGCAGCGGAAACATACCGAGCAGACACCCAGCGATGACTCCGATCCCCATAGAAACCGTCCGAACGAGACGAACGGGTGCGAGGTCGGCCTGAAAATTAAATTTCATTTCTAATATACTTATGTGTTACTACACCTTTCCAAGCGCATTGCTTTTGGCACTTACTCAAACACGCCTTCTACAAACATGCCATCGAAGTATGTCAGACAACAAAGAGCAGAGTCTGCATCTCATCGCACTGGAGCTCAAAAACTCTAGTCCGAATACTGCAAGTCATCATTCCTTCGAGGCAATTTTTTGTATTTGTTTTATCCGACAACATCTCTGCAATCACAAACACCGTTCTACTCTCACCACACTACACCAACTGTTCGTCGTGATGTGCTTCACGAGAAAGAGAAGTCGTGAACTTTGCACCATTATCATGTCTAAAAAAAAGCACTGTACCTGTGCAGGCGTGACACGCGCATCGGGCAAACCCAACCGCGCGGCAGCAGCATCGACAAACCCACCAAAGCTTGTACCCGCGACGTCGCTGCAGCACTGCCCAAAAGCTGCTGCGGTCAGGGTGCTGACCATGGCGCTAAAGTGCGCATCAATTGCGTCCCCGACCGTTATCATGATGGTGTTGTCCATAAAACCGAAACCGACCATTGGAATCGCACACTGCACCGCGTACTGTTCATATTGCTTACGGGAGAGAGGAGGACCGTGCTCGCTCCTTACGGTAGTACCTGTCTCCAGTGCGGCAGATGAACCTCCAGGGGGTACTGCAGATGCGCTCAAATTCGAACTCCCCTCGCCACCACCCACCCCCGCCCCGTCGGACGTCAGCGGGCCAGTATCACTTGGCTCAAACGCGACAGGGCGTGAGAAGAAGAGATCGCGCTTGTCCACAGGGACATGTCCACGCGTACTTCTCGATCGCACCAAATTCTCCATGACGCAACTGTTGCACTTCGCTAGCGGATCCACTGGCGGTCCGGGATACCCAGTCTTTGCGAAGTGCCGAGTACCGGTTGGCGTTGTGGCTAGGCTCCGCGTCGAGGTAGACTGCGACACGAAGATGAAACTCGAACTCGAAGAGCATGATGGCGTGCGCGGGTAGGCCGCGGCGGCGTCTTGCAGACGTTGGATGGCGCTCGATGGGACGCTGCCCTGGCGCGGCCCGAGTCTTATCATGCCCAATGACATAATTTTGCGGTCTGCGGTAGTCAGTTGAATGGATCAACCATTCCTCCCGTCTGCGCACGCAGCGAACTGCAGGGGCTCTTAGGGATAGTCTCTCCTGCGAAAACAACTGGAAGCCACGCAACGTGGAACGAATCGGTTGGGTTTACCAATAAACACTCCTTGCATATTGCATTTGCAATACGCCAAACCTGCAAAAAAACGCCTTCGCGCAAGCTCTCTCGATGCGCGACAACTCTCAAGTGCTCAAGATGCGATGACTTTCGTCTCTCGTTAGATGGAACCAAGCGCCAAGAAGAAAAAACTGCACCAGCGCAGTACTGGTAGTATGGAAAAAAACCGAAACCGGACCCCGCTGAACACGGAACTACTGCAAAAGATCTTTGCAAGGCTTTGTTGCTCCTTGCGTCTCCCACCTCATTTACCAGAACTTCTCTCCACTAAGCTAGTACGGTCCTGTCAAATTGTCTTGTCGCACTTTGTTGATCAAAGTGCTGCCTTGCTTCTACATAGCTCGATAACGACTCTTCTGCTGCCCAAAGTGCAACCCGGAAAGCACTTAACGGTAGGACTTCTGGAAGCGAGCGCGGGCACCGCGACCACCGAACTTCTTCGGCTCGCAACGACGCGGGTCAGAGACGACCAGAGACTTGTCGTAGGCGGTCAAGGTATCCTTGATCTCCTTCTTGGTGGCCTCGTCCACGTACCTGTTTTTGATTCATTATTTTGCGTTCAAACTGCGCTTTTTGGGCACGGGTAGTCCACGCAACTTTGAATGAAAACATGGAGAACCAGATGCCATTTTCAACCACTTCTGCATGGACTAGCTGACACACATGTGTTGAAATTCATCCAAAAGTGACGATAGACAACTATCTCAAAGAAAGAAATCAGCAATTAGATGATACTTCTGGTTGAAGGCGATGAGTCCGCGGGAGATAGCCTGGCGGATAGCGTAGATCTGGGAAACGTAACCGCCGCCCTTGACGCGGATACGGAAGTCCAAGGAGCCCCACTTACCGGTGTCACCCTCCTTTCCCTTTCCCAAGAGCAACAGCGGCTCGTACACTGTAGTGCGTTTAGACAAAAAGATTTTTCCAGTTCCACATATACCAAAACGTCATGAAGATGCCAGGCGGTTGCATCAGACGGAGCGGAAATTACACCCATCAATTTCAAAATCTAAGTTTGGATTTTATGCTTGTTCGCAAGAATGAATCGTTCATCAAAAAAATATAGTGTACCTTTGACGCGCATGATTTCCGGGGTCAGGGAGTCAATGGGCATACCATTGACACGGAAGTTGCCCTTACCCTGCTTGATGAGGGCGACGGCGACGGCGCTCTTCTTGCGCCCGAAGGTCTGCACGCGATCGGTAGAAGACATCTTGTAGAGAGAGTGAACAGAACCTAGCTCGAATTCTGGTTCTTCCCTGTTAGGCGAAAATTTAGAAAACGTGCAGAATGAAGGACAAAAAGTCTTTATTATCAATATTTAGTTCCAAGATCGTTTTAAATTTACTCACTCGACCTCGTTCCGTTTAAGTCGGATCGCTATTTCCTTGATCGGGAGAAGAAGAATTTAGATCCACATCGGCTTCGATCGCACGCTCATTGCAAACGAGATCCGCACGAGAGCCGGATTCCATATTTCAAAATTGAGACCATGTTTCGCTTTTTTGCCCAATCTTGTTGATCGTCTCGTGTCGAGATTTGAGCTTTCTTTAAGTGGAACCATCTGTGGCGAAGATCGAAACCGTGAACAGATAGAGGCTTCGTCTGCTGATCGGTTAATTAAAGTCAATCTCGCTCTGGATTCTGTGTGATAGATCTTGGTCAATCTGCAGGATCTACATATCAATCTGTCGATCGTGATCTTTGCTTGGTACTGGTTGGATTGGATCCAAACCGAAACTTCGACCCCGCGTTCTACCTATGGTTTGATCACGCGCTCCGCTAGCTAGGCGACAGTGGGCGACATTCTACCGATCTGAGGAGGTTCATAAAAATTCAGAAACAAACATCGCGAGAGACCCGGTCTGCGTAACAGCACCACAGAAACTGGATATCAAACACCTAAATCACACGATAAGACTGACCGATGTTGCTTTAGATTTCAAGTGAACACGCTGCGGCTGCAACTGCAACCACTCTAAATACATTTCCTCGTTGACAGAACGAAATCTGCCCCCGGGCACTCACTTTATTTTGATACGTGTGGTAGTGCTCTAGAGCCAATATATGAATTCGCGCGTTTCGGCTCTTTAAATCCTAATCCGAATTTTTAGATTTAGAACGTCACAGCTGCTTTCCTGCAGACGCAGGCGCTCCGCCAGTTGAGAGCTTTTTCAGTGCACCACCAAACTTTGCAGCACCGCGAAGGGCGGCCCAGCGTTTTGCTCCTGTGCTCGCAGTTGACGGAGTCGCTGGAACGACCGGCTTATCCTCGTCCGTGTCGTCACCATCTTTCCCCGAATCGTCCGAAGATTCTTCCCCGTCTTTCGTAGCCGAGCGAGATTTCACTGTCTGCGACTTCCCTGACTTTCCGCTGGAATTGGCACCATCGTCGTCGTCTTTAAAATTTCCCGCCTTCTGCGGGCTAGCACCTTCATCGCCCGCTGCGGCGTCCCCGGGCATGCGCGCGAATTCCAGGTCAGCTAGCGTTTTGCCCTCATATTCACCTTCTTCAAGTTTAGTTGTGGCTGGAGGACAGATGTCTTCCCCGCCCATCACGCTATCCTCTGGGATCGCACTCGCGAACAAGGAGCCAAAGCCGGCCGGCGGAGTCACTCCCATAGGGTCTAGTTTCTTCCCGCCTCCAGCCTTCGGGGGCTTCACGTCGTCCTTCTCCCCTGCTCCTCCTCGTGCCCCCTTACCGCGCTTCTGCTTCCTCTTCATTCGCTTCTCCCGCTCCTTGCGCAGCCTTTCCAGTTCCCGCTTTTTCCTCCGCTCCGTCTCCTCCACAAACCACTGCGCCGCTCGCTCGCCTCGAAAGCCGCCGTGTGTCCAGGGCCGCGCCATTACCGTGGCGTCGGTGAAGCTGTCGTTGGCAAGAATCATGCCGTTGTCCACGTTGTAGTAGTTTCGCTTCATCGCCAGAATCATCGGGTCAATCTCGTACTTGCGCCCGATCATGAACTCCTTCTGCTTGTGGAAACCCTGTCGCTTCATGTCCGCCGTCATCATACGGTCCACCTCCGTGCCCAGGGAGTACGACCGCCAACGGTACACGCGCTGACTCCGGCCGCTCAGGTAGTCAAAGATGTCCAGCGGGACGTTTTTAGCCGCGTACTGGTCGTTCTCCGCCGTCTGCGGCCGCGACAGCTCGCGCACGCTGCGATGGCATCGTTCACGGTGTCCGCAGTTGGCGCAGATTTCCTGGTCCTCCAGGTCCTTGTCGCGCTCAAACTTCTCGCAGCCGCACTTCCCCACACGGCACCGCGTCTTCTTCGGACGGTAGTAGTCGCTCGCGTACACCAATTTAAATCCGTACGCGACCTCCATCCTGCGCTCGGTCTCTTCCCGGTCCAACGCCGGGGAGAGGTGCTTCTTCGGTTTTTTCCCCCCGCCAGGCAGGGCCGCTTTCTCGGCGGCCTCCCTAGCCATCTCGATTTCCAAAAGCGCCTCGGCCTCCTTCGACTCGGAGCGCCCCATCACCTCCTCGGGCGACAGCAATTCCTCGTCGGTCTCCCCGTCCTCGCGACCCCCTTCACTCCCGGATTTGTTCACCGGACTCTGCTCCGATTGCGTCGGGGATACTGGTTCCGGAGCCTCCTCCTCCGACTCCTCCAGCTCGTCTTCGTTGCGCGGGGTGTACAGCCTGTCCAATTCTCCCGTATCAGCCATTTGTTGTTCCACCAATTCGCGGAAGGACGTCCCGCGCTCCGCGATGATCCCCATGGCCGTCCCCACCTGGTTTGTCACGTCGCGCTGCGGCAGCATGTAGCTCATGCGCATCAGGAACGCCTGCCGCATCTGGGCCTCCTCTGGCGTCTGCGCGCGCATCACCTTCCGCTTATAAATGTGCGCCTCCTCCTTCGCGGCCCGCATCTTCTCCTGCTGCTTCTCGTCGCCGGCCCTTCCCTGGAGCACCATCTCCTCCGACAGGGTCTTGGCGCAGGAGCGCACAAGCTCAAACTCCTCCGTGGTCACCATCTTTTCCTCCTCGAGCTTCTGTTGTTTTTGCCTCTGCAAAAAGTCCTGCGACAGGAAATAGTTCAACCGCAGCCCGACCACGTCCACCGGCTCGCGGTCGTCCGAGTACTCGCCAAACATGCAGGTCGACCAGTGCAGTCCGCAGTTGCGCATGCGCTCCTCGCGCCAGATCACCGCGTTGGTGACCGGCGAGTACCCGTAGCCCCCGAAGTCGACGCGGATCGTGGCCGCCTCCTTCACCCCGATGCACACGTAGCAGGGGTCGCGCGACGCGAGGTGGAGGGCCTTGAAGAACTGAAACTTGGCGAACACGGGGTCGCGATTCACGTAGAAATTCACCATGCCCACCTTCCGGTCGATCAAACAGGTGACAATGTCCTCCTCGTAGAAGGGCTTGTTCGTGAACGCGCGGGCCGGGTGCCCGGTGTAGTCGTCCTCGTCGAATTTGTGCACCCAGCCAAGGTTGTTGTAGCCGAGCGAGGTCTGGAACTCTCCCGGCAGTTTGCTGCCGTAGGAGGGCTTCAAGGCGAAGCCCACCTGCACCAGGGAAAAGTCGGGGATCATGTCGAAGCACTGGAACTCGAAGCAGATGAACCGCTGATCGGGAAGGGGAAAGTTGCTGGTGATGTTTCGTTTTTGCCCGGGCACGCGAAACTTCACGTAGGCGCGATCGAGATATTCCGCAACGTTGTACGGGCAAATGGCGTAATCACGGAGGAGTTGAAAACGCCGCCCCATCAGCACCTGCTCCTTGATGTCGTTGCGGATGGATTCGGGCAGAAAGAAGTCGCGCAGATGCCCCCCGACCTTGTTCGCGACCACGGGCGCCGATCGACGGATTTTACGGACGGTCCGGAAAGTCAATATGCGTTTCGCCTTTACACCGGCGCGGCGCACCAGGCGCCCGCTGCGGTAACCAGTGCAGTAGGACAGTGCAGCTATGGTACCCTGGGCCTTTCGGGCGTGTCTCTCGACCCAGCCTCGCGGTTTCGGGCCACCCGCCGCGGGAACCAGGGATTGCGTTCCAAGGTCTTCTTTGCTACTCGTGCCATCCGCGATAGTCGACGAACCCGAGGACGAGGCGTCCTCCTCTCCGGCCGGGTGCGCGCCGTCTTCCTCGCTTTCGGAGCCCTCCGACGCTACGTCCTGGTCCTGCTGCCCATCCTCGACATCAAACGCAACTGCTTGCTTCTTAGGCCGCCTCCGCGCTTTCTTTGCGGGTGGTCCTGGTGAGGGGCCGGTGCCCGCAATCAGAGCCTCAAGCTCGTCCGCACTGCTGTCGAGATCAAGCGCCGGGGACACGGGCACCTGCAAGCGCAGCTTTGCATCATCCCCGGCAGGACCAGGAGCTACTGGTGTATTAGTCATCTCTTCCTGGCCGCCAACAGTGTCGCTTTCGCCAAGGTGGTGTGCAGCTGGTGCACCAACATTCTCAACAGCGGTAGCATCTTGTCCGCCATCTGCAGCTAAATTGGCTTGCGAGACCGAGTCCGGATCAGTGGCTGGATGTGGATCTTTTTGCTCCACTAGCGCTGCGGCTGCGCCATCAGCTGCATCCCCATTTTGCAGCTCTTCCCCTTGGCCTTCTGGACTGCCCGCCTCTGTGGCGGCAACCAGTGCCGCGGTGTCCACAGAATGTTCTTGTTCTGCTACAGAACGTGGTGCGTCGTTCATTTCGGGTTGATGAGAGTGTTGGTCCGCGTCTTCCCGCTCCCGCTTCTCATCTTCCGAAACAATCTCCCGCAGAACTTCGTTGACTTCGACCGCCCCCTCAGGCGCGATCTGCGACGAGTCGGGTGCCGTTTCCGCAGTGTGCGAGCCCTCCTTGTTTCGGGTCGCAGTGCCTAACTTCACGGCTGTTCGCAGCACCGACCAGGATCGCGACGGAGCAGCAAAGAGTGACCGCTTCTGCTCCCCTTTATTCTCGTCTCGGTTGGAAGTAGAAGATGCTGAGGAGTCAGTGTCTTTGTCTTCTTTTTCATTCCCCGCACTGGACGCCTGAGACGCATAACTCGAAAAGACCGAGGGGTCTATGTCATCTCCCAGCTTCTCCGGGTTTCGAAGGGCCGCCCCGAGGCGCACGGCCCCGCGAAGCTTTGCCCAACTCTTTTGGGCCGGTGCGAGTTCGACGGGCTGCCCCGGGGCCTGCTGCTTTTTGAAATTCCCAGAGCCGAGGTTCATCGCGGCACGAACCTTGCCCCACCTGCTTGCCTGTTTCACCTTCAGCCGCATTTGCGCCAAACTCTCCAATTTCTTTTTCTTGTCTAGCAAGGCTTGCTGTCTCTGCTGCTCCTGCGTCATGCGCTCGCGCAGACTCGTTGCGTCTTTTTCGTTCTCGGCCGCTGCTGCATCCGCAGGACTGGAGGGCGCCTCGACTTCCAATTCCTGTCCCACGCGGCCCGTGACGCCTCTAGCCTTCACCTCGAGCCGAAAGGTTTCCATCATTTTGTCCACAGATTCTTCGTATTCCTTTTCCATCTGGTCCATCTTTCCGCTGGCCAGTGCAGCTTGCAAATCCGCTTTGCGCTGCTTCTTTTTCTTCTCCTCCTCGAGGACTCGCTTTTTCCGCTGCACTTCCTTCTCGCGCTTCAGGTGCATTGCGTTTTTCCTGCTCTCGGCCAGGTGCTCCGACAACGCATTGCTCCAAACTTCCATGATCGCCAGCTCCCGCTCCAGCTCCCGATCGATCAACTTGCCGTCGGAAATGCGAAGTCGGATCTGGGAAATCACGAACTCGATTCCCACCGTAATTGCGTCCCAACTGACCAACTCGTTCGCCACGGCCAACCGCTCCTCACGCGGGAACCCCCGCTGCGCTTCTTTCTTCGCGGCCGCCGTCTGCTGTTGGCGTTCCCGACGCTCTTTCCGCGCCGCGGCGAGCATTCGGTCGACGGCCTTCTGCATCTCATCCCCGCCCAAGTCTTCCTGCTGCAGAACCGCGTCCGGGAGCACCATCGGCCCATCGTCCTCGTCTTCATCATTCACGTCCAGGGCCTTTTTCATGCGCTCCTTCCCGCCTTTCACGAGTTTCACCAGTCCCACGACGGCCATCTTACCAGCTTTTCCCACAAACGCCTTTGCTTTCCCCGGCAGCGTGGTCGGCTCCTCGTCTTCCTCGTCTTCCTCCTCGATTTTCTTTTTCCGGGTGTCGTACTTTTCCATGCCCGCAAATTTCATTCCGGGGTTCAGCAGTAGCTGTTGGCGCACAATCTCCGAGTTGGCGTCCTCATCGGTGTTGCCGGGCACCGCCTCGATCTCCTCGAGCCGATCTTCCGCGTCCTCCGCCAGCTCGTTGTCCAGCCTCTGGCGGATCAGATTGAGCCGCTCGAGGCACTGCAACACGTAGTCCTTGTACAAGGCAAAAATGAGCCCCGATCGCAGGCCCGCCGGATACAGGTAGGCCACGTCGGGAATTTTGCCGCCGCTGGTCTGGAACCGCTTCGCCAGCTCTTTCGCTCGCAGGATCTCCGTCTGCTCCGGGGTGTACAGCCGCTCCTGCTGCAGCGTGGCCACGCGAATCTCTGTCACGGTCCGCGCGAGCGTGTCGAGCGAATAGTATTTCCGGTAGTACGGCAACTGCAGCAGAAACATGTTCCGTCTGCGCTCTAGCAAAGCGATTTCGAGGGGGTCCTTGATGGAAATGATTTCCGAAATGATACCCGTGATCAGCTCTTCGCCCCACTGCACGCCCTCCGCCGCGTCTGCCTGTTGCGAGTTGGCGAACGACACCGAGGCCGACTTTTGCAGCAACGACCGCTTTTTCTCTATACCCGGCGTCGCCTCCTTTTTTGCGGCGCTAGTACCGAGCAAAGACTCGATTTTCACCGCGCTGCCGCGCGGTTTCGGCGTCATCAGGATCCACTTGTTGGCGCCGCACCCGAACCCGGTGAATTTCCCGCGTTCCACGGCGCCGACGATGTCGTCCAGAGTCCTTTCGCGGTCTTTCAAACCCACCAGCTTTTCCACCACCGCGGGCTTTTCGATCAGCTCGCGCACCAGGCGGAGCAGGTCATTCGTGTCGCCCCCCTCGGTTTTCACGAACCCGGTGAACCGCTTCACCTCGAGCCGCAGGAAATTCTCGGTCGCCTGGTTCAACCGCTCCGAGTATTCGTGCAGCGACTCTTCCATCGGTTTGTACGGCGCCGTCTTGGTTTCCATGCGCGAAGCCAAATTCGTCGACTTCTTCTTGCCCTTACCCTCCTCGTCGTCTATTTCCGCGTCCAGATCGAGGCCGATCGCCATGGCGGAGCCATCGCGGTTCCCGGTCCCACCGCCGACGTTCATGATCTGGTCCCGCCGCCGCTTCTCCGCCGCCAGCCGCTCCTCGAGCAGCTTGTCGGCCTTCAGCGTTTCCTTCCGGCGCTCGGTCTCGTCCGTGCCGCGCCCGAACTGCTCGGCGTCCGAATCCTCCTGGTCGCGCTCGTCGTAGGCGGTCAACACGGACCTTCTCTTCCGGACGCGCAACAGCTGCCACTCCTGCTCCGCCTCCAGCTTCTCCTTCACCGAGTACTTCTCGCGGCGCCGCTTCAGCCCAAGGATCTCAACGCGGAAATTTTCAAAAGCATCCAAGAGCCCGTCGCTCAACTTCTGGTTCCACGGCTTCGCCTTCCAGGCCTCCTGCCGTTTCAGCTCGAGAATTTCCTGCAGCTTCGAATCGTCCGCCATGTCCTGCTTCGCGGCGCGCACGAAATCCAGCTCCCCCTTCTTCCGGTCCACCTGGTCGACATGTCTTACCTTCTTGTCCACCCGCCGCGCGATTTCCTCCTCGTCGTCGGACTCGTGAAAGTCTTTCACCCCCTCGACGATCCCCGTGACATGCCGCGTGAAGCCGGCGCGCTGCTGGTTCTTGCGCTTGCTGGCAGCGCGGTACATGTCGCGGTACTCGACGAAGTCCTTCACCACATAATTCGTCTTCACCGCCATCCGGCTCACCGTGGTGGAAGCCAACCGGAACCGTTCCAGCCCCTTCTTCCCCCCCTCCGTCATCTGGTCCCGGTTGAAGTCCGAGTACTTCGGCATGTTGAAGCTTTTGTTCTTGCGCTGGTGGCCGTCGGCGAACAGGAGCAATAAGTCGTTTTAGAAGCCTCGAGTCGCTTCTCCCGAAAATTTTCACAGCTCTGCTATGCACCAGGCACGCAGAACGGACCGCTCTTGGCCCGCCACAACAGAAAGTCGTTAGGTGGCATTTTCATGCGAAGATGCAATCAACAAAACGAAAACAACACTCCCTGCGGAGAACCATGATGTTGAATGGAGAATACCATTCACTTCTGATAAAGAACTATTGCTGTCGAGTTACTCATATGTCCAGACTCAGATCGATTCAAATCAAATTTCAGGTGTGGTCATCGGCGCAATCAACGAAGAGCAATGGGAATTTTTAATGAGGTCCTGCGAGAAATTCAGTTTGGTAGAAGACGATGAGTTTAGTTGGTAAAATTTTCTACAACGACACAGGTAATACGACCGACACATACTTGAGATAGAAGATACGTGGCCGCGAAGTGGTGATGTAGTTACGACTTTGGTTCTTACTTTGATTGCAAGGTAAGCATTGCTTCACAACATGCAGATGCGCGTACGTATTCGCATTGTGTTTTTGGATAGCTTAGTATTGGACGAAGTTACTTTAGTTTCGGGTGTCCGTGCGATCAGATCTAGTCAGTTACGATTCGGAACGATGAAGGAGCAAGTCTGATGTTCCAGCACGAATAGAAAGAAGACGATGGAAAGACGGAAACGATGAAAGAGGGTAGAACGAGAACTATGGAACAACTTTAGAACCACGAACATTCACTACAGCGAGAAGATGCACGTTCCGGCACGATAGCTACCTGCGTTTTCTTTTGGAAACGAAAAGCCGCAAGGCTTCTGCTTTTGCTTTTCACTTTTGTCGGTCTGGTTAATGCAAGAAGGGGCGCACTTCTGCATTTGTTGGTCTTTCTTACATCGAAATAATGCCCTTGTCTTTATTCATTGTCATTTAGCTGATTCTTTTTGTCGATCCATACGTCTATCTTCGCTGGCGTTTCGCACCGAACGAAGAGCTGGCGGACACGGTCTGCGCGTTTTGCACCCATGGCTGCACGCGCTTGTTTCCGAGACTCGATCCACGAAGCAGATCAAACATGAGTCCTTGTCGCTTTTCCTTCTGTTTGTCCATTTCCTCTTTGCTGATCTTCGTGTTCGCGCTCGCATTACCAATGTCGTTCTTCTGTTGCTGCATGTGCAGCATCCGCTCTTCGATGCTCAGTTCGGAGACTGCATGTGGCAGAGTCGCTGACTGCTGGATTCGGGAACTAATCTCCATCGTCCCCGAACGGCTCGAGGCAGACGAAGAGCTGGAGCTGCTGGTCGCTGATGCGCTACTGGCTTTCTCCTTCGGAAACGTTGTGATCAGTCGTATAACGTCGATGTCGTGGTCCAGGCCAAACCGGTGCGCGCGCGCGATGGCTTGCTCTTCCATTGGCAAATTCCAGTGCGGCTCGCACAACACGACTTTTTTGGCTTTTGTCAGCGTAATTCCGACTCCCGCAGCCTTCAAGCTACAGAACATCACATCAATCTCGCCGTTTTGAAACGCTTGCACCAGCCCCGACCGCCTGTGTGGCGTCAGGCCCCCGCGAAGGATCCCCGTGGCACAGCGCCGCAACGGCACACCGTTCGGGGTCGCATCCAGCACGCACGCGTGTTGCAGCAGTTGCAAAAAGGTCGTGAAGGACGAAAAAATGAGAAGTGGTTCGCCGGGCCTGGCCTCGCGAACCAGTTTCAAAATGGCATTTACCTTGGGAGCATTTGCAAACTGCTCGCGTTCCTCAGCGGTTCTTAAGGGACCACTGTCTATCACTGAAATTGCCTCGACCGCTGCGGAGGACGATGCGGAGTTGTTCCCAGGCGAAGCTTTACCCGCAGCGCGACCTTGCTGCGGCGACACGCCGTCCAGCAGCAGTCCCTTCGGTGGGTGGCACATGTACTGCGTGTCTGCCACCGGTGCGCGGCAGTAGGGACATTCGCGCCTGGTTTTCAAGGCTTCTTCCAGGCACGCAGTGTGGAAGCAGTGTAGGCAGGCGAGTAAACAGCACACCGAGCTATTCTGCTTGGGTTCCGTGGCGCTGATCTCCATGTCTTCCATGCAGATGGAGCACCCGTGCGGCTCGTCGAGCGCACCCTGGAAGATTTCCTCGACGGTCTTCGAAATGGACTTGTCATTTTCCCCGTGTTGCACAGTTGTTAGCACCTGCCCTCGCTTCACCGACACCACCGCGGTCGCTTTGTCGATAGTTGTACCCGGTTTAATCATATTGGGATCCAGAAGCCCCAGCTGTGCCTTGACCTCGCTCTTGGGCTGGGGTTTGAAGAGACCCATGATATTCCGGGCATTGTAGGGCTGCGCCAGCACCGCGCGCCATTCCTGCGGGATCATCAAGGGACTAAGGTGCAGCTGCCGCAGCTTCGAGATCGCGTGCAAGGCAATCGCGCCCTGGCCACAGCTGGATCCCGGCCCCGCGATCTCCTTCTCTGCGAATCGCAGCAAGTTTTGACACATCAGGAGGTGCTCAGGGTTGCGCGCTTTGTCTAGCGGCATGCTCCATGACTTCTCGTGCTTCCGCGGAAGTTTGAGCAGGGGTCCAGCTACCAGCTCCCCCGGCTGACGCACCTGGTCGTTTTTTCGCCGGCGGAGCATGAAAAACCGCAACAGCATGTTTGCCCGCTCAAGACCGACCAGCGAGCTCTGTTTCCATGGAGCGACGATGTTCGCTCCGAAGGCCGTGTAGTTCTGCCGGAACGGTTCGACCTGCAGAAGCGAAAACAGGGAATACAGGTCTTCGGCTTTGTTCACGAAGGGTGTTGCCGTCAACAGCCACGTGCAGCGCTTTTCTGTTTCCTTCAGACCCTCAATTTGCTTGAATTTGTTCCCGGTGCGATTCCGTATCTCATGCGCCTCGTCCAGAATCACCCGGCCCCATTTGCGTGTTTGAAAGCTTTTCGCAGCGGAGACGAAGGTTTCGTACGACGTCAAGGTGATAGAATGCTGGTGCGGTTCCAAAGCACGCTCCTGAACAACGGTTTGCTTTGAAGCTGCACCGCCAGCCGTTTGCTTCTTACTCGACTTGCTACCTTTCAACTCTCCCGCTGATGTCCCACTCCTGCCATTCTTCGTTGGCTTTTTCGAAGAACCTGAGTTCATCTCAACATCGTCGTCCTTCTCGGTGTCCACATTCACGATGCAGTTGTCCGCAGGCAGCTCCTTCCTGTTTTCATGGTACAGGAATAGAACGAATTGATCCTTGAAGAGCGGGTTCGAAACTAGTAAATTGTTGATCTCAGCCGCCCAAACATCGTACAAAACCGCTGGGGGTGCGACGATCAACGTGTGTCGGAGCGGATTTTTCGCGCAGACTGCCAGCATCTGCCGCGTTTTCCCCAAACCCATTTCGTCCGCAACAATCCCGCCGCGCGGCACACGCACTTCGTTTCTCCTCCTCCGCTTTTTCTCGTCGTCAAAAATGCAGTGCACAAGCGGGCTCGGAGTCGGACCACCAGTGTGTAGTCCCCTACTCTCGACGCCTCGCATGCGCTCCGCAACCGTCAACTGGGCGCCTTCCCAGTGCGGACCGAGTTCTTGGCTGCTCTCCCGGTCCAGCATCCACTTCAAACCCTTCTGCTGGTGCGGTCGCAAAGCGAACCGAGGGCAGTTTCGTACGTTCTCCATGGGCATGGATTCATACTTGACGTTGTTCTCGTACAGCTTTGCTAGTTGCTCCTCCGGGGTCAGCCGCGCTTTTGCGGTCTTCATATCCTTTGCGGACGCGTGTCCCTTCTTTCCGTGAAAAACCCCCGTGGCAGCCTGGGCAAACATCTTTTTCCAGTCGCTCTTTGTCAACTGCAGCCCAGTATCCGAGCGCTCCAAAATGCCTTGCGGCTCGACCGCAATTGTGTGCTTCTTATTCCGGTAACACTGAATATGCCGCAGGTCCGCCGCACGTTGCCGCAAGCGAATCTGCGCCTGCTCTTTCAAGGTTTCGTCGGGCGTGGCAAAGTCGATGTAGACCTGGACGGCGGCTCTCACCTTTTTAAACGGGTTCCCCTCGTACGTCCCTTCAAAGCAGCTCGTCAGGGAGGATTCCGTGTAGAATCGCGTTGCGGAGGGAGACTCCACGTGCGTCAACAAGCTCTTAAAATCCCGGGCCAAGCTCACGTCCATCCAACCGCAAGCCTTCCAGTGTTTGTTGTAGAAAAAACCCGTCAGCGGCCAGAAGTGAGCAATGTCTTCCTTCGAATAAAAATCCGAACAGTTGGTGTCCGGCCATCCCGGGGGAACCCAGCTGCCTGGCACGTACTGCCTGTACACATTGCACTCCACCTGCATGAACCACCGCCGGGACGTCACGTTGTCCGGTACCTCGACGGCCGCCGGAACTTCTCGGGCAACCGCGGCAGACGCCGAAGCCGCAGCAGAACTGTTGTTTCTACCATTCGTGAAGGGTAGTTGCCGCCCTCCTCCAGAGGGCGCCGGGGGTGCCTTAGGCTGTGCTACTGGTACACGGGTCTTGCTAGTGTCCACGACCGGCGAAGGCGAGTCACTGTCGGACGAGTCAGAGTCGCTGCCGCTACTCGGACTGACATTCCGAAGGGGTACCTCGGAATCGCTAGTTTCGCTGCCGCTACTGCCAAAGTTGGCATACCACGGGTCGTCACTCCGATCTGGACGCTTTTTACTCATTCTGATTCACAAGTGCAGAAAGAGAATAAACACTGCAGGAATATAATTTACTCTACTGGTTGTACAACTTATACTGGTTCGCTCGCACTCGAGCACATGTTATTTGTTCATATTCCGATTTGGATTTATTTCTATCTGAACTCTATTTGTTCTACAACAACTTCCTTACAAATAAACGACCGTAACCACGCTCTTCGGGTGAGAAAAGAAGTACGTATCCACGACACAGAAACAGGATGTCTATGTGAAAAATCCTGAGTCAATGCTTGTCTAACGCTAACTAACTCCCCTGTTGTAGGAACCATGCTAATGCAGTTTGATGTGCATGTACCTAGTTGTCTTGTCTCCATTTATCAACCTTGCATGGGTTGCGATCAAAATGATTCAAAATTTGCCGCAGTTTCGGGTGATCGCCTTCTGAGTTCAATCTTAATGAAGCACCTTGATCCTTACTGCAGCCCTCCCAAGTGATCGATACTGCTCATCGATGCGAAATTTCGCAGGTTGTTGTAGGTCATCACGCACGATCTTGCATGCTCATACTCCTTTTTCTTTCAAACAAAGTCAGGGCGATGAAGGATGAATTGGTAAAAGGTTCTTCACTGCTTCGATCAGAAGCAGAACTGAACTTTTGAAGTGTCATCATTCTCGAGGAGTTGAACTTGCAGATTTTTGGTGATCATCGGGTTTTTGTTTTGTATTCTCGACAAGAAATTGGAGATCTGCAATTTATTTTTGTATGGGCTACACCTACAAGAGTCCCAAAAACGGAGCAATGGTTGAAATTGGTTCCGCGATTTGCGGATAGATTAACGAAACCGCTCGCGTGATAAAATCGAGGGAATGCCCGTTGTGCATGTACTGGAAAACCGCATTGTTCATTGTGGCCCAACTTCCCGCTGCGATGTAGTACAACACTGAGACCGAGCAGAGCGCCGCGGCCACGACCTGCGGTCCCTGCTTGTCGATCAGTTCCCGGGCCTCCGCTGACACCTCCCGACTCTCGAGCGCGGCCTCTTGATACTCGGCTTGCTTGGCACTCGCACTTTCCGCCGGTGCATCTGCCGGGGTGGCAGCCGCAACAGCAGGCGAAGTAGATGTGGGTACATCATTTTCCGCAGCAGGAACGGCCTCACCAGGTTGTTGTGTCTGCTGGACAAACGAAGCGGCAGCGGGCGCTTTCGGGAGGGGGCCCACGTTGGTCAGTTCGAACCTGAACTTCTTGATTTCGGCGTAGAACTCAACAGCAGCGTGTATTTTTCTTGTTCCCACAGTCTCTTTTGCCCCTTCGCGCTTTATCAGGTGGTAGTAGTCCTTTTGTAAGTAATGTTTGTGAAATTGAAGCGAATTTTGAAGGGAGGACAACACAGTTTTTATTTGTTCGCGAGAGCTCAGCGTGTAACCCAAAAAAACTAAGTAAAAACGTTTGTGTTTGCTTCATCAACACGTAGAAAAACATCACCCATACCTCGTCCGGGTGTTCGGTGTCACGAATTCGCTGCAAGGAAAGACTGACCTCTTCGTGCGTGTCGGTGGCCAGTGGGCGGAAAAAGAAATTGAGCAATCCTCCCTGGTCCGCGACGTGTAGGAGAACGACGCCGCCGAGTTCCTTCCGGGCCTCCTGCTTCACATAAAAGCCGTCTACGCCGGCGTTGCGGGAAAGGTGCGTGTGCAACTGCACTACCGGTTTCAGAGGTGCGAAGAGGTTGTGAACGAAGTGGTTCCCGGTGTGGGTCGCGACAATCGCGAGGTCTCGCCAGGCTTCCTGCATTTCCTCGTAGTCTCCGAAGGCCCAGTTCATGTTCTCTGCCAGCAGCGTTTCCTGCAAAAGACCGCTATGCTCACCCTCCAGTCCGCCCATCGCTCCGATAAAGACGGACTTCCGGTCGACGTCTTCGAACAGCTCCACATGTGCGTCGTTTGCCTCACGAACATGAACACCCACGACCCGGTCCGCCAGGCCAAACTCCTCCGGCAAGCTGTCCGTCGCCAGCGGTAATGTAGTTTTCTTTGCCGGCGGGGCAGCGGGCGCAGCGGCTGTGACCTCTTGTTCCAGAAAAGAATTTGTTGTTCCCACGTCCGTTTCCGATTGTTCTGGCGTTTTTGCGTTGCCCGTAACTGCGGGTGCCGAGGCGCCTTGTGGAGTGGCGTCCTTTCCAGACGCTTGGCCTGCTTGTTTTGCTGCAGGTTCAACAGAGTCTTTGCCTCTTTCTTCAGACGGATTTTGATTCTCCCCCCGCGGTGCTGCCGGAGGAGGCTTTGCTCCGGGAGTTGGGGTGGCATGCCCTATTACGCGCACCTGGAGGTTTTTCATGAGCTCAGAGGGGTCCGCCCTGTCCCAGCCCTGTTTCTCGAAGAGCGTCTGCGTGCTCCGTGGCAGTAGCGAAAGAAAGCGCGTTGTTTCCGTTCCCGGAACGGGTTGCGGAGAAAGTATCCAGCGTTCGCCGTTCTCACCCCGCACAAATTCCAGCTGCTGGGCTCCTTTCGAAGATTCCGCGGACGACAAAGCCTTCACATACAGGTAGACGAGCGACCGCGGCTCACTCTCCGCCGTAGTAGAAACGCTCGCGTCCGTCGAAGTAGGTTCGTCCCCCTCCTGCTTGGATCGTTTGACGAGCAGAGGCAGCTTGTAGTTTGCCAGGTCCAGTTGCTCGACGTCACTACCGCTACCGCCACTGCCCTTGCCTTTTCCCTTATGCTGCACGGGACTTGCACTTTCCACGATCAGTTTCCCCGGTACCGCGGCGTCTGCGACCACCCACTCACTCTCGCAGGTTTTTGGCTTCTTCAGCACGTAAATGTGCTCGTATTTCGTGCGATCCCGCCATTTCGTGTACTTCTCCAGCAGCGGAGCCTGGACGGGGTCGTCCCTCCATTTTAACAGTTGGTAATCGCCAATCATCCAGGCCAGAGCCCCGCCCGGCCGGAACTCGCCGCGGTCGTAGTTGGCGCTACAGCCCACCGTGAAAAGGCCGACGTCCAAGCCCTGCTTCATGGAGTCCACTTCTTCCTCGAAAAGCCTCCTATCGAGCGTGTTTGTCGATTGCGAGCTCTCATCCGGTAGAAAGAGTTCCGAATCGGAATCGACTTGGGCAGCAGTTGGCTTTTCCGAGGGACCAGTCTGGACTGCGGCATTCGCATGCAGGTCCAGCTCAACAAAGGCAGTCTCGAGAAAAGACGAGCCTGCATCTACGTTCGCGGCCGATTGACTTTCTTCAGCTCCGGCCGATTTTAATGATGCGATGGAAGTTGTACTCCCGCGTAAGGAGCCGCGCTTCACAATAGGCTGGTTGCTTGACTCGTTGTCGCTTCCCAAGGTCTGTGGCTGCGAGGAGAAACGTCTACCAGGAAAAACTTGAAACCCGAAGACAAGCGCAATCGACAAAACTAGCCCAACAAGCTTACATGAGGATCGCCACGACCACGACCGAAAAAGCTTCGGGTCATTCGGGTCTTCTTCCGTACGACTGCGTTCCTGCGGTGAACCTTCCATCTTCCTTGTAGTAGTTGATTTTCGTTTAATGGACACGTCTTTTGAAGACTCGGATTCTTAGCTTTGTTTCGCACTAAGCACTACCCAACACGTTAATGATGATTCGGCAAGACGATAAACCAAGTTCCTGCATGGTGCGACATGTCTTGTCAAGGATCCCCCGAAAGTAAATGTTCTTCACAATGGAAAGACAAGACGAAAACGACAACGACCGTGTGAGCGACTTTTTTAGATGATATCGGCCCGACTCACGTTTGCACCAACTTGAAATCTCTGATTTGCGAAATACGGCGAAAACGACCAGTCTCTCGACCACGAACTCGGAAAAATGCGACCACAATTGAAAAAGAACAATGCCCAAGGCCAAGTTCCTTCAGCTTTTACCTGCATGAGCTGACAACTGCAGCTCCTTTCGTTCAGCGCTATAAGCTTTACGATTCTCGCAAGCCATTTCAACTAATACAATCTGTCGCCACTGGTGACACCAACCTAAACACGTCGTAGATTTTCTATTTTCCAAAAAACTATCTTTTAGTTGAATCCGTAGCGCAGTTCCACGAGCGCGTCTTGGATATCTTCTTCGACCGCTTGGATCCCTCGCTTCAGATCCGCGACCTCCTGGTAGTGCATTCGGCGCGCGTGCTCTGATGTGTCGCTCTGTTGAAGATTCCCGCTTCCTGTTTGCAGACTGCTGGTGTACAACCGAATCTGCGCCACGTGGAACGCGGCGACCTTTTCAAACTTGCTCTTCTCGAGGTCAAGCAACCCCAAAATGGCCTTTCGCAGTTCCGTCGCCTCCTCGTACTGCGGCGTGCCCATGACAAACCGCGTGTTGTCGCTCTGGTCGCTGCACCGTCGTAGGTGCGCATTGACGTCTTGAAACGCTGACGTGACGTCCAGCGTCAGCTTCTTGTAGCCAGCGTGTACCTCGCGTTTCGCAATCAACTTTCGCAGAACCAGGTCAAACGCCTTCTGGATCTGCACGCGCCGGTCTTGCACGCGCAGCACTTGCCTCACAAGGGACAAATCGTGAATCCCGCTTTCCCAAGTCTCGTCGAAAATGCAGTCCATAGCATCCCGTACATCCTGCTGGTTACTCAACAACTGGTCACTTGTCATTTCGACATCGCCTCGCTGCTGCGGGTCATTTGCACTTATTGAATCGTTGTGTGGGACAACCTCTCCGTACGTCGACGAAGCCTTTGCCGTTGCCGTCGCGGAAGTGGAAAACAAACCACCGTCGTCGACTAGGTCCAGGTTGGCAGTTTGTCGGTTAATGTGCTCAATGGCGGCGGCGACGCCGGCGTCTTCTGGCTCGTTGTCGACATTTATTGCAGGACAGTCGTCAGCCGCTTTGTCGCCGTGGTCGTGATCGCACGACTGTTCCGTCTGCCGCGCCTGCAGAATCGCCACGCACTTGTCGAAATCCATGTCGAATAGTTTAACTTTAAGCTTTTGTCTCGTGGAAAAAGAAAAACGATAAAGGAAAACTGGATTTCGATTCTTTCGCGGGTGGAATTCAATAGGTTTCCGAAATAAATATTAGTTGTCGAGTCGGGTTTTGTTGAGCACGTTGCTGTCAAAAAGGTCCAAGAAAAAATTCAAATCTGCGCTCTTAGGAGTAAAACACAAAAAATTTGCAGCAAAATACGAGATCACAAAAAAGTAGCAAGAACCTATTTCGATCGTGCTCTCTGTACGGGGTTTCAGGGATCCATCTCCCAGATCTAGGGCGCATTGCGATGTTGAGAACTGTTGATTTGGAACGAGCGTTTTCTTGTGTCTGATAGTAAATCCAGGTGCAAAATTCTCTTGTTTGATGTAGTTTCGTAGGAACATGCATGTTGCTGCTGCCGCAAAGTTGCACACGTGAAGCAACAAGCTGCTGTCACAAGCCATTTTTTGTTTGTGCTGCTCTTGCTTGCAATATACAGTTTCCCTTGGAGTAGATGTTCCTGCAAACCTGATGTTACCCCGGGATACGGGATGCAAGATTCGCAATCGTGTAATTTTCCCAAGACGATGAAAATCGCAACATACTTTGTTCCCGCGTTCGGTGCGTGTTGATTAGCGACTGCTTCAAGGAGCCTAGCTTTTTACACCTACGGATTTCTGCCTCAGAAGGGGGTTTAGAGGTCGAACCCATACATAAACACAGCTCTAGACAGACCACTAGTAGAAGGGAAGACACTGCAGTCAACAAAAACAAAGTAGCAGGGGCACGCGAACTGGTTTATTGGAGGACAGGAAGAGGGTAGGGTACTAAAGTTACGCACTCTAGCAAGGGAGTAAATGCGGTTCAACAGGGAAAGTACAGGAGAAGCGGTACAACATTTGCAAATCGAACTACGAGTGCCGGGCAAAGTAGACGCAACCTGCAACTGAAGAGCAGAAGTAAGTTACGAAAAGAAAAATTTAGTGAAGAACGCTGTTGTTTCGAACTTTCGTTGTAAACTAGACGATATCACGATACACGGCTAAGAGTCTGAATGAAGCAAAAACGTAGCTCAAATAAAGACACAATACTTTTGTTGCTTCGCGGAAACACGGATCTCGCCAGCTGTATTTGTACATTGACGCAACTTTATACCCCTAATCTTCGTCTGGCTCCCTTTCATGTTCTGCTGCAAACAAAAAACAAAACATCGTTTGATTCACAGAATAGGTGTACAAGTTAAAATCCAACACTAGCGTCGATCGATGTCCTGGTGTCAACTACAGAATATGGTACAAGAATTGTCGAGATACCCAAATTGAAATATTCCAAGTCAAATCGCGAAAGAAAAATTAGTTCATATGATTGAGCAGTTTCATTTATTCGATCCCAAATTCAAAAATCGCGACCCCGGTGGAGCCGCGCTTTGCAAATTATACGGAGTACATTTGGTATGATATAGATGAAACTAGGTCTTGCATATTATACTCATATTTTTTTTCGGATTCTCCTCATTCCCGGTGGGTACTTAATACGTGAAAAATCTTCAGCGAGCTGGTGCCACTTGTCCCGCTGCTGAAAAATTTGAGCCCGTTTACCGGCGTGAATTCAATACCATGCCTGTCGTCGTCGTGTTCGTCGTGCCGCGCAGTGGAATACAAAACTTTTAACTAGTAAAACCCGAAGGAAAATTTCTGCTACAAGCATGCTTTGTCTGAAGAACATTTCTCGTTCTGCTGTGATAATTCAAAAACCTTGTCTGATACGAATTCGCCGCCTGGCCGCCGCCTTGTGCGCAAGACGGTGTAGAAGAACCTAAGAACAAAAAACCTGAAAGATCGCGCGCAATCTAGCTTTATCGGGTGAAAACTTTTAGTTAGTCTGTGTCTGTGTCTGATTCTGCTAAAACGATATCTGAACCTTGACTTGAACGATTATTGGAACCTGATACTGGTGAAACGATTATAGATAACGCTAAGAACATTTGAAAAAGAACTCCTGTGTGACACTTTTAGACCCTTGTTGTGTCGTGTTTTCAATCGAGTGAGAGTTTTTGCGTAGCTCACTTGGGGGTGTCGCGCACCTTGTCGACGACCAGCTTGGCGCGGTTGATTCCGAAATCGGCAATCGCGTCCTTGGACAGTGCCTTGCGGGACCGCACATCGTTCGGGAAGTTCTTGGTCAGCGCAATCATGTACACGGTGCTGCTTCCCTGCATCGCGATCAGGTAGGACCTGGGGTTTTGGGAGAACGAGGGCATGATTGAGATAGAGGGTCGGCATCATCAACATGTTGCATCCAGATTCCAGAAGAATTCATGCTACACGAACAAAAAAAAGCGACTATCTCATGACGGGTAGCAGCCCGTAGTACAACACAATAGAAATTTTCTTTATACCAGCTGAGGAAGATGGCCCAATTTCTCCAGCTGTGCTCCCCGTACTTGGCGACGACCTTGGTCTTGTTGTGGAGCCAGTTCTTGTACCAGGCGTAGATGGTCAGGCCGTAGTGCACGCCCTCGTTGCCGATGGACCGGATTTCGAAACCGGACCTCTCCAGCTGCTCCACATCCCAGTACAGCGGGCAGGAGGCATCGGCGCCCGGGAACACGTAGCTGTGTGTGATAAGGTGATCGGAGTCGTAAGAACTCTAACTCGTAACAGAAACAAATGCAAATCATAATCAAGTACCGGTGAATAACGCTGCCAAAGAGAAAAAGGCCAAAAACGCCCTGCATACAATTACAACCTAGGAAGCTAAGCGCGGTGGATATTCAGGCATTTCTAAAGGAAATCTTCAATCATACCGGTTCATGAACAGGCCCCACAGCAGATCCTCATACTGCCAGTTGCGACGCAGGCCGGCGATTTGCAGGTAAAAGACGCCATCATCCTTCAGCACTTGTCGGACCTGCGGAGAAGTGGAGATAGAACAAGCTTAATGAACGAATCAATCGTACCAAAATCCATGAGAAAAAAACAAGAAAAAATTCTGATATCACCAAATACAAAAACAACCAAGCGGCAAAAAAAATTTTGATACGGCATGGCAGAACTTCTGGTAGTCGCGGACGCCGATGTGCTCGGACATTTCCAGGCAGGTAATCACGTCGTACTTGACGCCCTCCTTGATTTTTTCATCCAACCAGGTCCAGGCGTTGATCACTTTCACGTCCGTCCTCTTCTCGGTGTCCTTGCCGGCGATGAAGTTCGCTTGTTCTTGCGAAAGCGTGATTCCCGTGGATTCGACCTGATCATTTTTATTTGGTGAAAATAGAAAAAAATCGATACCGTTTTGCATTTTTCTAGGTAGAGATGAAAATCCGTGAACCAGCAGATTGCATACGGAAGATCTCCAAAATAGAGCTGCACAGCGAACAGAAAGCCGTGACTTAGTTTCTTATGCGGCTATAAAAAAAAAAATTGATTCTGAAAATAATAAGTCTGTCACCTTGTATTTGCCGGTCGCGTGGAGGATGAGGGCACCCCAGCCGCAGCCGAGATCGAGGTGCTTCATGCCCGGCTTCATCATGCAGAGTTCGCTGCAGATCTTGTCCAGCTTCTTGGTCTGGGCTTCCGACATCATTTCGTTCATTTTTTTGTTGTCGTCAAAGTTCTGCGGGTCGGACGACGGCCAGAGGCCGACCGAGTAGAGCATCTTGTCGCACAAAAACCAGCCGTAGAAATCGTTGCCCCGGTTGTACACGTCCGACACATCCGCCTTGTCCGCGTCCTCGTCATGCTTCCAAACGCGGCTGTTTTGAACGTTGAGGGGTGTCTCTTAGAAGTAAAATCTTATAAGAATTTTGATTTGTCATTTGCATATTTGTGAGAGGAAAAGAACGATTACGACGAGAACCAAAAGAAAAATCAATCGATAGTATACCGCAGCAAGTCCTGGAAGATGGAAGCGATGTTTTCCTTCGTGACGGAGAATTTGAAGATTTCGTAGCGGCTCATCATGGTGTTCATGATGTCGTCCTTTCCTGAAATTTCAATGTGTTAAAAATAATTCGGTTGCTTGTTTGCCTTTGAGATAAATATTTTTCTATCTAAAGCCCTTCTAAACTCCATCTGGTGGTAGTTATTTTCATCCGGCATGACGCGAAACGAATTTGAATTTTCCTATGAGATGAAACCATCAAACTTCGGTCGAAGTAGTTATTCTATACCGTTGGCTCCCTTGAAGTCGATTTTTTGGTCCTGGTAGGCTTCGATGGCGGTTTCCATGGGAATCTTCTTTCCCAACCACTCCTTTTTGAAGTCCTTGTCGTGGAAGACGAGCAGTTCGTTCTGCTTCTTCTCAATTTCGGACGGAATGCCCTGCGACGCTTCGCCGTACTCCTGCGACTGGGTGAACAGGATGCCGCAGCACAGCAGCACGTACACCGGGTAAGTCAGGGAGATCAGAAACGCCCACAGGAACGGCAGGCCGCAGTTGTAGCTGTTGATATTGTAATTGTTGTAGTAGTACGCCGAGCAATTTATTATCGCGCCTCCCTCCCGCGCGAGAAATCCTATTTATTCTTATGATGCAAACGGGGACAACATTTTTGTCCTTTCTTCTTTACAAGGACGAAAAAAGGCATTATTGCATGCAAGAAAATGGTCCGAACCTGAGGAACAGCGCGACGTAGACCGGGCCGAAGAAGCAGACCAACGGCTTTTCCAGCAAGGCGAGGAGAATCTGGACACCATACCCTTTCCTCTGCGTTTCGATGGTTTTCGGCGTCACCCCCAGCGGGTTGCGGACCGCGGAAACGACATTTCCTCCCAGCAAGTAGACGCCCGGGACCACCACAAAGGCGATGGTGTACAATGCGTCCAACATTTTTTTTGTGTTCTACTACTAACTTCTACTTTCCGTGAAATTTCACACAAAAAAAAACTAGCCTTTTTTAAAACTTCGCAAGCAACGAGTCGCTGCTGTTGGTTTTTTTTTTGTTGCAGGAGTTGTTGTGCTGAGGTTTTGATTTGGTCGTTGGCAGATGAAAGTTGGAGATGGAGCACGCTATCTTTTACAACTATCTCCGTCGAAAGAAGAAGGTGCTATGTTCGTACGTACAGCGTTGTGACTAAGTTAGTGTTGATCCGATGGGGAAATCCGGTGGATGAATCCAACGAGGAGTTGCTGCGCTTGCGTAAAAAGTGAGTGGGATCTTTTCGATTTCAAAAAGGATCATTCGTGTTTGCGTGTACGTGGTTTTACGACGAGCATATTTTTCCATACCTAGTAATCGCACGTGGTCTATATCGTTACCTAAGATCATCTTCAATACGTACGGCAAGATTCAATCCTTCCTAGCACGCTGAGTAAAAATCGAAATGCACGAAGATGCAAGGGCTACGCGGTGCGTACTGGTGCCAATCAAAGGACGCAGCACAGTCGAATGTAATGAACGACGAACACGAACCCAAACGTATAGGTGGACGAGGAAAATTCAAACGTCACTGACACTCACACTTTGCGAATCGAACGAGCTGTCGCGCCACGTGCTTTGTTTCTTTGTTCGATGCCAATAATTCTGTCCTTAGATGTAAGAATCGAGCGCACGTGCGGCCAGCAGTCATATATCTTCCGGTAAGGCATTTTCTGAATTCAGTTTAAGACGGAGACATCAAGGCGAGTTGGCGAATCATACTTTACTTGTCATTAGATGTGGCGTATTCGGCTCCTGTTAAAACGCCTCGAATATGGGTCAGGAGCAGCAAGTCGGCATAACGACCTCGGTTTATTTGTGTGCAGCTCTATTCGAAAGTCTTTCCCATGTTATGCTACTGGTCGACCTCGACAGGCGCGGACCCTGTACCCAGGAGGTCAGCAATAACAGTGAGGAACCCCGGGCTGCACCTGGCCGTCGTAGCAGCAGCCTGTCTGTTGGAACGTTGTCACTCCTGCAAGCAGGAGGTAAAAGAGAAGCCCGCCGACGTCGTAGCTGTTTTGGAAATTTTGAACAATGAGTACTTACTCGCCACCTTCGTGTACTGCCTTTCCCTTCACTGGAACTAGGTCTACACATCCTCGAATCCTTTCAAGCTTCTTACAGCGAAACGTAGAAAATCGAATTATCACACATGACTACCCTGATATGGCCCAGAGTGAACTGCCAAGCGAGGCCCAGCCGACGAAGGTCCTGATTTGTAATTTGACGCCACTAGCACTAGCAGCGCGCTTCGCAGAAGACTTCGACTGCCAACGGCCGTAGAGTACGCATTGCTGGGTCGATATTCCGGGATACCCACAGTCTTTCCGCTTGCCAGGACTGATGTTGCACGTGTCGTAAAAAGCGAGAACCGTCCCGGTTATGAGAACAAAACAGAGGAAAGGCAGCACTGACTTATTCGTCTCCCGAGCACGAACGAAGTAACGCAGGGCCTGGTCTACTTGTGCCACGAGCGACCGCAGTTTCGACATCGCACTCCGAGCGTTATGATCACATACAGCTCCATCATCGACAGCCTTACTAATGCTTGGCTGCGCTCCAAGAACAGTTCCACCAGCGCTAGTAGTTGAAGACCCATGATGAAGTCTTCGTGCTGCAAGAAGAGGTGTCGGCGCACTTGAAATTGCCCGCACGTCAGTTTCTTCCTGTAGCATCGCAAAATCGCAGCCCTCGTCGGTGTCGTCTTTCTCTACTTCCATTTGTTCAGCTTCCAGCGCTTTCGTTACCGTAGCCGCAGTAGCGGTGTCGACGGACGATGATCCGGACGAAGAAGACATCATCCCCATCGTGCGTTTAGATTTAGAAGTGGTAGATGCAAAACGTAAGAACTTGATACAAGTGGAGAGTACGGGACTGCTATCGACATCTGAACAAGCTTAAACTTGTGCAAAGACAATTGGCACATCCAGCGTGCGCACAGCGATTCCGCGTCCGTGTGTGTTGCCAAAATCAACGTTCTGATGGATCCCTGCTGTGGTGTGGCTGCTCTCGATCTGGACCAAAAGATCGAAAAGCGGTGATGAAGATCGAGTTCCACGGACAAGCCGAGATATAAACGAAAGCGTTTTTTCGTAAGAACACATCAATCCGCGCAGGAGCACGCGAGAGTTTTCCCGGCTGGGCGCGCAGGAAGATGAAGCCCGCAGCATTCTATAATGCTTTCACGTTGTCGCTGAAGATGCTTTCATTGATTTCTTTCTGTTGTACTGTTCGACTTTTCTCCTACTTTGTTCATGCTGAGCTCGATCAGAGTTTTCTGTTTTTCCATTTCTTCCAGAGTTCCGTTTCTATCCCGTCGAGGACGGTTTCGAAGTAGTAGATATCAAGCGCCTCTTATCCTGAGTAAAAACGTACCCACACCATAGTTGTCATGCAAATCTGCATGCTTAAAATGTTTGTCATGCGGAGCCCCATGAGAAGCATTTTCTAAGGGTGTTTTGAAATTTGTCATGCTCCAATCAGCATGAGAGACTAGATCTGTAATGCTGCTGAACTAGCTCAAACAGCACTACACTACGCGTCCAAATTTGTCATGCGAAACAAGCAAAGTTGGCCGATTTGTCTAGCAGATTTTCCATCTTGACTCTGGTGTGGGTACGTTTTTACTCAGGATACCTCTTTCTCTTGTTTGTACAGCTTCTCCGTGTCTGGCCCACCCTATCCTGTGTAAAAGCATCCCCACCCCAGAGTTGTCATGCAGATCTGCAAGCGCAAGAGCATTTGTAATGCGCATCCCCATGATAGGCATTTCCGATCGTGTTTTGGAACTTGTAATGCTGTAAACAGGATAAGCAGATGGATTTGTAATGCGACTTCCCTTTCTAAACTGCACTACACTACAGCTAGGAATTTGTCATGCGTGGCTCCCAAAACTTCAAGGTTTGTGTTGCAAAATCCCCATCTTGACTCTGGGGTGGGGACGTTTTTCATTAGGATACACCCATCATGGGGTTCATCATCTGCTGTTGGGGCATCCCCATCATCATCTGCATGGGATCGTCGATGCCGCCGCTGTCCTGTACCTTGCCTTCTTCCTCGAACAAACTCATCAGGAACATCTGGATTCCGCCGATTGACATCATGATGATGAAATACCAACACAGACCGGAAATATACCTGTGAACGTCATTGCTTTTTGTTTTTCTTTTTTCCTTGATGTTTCTGGCGCATAATTGATTTATGCACAAGTTCAGTGCCGAGCTCGAGTCACGTCAGATGCAGCAAAAAGAAAAAAAGAGACTTACCCTGGTTCCAAATTTTCCACGTCCACCCCACGCTGCAGCATACTTTTGAACCGGAACGTCAGTGGGAAAGGCGTTTTTCCGACAAGAAACCCCGTGAAGAGAAAATTGACCCAGTAGCCGATAGCCCCCTGCGAGATGAGAAAAATCATTTGACTCTTGAGCATGCCAACCATTTGTGCGGGGTCCTGCTGCTCCATTGCCTGCAGTGGGTCCTTTTTGGCGGGTGCGGCCTTTACCAGTAATCCCGTATCTTTCTTCGTGTAAAACGCTCGCCTGTTTTTTTGTGATACTCAAAATTTTTGTTGCACACCTGAACAGCTCTCGATCCAAATGCCTTTTGTAAAATTTCATGCAGACTCGGCTGTTCAACATAGTGGAAGTGACTCACCTGTTTCGGAAAGCGTCTTCTGTGAGAAATTTCCCGCCGCCGGACTTCAATAGTCGACACCTCCCAAGCACGTTGTTCTGCTTCAAGACTTTCATGTCAACCTTCGGCTCGTCTTTTGTCAGCACCAGCAGGTTTTGTCGAATCAGGTTCGAGAAGAGAAATACCAAAAAAATCGCGATCAGGGCATTATCCCGAATCAACGGATCCAGGATGATGTCGCTTTCTACCATTTTGTCGCTGCGTCAAGGCAAAAGTGCTCACAGAAAAAAACACACGAAAAAGTGGTCTTTCAGCATCCGCGTGTTGACTACGACTTCTAGTAGCATTAGTACACGAATAAGTGAAAAAAGGTCGTCATCATGGATGTCATCTTTCTACATGGCTAAGTACTCACGAAGTCTCAGAATCTGAAAACCCACTACCATAATTCACCTGCTCGAAAGGAGAACAAAACGTGATGTCGCCGCTGCTTTTCAAAAAGTTGAGCCGTGCCTTGCCCTATCAAAAAAGTGGAACTGATCCATTGGCTCTCGTCGATCTATCTACTTTTTCTTAGCATAGATGTGATGGAGCAGTCTGATCGTCATCTGAACATGTTCCGGTGAAGATCACTACCTTCGAGAGCTGGGATCCTCTTCATAGTTAATGTGAACAGCTGCGAATTGACCGGCTACGGTCTATGACCTCAGGACCTCTAGGTCTAGCGATCAAGCTGCTTGCCAGCTTTTCGTCAAAATACCGCGCGCTTTTTTCTCATTGGGCGTGTCTCGTCCTCTACTTTATCAATTACCAAAGGGTTTTTCTGCAGCGAGGCCGCTAGATTGACTGGGATTCGTTTTGAAGTGCAGTTTCAGAATTTGATTCGTTCCTGGGTAGTTCTTGGGGAAGTAAACTAGTGCTCGCTTGTTAGACAAGCAGTAGCGATCGGCGTGGCCTGAAGTCGAAAAATTTCGGATTTGCAACAGCAGGGCGATCCAGCTACATAACCATGTCTTGCAGGAAAATCATCTGAAATCGAACGGCATGCACCGACCCAGGAACAACTAGCGGAGTTCCATTTACAGCTCATCTGTAAGCTGCGGAGCGTTACCTTGGACGCTCCGCTTCGCCTTCTTCCCGTTTGCTTCCATCTCGAGCGTGGCCTGTGCGGGTCCACCGTCGCGCGCCTCCACCGTCTTCGTGACTTTCTTGCCGTTCTTGTAGGTGGTTTTCGACTTCTTGCTGTGCGTAGTCGTCTTTCCGCCACCGGAGGAGTAGGAAGTAGAAGTGGAGAAGGAAAACGACGACCCACCACCCATGCCTCCGCCGCCGCCACCCAGCCCAGCAAACATGTCGCCGAACCCTCCGAAAATGTCATCCCCGCCACCTCCGCCCATGCCGCCGAACATGCCCGCAAACATATCCTCCATCGGATCCCCGCCGCCCCGTGGTTTATTACCGCGGCCGTGCGGTTTTTGTTCTTCCTCTTCCGCTCCTCCGCCGCCGAACAGTTTCTCCATGTCCGCCGCCATGCCCGCAAACGCGTCCTCGAATTCAGCGAACGGATCCTTGCCATCGAACGCGTCCTTGAAAATATCGTTTACGTTCGTGTGGCCGCCGCCGAACTATCAAAATGAAAAATCCCCCCTCCCCATATAGAAAACGAAATTTGTGTTGCTGTATTTGAGGCGTGAGGCGTGAGGCGTAACATGATCGCTCCCGGAGGAGGTGGAACAGTCAGCAGCCCGAACTCATCGGTTTTGCAAGGTCCACAACCCCCTGGGGGTGATATACGGGGGTGGCTCCGCGTGGCGGCGATCTAGGATCGCTACCTGGAAGAAGGAATGGGAGCCTCTTTTCAGAAGTACTCCACAAACCTAAGCCAACCACTGCCCCCGCAGTCACAAACTCACACCCGACATCGAGAACCGATGCGAGGGAGACCCCGGCAACCCTTCTCTGCGACCGAATACCGAGAGGGATAAGTGGACCCCTCAGTTTAGACGGTTGCTGTATTTGAGTACACAACTTGTATTACTAGAAGGTCAAGATACGCAGCTGCTCCCTCCTTTGCAGGCAATTTGTCATGCTATCTTCCATTTCCATTGGCCTCCTGTCATGCTGAAGACGCAAGGCTCTCCTACGCCACCCAGCACTAGAGTCCGCTTCTTTTGCCTTCTAGCATGACAACACGATTTGTGGTCTCAAATCATGCTACACAAATCTCCGCTTCAGTATGGCGAGGTGGGATTTTTCATTTTGATACGAACCCGAACCCCTTCATGATGTCATCGAAGTTGTCCTTGCCGAAGTCCACATTGTCGAAGTTCAGACCTCCGCTGTCGTACTGCTTCCGCTTTTCCTCATCGGAAAGGACTTCGTAGGCTGCCGTTATCTGTGTGGAGTGTGTGTATTTTTGTTTCTTTCTCGAAACACCAAATTAACTTTCAACATATGCGTCCTGTAGCGCCGTATTCATAAAGCTCATCCACTAAAAGAGGTACCTTTTTGAACTCGGCTTCGGCCCACTCCTTCTTGTCCGGGTTTTTGTCGGGGTGCACTTTTAGTGCGAGTTTTCGGTAGGCCTTTTTTATGTCCGAAGCTGAGGCATCCTTTTTTACTCCCAGGGTCTCGTACAGATCTTCGCCTTTGTCTGCTCGGGAAAGCCACACCCCTCCCCAGAATGAGGTCAGGGCAAAAAGAAGCAGCGCTGGCCGAAACAGACGTAGAGCCACCATTTTCGTTGTGTCGGTTTTTTTCTACGTGGGCGCGCTGGCGGCCCAAACTAATGTCGCAAGCAAGCGATGAAATAGGTTGGAAAACTAGTTTACTTCGCTCTGACTCTCGCGTATCGTGTTGGATCGAAAGTGTTCGCAACTTCAAAAAGAGGCATGCTGTACTTGCGGGGCAAACCAAAGTAAGTAGGATGTGAACTAGTTGATGAGGGGAGGGTAAGGATTTCTCTTTTCACGCTGGGAGGGACTGCAGGATTTGAAAAAATCAAAGTGCTTGATCTGCAGAGTAGCCGGCAGCGAGGCTCCTGCTACTGCCATGCTCCTAGTGAAAGGTTGGCCACACGACCATCTGAAGACAGTGGAAGAGAGCGAGTCGTGGTGTGCCACTTTCTTCATGAATTCTCGAATACTGCTGGACTCGGTCCAATCCTCGAAAGACCTAATCGAGAGAAACAAAAGAGACCTGAATTATGCGTGTACATTTGTCGAAAAGCTGAAGAAGTCGACAGCGCGAACCTTATCGGGAGCGAGTACATACAACATAGAAACACACACCGGTTGGTGCGCCCTTTTATTTTTGTATTCCCAAGAAAATCAAAATTAGTAGTAGCATAAAAATACAAACAACAGTCATGCAAAGCCATGCGGATGTTGTTTTCCAAAAGTAGACGAGAAAAAGTTACGTATATTGTTCAAAATAGCGGCTACCGGCTCTTACCGCGCATACGAAAGTAAGTAACTTTTGGCCGATCCGTCGGGCTTTTATTTCAGTGCCGTATAACCATTGCGCAGTCACATTTTTCACCCTTGTTTGTTAAGCTTAAGTTGTTTCTACGGTTTTTTATATCGCCAATTCCATCATATTGAAAACAAAACTAAAACAGTGTTCGGACTGCAACTACAGAGGAATGCGTTTCGTCCGTTCGACTCTGAAGTAGATACTAATAAATTTTTCACAAAAAAAAAGCGGCACAATCAACGCTCCTAGCAAAAAAAGATACGCGCAGCACAAAATCGCGACGACAAAGCCCGCGCACTGGCACACTAGACGAAGAGAAGGACGTGTGAATGTACTAGTACGAAAGTTACAGTTACTCGAACTCGTTCAAAAACCATTACCATTTTTTTTTATCCGGGAGGGAACCTGCGCATTTTGTCCTCCAGGTAGGAGCTTATTGAATCTGGGTTTTCCGTGGGTGGGTGACGAGACCGGTCACCCACTTCTACACTTCCTCCATCTAAGGTGGATAATTGATTTGGCCCCTTGGTGAAGATTGCCTCCGCATTTTGTTGATAGAACGCCTCCCGGTGGCGCTGGCGCCTAGAGACCTGCGAAGGTTCTTTCTTGGTTTGATGGGATCGCGTTGCGGACCAAGAACGTTGGCTCGTTTTTTTGCTACGGTCGTGCACACGGTGCGGCATTTCGAAGGATGCGGTCGGCGATTGCGGGTGCTGTTCCCAGCAGCCCTCCACTGCAGCCGCCCCCGCAGCCTGTTGACTGCTCACAGGCGGGAAGCCGCAAGCGTAAGGAGGACAGGAGGAAGGCCAGGACGGACAATATCCACCCTCCATGAAAGAGGGGTCGAACTGCAACTGCGGACTCCATGGTGGGGCGGGACAGCACATCATCGGGAATTGACCGCAAGCCGAATAAACACCAGATGCGAAAAGTGCCTGCTCGCTCTGGACATCCTGTACTTGCACGCCATTGCTCCAAGCTGGAAACCCGAACTCACCACTGTTTCGGATGGGAACTTGTTGCGAAGAAATTGTTCCTTCAGGCGCGCTTGCAGCTAGAAACTGTGCACCGGGAGGAGAAACTTGTAGAGGAGAAACTTGCTGAGGTCCCAGCAGCGGCATCTGAACCTCGGGGGGCGCTGTAACTATCTGCTGCTGCCCGAGAGAGGCGGCCCACGCAAGGGCTGGGTCGACCGTCCAAGATGCGGGCGCTCCTACATTTCCGCTCGCTGTTGCCGCTTGTCCGGGCCGCGCGAGCGAATTGCTCGGCATCGCGCCGGCACTTTGTGTTTGTCCCGCCGCCAAGACAGAATTCGCCGTGGCCCCGGACGCTGAAGATAAACCCGGGCCCGAAGTTTCCGCAGGATTCGCCGGGACAACACCGCTAGGAAGCGCTGCACCGGCTTGGCTGAGAAGAGGACCCGCTGCAGGTCCCAGGGTGCCCGTCGGCTGCAGGCCGACGGGACCACCGGTCGGTAGCGGAAGTCTTCCGGGAAACAGAAGCTGGGACGGAAACAGGTCAAGAGACCCGGTTTGCAAGAACTTGCACGTCGCCAATTGTGCCATCACGAGAAAAGGATTCGAAGCCGCGGCTGCACTTTGATGTGCCTCTATTTCTACTGCGGTTTTAACCGCAGGCTGGTGGGCAGATGAAGTGCATGTTGAAGAAGTAGTTGCCGAGCCACCTCGCGTATCAGCTTCTCCACACGTCGTGATCTTGTCCTTCCTTTCACTATACTGCTGCTCGAGCTCCCGCTTGAGGCTTTCCATACTTGCCACCATTTCTGCGATTTTCAACTGCGTTTTATCTTCAGAGTTTCCAGACGTCGAGAGCCCGCCCTCTTTCGCACCCTGCCACCGCGAGAAGCACTGCCGCAAGTCGTCGTCCTGTTGGAGCAATTGCAGGAGTTGTGTGCTCATCGTGCAGAGCTCTAGCAGTAGCAAAGGATTCACCGATGTCAGTTTCCGAATCGGTGCCGCCAAATCGTCGCTGGCAGTCGACACTGCGGAACTCAAACTTTGTGACCACAACCCGCTTGCGCTCGCAAGAGTTTCGTCTCCCGTCATGTGATTCGCCATATCTTCCGGACCCGTCGCGATGCTTGTAGAGGAACTGGAATTCGCGTTTCCTTGTATGCCTGCTGGGAGCTCTTTAGCCGCCACGCTCGGTCGTGTGGTCTCGTGCGGAACTGTATCTTGTCCGCTTGTTGCTGGAGCAGGACTCGCCATGAAGGCTCCGTCTCCGTGCAGTCTGCTCGCTATAAGGTCGAAGCTTGCATTTGCGCCGTTTCCGAGGCCTGCCGCGCAGTCAGCGGTGCTGCTGTCGCAGGGCTCTTCGACAGGCTCTTGCAAAACCTCGATACTTTCGTTCTGATGAAGCAACTCCGATCCAAGGGACTGCGTGCCACTGCCAATCGTCTCTTGCACCATTTTGGCCATCGCCGCCAGCCCCAGACCACTCGGTGAGAAGTCGACATCGGCAACCGCGCAGGCTGTCTGGGCGCTCGTAGATTTCTCTGCGGACAACTTCGCTAGAAGCGGCCGGCTTTTCTTAGCGTCCGCGCCCGTTTTTTCGGCGTCATCCTGTAGATGCGTGGGTCCCAACTCGCGACTGCTGCCGTCTAGCACACTCTTTGCGGAAACCGTCGCTTTTGTACCTGCTGTCTCTTGAAACAGTGGAGTGCGTCGCCAGAGGCTTATCGCGATACCCCGCGGATCTCCAGAATCTGGAATCATGTTGGGATGGAGGGGCTCCAAGTACTGGTCTAGCTCCTGCATGACTTTGTCACAACCGTGTAGAGGCGCAAACTCCTTCACCGTCAAAATCAAAGCCTGTAGAGAGCGTTTAGTGTATCAAAAATTTTCAAAACGGAAAGGAAATTTGAACCTCTGATCCTTTTTGGACATGAGCACTTTGAAGCGGATGAATAAGAATCGCACACGACACTAGTCTGCGTCATGAAAGATCTCAAACTTCACAGCGGTACACGACCAAGACAAATTCCTCTAGTACTTCCACAGGCACGTTCATCAGCCCGGCCGATTTGCTTGTCTGCATGCTCTCCAGGAGCAGCGCCCTCCACTCTTCTTTCACCGCAAGAAAATTGCCCGTCACAAGCAACCGCTGCACCTCCACTGACGAGCGCTCCAAAACTTCAAACGTCACCGGATCAAGCGCCTTGGTCGTCATCGCACGACGCAGCCGCAAGTGCGCTTCTTCAGACCACGGCCAGCCTTTCCACGTAACCCCGTCCTGCAAAGATTTCATCCCGATCATGCGATTCTTCACTAACGCCCTCGCTTGCCCAACTGGCAACTGCTTGTCCCACTTCACTCCAAGCTTCGTTGCCAAATCCTCGTCAAACGGATGCTCCTGCTGCGAAGCATTATCTGGTAGTGTGGGGTTACTGAAAGGCGTTCGCAGATATGTCTCCGAATTTGGTCGTCCGTCGAGGACGTGCTTCTCGCAGCCTCTCTCCGCCACATCGGATCCTCCACCTGCGTCGGCTCCACCCGCCTTAGCGCTCCGCAAATGAAAAGGCTTCTGCTGTTGATCAACGCAACCAGGCACTTTATTTCGGGCCTGAAGTCGTGGAGACAAATGAAACAGTGCCTTTATGTTTCGTTTCATGCGTTGTAAACAGGAAGCCCACGTGTACTACCTGAGCGCTACTTACAGGCGACTTCAATCTCACGTACAGGCGACTTCTTGTAGTTCATATCACTTGTGCTCGACTTCAATCTCACGTAATATACCTTTTGACGCTGATGTCTCCGTTTACTTGGGCCCAAATTTCCGCCCTGTACTGGCTGATCACACACCCCAGGGCTTTGCTGCGGTTCAGAGGAAGGCGACAAGCCGAAATTAATCTGCACAGTGGCGTCCTCATCACTTTCTTGTGCGTCGGCCCAACGTTCCCGGCCCCCGGTCGGGCTACCTAAATCACAACATCGCTCCGCCCCTGGGAACGAAGCCGGCTTGTCACACTGCACCGTAGATGGACACGGCTCGGAGCATGTTCCAGCGCTAGTGGCGGAAGTTACTGGTGAGCACGAGGAGTCGCCTTGCTTTGCACCTCGTGCAGATAGTATCGGCAGGCTCACTTGCTTCTGCAACGGTTTTGCATGTGACTGTCCATCGTCCTTCTTATCGCCGAGTCGCTCTTCTAGTTGAGCTACAATTTGCTTCACGCGCCATTGCGCTTGAGCTGGCTTTGTCTTGGTCGTCCCTGGTGAGATATTCGTCCACGACGATTTGCTCCCGGATTTTGTCACAAACTTTCTGCCGCCCGTGCGACTGCCATTGGTGAGCTGCGTAAAGTGCAACGCAGACGCAAAGATTCGACTCCACTGCGTCATACTGAATCAACATGCAGGACAGTCGATCTTAATCTTATCACACACCCAGCGAGGTTCAAAAAATAATCATGAATCCTTCACCTTTTCTTAAAACCGAGACCCTAGCTGATCCCAAAGCGATAGGAAACACCAAAATCGAAACAGAAAGCAGGCAAAAAAAAGACAAACACGTAAATATGTCCAAAAAAGCAGCTGCTTTGTTGATCTGCCTGCGCAAACAATATTTCTGCATCTTTGGGATCGCGCGATCTAGCACAGCTGCTGTGTACGCTGCTTTTTGCCGCACGACGCTAATTCATGAATTAGAATTACCGAAACCTTCCTCGCAATAGTAAATATTTTCGCATAATAGACGGAACATGCTTATGTGTTTTTATCCTCTTCTTCGCACGCACCGCTGTATTTGATAGATTTGTTTCCGGACGCCACTTTTGTTTCGCATTCTGATTCAATCAGTAAATAATAGAGATACATCTTTATGCATTTGAAGTAAACAAAAACAAAAAACTAAATGGTAAATACTACTTCATCGTTAGTAGCAATTATTAAGCTTTCGCGTTTTCCTTGCACTTGATTTACTGCCTGTGGAATGGAACTTAGCTTGCTGCGCAAAAAACAATGAAGAGGAAGGAAGGAGGCAAAGACAAATAGATATCATTTTTCGAAATCATGTCCATACCGTGCTAAAAGCATGTGCACATTGGAGCGAAGGAGGAGAAAAATGATCGAGAAGCAGGACGTTGCAGTTCTTTGCCGGGAGGTAAAAAAGCATTACAGATTTGCAGTGAAGATTGAGAGAGCGAATTGAGAGCGAATTCTTTCATGTTTAGATTCTTGCGGTCTGCTGGTGGTGAACGTCTTCACCTATCGCCTTAAGCGCCGGCCTAAACCTACATCCCGTTTGCCGACAGGATGCAGATCGATCATGATCTGCGGCTCCAGCCTTATTTCGTTCGCTGGAAATCAAGAGAGCGCGGAATCGGTGCTGCAAGCTATCTCTCCCATCTCTCTATGAAGTGCAAGTCTCTCTTTTACAGATCTGTGAACATCTGAGGAAGAACCTCGCGCTCTAGAACTAAAACCCTCTGCAAGTAAATCTCATGTTTAGCAATTTGTAATGCATTTTTCAAAAAAGGGGGCTTCATGTTTTAGGTTTCACAGATAGTGCCAGATGTCCATTGCAAAATCTACCGGAGTTGGACACTCAGAATCTCTCTCATGATGAAGACGTAGGTGAAAGAAAGCAGAAATGCCTTATGATCTCTCAAAAACAGGACGAAATATCGGAAGGTCTGATGACAAGAAAAAGATTACGCATGCAAAAATTGGAAATAGTGCTGCACTTGGTGCACGAACAACATGTGATTTTTCACGAAGATTGGCGCACTTTTCAAAAGAGAGCTGCCTCCATCTAGTCTTGGTTTCGGAACCGGGGAAGAAGATACAGCAGTTGCAGGGGCGGCGGCGACTGCAAGTACTGCTGATCGATCGTGGTATCGTAGATAGAGGAAGAAGTCGACTAGCCGCTTGGTTGCGAATGAAATTGCTGGGTATTCATTTCCCACACGTTTTTGGGCTGGGAATGCGAGTCGTGGTTTTTTGAAGAGGGAACTGCTGCACCTTTATATGAAGAAGAGGGAGCATTGCTACCGCGGGGTGTGTGGAAAGCAGGAGAAGACGACGCCACCACATGCTTCGCATTCGGACCGTTCTTATTGAAGTTGTTTACTCTGTTGTTGCCGGAAAACTGTGGGAACGTAGACTTTGCGGAGGTAGAAGATCCTTTTCCAGCAGAAGAAAAGGAAGAAGATGAGTTTGGGGCACCCCACCTGTTCGTAGAGCGGTCGTCGACATTATTCATGTTGGGCGACGGACTAGGACTGGGGTGGGGTCGTTTGTGGAATTTGTGGTCTTTGCTGTTCTTGAAAATTTCATTTATCTTATCCTGTCCTAATTTCGACTCCGCGACCTTGTCTTGATTCGCGGGGGGCGGAAGGGGCATTTCAGACGGAGCTGCTTTACTACTGGAGGTAGAAGATGACGCTGGGGCAGAAGAAGCAGCAGGCGGCATCTCTTCGTCGGCAAGTTCGGCGGAGTTGTTACTCCCCACAGTTGCTGCTAGGTAACCTCCGTTGATTCTTGTTTCCTGAGCAAAAAGAAAAACCTATTTATTCAAAATTCTTATATATCGTGTTTGATGGCGATAACTTTGCTCAGCAGTGGACACCTCCGAAATGGGGCATGTGCAACTTTATCAACGCTGTATTTCATTTCCATTTAGCTTTCCCCTGGTCTTCTTGGAATAGGAATAGGTGGAATTGTCGATTTCTACACCGCGGCTCAGTTGTCGCAGCGGGTATTCTCAGTCCGCACATCGTGTGACGAAAACTTCTGCACCCACTTCGTTGCAGTGTCGATATCGATTTGATTCAGCAACTCCTTTCCGTCTCGAAAGAAGCGCATCCTGCGCAAGTGCAGGGTTGCTGTCGATGCAGTGTGTTCGAGAGCATCGTTGAACGCAGTTGGGTACTCGCGACACAATGTGCCGTAGGATCTCTTAAAGACTTCTTCGTCGAAGCCCGGCGTTCCCGTATCTAGATGACGCTGCTGCAGGCGCTCTTCGTTAGTTTTCGCCTCCGCGAGACACACCCACACTTCAACCGCGTAGCCGTGTTTCGTCGCATCCTTCGCAAGCGCTCTAGCTTTTGCAACGTCGACGGTAATGGGTACGATCAACGAGTGCTGGTTGGAAAAAGCATAATCTACACTTCGCTGTTTCCACGTGTCGCGAGCCGCCCGAGCGTGCTGGTCGTCTGCTAGAAGAGAAATAGTGATCTGCGTAAATCCCCATTCCTTGGCAAACTCTTGGCAAAAAAGCTCTCCATCGACAACAACCGCCTGCGACATCATGCCCCGGCCACCGCCTCCAGACATATCTCCTGCCAAATCGCATCTGGCACTCTGATCAGACGACAGTGTGCGCCAGAGTGTAGTTTTCCCCGCTCCTGGCGGTCCGCGGATCAGCACGAGGCTCGGATTCGTCTCCCCACTCAGCTCGGGCGGACTCACAAGATGTGGCTCAAACGGAAACCCCGACGCACATGCACGCAACGTCATTTTCGCCAAGAAGCGGTCCGCGTGCGGTGTCGGTAACGCGAACGCCGTATCTCGAAATGTCGCACAGGCTTTGCTCTGGTCGGTGCAATCTTCCGAGTTGTCCACCACAATCAAATTGTCAATTCTGGCTGCGATCTTCATCTTTCCAGCAACCGCTTCCAGTGATGCCTTGTAGATATCGCGATGTTGAGCGTAGGTACACGGGGCTGTGTCTCCCGCCCTGTCGCGCTTGACGGCGCGCGAGGCGCACGCTCCGCACGCCGCTACGACGACGTGCATTGCAACCTGATACTTCAAGGGATGGCTGTGCGTGCGGGACAAAGCCTCCTCCTCCTCTTCAACTATCTGCAACCACTCAGCGGACTTGTCGTCCAAGGCCTTCGATCGCGTCATGACGACGTCGAAACCGTACCTCACGCACCACCGTAAAATCTGCAGCTTGAACTGGAAACTTTTGAATTTCGGACGCATCAGATCTTCGCTCCTCATGTTACAGCCATCAATGAAAAACAGGTTGCCTGCTCCGAGGCCTCCGTTACAGATTGCTTGCTTGACGTACGTAGTCTTGCCGACACCTTTCGCGCCCACGACTAGGTGGAGTTGAGGAGGGCGCTTCCGCCGTCTAGCGTCCAACGTCCAATCGGCAGCGAACTTCTCGCCGCAGAAGCAGCGCCGCAACACAAACATCACCTCCTCCGTCGTCCAATCCGCACTGTCGAAAACTCCAGCAAGTCCGTGATACATTCTCAGCGCCTCCATCTCGCACTCGGTCCTACACATCGCTGTACTGAAAATGCGTTGCGGTGAGCGCTCCAACTTTTCATCTGGGGACATCAAGATCATAATTTCTGGGTTGTCAGACTGCAGTAGTCCGGGCCGGTTTGTGCTTGTAGCCGGTACCGTTTTCTTATTTTTCGGAAGAGGAGAAGATTGAAGAAGCATAGTGCCCGATACCTCTGTGGAAGAGGCTGTAGTTGAACTGCACTTCGAGAAGGTTTCAAAGTCCTCACTTTCGTCGTAATACTCGTGGGGAAACTGCGCCAGCTCCTTAATATCCCCCCGAGCAGCAAGAGCTTCAACAATCGCGCACAGTGCCGCAGACCGCTGCATACAACTGATACTCGGGACGTACACGGCGTCCGGCGCCCTTCCGGCGTAAACCTGCAGGTGCAGATGCAAGTACTGCCCTCGGGTCTGGTCGCCAAAATTGGGATTTCGCACCCTGGTTGTCGAATGAAAGACCATCTCGGCCGCAGCCACGTCTGCCTCGTTCATCCGGAACTCCTCCCGTAAAAAATCGTGGACGTCAGTTTGCAACTGGCGCAGCTCGTCCACGTGCTCGACACCACAGTCACGCCATGTGTGCAGATACTTAACTGGTGCAAGCAATTGCAACTGGTTCAGCGGGATCGCCATCGTGGCATCAAAATTAAGAAGTTCTTCTGGTACGAAAGCTTCGCTCTCGTTCACTGAATTGTGGTTTCGTATTCGTGCGACTGCACGGCATAGCTCGTAGAGGAGACCTTTCTTGTCAAGCTGTTCCACCAACTCCGAATTTAGTACAGCTTCAGGTTGTCGATCGAAGTAAGGGCTGAGCTCTTGGAGCACTGGATGCACCCACCAGACGCAGAGCCGAAACCCACTTTTGGACTCCTGAACCATGTCCCACGGCCGGCACGCGTATGCGTCGTAGTTGAAATAAAACGGGTTCGGGGCAATGAAGAAGTTTCCTCTGGTTCGCTTCAAGGACGGGTTTCGTTGGTAAGCACGCGACTCGTCCGTCACCGCCAAACCCAGCATGCCGAGAAACCATTTCGGAATGTAGGCGACGTCAAGCAAATCCTTCGCACTGTAAACGTCAGCGCGCTCAATGTATTTGTGAAATCCAAATAATAGCTCCTTCGTCCTTTCTTTCACATCATTCTCGTAAAATGGTGGCTGCAGCGCTCCGACAGCACTCCGTTGGGCGATCCTCGAAAGATGGAAATGGTCCGCATCTGCCGCGGTCGAGCTGCTATCACTTGCGGAGTCGCGGAAAAAGGCTGGTAGGTCCTCAGGGGACGTCGCGGCAGAAAGTAACGACATCTTCGCTATGATCGCAGAATTTAGAGCGTGGTAGTAAATGGAGAAAGTACGCACCTAGAGAAAAAAGCTCGATGCACCAGAAAAACAGAAGATACTAGTCACACTCACAGTCGCTGCTAGAACAAATACTTTGTTTTTTAAACGAAAAAGCGCTGCCCCCCTCGGAAAATTGAAAACTTTAATCCTGAAAAATGAGGCGTAGCATTTCTCTTTCAGGTTTGAATTTCTCATCGTTGGCGAGAGCGGCTTGCTAAGCGTACCTCGTTCTCATGGCGGATCTTTCAGATAAACAGACTCAATCTCAAACATTGCTTTGAGAAAAAAGCGAACGACGATGTGATGCAAGTTGTACGCCCTCACAACTCAACCCAACTCAGACTCCCCGCGAAGATGAACGACGAGTCAGAGGTCTTACTTCAAGAGCAACCGCTGGTGACTCAGCACGCGAGCTTTGCTTTTGCCTGGCGCTGATACAGCAGAACACGATCTCGAGGAATGCACTGTGCAAAAGTGCCGCCTCCGCACGCGTTCCACGCGGATATCCTGGCAGGTGCTTTACGGCCTTGCTGTATTTTTGGACGGAGAAGCTTTTCATTTCACGTTTTGTCTTTCTGCTGAGGTCTCATCATCAAGTATTGTTTCTTTACAACAGTTCTTGGCCACGCGAATAGTCACTATACTAGGTGTACATGCACAGGCCTCGAAATGAGTTGGACAGCAAACATAGAAAAGTAGAACGTACTAGTCACAAGCATCCGAGGGGACCGCTCCTCGTGCGGACAAGCGCCCCCAAGGCGACCGGTGATCAGGAAAATTCTACTGTAATTCAGTAAATAGATAGCTTCATCATTAATTTCAAAGTCGGTACTCCACTAGGCCAACGTCTCTCGAGAGGCATCGTAAGCGAGTTCGGAAACGGGCAAACAGCTTTATTACTAGGTAATGTGCGTAGAGGAGAGACGAAAGCCGTGAGACATCAGTTTCATTCAATAAAACAAAAGAGTGCGTGAGTCGAAATTTAAATCGTGGCTGTCACCTCTTTACAAAGCAGCTGCAAGCGGGTTCGGAAACGCGCAAACAGCTTCACTACTAGGTAGTGTGCTAAGGGAAACGACAGTACACGCAAGACATCAGTTTCATACGGAGCTACTACGTAGGGCGTATGCGAAAGAGGAGAGATTTGTGACACATTTCAATTTCTCATCATTAGGTGCATTTAGGTGCTGCGCGCAGGTTGCATCTCGAATAATCATCCGAAACGAAGCTGGTTTTTTGCAAATTTTTGCGGTTTGCATTTTGATGCTGAGTGTTACGTTAGTGATGTAGTCTAGTAGTTTTCACTAGCTCCAACCGTGAATGCATTTTTAGCAGTGCTTCAAACCATCACGAATCAATCGCATCGTGCGGGCCAACCACCATGTACTTCCCCTTGTGACACCACAACTACCAGCAACGAATACGACAATGTTACACGAACAGTCTTTTCGCGTGTAATCGTGTATTTACTTCTTCTTGGCTTCGAAGACCTTGGCCTCGACGGAGACCACCTTTCCCAACATGACGACACCGTTTCCGTCCATGAAAGCGACACGGGACAGACCCTCGCAGTTCTTGAAGGAATCGGCAACCAACGGCTGCTGCGGCTCGAAGGTGACCTGCGCCATCTCGTTGGACTTCAAGGAGTGGGGATCTTCCATCTTCTTACCACCAGTCTCCTTACCCATCTTCCACTTCAAAGCGGAGATACGGCAAGCCGCACGCCCGCAGCGGACGAAGCCGATCGGAGAGTACCCGACCTTGATCTCGTTCGGGATGTCCAAAACCTGTATTCGGTCGAGGAAGCATCATCATCATCATCTTGCTAGCATAAAACAAAAACGCACTGCAAAACATTAAAGATCAAAATCAATTGCTTGCAAAATCAGTAATCAACGTCAACACACACTACGCAGGGTCTGTACTTGAATCTGAGCATCGAAGGCCTTGACGGCGGACAGCGTGGTGTCCTTCTTGTAGATCATGACATCACCACCACGGGGCATGTTCTGCTTGTCCAAGTTCTTCACGTTCATACCGACGTTGTCACCCGGCTTGGCTTCCGGAACAGCCTTGTGGTGCATCTCGATCTGGAACACCTTACCAGCGCAGGCGTTAGCGGCGGTGTGGGTCGGCAAGAAGATGACTTCCTCGTTCGGCTTGACAATACCCTGCTCAACACGTCCGGCGAGCACATCACCGACACCCTTGATCTTGTAGATACCTGCGTGTTTGTTCAGTGAGAATTCAAAAGCCTAGATCGCTGCAATCCAAAAAACCCTACCAATTACCATATTTCGTGCGAAGAGGCTAGAGGGAAGGCCAAAACATTTTCGTACCAGAGATCGGCAGGCGCATCGGGGCATCGATGGGGCGCTCCGGAACGCGGCACATGTTGTTCAAGCAGTCGTACAAGGTATCGACGTGGATGGTCTCAGAGCCGACCTTGACATCGGCACCCTTCCACCAGGCCATGTTGGTGGTCTTCTTGACCAAGTTGTCACCACACCAGCCGGAGATCGGCATGAACGGCACGCCGCTCTCGACGAAGTCCTTCTTCCAGCCGACCTTTCCCAACATGTTGCGCATCTCGTTGGCGATCTCGTCATAACGAGTCTGCTTGTAGCCGGCGGTATCGCAGTCCATCTTGTTGATCCCGATAATGATCTGCTTGACACCCAGCAAGTTGATCAAACGGGAGTGCTGGCGGGTCTGTCCCTGGATCTCACCAGCCTTGTGGTTGCCGCGCTGGATGGCGGTGGTGAAGTTACCTGAGTGTCAAGTTAGTTGCTGATTTCTCACTCTCGCAGGACGGATGCACACTTTCATGTTTCGCGAAATGAAACCGCTCTTCAAGAAAATCGTCAGAAAGAAAAAAAAAGTACGCAATACCATCGGCCGGGACCATAATCATGGCGACATCAGCCTGGGAAGCACCGGTAATCATGTTCTTGATGAAATCGCGGTGACCCGGGGCGTCAATGATGGTGTAGTGCCATTTCTCCGTGAAGAACTCCTTGGTGGTAACGGAAATGGTCACACCGCGCTCACGCTCCTCCTTCTGACGATCCATGTAGAAGGCGAAAGCGAAGGAGGACTTTCCCAAGCGGTCAGCCTCGGCCTTCAGCTTTTCCAACTCACGCTCCGGAATACCACCTGCAATTTTTTGGAAAGAATGAATTCGGTTCTTCCTGAAAATTGCGCCTCATTGAGGAAAACATCGCTATGACATGACACGCACATGCGAGAGATACTACCTCCGCCCAAACGTCATCAAGAAAAAACGAATGCTTACCCAACTCGAAGAGCAGGTGGCCGGTGGTCGTGGACTTTCCGGAGTCGACGTGACCGCAGATCACGATGGACAAATGCTCCTTGCCTTCGGTCATTTTGTTTTTTGTGTGGGTCTTAAGAGACAAAGGAAAAAATTGATGAATGCAACACAGAATCTGCGAGTCAACAAGGACTACTGACGAGTTTCGCTGTCGAGATGAGTGAATAACAATAATTCGAATATCCACAGGAAATTCTACTTAAGGTTTGGTGCAGAAAAGAAAATGGCGTGATCCGTCGTGTGAAGGAGCGACTGTATACTACACACCGGATCCATATGTCGCAAAGATCTTCACTCTTTTTGCTTCAGGATCTTATCGTGAGAGATCGCCATTCGAAATTTCAAATAGATTTTCACGATTGTACGATCCTGTTACTAGTAAGATCAACCACTTCCGATCGAGGCCTGACATTGAATTTTGTCTTTGAGAGACAGTCCCGAGCATCTGCTTCAGACCTATGCGAACTACGACACTGGAACTGCAGTTGCACTCGCAAAAACGCATGTAGAACAGGCAGCAAAAGTGAAGCACTGGATCTTGGCGACTCGCCGTCTCGCGTGCAATGGACCACCAGATTTTCGCTAAACAAAAACTCTTCTTCCACACACTAGTACTCGAGAGCTATTTCAACATGCCGAAAGCGGGTAAAGACCCAAAGGTCAACATCACAATCCAGCTTAGAATGTAGGACGACTCAAGTTGGCCAGCCCCACGCCGACGCAAGATAGGACGACAGAATCGTCCTCTTGCTGTCGCATTTTGAACTCAACGTTGAAGAAATCCTTCATGTGCCGCAGGTACTCGATCGTCGTCGGCGTCAACTTTCCTACCCGTACTCGGCTCGCCTCGTCCTCCTCTGCGAGGGCGACGTAGTGCAATAGCAGCACTTGATGCGTCGTGTCCACGCATCCACCCAGAGCCAATTCGGAGAGCAGGCGACACGCGCCTGCCTTCCCCAGAGCGAAAGGCACATCCTGCAACTGCTCCTTCGTCAGCGCAGCAGTTCGCTCTTTTGTCTTGTCAGCGTTCTTGCGCTCCGAGTTGTCATCGCCATGCTCGTCGTTTTCGCTGCTGTCACTCATTTCTGCATCCGAGTCGGCAGCTGTTGCGGCTTCCTCAAACATGGCCTTCTCGGTTGCTGAGAGATCGCCGTTGCTGAAGACGTCGATGCTCTTGTAGGTCCCATCCACAGACTCCGCCACGAGGGAGAGGCCAAACCTGATTTTACTTTTTTCTAATAACGAGCGTTATAACGCACCTGACTAGCAAAACTCAACAATTCAAAATCCATCCTGCATCAATGGCGAGAGTACGAGGAGCAAGCCCTTCTTAAAGAAATTTAAAGAAATTCGTACCCTCTGCTTTTCACGCCCTCGTCGTCGGTTTTCTTTCCCTTTTCAGCTGGCTTGTCGTGGTCCGCAAAGATCCAGACGTCTGGTAGGAAGTCGTTTAGCAAGCCGCGCGCCGCGTCACACATTCGCGTGGCGTATTGTGGAGTCACACCGCTAGTGAAAGCCACTCCGCGCACTCGCTTGCACCGGAAGTCCTCAATAAGATTCAGGGGTCGGACGCGGGCCAGCGTCGGGCAGTGAAAGAGCACTTCGCCCTTGGTGGCTGGAACTGCGTCGTCTTCCGCGCTTGCGCGACCGCAACCGCGTCGCAAGACCTGGAAAGTCAGCTGCTCGGTCGCGAAGTTTGTTTGGTTTGTGTGCAGATACACGTTCTGCTGCGGCACCGTCCCGTTCAGCGCCGTGTTATTCGTCGTCTTCTCCGACATTTGTTCCCCAAACTCCGGCTGCACGTATCGCTGCGGCGCGAACATTTTCCTCAGCCAGGGCAAGGTGACACTGCGGAAACTATCAACCGAGAGGTCGGTGCCATCGTTGGTCACGCCAACCAGTTTCAACTTCGTCAGGTTGCGCGCGAACGGCAGGAGGAGCGCGAGTGCTTCCAACCAGTATCCGAGAGACCGACTCGCCGGGCATTCGTGCACGATCACCCGGTCCTTACATCCGACTAGCTGTCCAGGTTCGTATCGAAGCTGCGTCCCCGTGTTGTTGATTTGGATCTTCGCTCCATCGGTGATTTTGTCCAGCAGCCGAATGAAGTTGCTTTCGTAGTCCCGCAGCCCAGGTCGCCGGTCCTCCGTGCGAATCTGCTTGATCAGGATCGGCCGGCCTGACAGCGTCGACAGCACCAGGCGCTGCCGAAAGTGGTTGGCTCCCTCGTAGTGCAAAAACCTGTTACTCGGCTGTGATGGCCCAGAGCTGCTGCTGCTTGCCGTAGGGGCAGTCATTTTTGTGTATTCACAGCTACTACTTGGAAAAGTTTTTGGAACGCCAACGGACAGCGGTGCAAACACAAACTGAATCAAATTACGTAAGGCTGGGGTACTGCTTACTTAGGCACAAAATCCTGTCGATCGGTGTGGAGGAACGGAGGCAACATGTCACGATTAACAACACACGCAGTAGCAATTTAAAGAGCTTTCTATTTCCACATACTTTGGCTTAATTTCGATATGCACCACGAACGACCGAACTTCTGATCGTCGACTTCGTTTTGCCTTTTTTTTTTCTGATCCAGAGCGCTGATCCTCTATTCACTTGTGCGATCGAGAATTGCGAATTTATGCCTGATCCTGCTGATCATTTGCAAATACCATTACACGATCATCACGATTTGGAAATTTAAATGGACGTGCACGATGGATTTACGTGGCCGACATCAGGAGACCGACCCAATGCGAATGGAGACGAATGTGTAGACGCGCGTCATGACACCAAAATCGACGGAGATAAGAACCTGAACTCCGAAGGCGACCACTGGTGGGGGGGATAGACGGTCTTGGCCTCATAAAGGGGCAGGCTTATAGTTTTTTCCTTTCCAGTCGATGTCAATAATCGCAGCGATCGTTGAGGACACAAAAAGGCGTTGTTTCAGGAGAGCGCGAGGCTTCTCTTACGTCACCAGTAGTGGGGCAGGTATGTCAGCACACTTGACGCAGTTGCCAATCAGTGATTTGATTTTCAACAACACAGCGAATGCAACCGCGCACAGCTACGTGATGGAAATTTGCAAAGTATCGTTTGATGTGGGGCGTCGCATCACCAACGTGTGGTCGGTCCTGCTTACTTCTTCTTGGCCTCGAAGACCTTAGCCTCAACGGACACGACCTTTCCCAACATGACCACACCGTTTCCGTCCATGAAAGCGACACGGGACAGACCCTCGCAGTTCTTGAAGGAATCGGCAACCAACGGTTGCTGCGGCTCGAAGGTGACCTGCGCCATCTCGTTGGACTTCAAGGAGTGGGGCTCTTCCATCTTCTTACCACCAGTCTCCTTACCCATCTTCCACTTCAAAGCGGAGATACGGCAAGCGGCACGCCCGCAGCGGACGAAACCGATCGGAGAGTATCCGACCTTGATCTCGTTCGGGATGTCCAACACCTGTATTCAGTCGAGGAGGCATAAAACAAAAACGGACTACAAAAAAATGGAAGATCAAAATCAATCACTTACGAAAATCATAAATCAGCTTTAGCACACAGCACACACTACGCAGAGTCTGTACCTGAATCTGGGCATCGAAGGCCTTGACGGCAGACAAAGTGGTGTCCTTCTTGTAGATCATGACATCACCACCACGGGGCATGTTCTGCTTGTCCAAGTTCTTCACGTTCATACCGACGTTGTCACCCGGCTTGGCCTCCGGCACAGCCTTGTGGTGCATCTCGATCTGGAAGACCTTTCCAGCGCACGCGTTGGCGGCGGTGTGGGTCGGCAGAAAGATGACTTCCTCGTTCGGCTTGACGATACCCTGTTCGACACGGCCAGCGAGCACATCACCGACACCCTTAATCTTGTAGATTCCGGAGATCGGCAGGCGCATCGGGGCATCGATGGGGCGCTCCGGAACGCGGCACATGTTGTTCAAGCAGTCGTACAAGGTATCGACGTGGATGGTCTCAGAGCCGACCTTGACATCGGCACCCTTCCACCAGGCCATGTTGGTGGTCTTCTTGACCAAGTTGTCACCGCACCAGCCGGAGATCGGCATGAACGGCACGCCGCTCTCGACGAAGTCCTTCTTCCAGCCGACCTTTCCCAACATGTTGCGCATCTCGTTGGCGATCTCGTCATAACGAGTCTGCTTGTAGCCGGCGGTGTCGCAATCCATCTTGTTGATACCGATGATGATCTGCTTGACGCCCAACAAGTTGATCAAACGGGAGTGCTGACGGGTCTGGCCCTGGATCTCACCAGCCTTGTGGTTACCACGCTGGATGGCGGTGGTGAAGTTACCTGTTCGAGAATTCACTTCCGAAGATCAGGAACCTCTCGTCGCTCGGAAAATCTTACGCGCTCATGGAAACGCTGACCAACTCGGATCCATAGTATCATGCACAACCGCAATCTAAAAAACTCAGCTCCCCTTGCCAAAAACCCAAAAATACTCAAGTACCATCGGCCGGAACCATGATCATGGCGACGTCAGCCTGGGAGGCTCCAGTGATCATGTTCTTAATGAAATCGCGGTGACCCGGGGCATCGATGATGGTGTAGTGCCACTTCTCCGTGAAGAACTCCTTGGTGGTGACCGAGATGGTCACACCACGCTCACGCTCCTCCTTCTGACGATCCATGTAGAACGCAAAAGCGAAGGAAGACTTTCCCAGGCGATCAGCCTCGGCCTTCAGCTTCTCCAACTCACGCTCCGGAATACCACCTGCGATTTTTTGGAATCAATGCGTCTTTTTGTTCTTTCATCGGACCTTCATGAAATCGAGCACCTAACTTTGACAGGCACATTTGTACAAAAACCTAACTTCGCCCAAATTCTTGCAACCACAATAAAAATAGTGCTTACCCAATTCGAAGAGCAGGTGGCCGGTCGTGGTGGACTTACCAGAGTCGACGTGACCGCAGATCACGATCGACAAATGCTCCTTTCCTTCGGTCATCTTGTGCGATGTGGGGTTGTGGTGTAATACGTAGGGGTCTTTAGATGTAGTGTTCGAGCTAGTCGGAGACTAAACACGAGATCGCAGCAGACTGGTAGCAAAGTTTCAGAAAAACAAACAAAATTTTTCTTTTATAAAGCTACGTCAGAAACAATGATCTTCGAAACGTGGAACTCTACAGAACGTCTCAGTTGAAAGAACGAGGGAGCGTCCTCCTTGAAACAAAATTTGGATTTGCCGTCTTGACATATTTTCGGAACAAGAGATTGACTTTCTTAAAATCACCGGGTGGATCTTCGTCGGCATCGATCTCTTTGTAGCTAGGTACTGACATTCCAATTGTGCTTGTCCGTAAGTGCTTCTAGTTAAGATCGTCTGTCAATGGTGGGCGAGATGGCGATGGGATCCAAGAAGTTAGTTAGCGAAATGCAAATGGGATTCAAAAACAATCATTATGATCGCTATCGCAAGACCAAGAGCTAGTTCTGGAAACAACTTCTTAAACTATCTTGAGCTTCATGATTTTGAAGAACAACATCGTCTGGAGTGCGTCGCTTTCCTAAGGCGCACATTTCATCTTGGTAGCTGGAGTTATGCGGATACCGCTGGAATACTTTGTTCGACAAAAAGAAGAGTCAGGGTGTTTCTCATAATTTTTTCGGTTGAAACCGATTCTTCATCTGGTCTGACTTGAGCATCTATTCCTTCAGGGTTTACTTTTACTTGTCCTTCCGTGGAACTACCAAGACGAAGCACCAAGTCGCGCTTGTACGTCTCGTAAGATGCCTGTGGGCGCGTCACAAATCCGTCGATACGCGGTGGAAACACCATTTGGCTACGCGATTGAGTTACTACCTGCGAACCGGGGCCGCGCCGCAACGCGATTGCGACATGAACCTGAGAGCCATTCGGCATTGGAAATGCTGAAAGTCGCGGCTCCGGCACGATTTTACGCGCAACCTGTCTGAGTAAACGATCGACGTTCTTGCTCTGCTTGTCTTCAACTCGCGTTCCTGTGATTTCGTCTTGATCAAGCGTAGGTTGAGGCTCGCCGCTGTTGTCGAGTGGTTCCAACTGCACCTCGAACACCTCCCCGGGGAATAGCGGAGCGCTCCCTCCAATTAGGAAGAGAACTGAGTGGACCACGAACCGATGCTCATGCTGCAATGCCGACACCATCTCCTGCAGTTTTGCTGCTACAAAGTCAATTTTTCCGAGTGCTTCGACGCTTCTGTTCAGGGTGTGTGCCGGCAAGGACCCGGAGAGATCACAGACGCGCCTCTTCTCGAAGTTTGAGGAAGAAACAGTAACAGACCCCATTCTGCTGTCGTCGCCTTCACTTCGCTGCAGGTGCGCCGCTCCGCTTATCCTATCATCTTCCTCAAGAACTGCGAGTGCCTTCCGCTTGCTACCCACGCAGCTAATTGAATTCATCCGACCGGGCGGGGCCTGTTCCACGTCGACTCCAGTGCCTGGCATAACGGAATTGGTGAGGTGAGATTCAGCCATTGGCGGGGACGCAGGTGCCAGAGATTCTTGGTCCACTTCCATCGCCACTGGCTCTGCGGTAGACAAGCTGCAGTCAGTTTCCGCTACTGCCTCAAGATGCATCCGCAGCTGCTGCACCGGAACCGGAATTTGCTGTCGGAGAAAAAGCACTTGCTCCAGGACAATCCGCACGATTTCCACTCGCACACACGGAGACGCAGATCCCGGAAGATCGAGAACTGAACCTGTCATCTTGTTGTGGTCCATTGCTGACATGCAGCTTTACTCTGACTCTGTTCTTTCCCTACCGGGCCGCTAGAAGTAGTATCAAACAAGTGCGGACGTCTTCAAATTTGGCAGCCTCGGCGTTATGATCTCCACTTAGACTTACCATGTCTGTCACGTCATAAAACATCGATGTCCGCCCTTCCACCAGCCCTCTCACGACCGGGACCGAGCATCTCCACACAACTACTTCAGTGCTTTCTCAGCCACTCGCTCTTACAAAAACAGATTTAGTGATGCCGCTATGATGCGATTTTGTAGCTCGATCTCTGCTTCCGCTGCATAATAACCAACGACTCCCATCCAGGATGACCGCCGTAAGAATCGAGACGAATGAATCTTCACTACGGCCTCTTCAGAGCCCTACCGTCGAGGGTCCAGATGCTCTTGAGGTCTGACACTCCCCGTCACCAGTCGCGTTAAAACTGCCAACAGAAAGGGAGCGCTTTTGCGAAACACGTAACTGCCGTGGACTGGCACAATGTACGGAATACGCACTCTGGTTCAACTCCTCACTATTCACCTCCTCTTCTGCAGACAGAACAGCCCGCCACTTCACGCAAGCTCTTGCGACGTCAACGGGCGCGCAATTGTACTTAAAAGGAACAAATGTGCGATGACCACAAGAATTGGCTCGCGAGAGCCATTTTGACCTGGCGCTTCCAGCAGTCGGAAAAACGTCAAAGCGCCACGAAAAAGCGCTGCTGCTAGGCGCAGGCGAGCGCGCAATGTGCTACTCCTACTCGTCTGCTTTGAGAGGCGAGAGCACAATGCGCTGCTCCAGCTTCGCTCTGAGAGGCGCGAAGGCTGGCGCGGCTGCGTGGCCGGACCGCCAGGGGAGGCCGCGGCACCGGGGGGATTCGAAATCACTCAGGGGCGCAACAGCGAGGCTGCGCGGCAGGCGGGCGCCGCAAATATCTAGCAGGCGCGCGCGGCCGGCATGGCCAGGCGGTCGCCTCGCGGCTTGCATCAGTCCGGCCTACCGCCGCCGCGGCCGCCTCACTCATTGCTCGCCACTCGCCCCGCCACCGTTCTGGAGTTCGCTACTCCAGTGCTGCTCCCTTTGCGTTCCGGAACACAAGCACGCTAACAGCGGCGCCTTGACGGCCTCCGGGCCGGCCTTTACGGCGAGCCGCCCTACTACGTGCTGACGCAGTGCGCTTGCCCTTGCTTCATAAGAAAAACGGCGCCGCGCCCGGTATACATAGGAAAATAGACGGCGCCCCGGGCGGGCCCCAGGGTTGGGAGCGCTGCGCGCTGGCGCCCGAGAGCCGTCGCGCCTTCCGGCCGCGCAGAGCTTCTGTGAGGCCCGCCTTGCCGTGCTCGCCCGGGTGTGCGAGGTTGGTCACTATTCACCGCGGCACTTTCGTCCCCGGCCTCCGCGGGGTGGGCCCCTTCTTTTTCCTCGTCGGCTTCCACCTCCTTCCTCCTCGCCTGCTTCCAACCCAAACCGCACAGCTCCGCACATCGTGCCCGTGGATTGCTGCCCGGGAGAGCGCCGTGTCGCCGCGGCACCACATCTAGCACGGGAACGAAGTAGCAGCCTGCTTGCGCACACACCATAGCGCCACTCACCGATGAGACATGCACATGGTTCGCTGGCTGCATAGCAAACGAAAGTAAGACCTGGGCCGCCAATCAGCTATCATGTACTAACTGCGTATAACTACAAGAAGCTGATCAGTGATTGAGTAGAACACTCGCTCAAAGTCAAAGAAAACAATGCCTCGATGCTGTAAGCTGCTTAACAAAAATCGCTCGTAGGTAAGTGCAATCCTATAATCCAACCATCAATTCATGGGCAACCCTTCGCTCTTCTGTCAGTTACCCCTCCATAAATTCGCGATACGGCACAGCGGAAGCTCGAACACATTGACCCTCGGTAGCACCAAGCTGACCAGGCAACTTTACCGGTACATCCCAAGCCAACATACCCGTCTGCCGCCAGTAGGAAGATTATCCTACTCGGCGTTGCATCGAAACTCAATCTGGTTCAACATTGTTGCTGCGTTGAAAATCATACAGTGAAAAATCCAAGATGATACTGATAACTTATTTCGATGCAAACAGTTTTCCACTGTTCGCGAGAATCGGACTGTGGTACAAACATCTTCAAGGAGAAAGATAGTACGCCTACCAATGTTTTCTGATTCTGTACAATAAGAGTAACATTGAAACGTCGCTACTTACTGCGAAACCAAGCCTTGCGTGAAGACGCGAGATGCTGGCTACTGCGAAACAAGAGCAGAAAGCAAAGACAGCTGTCGGTCCCGACATGCTCTTGTAAATGGAAGCACGCCTTGCAAAGATGAGTAAGTAGTCGAGATCCGTTCATCGGCATTCCGCGCTGGCGACTCACTCTCGTATTGCTGGGCGATCCAGATTGTCTTCCTCAGCTTCCTCTTCCTCTTCGTCGTCACTTGCTGGAGTGTTCCCCTCCTGCCAGTCCACATCGTCCTCCGTCATCATTTCTTTCAGTGTCCACAAGTGCTTGACTTGCTCCCAAAATTCGTCGTGGCCTTCCGCTTCGATGCTTGTGAGCATCGCATCGAAGTTCGGCTCACACGCCCTTTCGTGATTCACTGCTGCAACAAACATCGAGACGAGGGAGAACTCCCCCTGCAAAAGGTCGACGTCGTGATCAATTTCCACACGATGCACGAGGTTGCGTAGATGCATGCGCTCGCCTCGCTGGTGTCCCAGGTCTGGCGGCGATGATGCCCGAAGGCCACGTTTTCTATCATTCGAGCGCTAACAAATGTCATTTGGTCGGAGACTAAAACTAGGCCCCGAAGAGCGACGTAGGAATGACTCCGAAGAGTAATTAGAATCTTTACGAAGTGTGAGTTTTTCTTGCGACCTGGACATGCAGTGTTGCATCGAGTGAATGAGGAAACACATCGACAAAAAAAAAAAAAAAAAGAAAAAAACGAGAGAAAAAACAAAGTTAGCGGAGTGCTTTCTTACCGATGCATCGCAACAACAAAGCTTACTGACGCCGCCGGAACACTGGTAGTCTTGCAACCAATACCGGCCCGCTTCGTTGTTCTTTCTATCGACCCTTTACTTCGACCTCGTTACCCTTCGACTGCATATTTACCATATTGTCTTCGCTGTTAGATTAGAGAGGTTGCTGTAGGCAGTGCCAATCCCTCGTGCCTGCTGTCTAGCTTGGAAAGTTCCTCCTGCAGGAACGTCAGGTCCTCCGCGAGTGATGAAAGACCCGCACACAGGAACGATTTGATGGTGCGGACCATGCGCGAAGCATGCGTGAGGATTTCGTCGCGCGTCGTCGAATACACCATCGCCAGCGAAACCTCCTCATGAATCCCCTCACCGCCAACGGAAAAAACCCCATCAACCAAATGCGTTCGTAGGCGAAGGGATGTCGGCAGGTTCTCCAGACGCAGTGGGGCAGTCATGATTTCCCAGAATTCACTCGGCTCCAGCACATCGGTCCCGTTCTCTTCCAACGGACCGTGGTGTCCAGCGACGATAATTTCGAAAAGAACGCGGATGAGATCTGCAGAAGTGATTATTTTTTTTTACAGCAATATTTTTTCGGTAACTCTTGACCTTGTATACAGACCGTGTGATTGAAGGGTCTCATTCGCCTATTTACGCAGAGAGACATCTTCGCCTCAAGATAGACTACACTACTGATCTCTACCCGAATTGATATCCCCCGCGCCGTCGGTATTCGCGAGTTTGTGTTTCGTTTTCCGTCCGTCCACCTTCCAACCGGCAGTGAGGCCGAAGTGCTTCCCGTCAAGGAGCAACTCGTTCTTCATCCATTCCACCAGTTCGCGTCTAGTCATCTTAGTCGCCTGGAGTATCGTCCGGTGGAACTCATGCAGTGGCATAACGGGGTCGACGAGCGGCTTAATCGCACGAGGTGGGACAGGCTCGGGCTCTTCGCGGATCATGTGCTCGCCTGAGCGGAGGTTCGAGACTGCTTGCAGGGACTCGGGCGCATCATGAATATCTTCTTCCAAAACCACGAGGTCACGGAGTAGGTTGGTGGCGAACACTTGCCGCTGGTCTTGCGTAAAAAACACACCGCCAGTCTCCGCTTCAAGCTTGGCCCATTCAGAATCAGGCAGCTCCCACACGGCACGGACTAGGTTCCAGTAGTAGCTCCAGCGCTCCGAAGGCGTACCTTGCCCGACCCGGAAGCAATCCATCGACCATTCGCTGCCCTCAAGCTCACGCTCATGGCGATAGAGTGCCTGGCAGGGAAGACAGTTGGCTGCAATCTGTTCCGGGAGTGCAGTGAAGGTCGTATCGTACAATAAACTCCGGGCTTGCTCCAGCGACAATGTCTGCAGGAGATCTGGCGTTGGTGTTGGTGTAGTTCGGTTGATTGTTATTCAATGGGTTCGTTTCGAAGTATTTGCAGTCACGATATCCGGGGAACTAAAATGTTGGTCGAAAATCTTCTTTGCCGGTAGTCTAAAAGAAAAAACTTTCAGGTTCATGTGGGGTCGCGTACATCTACTCAAGGTACCGCTGCAAAGGTCAACTATCCACCAACGCTGCATAGGTTCTGGCCTTCCTAATTTTTCCCCGTCGCGCACCCGCTTCTCGATCTCGGACCTGGTTGCTGCGCATCCTATTTCCTCACTGATGACAAACTGAAAGGTGGAAAAATCGTCCGGAATTTGCGCCTCGGGGTCGAGGAAACCTTCCGGTAAATCGGGTTTCGTATCCGCACCAGTAGCGGCATCTACACTTGTCGCTCCCTCCGCTTCCTCGCTACCGCTTGCAGGCGTCGAGCCGACGTCTTCTACTGCAATCCACTTCACGCGATGCAGAGGGGGAAGCTTTTGTGTTGCGGTGAAGAAGTCACCGATGACCTCGGACCTGCTCAGGTGTTTGACTTGATTCACTTTAGAGGTGTCAACGAGTTTTGTGATGCTTTTTGCTGCCAGATTTTGAATGTTGATGCGGCGGAAACCGACAGCAGGAGCTGAAGAGCTTGAAAAGGCCGGCACCCCGTCGGAAGCTTCTTTTGCGACTTCTTCTTTCGCGACCGAACGATTCTCCGCGGAACCAAAGCTTTTGCAAGACGCCATTTTCTTTCCCTCGGTAGGTAGTGCGGGTAACAAGTAGGTAGCGTAGCGCTCGCCGCAGTGCTGTATTAGACTAGTGGTAGTGCTTGGCAAAAAAGAGAAGCGGCGGGCTATCGTTTTTGCGTGATGGAATCTCGTATCTCAAACAATTGATAGGTTGCTGTGCTCGAAATCGGACTTAATCTGAAGCTCGCATACTGTGGCTCGCGAGTTCCCCCCTAAAATATGCCGCAGATGACGATGAGTTCTGTTTGTGTTTTAACAGCGAAGGACAAAGAGCAAGAAGTTGGGTAGGTAGCGGGTCAGGATACTCCCCATCGCTGCGCTTCATGTGAGCGCCACACTATCACTGCGTCCTCTCCGAAAGGAAAATCAAACAACGAGAAACTCCCCCCCTGCTTTTTGTCACGATGAAAACGAGTTCTGCGAACCCGATGTCACACATTTTTCATGATCATCCTATACGAAAACGAATCACATAAGTGAGCAACGACACCTCGCAGCACGAACTCGGAACAGCAGCGCATCAGATCTAAATTTTGGGATCAAGCTATGTACTATCATCTTAACCAACCTGGTGACGTAAGCAGAAGTCTCAACAGTCTCACTCTAAATCACGACTGGCGCTGCAAGTCTGCGCTCGCGCCCCGACCGACCTGCCGCAGATTCCGAAACTGCGCAGGCCCCCACGGCACTGCGTAGATCTGTGGCGCCGTGGCAGAATGCTTCCAGCGCGGCAGCGCGCCGCACGTTCCGCATTTTCGGCGCGGCGTCGCGCGACTGACTGCGGCGGCGCGCCGAACTCTTAGTGCCGGACAGGCCACACACAGGGGCCACAGAGGGGCAGGCTCTTCGAAGTATGGGCGCGCGAGCTGCACGGTCTGCGTGAATGTACCGGCGCCATACGTCTAGGCATTCTCTCCGCCATTTCGGCAGTCTCGACGGCGAGGCCCCTTAGCGCACGACGCGCCGCGTCATCGGAAAGCGCTACCCCCGACAGCCGCCCCATAATCATCGCGCGACGAGGGAGACCGGAAAGCCGCGCCCACCATTTTATTGAATTTCAAACCTGGCGGCCAAACAAAACTACGTGGCGATAAACGCATCTTGTCGCAAACTGCAAGTGCTTTGGTAATCAGTACTGGCATTGCTACTTCTCACTTCGGGCATACGCAATCGCTCAAAGCTCGAGCTCCTCCTAAACTCCAACTCATTGCAAAACCGTAGGCGATTCTATGTATGAGACTGGTTTCGCTCTTTCTCACGCGGTAGTTTTTCCTCAACTTTGCTGCTGAATACGAAAAGGGCTACCACGCTGGCACCTTATACACACCTCTCGGGCGAAAAAGGCATCTCGCCACGAATGAACCGTGCTCAGAGTGACTCCGTAGGCGTAAGCCACAGCTCATCGCTCGTCTGAAACTTCACCTCTCTGCTGAGTGAACACATCACCTCTCTGCTGAAAGCTTCAGTTTGAGTGAACAATGAAGCGATCGCGGGCGATCGTCACAAATGAAGAACTCCCCAACTGTCGATACTACGCATCGGCAACAGCGCCTTCGTTTTTTCAAAAACTCTTAGCGAACCGTGAGTCGCTCAGCGGGTGGCGCACGGGGTGTTGGACACAAGTCGATACATTATCATCAAGAGGTTCTGTTACTGTTATGGGCTGTGCTACACAAGAGATGATCGGTATGATTGAGGACTTCGGTCAGGTTGTAGCGGCATGCTGCAGCACGCATTCGCCTGCGTTCTCTATCGCGTAAGCATGTTCATCGACATATTTGCGTCTGCGTCCTTCTTCATGACCTTCGATACTGCCATCTGCAAATCGTCCTGGGTAACGTGCACCCGTCTCTCGCGCAGGGCGAACATCCCGGCCTCGGTGCAGACTGCTTTTCCCTCAGCGCCATTCGTCCCGTTCATTTGCCTTGCTATTTTTCGCAAGTCGATACCCCGCATCAGGTTCATTTTTCGCGAATGGATCTTCAAAATGTCCAATCGGGCTTCCTCGTTCGGGTGCGGAAATTCGACCTGATATAGTGAAGAAGCATTTCAAAATCGCTGTGGTGCGGGGAAATGTGGGCGTTTGATGTTTACTCAACTAAAGTGGCACATCAGCCGCACAAGCTTCAGTCTTAAAACATGAAAATGCATGATGCAAAGAATCGTACTTTTCTGTCGATTCGGCCGGGCCGGAGCAGAGCCTCGTCCAGGATGTCGATTCTGTTGGTCGCCATGACTACCTTAATGTTTGATTTTCCCTCAAACCCATCCAGTTGGTTCAGCAGCTCCAACATGGTTCGCTGCACCTCGGAGTCGCCGCCGCTGTCCTCACTTCGCTGACTGCCGATACTGTCGATTTCGTCCATAAAAATGATCGCTGGTGCGTTCTCTCGTGCCATCACGAACAGTTCGCGCACCATTCGACTCCCCTCTCCGATGTACCTGGTAAGTCGATTTCGAAAAAAATTTCAAGCGCAATTCAGATTATACGGGCACGGATGTATCGTGTCTCCCCTTATTAACCACACAATCGTATCAACCTCTACAGTGCAAAGCCCTAATTCCGATATATACTTTTGCACGAGCTCGGACCCCGATACTCGGATGAAGCAGCAGGACGTGTGGTGCGCCACGGCGCGCGCGAGCAGCGTTTTTCCGGTCCCCGGCGGGCCGTACAGCAGCACACCCTTGGGCTGCGGGATCCCCAGCGACTCGAAGAGTTCCGGGTGCTTGATAGGAAGCTCGATGACCTCCTTGATTTCCTTCACCTGCTTGTCGAGCCCGCCCACCATCTCGTAGGTGCTGTCAGGCACCTTTTCGACCTTCATCAGACTGACCAGCGGGTCCACCTTGGAGGGCAGGATGCGGTGCAACACGTAGGTGTCGGACTTGAGGCACACGCGGATGTTGGGCTTCAATTTTGTGATATCCACGTTCTTCTCGTCCACATCCACCACGTATTTTCCCTCCTGTCCCACCTTGACCAGCACCTTCTTCTTCCCCATCGTTCGCGCCACCTCGCCGACCTGCGACCCGGACTCCAGGAGTAGAGACAGTTCCTCCTTGAGCAGTCGCACCTTCGCGTTCAGCTCGTTCCGCTGCGCCTCGAGTCGCTTGGTCGTCGCTTCCTTTTCGCGGACCTCCGCCTCGAGCTCCGCGGTCTTCGTCACGTAATAAGCCTCCAGACCGGAGAGGTCCGACATGCCGCGGGGGGACATCATCTTGACAAGAGGTGTGTGTGTGGGGGATTTGGAAGTGAAAATCTTGATGTCGCTGATGATGTTATGGTGTAACTACTACAAGGGTCATGTAGCGACTACTACGTCTACGTCTGAATAAAGATTCCTCACTCAAACACAGGTTTTCACAGTCTGGTAAAATGTCGCTAGTACCGCCAATGTAATCTTGTTGTTGAAAAAAGCCGTCGAAGCCTCCGCATGGACGGAGGCATTGCCGTAAACGGAAAACGAAAAGTAGAAGATCTATACAAATTCGGTCGCTGTCGATAAAACTGTCCGAGTGTTTGTTGCTGTTGATGAGAGAACCTTGAGTGAAGATGCTCGGAGGCTGAATCATACTTTCAGGAACAGTTGTGAACTTCGACTTGCGTTTATTGCGCTTCTAGCACGGCTTATTATTTTTCCTGTGCAGCAAATGGATCCTCTAATCCTAGTACCCTTCCGTGCTTACAAACTTTGCTTCCATGTGAAAGAAGGAGAGCATTCATATGTTCACATGATGTATGAGCTTGATGTTCGTCATCACAAAGAAACGCGCGAGCGGACACTTCTACCAGCCACAAAAATAACTAGTGTTGAAAATGTCTTTTTTCCATATGACCTTGACCCATTGGTCAACAGGGTTGGATTCGACTTCGAATCTATGCTATCTCTTTCAAAACTAAAGCGTTTTGACATTGCCTGTCCGTTGAAAAATATGGAAAAGTGTCTTGAAACATCATGGTGAAACATTATGGAGATGACTACGAAATCCTTTTCTTGGAAGGTTGTCGTAGGTAGTGGAGATTTTTCTCCGTCGAAAACGTGAAACTGAAATCCATGAAAGCCGATGGGAAACGATGACAGTGAGTAATTGTAATGCGGCTCGCAGCTAGAAGAGGCCACGGAAAAATAAAAATTGTGATAGTACAAAAAATGCATTTTTCAGAAAATCTATCATAAAACTGCACGTGTGAAAAACGATCAAACCATATCCGACGCGGGTTGCTCGTCCTACTAGAAAAAGTCGCGGTCCCAACCATTCTGCGGGTCCACGTAGGGGATGGAGGGCACGGTCACTCGTGACGCATCCATGTGGCTGAAGTGCTCCAATGGGATGGTATCCTTTCGAAAACTTTTTCCCTTGCCGCGTGTGTCAAAAATGCATATGCGAGGAACAACAATCGGATTAATTAAGTAAGTAGTTTACTTTCGCATGATCCCTACGCTCTGATATCTGCTCCTGTGAACATCAATACAGTGTTCCTCATCAGTCTGTTGGGCAGCAGCTATTTCATGCAGGAAAAGAAACGGGTGGTAGGAAAATTTTCTCTGGATACTTCGGATTGGATTTGGACGCGAACTTCGGTACGTAGGGCGTTTTGAGGGTGCGGCTCTCCAGCTTCTCCCACTTCTCTTGCTCGAAGAACCGGTGCGCCTCCAGGTTCTTTGCGACACCGCCCGGCAGCATGGGCAACCGGTCCGCCGGGTCCGCGGCGCAGAGCTTCAAGATCAGGTCCTTCGCCAGGGGCTTGTCCGATTGCGCCGAGGGGGCGGCAAACGCGTGGTCCGGAAACTTCGCGTGCTCGATGCCACGCAAAATCTTCTTGTACCGCAGCGCCGGCTGCCCGTCAAACGGCGGATGACCCGCCATCAACTCGTACAGCAAAATGCCCAACGTCCACCAGTCCACCGAAACCGTGTGGCCCGCGGCGTACACCTCAAAAGTTATATCGTTGTTGTTGAGGGGGCCGGTAATCGCAATTTACATTCTAGCTCCTTCATCTTTCTCGTTACAACAACCAGCATATTGCTTTACATACCGTCATGCAGGAAACATCAACGCCTGATTACATTTTCAACAAAATTATTGCGATCCGACACCACTACCAGCATCACGACCGCCGTCCAGAAAATAGTAAAAAATACCAATTCGGGGGCGAAGTAGTCCGGCGTGCCACAGGTAGTGTAGGTGCGCCCTAACGTGAATTTTGCGAGCCCCATGTCGGTGACCTTGAGCCAGCCGTCCTTGTCCAGCAGCAAGTTCTCCGGTTTCAGGTCGCGATAGATAATCTTCCGCTCGTGCAGGTGGTGAAAGGCCTTCACCACGCAGGCGACGTAAAACTTCGCGTGATCGGTGGACCCGTAAAAATTCTTCGTGTTGTAGACCGCAAAGAGCTGATGTGAGAGGATGTACTTTCTAAAGGTATGGAAACTCTGCAACATGAAAGAGAGAATGAATACCACCAAGGTTGAGCACACGCTTTAAGATGAGACAATTTGCGCTAGGTTTTCACACGAATCTTTATGATTGATTGTCGTCCTCGACTGTGTAAAACTCTACAGGAGAAGGATGCGAAGACACTGCTATACCTCGCCCCCTAAGCACGCTTCGAGGAGGAAGTAGAGGCAGTCCCGAATGTTGTACGTACCGAAGAACCGCACGATGAACTGGCTATCGGTCATGGACAAGATTAAGCGCTCGCTGCAGATTTGCCGCTGCAGGCGCTGCTGCACGATGTAGCCCTTGGAGAGTTTTTTCATCGCGTAGAACGCCTTTTTCTTTCCCCGGGTGGTTGCATCCTGCTGAAGTGTCACAGAGCCAAACCCTCCGCAGCCAAGCACGCCGAGCAACTTGAGATTTTTGAACAACGGTTTGGCGACGCCTGACACTTTATTTGCACTGGAGGGAACCGGAGCCAGCGGGTGAGTGACACTTGGCCGCCACTGGGCTGGGTTGCGCAAAAAACTCGGTCGCGCTTCGGCCTCCTTGTTCCGCATCAGCTCTCTGTGAAAAATGCGATAGATGATGCAAGCCTTTGTAATTGTATGTAGTTTGTTGCAGAAATAAGATTCCGCACAACCTGAAACTGTTTCAACAGAATTCTACGAAAACCAACGAAGAGAAGTCGAGAGTTGAAGCTAGATGAAGCTGGGCAAAAAAGCTAATCGAACTTCAGGGGCCCCAGCAGGTTCTCGAAGGTGGTGCGATCGATGGAGAGAATCACCGCAGTGGCGGAGTCCACCGTGACCGTCGCGTTGCGCACGTCGTCCTTGATCAGTGCTTGCTCGCCAAAGTACGGACAGTTCTCTTGGGTCGCGGACAGAACTTTAACGCGTCCCTGCGCATTGGTGCGGATCACGACGTCCCCCTGGTAGAGGATGAAGAGCGCTTCTCCCGCGGTGCCCTGCACCAACACGTCTTGGCCCTGTTTAATATTTTATTTGCGCACGGAGGTGATAAATATCTAAATCTATCCCCTGCTTCTCACTACGCTCTGAGAGAGTTGAGCACCATAAAAAGAAGGCTGAGGAACTCATTGATTTGTACCTACGCTGTTCATCGGGTTTCGCTTTCGCCGCGAGGACAGGCGACAGATCCATTGAAATCAAAAGAGATAAGTACCTTCTGAAAGTGCAACTCCGTGAGGCACTCGGACAATGCCTCTTTTTCTTCCTGCAGCAAGGTGTGGAGCACGTCGACTTTCTCCAGGACAGAGACGTACTGCCTCAGTTTGTGCCTTACCTTTTCCCGCAACACCCGGCGAAAGTCGTGCCTATGCATAGCAAAAATGTCTGGCTCTGGAAGGATGCAACTTGTAATGCTAATTCTGGATCGTGCAAAAATCAGTGTTGCATGAATGCCCAAAGTTGTCTACTTTTGACCAAGTTGAGAGGAAGTTTCTCATGCAGGATAGGCATGATAGGGATCTCACAGAATCTGTCATGCTAGGTCCTACCTGCATTCCAAACGACATGGATCATCGAAAATGTGCATGACAAGTCTTGCATTCTTCCAGACCCAGACATTTTTGCATTTGATAGCGCCGGTCGATCACCCAAAGTGCCGAGTCGTCGCTGAGGCACTCGACGGTGGCGGCTCGGGGCTCGTTGTACATGAGTGATCGCTCCCCAAAGGAGTCCAGGGCGCGGTAGGTGGTCAATTCGTCGACCTCTACGTCACTCTTTCCCTGCCCACGACTGGAAACCTGCTCTTGGAGGTCGCCCTCACACAGCTCGCTGGTGACCTTCTTGTAGCAAAGGAATTCACCCTTTTCCACCACGAAGAACTTGTTTGCATTCGTAAAGTCCTTCTCTTGAATGACGACCGTGCCCTTCTGTACGTCGCCCATCTTGTACGCCACCTGGGCCAGGGATTCCACCTGCGAACGCGTCACAATCCCCATCAGAGCCTCGTTTCGCTCGATTCCCTGCACGATCGCGGCTTGCTCAGTCTCCGAAGCGAAGATCTTGTTCACCTGGTCGCGGGTTTTTTTTTGATCATGAATGCGGAGTAGATGCAGGAGATTTCTTTCAACTACTCTTTTGCACCAGAATTATTAGCGCCAGAGTCACTTTCACTGACCTGAGTGGTGGTTGCTCGAAGTCTCCTGCTAGCACTTGCTGTACCTGATTTCCCACCACGGAAGTTTCCGACACACCTTCCTCCAGATCCTCACCGACCACGGCCTGGCGGCGGGGCAGGTGGACGGCTCGGTCCAATCCCAGGGCCTGGAAGGTGCTGCGCGTGATGGACAGCAAGGACAACGCAGTTCCGCTGGTCCTCACAGTTGCGTTCCGGATGTGTCCGGTGGAATCGCTCTGCAGAGAGGCCTCGCCGAAGTAGTCGCCCCCCTTCAGCGTGGCGACGTGCAGGCCATTCTTCATCACCTCGGCCTCTCCGCGGCGGATCAGGAAAAATTCATCGCCGGTGGTGCCCTCCGTAATGATGGTCTGGCGGCAGTCGGGATCGCTGGACGCCGGGTATTCCCGCTGCGTCAGGGCAGACACCAACCGTGGCAATTCGCTCGCCGGCAGCCGGGCAAACAACGGAACACGCTTCAGAAATTCCAGATTCTGCGTGAACGTGCATCAAATGTAAAAATGTCTGGGTCTGGAAACTTGTGATGCTGAGTGGCGTAGCATAAGGAGGCCACAAGTGCTGGCTCAGCATGACAAATATCTGAGCTTGTAGGTGTTGCCTATTCTGCATGACAAACTGCGTCTCCGCATGACAGAAAAAAACGTCTCTTGGGCAATGTGCATGACAGATTTAAGAGTCATGCCAGACAAGCATGACAAACATTCATTCTTCCAGACCCAGACATTTTTACATTTGATAACGTGCGGTCTCGCACAATGTCCTTCCGCGCTTCGTCCTTGTTCAACGGCCGCATATGGATTGTAAAAGTGTCTGGGTCTGGAAGGTTGGAACTTGTAATGCTAACTTTCCATACCTAGAAAATCTGTATTGCGTAACCAACAAAAGTCGCAGCCTCTTTTGTCATGCAAAAACGCAGTTTCTCATGCGGATTGCCTATGAGAAAGCGTTTCGGGAAGTTGTCATGCCGGACTGCATTCGGAAGTGTTTTCATCATGCACATTTTAGCATCACAAGTTTCCAGACCCAGACATTTTTGCATTTGATACCGCATCAGGTTCGACAATCTGCCGGCGCCGTCGGCACCGCAACACGCCCGGATTGACATTATTTTCAGGTCTCTCCGGGTAAGTGTAGCACGACGAGATAAGCAAAGCAAACGAGCAAATGTAAATCTATGTTTGCTACTGCCTTCCAGGCGAGTTGTAGCACAGCCAAGGATTCTTCCGTTTGGATTGGCGTTTGATTTTGAAGAACAAAGGCTACTTTGCTTCTGGTTTGGTTTCCTCCACTTGTCAACATTGCATACCTCGCACTCATTCTTGCGGAACAAGCGGAAACGTTTTCTTGAAATTGGAAATTGTGCGCGCACAATCTGCGCACCAGATTCCGTACTTTTGTCTGTAATTGGTTCATGAAACGACGTTAAGCGCTAAGATCCAATTGACAACGCCAGGAGGTTTCGGCTCATTTTGTTGATGACATCCGCGTAGGATTCGGCCAGATCCTGGATGCTGGCGCTGAGGTCGGCAACTTCCGCGACCAGTATTTCGTTTTGCCGCGTTAAAAAGCCGATGCGGTCTTCCAAATTCTGCCACGTGTCGTCAAAATCTCCGCTGTTGGCCTGCATTCCCTCTAAGATTTCAGCGTATTCCCGCAGCATGGGCGCGTGTTGCAACACGTACTCCCGTTTTGCAGCCTTCTGTAGCAAGAGGTGGTCGAGCTGTGCTCGCTCCTCGAAGACTAACGGCTCCAGGTCCGGCCACTTCTCCTCGAAGTCCGTCAGCTCCGGCACTTTCTGCTTGATGCGAGCAAGACGCGTCTCGAGCTCCGACACCCGCGTGTAGATGCTTTCGCCAGAACCAGAAGAAGTCGCATTGCTGCCTGTTAAAGTCGTTCCCACCGCTCTCTCGCAGGCCGCGAGTCGTTTCGCCAGGCGCTCCAGGCTCAAACCTAGGTGCCCGCCTTCTGCCATCCCTGCCACCATGATGTGTTTATGTTCGTCTCGAGCGCATTTGGAGGATATACAACTGACTAGCCGTAATTATGTTCATGTTGGTACTTATATTTAAATCAGCATTGTTTTCGTATAGATACTTGCGCAGTACCTTCTGACTCAATTACTGGAGGGCCTCACAACCACACCCAAGAACCGATACTCCTAGTACATTCATCATTCCCGGGCGCTTTGTAGAGCTTGCGTTCTTGATCGAGGCTCATCTTCATTACCAAAGTAAGCAGACAAAGTAGCGACGGATCCAGAAATCTCGGACGAAGAAGTAGACACAACGTCGCAAATTGATATTGAACAACGGTTCATCGGTTAGCCTTCGTAAAATCACCAGTAGTTCTAGATTCATTGCGCAATTGACTAAAGTCACTCCATGTCCTCCATGATGGGTTTGTCGGGACGGTCCCGTGGAGATCTGTGCAACCGAGAATCGATTTCGCGCATCGCCACCTCGATGGTTTGCTCAGCCTCCTGTTGCACCGTGCCGGGATTTATAAAATGTAAAAGTGTCTGGGTCTGGAAGCTTGCCAGGTTTGTGATGCATATTTTGGAAAACTCATGATGTCTGTGATGCATGCTCTAGCATGACAGATTTTTCGAGGCCTTTGTGATGCCTCTACCGCATGAGAAATGCCCTCTCCACGTAGCACAAACTGGAGTCGTCCTTTTGCTGGTCATGCAATACAAATTTTTTTAGAATCCAGAGACAGCATTACAAGTTTAGAATCTTCCAGACCCAGACATTTTTACAATCCATAGAATTCCTGCCCTGCAGAAGCATCTCCCGCGGGCTTCGAAGCTTTAGAATGGAGTACCGGAAATACGTGGCGCACATCGTGAAAAGTACGACTGCAGTGGCGCAGTACAGAAGCTCGTTCCGTCTAGCGTCGTAGAAGGAATCTTCGTGATACCTTCGCTGCTTCGCCCGGGGAATCTGACCTGTGTAGAACAACATTTCATTCTCATCCGGACTTCACAATACCGTCTATGTTGCGGCTTTTTCCAAGTTTTCTACAAGCTTGTCAAAATGCAAAGAACCAAAAACGAGCGCCATCACCAACATGAGCACCATTCAGAATGCTTTGAATCCAGTGGTGGCTTTTTTGTCGGAGAGTTTGCGCCAGGCCGTAGTGTCCTTCCAAGGGAAATCTCCGCGACTTTGTATCTCCGAAAAACACACCGCCCGGGAACACGTCTGCGGCGACCAGCAGGCGCAGAGCCATCGCGATCTGTGCTTTTCTGTGGCCGAAGGGCCCTCCGCGCTCTAGCCAAAGGTCAATTTCTTCCAGCGCGCCTCCTCTGCTACTTTCGTCAAGAGAACCGCTGGTGCCCTCATTTACTTCCGACTTCTGTACTTTATCGAAACTGCGGCACTTATCAAGTTCCGCGACTACGTTGTCACCGAATTTGAGACGACCGAGCTGCAAGTTCAGGTCTGCTCCCCTGGATGCACCACCCGTGCCTTCGCTACTAGTGACCATCTCGGCCGACGGGGATTGCTTGGCCTTTGTGATCTGTTCCGCCAGGTACATTGGAACCAAGAAAAGGCTCACGACGTCGGCGTCGATGTATGTCTCCTCACCGTGCACAATGAGGTTCTCTACGCGCCCGCATGAGGAGGAGGACGAGATCTCCTGTGGTGGAGACGCCGACGCAGCATTCGCTTGGTCGTTGAACTCCATGCGAACGTCGACAGCGCAAGGCGTGCCGTGGTTGCGCGCTCGCGCAGCTAAGTCATGGCGAATGCGGTGCACCGCCTGAAGTCGATCCTCCGCAGATTTTCTTTCCGGCCAGTCCACTTGGATTGTCACCTCACAGCTTTCACGGGAAACGCACTCTACTTTCGGCTCCTCACCGGCCAGCACAGCCTTGCCGTTATGCACGAACGTCGCGTAGTATGCTGCGATCTTTAGCGCGACAGTCCCGCGCATGCGATGTCGAACGCGCTCCATGGTCTTTCGCTTCATCGTGCGGCTACTGCAACTTTGAAACTACACACAAATCTTCCCTCTTTTTGAATATACCATTAAGTTGTTCTTTTCACTCGAAAAAGGACATCCACGTTCTGAAGTTGTTCTCGATCATATCGCGAGAAAGTTTTTGACGACAAGAAAAAACTCCTCTCAACGGCGGGGAACAAATCAAGATTAACCATAAAAAAAATGGCATAACCATCTCCATCGGTGCTGCGACTAGTTGCATTAATCAGCCTTTGCACTTTTTACCGCAGCTAGAAATTTTGCAACAGTTTACACGTCTTTGAGCCGCAATAGAATGTTTATTTTGCAAGGGAATTCATTACATGAAGGCGAGCCACGTGATTATGACACCTAAATCTAAATCATACAAACATACAGCTGGAATTATACATGCGAGACGCGAGGACTCGACTCCCGTCCAGACGCACTACGCACCCGCTACGCTGCCGTGGTCGTGCGACTCAATGGAAAGATTGACGTCTTTCGGAGTGAAGAACAAGCGCGCGTCACCCTGGCTGACCTCTGCCAGAGCTTCCCGTTTGCGCAACACGTTCCACATCGTGATGCAGGTCTCCGTTGCCAACTGGTGATTCTGCAACTTTCCCAAAAACTCGGTGATTTTCACTGCTTCGCCCAAGCCTTCCATGGCCATCCTCGCGTTCGAGTTCTCCGTTTGGATGGCCAGAAGACTCTTCCGCGCCTCCTCCTCGGCAATTTGACCTGCGAAGTAGTACTTAAGTATTTTGTTGCACTAGAAGTAAAAACTTTTTTTATCGCAGTCTCCTGGAGTTGCTAAGAAAATTAACAACAAAACTCAAAACCATCAGGCGATCGATGTGCTCGCCCTCTTCTACCTTTGATTTTGCTGAGCTGGACCTCGGATTCAGATTCTTGCTTCTGCAGGCGGTTCATCCGATTTGTGGTTTCCTGAATGATCTGCCCCAGTACCTCGGCCGTTTTGGACTCCGCGCAGTGGTACCCCGTGACCTCCAAAGAGTGGATTTTACAGCCGCGCTGCTTGTAAAAGGTGTCGTCGTGGCGGTGGGCCTCCGCCGCGATGACGTTGAAGTCGCTCATGAACTGCTGCTATCAACTGTAAAAATGTCTGGGTCTGGAAGATGTCCAGGTTTGTCATGCATATTTTTTTTTTTTTTCATATAGCTGCGCAGGATGTGACTACTAACCTGAAGATGTATCTCATTCCTATTTTTGACCTTAATGGCGCAGCGGTGCGCACGTCGACCGGTTTGTCATGCATATTTCGCATGGGCTATGATGCCTGCAATGCATGACCTAGCATGACAGATTTTTTTGCGGGAGGTATCTTGATGCCTATCCCGCATGACAAATGCCCTCTCCGCGGAGCAAAAACTGGACGCCTCTTGCACTTGCTGTTCATGCAATACAGATTTTTTAGATTCCAAAAATAGCATCACAAGTTGCATTCTTCCAGACCCAGACATTTTTGCAATCCATAGCTGCAGGGAGACCCGAGACACGCGCTCGATGAACTGTGATCGTGCGTGGTTGCAGATGTCCCCGGTGGTGTCATTCGTATACTTCAGCATCTCCACTGGGTCTGCGATTTCCCAAAACAGCGTTCCTTCTAGAACCTGAAGCAGCAGGGTCGTAGTTTCTTGCTTTATACTGCTTAAACTACAAACTCTGGATAATGTTCGAAACAAGCCTAGCAAAACCAGAAACGGACGAAAAATAAGTACCAGCTCCACATTATCGGCCGTTCGGCAGTTGAACTCGAACGACATGAACATGGGGCGCAGGTCCAATTTTGTCACAAGCAGGTCCCGAAACTCCCGGCGGCGGCCCCGGCTCCAGCACAGCTGGACCAACTCGGAGAAGGGCGGCACGAAGAAACTGCGCTGGTCCGGGTGCTTGCCAAAGAAGAACTGGTCCTTTCCGTCCTTCCCGCGGACAATGCAGGCCTCGTAGTCCGCCAACTTCACCAGGGGTCGCACCTCCACGATCTCTTCGTCGTCTTTCGGTACGAACAGCTGCAGTTTTTTCTCCAGGTGTTGCTGCCCGGACCTCTTGTTGCGCACGAGAACTGCGGTCTGGTCGTCAATTTCGACCGCGTTCTGCACCGGAAGCTGAAACTCCTCATACGCACCGGGGAACAGCAGCTTCTCTCCGCGTTCCACTCGCGTTTTTCCCGTTTCGTGGTCCTGTTTTCATCGAGATGAAACTGCCGTCACAAAGACCTATCTAGAATGAATGGAGGAGGCTCAAAAACGAGCTACCCGATTATGACTGCAAAATGAGAAACGTGTGCTCGCCACATTGTACAACATTTCTCTGGCAGGAAAGTAGATCCGATTTTATCATTCAACACAGTAGTAGTCTGATCCATTCTCACCTGCACACGAACCCACTGGTAGACCTTAAGGTCTAGGGCTTTTTGCTTGGCTGGCTTCGACACGAATTCGTCGTAACTGTCGAGAAAGACTAGCTGAGGCCCTTTGTGAACCATGACGCGCCCCGTTTCCTTGTTCTCTGTTTTGCACCACTCCGAGGCGTTGAGGTCGACGGCGGTGCGCTTGCCGCCGGCATCCACGTACACTTCCGTAGGGGAGGGCATCACCGCTCCCTGCTCACCCTTCTCGACCCGAATCTTCCCCGTCGTCTGGTCCTTGAACCGCACGAACTCGTTGCGCAACAGCGTGATCATTTGCCGAGCGCCTCCGCCCACGACCTCGTCGTAGGGCTGGAGGAACACCATTTTTGGGCCGACCTCGCATTTGCTGATGCCGGTCAGACTGTTCTTCACAATGCAGTACTCCGTCTTGAGCAACGTCAGCGCTTTTTTCTTCTCGCTGTTTTTCAGCACCAGTGGCATCATGATCACCCGCGGGCCCGTGATCACGAGTAACTCCGTCGCGGTCTCCATCACCAGTTGCTCGTCCTTGCCAATCATGCGCAAGCGCGCCTGCAAAAGCTTTCCCACCAGGTATCCCGTGGTCGCAACAGAAACCACAGCAACGCCTGTCTTTGACGTCGCAAACCGAAACGGCGCTGCAACCAAGTCCGTAACGGCCTGCATCTTGGTCGTTTGATGTCTTACGACGAGCAAGCTAGAAACACAATGAAATCAGAAGGCCTACTCAGAGCCTAACAACGTTCGTTGCTACTGACGCCGCAGCACCAGGGAACTGGAAAAAAAAGTACCTCAGGTACAAGAAAAAAAGACTAATGCTCAGTCCTGTCAGATTTCCTCCCGTCCTGGGACGAACAACTCGGTCCGAAGATGGTTTGCATTTGGCAAGGTGTAAGTACAGAAAACACCACAGAGAACAACCCAGAAACCATAGAAACTTCGCAGCCGATCCAACAACTTTTGTTCAGTAACCTTCACAGTGGACGACGGACTAGAAGTCACTCGACTTCCAGGTTGCTACTAGCTGGTGATGTTGATGGGGGCGAGTCCATTTCTTCTCTCATATCACGAACTGCAATCAGTTCCTCTTGTAGCCTTTGGCGTTCCATCCAAAACCGCACGGCCTTGTGCCGCTTCGCAAGATTGACGCACTTCTGCCTGTGCAAAACCATGCTTACAATGCAAACCAGTGGCAGTAGGATGGCGAGAAACACTATGCCGAAGACGAAGGCCTCCGTATCGCGGGCGTCGCCGTGAAAAGCCGCGTACCCGATCAAAAAGCCCACGTCCGGGTGGAGGTCCGCGTCCGGCTGAAAACATACCACCAATCGTCGGTGCAGCCACCGCCGCCGTTCCCGGGTGTCCATGCGGTGCCCGGACTCGAGCGGGAAGAGCAGTTCCATGCCGCCCGCGGGGTGGTCCTCGTAGTAGCGCTTGAAGATTTTCGACCCCGAGCTGGTATCCTTCGGCGTCACCACTCGGTCGCCGTTGATCACATACCTCGGGTGGCCGTAGCTCGTCCACGACGGAAAGGTTTCACTATCCGATGGTTTGCTTGTCGAATCCGTCGGCAGCAGAGCCTGCGCCGCCACTTTAGAAAGTTGTATACGTGGGTTTAGAATCCACTGCAAATCCTTCGCAGGGGAGCTGCTTGAGGTTGTCTTTTCTTTGTCTCCAGCGGGGGTCATTTTTTCGGAACTTTTGCCTTCCGGGCGTGGCTGGTCCCCGATCACTTTTATCTGGTGTACCAGTTGACTGTGTGACGGACTGCACGGGTTTCGGAGCTCACAGTGCAACATCCAGTCGCGGCCGAGGTCAAACAGCGGATGGAGAGGACCACCGGCGGAGCCGAGCCTCCGCATTTTTTGGTCTACTGTTCCGTTTGAGGTATCCGTTCGTCTGCTAGTACTGGCGGAACTCACCGAAGAAATCGCGCGCCGCGTCGACTTGTTCCCCGGAGACGTCGACGAACCTTGTTCTGGAACCAGTCGCGTTTTCACGAGCGGTGGGTCGGAACCTCCTACCTGTCGCAACGACAGATCGCCGGCGCAGTGGGCGAAGCTAATATCCAGTTCCCGCACCGTGATGCGGTAGGCCTGCCCTGGCAAGCAGTAGTCACACTCCAGCGGGAGCCACTCTGTCCACCCCGGGTTGAGGAAGGTTCGGACCGGAACTTGGAGTAGCGAGGGCAGAAACCGCACTTCGGGCAGACGATAGTACTGCAGCATTCCCAGTAGCCGGGTCGTCGCAGCGGTGGACGAGGAGCTCTGACCCTGCCGCTTCACGGTGCTGCACGCCATTGCGGGGGCTGGATTCAGGCCTACAGTGAACTTTGGTCGCGGGGCAACCTCGAAAACTAGCGCCGGGTTTCGCTGCACGACGTCCAGGGGGACACAGTGGTGCGCCGCGGCGACCGGGATGAGTTGCGCCTGCGCTTGTCCTCTCCGAGAATTGCTGCCAGTGCTCGGATGCGTCGAGAGCTGCATGCCACTTGGGTTTTGGAATTCCGCGACCAGCGTCAGTTGTCGGCACCATCTCGCACCCTCGTCGTCTAGAAGTGCGCTCGTTCTTATTCCGAGGTCCTTGATGCTGATTCGGCCTCCATTTTGCGCAGTAGTCAACCTCCCAGATGACAATGCCGCAAGAGTGGCACGGCGCCGGATTAGTATTTCATCCCCATTGCTCGGTGCTGCGATCGCCAGTTTGTTCTCATTCGACAGTAGCAGATTATTGTCGTCAATCTGGGACGTACTGCCCGGACGCAAAAATGGAACGACATCCCCTGAATTCAAGACGGCGCCATCGTTGATGCGCTCCAAAACGTGCTCACCCAGCTGAAACACATTGACGCAGAAAAGCTCTCGCGGCCGATGAAAGACTTCGTCCGCGCCACTCCCGCTGTCCTGCGGAGGTGCGTTGTGCTGTTTCTGTGACACCTGGTCAAGCGCTTGCAGTTCCCGCTCTTGCGCTAGACTGCGTCGCAGGTGCGCGGCTTGCTGCTGAACGTCGTCGGGCAGCAGCTCGAAACGAAAGGATGCTGCGAAATCCGCACGCTCATCCGCGGTGACTGTTGTGTCAACCAACGGAATGCGCAGAATTCGACGTTCAATGTCGTTGGTCCCCATCACTGCGGCAGCTAGAAAACAGAATGCACAATGAATAGTGCCAACAGCAGCTCACCCTGCATGAGTATGACCTTTCTTCGGAATCAACGAAGTAGCACGAATTACTGAAGCACTTCGTAGACGAAAAGGGTATCTGGACCTACGCAGATTGTCCTCAGACATAAGTAAGTATTGCCCGAACACGATCAAACTCGCGCAAGATGGCTCCCCGACTACGAGTTTCTTTTACCGCATCCATGATCGCTTAGGCGTAGAACCTCTGTTTCAGATTGCTCATCTGTTAAGGTGAGCTGTCTCAGCGATGAGATTCAGTTTTTGACTCCGTGGAAATCGGGCGCGGAAGTTCAAGTGAAAAAGAGTGGGGGTATCGTCAAGCAAGTCTTCTTGATACTGGCATACCATGGTTATTTCTGCGCTGGTAGATCAGTTCTAAATAACTGTATGCGTCGCACGCAACTCGTTTGTGTTTTCGTTTGGTGAATTCTTTGTTCATCTATTCTGGCAATGACTCTTCAATCTCAAGTAAAGCGTTCGCACAAATTTGCGCGTGGACATGAAATATGCTTGTATTTTCGTAATCTATTATTTATAAAGGTACGATTTTGTTGGGAATAAAAGCACCGCTATTGATCCATCACCATCATGTATTCCTCGTACTCCTCATCTTCTCCCTCGCCGTCTACGCGCTGGCGTTTGGTCCCGTGTTCATCTTCCTCTTCGTTGTCGGAATCACGATTTCGTTTCTGCACGCCGCCCCCAAGCACGGCTTTCTCCCTTTCAGCCGCTGTCTCCGCAGAGATTTGCGGAATACTTTTTCCGGTAACGGTGACACATTTTTGGCACAGCTCTTCGAAGGCCGAGATTGCGTCGGCGAAGGTAGAGACCTCTTTCGTTTCGTAAGCGTTGTTGGCGAAAGAAATATTCGTAATTTTGTTGCGCTTCGCCGTCTTGTCCTTACGCAGACGATCCAGAACTTGCTCGGTAGTCATGGTCCATGCAGCAGACAGGCTTCTGAACACCCTAGACTGATTGGCGTGAAAGTAAGTACTGATGTTGCAGCGCATGTGGAGCAGTAAAGCTTCCCACTTGTCCTTCAGACCCTTGCCGAGTTTTGTCTTGTTAGAACTGCTACCCCAACCGCAATCGTTCCCCTCGCGGACCAGCAGTGCAAGGTAGGCTTCGACAAAGTGCTTCAGAACGTTCGTCAACAGCTGGAAAACAGCGTCTCGCAATTTATCCGGGCCCAGTCGCATTCCATTCTGCAAATCAACAAACTCAACGCACATGTCGGACACCAGCTTGGTCAGGCTGCTTAGTGTTTCTTTCTGGGGTCGCACCCGGAAAGCTGTCAACGCCTGCGCGCACCGAAACTCGAATAGCTCGAAAAACTTTTCGCGATAGTCCACTGCGTTACGGACTCCGAGAACCGCCGATCGCTTGTAGTAGCTATGCAGGCTCTCCAGCGTCACGGTCTCATCAATAGAGAGCGCCTGCAGTTCCCGCTGAATTTGCAGCGCCAGCACCTTGCGCTGGCTCGCTCCCCCGATGGTCTTCTCCAAGACGCTGAGCAGCCTGGGCATCCCGCTCTTCTCCTCCAGCTCCGCCCGCTTCGTTGGCTGCAGCTTTCTCAGAAAGTTGGCGCATTTGTCGGCTTTCTGCTCTGGCTTCATCTCAGCTAGTTCGGTCAACGTCATGCCGGTTTCCCCCACGACACGATCTAAAGTTCCTTGATCAAGTTCCTTTGCAATAGCATGCGCAGCGTCTCCTGGTAGCCGCCAGGCCAGACCTGCGCGAGCCGACACAGGCACGATGTCCGAAACGCACGCCGCTTTCTTGAGCGCGTCTGAATCTATCTTCCTTCCGTTGGCGTTGAACACGTTGACCGTGTGATCGTCGACCTGTGCGAGCGTATTTGTAGAAATCATTGATTTTTCATAATGATAATCTTAATCGCTGTAGTGGCCACACTTGTATGTGTCTTTGCAAGCAGTGCACGAACCAAGATTGCAGATGACATCTGCAATTGAAATAGCAAATGGCAAAGTGAAAATCCAGGAAACTCTATACTTTGTTGATGACAATGCAAGCCGGAACTTCAATCGGTAACTTCGCGAACCACTTCAGCAGTGCTGCATCATCAATGCCTGCAAAATCGTAGAGACCCTCAGCGTCTGTCTCAGCACCGCTCGCACCAGCAGCACCTGCGGCCTGATCTCCCTCTTGCGAGAATTGCTGACTGTCACTTGGAATGGGGAACTTCTGAAAGTCGACGACCAACAAGACCAGGTCAAAGTTCTTCAGCGTCTTTGCCACCTCTGCCTTGAAAGCATCCCCACCGATGCCATTTAAACCTGGGAAGTCTACGAGCGTGAGTGCCGGACACCCACCAGGAATCGAAGAATCCCGCGCAATATCGAAGTCGCCCATTTCTGCTGCAAAGGAGGTATGCACAACCTCCACCGATGCGCTGCCCGCTCCATCTTCGCTTTGCTGCACGCGAAGCTTTTTATCGCTCTCCTTCACGCTCTCGTGGACTGCCTTCGCTGGTCGCGCTGGCGCGCTTTTCAAACCTAAAACCTGAATGCGTCGTGAGATAGTTTTTTGCACAAGAAATTTTAGGCCTTGATCCGTAGCATAGTAGCAGTACGTTTTGGTTGCTGACACAGCGAAAGAACGGAGCACATAAAAAAGCAGCAACTACACGGCGAGCAAAACCCAGGGGCGTACTCAAGTACCTCGATAAATGAGCGCCCAGTCGGCTGCTGCGGCACCAACGTCACCCGATACGAGTTGACGCCCGCAGTAGTGCGCTGGTTCCCAACCGCACCAAATTGATCCCGCAAAAGCGCATTGATTAAGGTTGTCTTACCCGCGCACTGGTTCCCCAGCATAGCAACCCTTATCTCATTCTCCTTCTTTGCCTCCGAATCCTGCACACCCGCGACATCTGGCAAAAGCGGCACCGCCTTACCACTTCCATTGTGCAAGGAGGACGAGGGTCCATTGTGCAACGAAGACGAAGCGGCAAAAGGTGCCGAATCGGATGGCATTTTTTTTTCGGGTTCTTTGAGTTTTGTTCAAGAAAAAGTCCGGTAATAAGTATCTTTCCGCAAACGGTAAAAACAAAAGTAAATGGAGAATGCCTTTTTGCGCTTCTTTATCAAAAATCTATACAGGATCGGGACGTTCAGTAACGACGTTGTGCACCACAAAGGCTGGATCAATCCAAAATACCGCTTAAAAACACAAACACACTTCTCCAAGATCATCAGAAAGAAAATCACGATCTCCAGCACCATCTGAAATACTTCTCGGATCGGCGCCCCAGTAAAAATGAGATCTTTGTTTCTGCACCAGCTGGACATCTTCATGTATTGTTTGTCCTCTGCAGCTACGCTAGCCTGTTGCTGCGAAGACTGCACATATTAGAATCATGGGACATTGTTTTTCCATAGCGCCATCGCGTGGACTGTAGATAGAACAGGCGAGCATCATGACGTACCAAATTGGAAGAGGTCCCATGCGAGAATAGAACCTTGCGAGAGGAGCTGGCTGCACGACTCAATCTGATAACTTGAGACTGGAATCTCGAAACAATCACTAATCGAACGATCCCCTCGATCGATCATTTTCCATCTGCGGTTCGTTGTACTAGGAGCTCGGCTACTTAATCATGAGAGTACTTTTCAATTCAAAAGCATCACAAAAATCAAGAATTCGCAACACTTACAAAAACAACGCGTCAAAATTTCCGTTGCTGGGCCAGCGGCCCCGACTGTAGCCTTTGAACTTATCCGTCACGGTTCCCACAACGTCTGGAAAGGGAGGCAAGAGAATCTGGTGCTTCCCCGTGATAGCGCGCACCATGGTTCCCGCGTGTTCGGCCTTGTCGAGGTGATGCGAGGCCTGTTCCAGCTCTGCCCGGATCTGTTGCGTGATTCCGTTGATGCGAGCCACTGTCTTCGAAATGCGATCCACGTCGAGATTCGGCGTCACGAGTCCGGTGGTCTCGAACAGAGCCTTTCGACTCATGGTCCTACTCGACGGATGGCGATGGGGAGTCGACGACGGGTTCCATTTTTCTATTGAAATGTTTCTAAGTGAAACAAAAACAAAATGATAATGATATCAATTAGCATAACTCTATAGCGCGTTAGCCACAGCTGGAGACTTCATCTCAACGGCCCATGTCAGTATGAATGTAAATCAATGAATCCCTCCGTGAGGTCGAGAACGGCCAAACGACGGTAGCACCATACGCCTCTCTTTCATCCTTCTTCTCTCACACAAACACGAAAAATCGAAACGAAAACCCAGTAGAACAACATTGACGAGGCACAATCTAATTAGTTACACAGGATCCTTTTGGTTCGATTGCAATTCCTTCTGTTTAATTGTGCGCGCAACTCTTTAAGTACCGCTTGACGGGAAAAGAGTCGCAATCGATTCGGCAATTATTGTCATTCGCGTCTAGAGTCACTATGACATCATGGTGACGAAAGTTGCGGCGCCTGAGGAGGCGCACACAGCTTTTGAGTGTTAAACAACGTCACTCAGGAGGAATCTATTATACCGAGGGCCCATACCCGGCCCGGAATTCACAGCCAAAAAACAACGAGCCTAAGCGCATATTGTCATGTCATCGGAAATAAAGGATAGCCAACAATGTTGGAATGCATCCGCAAAAGTTGCAATCCACGTGCGAAATTATCTCCCTCTACCTCTAGTAGACCACGCTTCTACGTCGAAAAAACCCAATGCGCAATCGCTATCGCTTGGATAGCAGGTCTGAACCTAAAGCGATTTATTCTTCAACCTAATCATATTGGCGGTACTTGAGAGTACCTGCTGCTAAAGAAAAGAGCAAGATAGAATGCTTGCAAATTAACTTGGACTTGTCAGTGAACCGAGGACAGAGCGTGAGGGACAAGCTTTGTGTCGCCTCGCGTCTGTCCTGTTCTATTGATGTTTGCTTTTCGAAGACTGTTCTTTTCTTCCAACGTCATATTGTTCCTTCCCCGTTGCATTCCCTCACGACAGACGCTGCGAAGCGCCGCGGCCCAAATAGGCAGGCGTCGTTGATTTCTTGGCCGCAGCAAAGAGCTCGTGACTCGAGATGCCGAGTGTCTCCATTCGCCGAGCCAGCTCGCCGATGAGCACACCGTACCGGGTTTGAAACTCTTTGTAGGAAAGGCACAAATCCGGCAGGGGAAACCAGCCGTTGTAGCTTCCCGCAACGAAAATGTCCTCCCAGTCCAGGTGCGCGGCGGAAACATTCTGTTTTGATTGACATAGATAAACCACGATAGAAACCAGTGTGGTTCCAAATTCGCGAGTCCCTATTCGCATACATACTTACACTACCACCGTGAATCATTTTTTTCTTCTAAGTATTCGGCAAACAAAAGCACAGTACCGCCTCCTCGGCAAAGGCCAAAACCGCTTCCTTGAAGACGTCACACCGCACACGGTAGTCGGTTTCCTGGAAGAGGTTCTCGACCCGTTTTACGTTGGAGAACAGTAAGATCGTAAACAGGTCGTCCAAGTGGCGGCGCAAATAGGCGCACGCGCGCACGCACACGGTGGCGAATAGATGCTGGTAGGTAAGCGTGGGCTCATTGCGGAACAGTTGGACCGCGGTGACCCACTCGTAGACCGGCCGCGCGACGGTCTCCGCCACGCGCAGCTCGGCGAAAATCCGCGCCAGCCCCGCCTCCGAAATGGCGTCCGTGGGACTGACCTTGGCGATCGCCAGCGTTTCCGGCAAATCCAGGTCCACCCCCGTGATGACGTCCAGGAACTCGCGCACGTCCTTGCGCAGCTCGCGCACCATCTTCTCCTGCTCCGGCTTGGCCACCGCGCGCTTGCTGTCCACGTGGTGGCAGTAGCGGCGAAAATCCTTGTAGGCGATGGTCAGCTGGCCCTCGTTGGCGCTCGTGACCGCGACGTCCTTGTTCGTGATGTCGATGATGTCCACCGTCCGCCGGGCCTCCGCGTCGGTCATGATCCCCCCGCCAAGCACCTGGTACACAAATTTGAGAAACAGGCTCCGCGACACGGTGGGCGTCGCGTTCGCATTCCCGTCATTCGCCCGGTTCTCGAGTAGCGCGAAGGTGAAGTAGGCCGGCAGGTTGAAGCAGTACTGGTTGGTGCGCAGGAAAAGCTCGCGCCGGGACGCGTCGCCCACGTGGGACAGATCGACCGACGTCTTGGGCGGCGGGGCACTCTGGGCCACCTCGTCGACGTACCCGAACCGACGACTTCGGAAGCGGTTGAACGACTCCAGAAATTCCTGCAGCGTAAACGTCTTGTCGCCGCCATACCGCTGGTAACACTCCTTGTCGCTGTCCGAAAGCGGGAGGCCTGTGTGTTTTGTTTTTCAGAAGATAAGTGGCTCTACTTCTCGCAGATGATGAACGCGTTCGTGCAAAAAAGAAAACATTGACTGCAGATACAGTAAGACAAAAAAAGGTAGAAAGCGTCCCAAGAAAGTTTTGCTTCTTTCCTTACCGAGCTTCTTCAGCATGAGGATGAAGTCATCGATCGTGAGCTTGCCGTCCTGGTCTGCGTCTAGAATCCGGAAGGCTTTGATTGGGTCCACGTGTGAGGCCAGTATGACTTCGAACAGCTTGAGAAACAGCGAGTTGTTTTCGAAGTCGTAGAAGTAGAAGAAGACCTTCTGCATCTTGGAAATGTTTTCCTCGGTGACCTCCATGCGCCGCTGCGCTTTGCTCCAAGAGCAAAAGGCCTGTAGCGCCAGTACGCTCGCAAGGCCACTGCTGTTCAGTCCAAGCTCCTTCCACGCAGCGACGGCTATGGCCACGTCGTCGCGATTTGGATTTCTCGCAATCAGCGCGGCGGCATTGTCCAACATCGCCACGGCATCCGCAGTTTTCGTGCAGCCAGAGATCAGTAGCGACAACAGCTCCTTAATGATGTTGACGGCCGCGGGGTGGGAGGGTAACTTTGGCATATCCACCGGCTCCGCAAGCGCTGTTACATCCTCGCTAGCTACAAGGATCTCAGGCGCCGCCTTTGGAGCGACAGCGACATCACCTGCTAGTTGAAATTTCAGTGGTCAAAGCACGAAAATGAAGAAAATCAGAGTAGCCTTCACGAAGACAGGGACGGATCTTACTTACGTTGCCGAGTAGCAATCGATCCTTCAATGCTGCAGAAAACGAACCAGCTCAATAAATAGTACCCTCAGCGTCCTCCACCAGCATCGGGTCGCTGCTGGAATCTGGAGCGGTAGTGGCTCGATCCATCTCCCGTTGTAGACGGTCCAGATCCACGTGCCTTTTATGGCTGACGACTTCCAGGTAGTCGGCGAGGCACTGAGCCGGATCCTCCCAGTCCGCCGCCGTCAGGACCTCCGCCGTGAGCACGTGCTCAAATGCTTTTCTGTGGACCACCGTTATCCGCCGGCGCTCCATGGTTGCCTGTTGTATTTGAGCAAGGTGCTGCCCGGGGCTGGTAGCGTCGTCTTCTTGTTCTGGTGGCCGCATACTATTTTCGTCCAGCGGTGGTGCCGCGCCCACGACCATGCCGGCGTACGCGGACTGTGCGAACGGGACCGCCGCTTTGGCGGGCGAGCTTGGCTGATTCCCCTCGACGATCCCGGTGGCTGCCTTCCGCGGCGATTGCGACTTGTTTCGACTACTCGCCGTGCCCTGTAGCAGTCGCGAGCTCTGAGGCGGGGTTCTCAGGGCGCGCTCTACCTGCGACTGCGTCACGACTCCGACATGATCGGGAGTTGTGGTGGAACGACGAGGCTTGCTGCCCGAAGCAGCTGAGGCCCCGCTCAAGGACGCGACGAGCGCATCAACTTGGAACGAGTAGGCCCGGAAAAGGTCCTTGACATTGCGACCCTCCAGCGCGTTGCTCAGCGCCACCAGGCACCGTTTCGCCTTGAACTCGCTCTCCTGCTTCCTTTCCAGGTAGCGCTGAAACACCTCGACCAGAAATCGCACCTCTAATTCCGTGTTTTCCGGCGCGAGGAGGATGTCGAAGATTTGTCGCACGCAGACCTTCAGCGTCCCCTCCTCGGGTGGGAAAAATCGCGTCAGCGTCTTTACAAGGCGATCGCAGGACAGCGAAGCAGCGGCGGTCCCCGGTGTGGTCTGTTCGCCAAGGAGCTTGTTGATCTCGAAGAGGAACGAGGTCTCGTCCTGCGCCAGTGCGCCTATGCGGCTGAGTGCTTCCCTGACCGGCGCGACGCGCTGGCGAAGCCACTCGCGCACGAAGCTGCACGAGACCATGGCGCGCTCACGCTCCTGCACGGCATCGAACCCGAGCATCACCCGGCCCTCGCTTTCGCCCCATACCTGCGCGGTTACCGCGTTGGCTTCCTGTTTGGTCAGCACGGCCTGAAGCGCGAGATGGCGCTCTAGCTCTGCGATCGACATCTCGGTCATACCGACCGGTGGCTCTACGTCGTCAGTTGCGAGACCCGCGGCCACCACCTTTCGCAGAGCGGTGGGAAACAACGGCGCACTGCGATAGTAGTCCGATCCGGAACTCCCACCGTACTGGAGAGACCCGCCGGCTATCCCGCCTGGTGGTCCAAGCGACGACATAGGGAACGATGCGGTGCCTTGGCGCACGTCTTCCGCCTCGGAAACTACGGCCACAAACGTTTCTTTTGTCGTAGTCGGCTCTGCCGGTCGCTGCTGCACTCCAGCTTCGGACGCTGTACGCAGTGGGAGTGACCCGAGGCCGGTCGAGGACGATCCGGCATCGTCTGCAAACGAATCTGCGTAGCCAGTTGCGCACTGCAAGCTCACCTCCAGCGTCGAAGGGTTTGCAGGGGCCCCACTGCTGTCTTGGTCGACGGAAACCGGCTGAACGCTCGCGCGGCACGACATACTGCCGTCCGGCCACGGCACCTGCACCTTGCATATTCCAAGCAGCGACCTGGCAGCGAATTCCGTCGTGCTGCGCCGCTCTGACCAAACCTGCACAAACAACTTGTTCGGCCCCCCAAGCGGCAGATCGAAGAAGTGCTGCGACGAGTACCGAAAGGAGTTCGCAGGCATCCAGGGTGACTCCATCTCTTGAAAACGACTCGTCCCCCCCGGCGTACTTGTACCGCTGCTGGCGCTCGTTGGCAGCTTGTAGGAGACGAGTATGTTACTCGTTGGCGGGACGGTAGAAGCCCCCTCGTTGGCGGACGCAAACGACCCGATCTGCAGCCGGAGACACTGTTTCATCGGCACCACCTTGACCTTGAAGCACGCTTTGCCGATGATTTTGCGCGCCCCCTCGCTGCTGTGGATCGGGACTGTGTACTCCTCTTTGGTCAGGGCCTCCTCGTTGACCGGAACTTCGGCGGAATACGCCTCGGAAACTAGCTTCAACGCACTGTACTCCGAAACGGAGGAGTAGGCCGTGATGTGGGACGCGCGGACCGCCTCGCTGACCATCAAACTGCGCGCATCCAGGTACGGCGACAGCAGGGCCGAACCGCCGGTCGTCGCGCTGGCGGGCAACTGGATCTCCATCGCGAGCTCCGCGGCGACGCTCTGCTTCGCCGACCCGGAGCCAGAAGGTGTGATCAGCGCGGGCGAGTTCGCCGGCAGCACGCCGCGCGTGAAGTCGCGCTTGGCCGCGTCGGCATTGAAGTAGACTTTGGTAACCATTTCCTTCTTCGTCTCCTTCTGGATGTGCATCACCTGCGCCCGCTGCGAGTGGCACGACACCAGGTTCGCCGACTGCTTCGCCTGAAGGACCAGCGACGCGCGCTTCACATTCATGCCCCGAAACGTAACCCACTGCAACGACACGATGCCTTTTGCAAGGGCGGTGGGCGCAGCTATTGCTTGCTGAGACGCGGCGGCGGGCGCCGCCCCAGTTGGAACTACTTCCAGTGGGGCAGAAGTAGATGGGCCTTCGGCAGGTGCAGCTTTTGTAGCGCTAACCGTGGGCTCGGGCTTCACGAACATGTTAAAGGCGTGCACGCCCTGCTCCGTCTGCTCCTGCGGGTGTGCTTTTGGAGGACGCTGTTCTACAGACGCTCGCAACGACGCGGCAACTGGTATAGTTTCCGTATCGCCTTTTGTTTCCAGAAGATAGATCCAGCAGAAGTGAATGAGTGAATGATTTACCCAACTGACGGGGTTATTGGAAATGCTAGCAACTACTGTTCGACGTAACTACTATCTCCTAGGGGAAAGGCAAACTTCTTGCCTTTGCACCACTTCTCGTGCTTCCTCATCTTTTCCACTCTCTTTTCCACTGCTTTGCAATAGTGCAGCTGATCCTTGACCCTGAAACCCGATGGTCGCACATCATCCTTGACGCTGAAAATTTAACTTTTTCATGCCACAAGAATTTTTGCGCTAAGTGACATTGAAACAAAAAAACACAGAAGTACTCACCATTGTGAAAAGGATCCGCTGCCATGATTGTTTCAAGGTGTGCTTGCGGTTTGAGGCCCCCTCGAGAGACGTTCTCGGCTAGGCTCTCCGTCATATCTTCGCGCAGCTTTTCTGCACGCTCTGCCAAGGCAGCCCATTGCCGCGCGGCCGACCCGTTGACGTCATCAATGTCAGCGGAGCTGAAACGGGGTGAGGTTGGCAACGTCTGCATTGCATTCGACCAGGCGTTTGATGCGCTACCACTAGACTCCGCAGCTGCATATGACGAACCTTTGAAGATATTCGCTGGTTTGTAGAAGTTCTGCAAAAAAAAAGGTACACTCTGCCAACAGTTCCACAAAACAATGACACTGATGCACGTATCTTTCCTTGGTTTTCAAATTTGATTTCCACGCTTATGTACAATATACGAGCTGCAATCACTGTTTATTTTTTACCACTTGGTCGTGCCTTCGGGCCCCCCTCGGTCGTAGTTACGGGCTCTTTCCAGCAGGTGACTATGGAGATATCGATGTCGCTGCTCCCGATGCGAAACCGCCCCCCGACGTCCAGCGTGGTGTGGGATCCCGCGGTCTGCACGAAGGGTTGCAGGTCGATGCTTCCAACCTCGTCCCCAATGCGAACGTCGACGGACGGATCGTCTGCCAAGTAGTACCCAAACCGCTCCGGTGAGGTGTTAATCGGGATCTCCAAAGGTTCGTTCGGCAGCAGTTTCATCTCCCGCGTTTCCCCCCACCAAAGCAAGTAAACAGGGCCGTCTGAGAATTCAGTTCAGAGCTTCATCAAATGCAAAATGAGAAGTCAGAAAGGAGCAAAGAAAAGCAAAAGCTGCTATATTCAACATTGGATTTTAGCATTCTGACGAGTCTCGTGTTTACAAAAAGAATCAATAGATACACACTTCTTACCTGCCTGCGTGACATCTATGCGGACGTACCCCCGAGAGGTACCCCGCACATTCGGAGGCAGGGTGAACGAACCGCTCATTAGCTCCTGAAAGCGGAAGCTCCTCCAGAGGTCCCTCACATAATTTTTTCCATTGATAATTTTTGCGAAGTACAGGTGTACTTTGACACCATTCGCGTATCGAAAGACAGCATGGTCTCCTACTCTCACTTGTAGGGCTGTGTGTTGGCACGGTGTCAGTGAGATAAAAGTGAAACTGGTGAACAGAAAAAAGTATTATTTTGTTCGTTTGTTCGTTCTCGATGGAAGCGCGGTATTCGGGTTGAAAGCGTTGCTTTCCCCTCGTCGCGACACTAGAGCAACTTGAAGAAAGCCGCTCTTTGGCTAAACAGTTTCTTGATGACTACTTCAAGAAATAAAACACTCTTTGGCATAGAGAAGAGAGTATATTAGACCAGTCTCTTTATTGTACAACTTCTTCCTTGGATTGCATGAACACGGCTGCATGTACTTCTGCGTGTCATCCATTTGCTTTTGCTGCATTCCTGCAAACTGCTCCGCTTTTTATACTGGTATTAAAGTAGATTCCTCTCTTCTAGTCGGCTAGATGCTAAAAATGCAGGTCTTGCTCCTCCAGCAGATGAAACAGATCAAGATCTTTATCAACAACTTCGAAGGTGTGGAGCGTATGTCTCGCACCGCGGATCCACTCCGTTTAACAGTGTCTGTCCCAAATATCCAGTATTCGTATCGTTTATGTTATTCCGCAAGGACGTCACCCAAAACTTGCGATACGGGTCTGCCGTTATGGACGCGGAACAGTGATCGTGCAGCGCCACGTAGTCCCACAAAGTGCCACACGGCTGAAAAAAAAAATCCCACATTCCGTTGTAAGACCGTTCCACGCGAGCCGCAAGGGTATCATCGCCGATTACGACGAGACCCGGATGCATCCCAAAGTTCGGCCTCCACCCCATTCCTGTGTACAGCTGCAGAAGTGGCACCAGGGGCAGGCCTTGAACGAGTAGAAATGCCCCCAACTCTGTAAGAAAGGTCAGCTTGGGAAAGAATAGCGACTGGGCCTCTCTTACCCAATAACCTTCCCCCGTCCGCCAGAAAAGCGCTTTCGGCAGCGCAACCCATTCGAGAGTGACAAGAAGGGTGTTAGCCAGGGCGAAAACGACCGCGAGCACCCAGGCGGCAAGCAGCATGAAGACTCGGAGCTGGAACAGTCGGGGAAACTGCATCAAATGGGCCAAGGGGGCGACATCGCTGCAGCGGAACAAAGGGTTAGTCCCGTCGAAAAGTGCCTCGTTCTGATAGGGATGGAGTAAGTCTTCAAACGACCACGGCGCCACGTGAATGTCAGCGAATGAGGGATCGCTTGCAATGCTGGCCTCCCATTGAGCTTCGTCCGCACCAACCAGAGCTGTCACAAGGTTGATTCGCTCTCCATACACCAGCTGCAGCGTCTCGAAAAAAAGCAGCAGAACAACTGAGAGTGGCGCGGCAAGCACATGAAGAGCCTGCATTGCGCTGGAGTGGTGTTTTGTCCCCTCTCGCGCCTGGTGTAGTAGCACAGCGATACGATCCACGGAGTCCGGCTGTCCGCGCAAGGCAGTGTCCGCTGGCAGCGTCATAGAGGCGTCGCGCTGGACCGGTAGTTGTGCACGACTCGCGGTTTTCTTGTTCTTCATCTTGCCGCCTTCCTCCTGCTCGAGGGGTGCGCGATCCTGGCCTCCTGCGGCTGTACTATGCTCGTCAACTCCAACGCGCTGCGACGAAACGGGTGAAAAAGTACCGCCGCTCGCCCGGCGGGCCAAACTTCGAGCCTGCCTGGTTTCATCGGTATTGGAAGGCAGTGCGGCGGTCAGCAGCAAAAGAATGCGCGGCAGCACCAGCCACAGCAGCCGCGTCAGGCGCTCGCCGAAGCTCATCATAAACGGAAAACCCGTCGGAGCTTTTCGATCCTGCGGGTGGCACCAGGGCTCGTATATCGTCAACGTATACCGCGACAGAAGGAACAGCACTTCGGTGACGATCAAACACACGGCAAAAATCCGCCCGTCCGCAGTGTCGACCGCCTGCACTATGCTGCTCAGCGTTCCCATGTGTACAAAATCGAAAGGGTAGAACAGGTAGTACTCTTCGTCCGGAACATCTTGAAGACGCCTCGATCGAGCTTGATTATCAGGCTCTTGGGGCACCAGCTCCTCGTCGCGCAGTATCAAAACAGGTCGGAGTTCTGCGACTTCATCTTCTGCTGACAAATCTTGAGCTGGATCATTATTTCCCCCGGCAGGCACCACCACAGAAGCTGCCTGACGTCGTCTGCCAAGCGCACGGCGGGGGAAAAGCACTCGAATTAAGGGGAGCACGATCGCAACAAGCGCCGACAGGAATCCCAGGTTCAGGTAAACGACCGCAGTGATGTACTGATCGGTCGTGCTTTCCAGGGCGTATGCAAGCAGATTCTGCGTGAATTGCTCGTTCGCCGAACCCACGTCCCGCGCAACCAAGAACCTTCCGTCGATCGCTTTCTGATCCCGTTTCCGCTGGTCTTCGAACGCTTTGTGATCCTGTTTCCGCTGCTCCTGCACCTGAATCACCGTGCGTTCCAATTCCCGCAGCCGCTGGAAAACGTCGGCGAGAACAGGACTAGGACGCGTAGTTGTAGTACTTTCAGCAGCCGCCCGCATCACCGGTGGTCCTTCTTTTTTCTCGCCCGGTGGCTGCTCGGAGAAGGCCGCCCCACTGGATTCCTCCGCGGTCCCCGCAGTGAAGTCTGACCGCGTGGCCCGGGCAGGACTACCAGGTGAATGATCTCCGACAGCAAGAAGTGTACTATTCGGGGAAAGAACACTTGAAAAAGGAGTGCCGCTGCTGGTGTCGATGCCACGATCGTCTGGCCCTTCCTCCGGAGGAGGTTCTTGTTTTAGTTGTAGATGAGAGGACGGCGGCCCCTGTACTACGTCTTGCTCTGTTGTAGTCCGCATATTAGTAGTTGTACTCCTCTTTTCTTGCAGCTTTCTTGTCAGGCGATCCGCGCCGAGAAGCTGGCCATCGACTACATGCAGCTCCTCCGCCTCTTCCACCTTAGAAACCCGATCGTTTCGCTGTAGAGCAGCTCCTCCTGCGGAGGAGGTACTCGTACTACCAGCTTCGCCGCCCGACACCGGCAGATTTTCACCATCGTGGTCTGCCCCGATTCGCGGAACTTTGCTTCTACTCGCAAGCACTGCTGACTTCGGCAAAAATGGATCACCTCCTCCAAGTAGCAAGAGCAGAAAGCACTGGACGGCGCATGCAAAACCATAACGTCCTCGTTGTCCTCCGCCAATTTCGGCAAAAAAAATGCGCCACATTTTTTCAGCTCAACTACACCAAAAATCGGGATCAAACCCGACAAGATGACGGACGACTCATCAACAACTTATACAAATTGCTATAGATGACCTGTAGAAGTCACAGAAACGGCGTGGCAGCATGGCTTTGGCGTCTGCAGCTGTTCTACTCGCAGAAGACATTTATTATTTTCATCTCTTTGCCTAAAATAAGAAGAAAGAGTTGAACGAAGCAAAAAGAGTTTCAGCTGCTTCGGTAGCTACACAGGACGCGACTCTCGAGCTACGTTTGCTCCTGTCAAAATACTTATTCTCGAACTGCTGAGCTTGTCAGGCCCTCAGTTCTTGTCCCAAGAACACGCAAAGTCGCTACAGCCCAGCAGATTCCTGGAGCATTCTGTCGTCCTCCCTGCTAAGTGTAATCCTTGCGGAATAGAGTTGTGCACACCGTCTGGATATAACATGGTTTCTACTGGTCTTTCTCTTTGAGCTCATAAATGCTGACGCGGCGTGGTGTCGCCACGATTGCGACTTCGTGTTGTTTTGCACTGTTGAAACAAAAACATGCGACGTACAGTTTTTGCATTTCTAAATCTGTGTCACTTCTATTTTTATCATCAAAAACGAAAGCGAAAGGAAAGCTCCAGTTGTCTGTCGCAGAAGCATGAAATGAGATGAAAGCAGAATTCTGTCTTGGTACTATTGGATCGATGACTACGCTGTGAGTACTTCGCTAGCCTGCTTATCCATTTTTCCCAGACCTCGGTCGACGATGTGCCGCATCTTCGTAATGGAGCCCATCACCTTTGGCTCGGCAAACTTTCCGACTGTCTTTATTGAAGACTTGACGCGGCCTGATCAAGCGTTTTTTACTGTAATTGATTTTTTGTCCAAGTTCTTCACATCAATTGACCAGAATAAATTATACAGTAGCCGAGAATGATTTTGGGAAAGCGTCCACATAACAAAGCTCACTCAGAAATATCAGAAAATGAATCACGTTTTCCATACCAACTTGCAGATGCAGTTGGTGTGCCTCGTTTGCAGCTTCCTCGACCGATGGGCAAGGCGCTGCGGACAACAGCAAGCTGACGGGCGCACGAGTGAGTTCGAAAGCTTTGTTGATGCGACCAAGCAGGTTCTTCGTTTGGTCTCCGACCTCATCCAAGGCATGGTGAAAATCTTGCAGGTTCCCTTGCAGGCCGGAATTCTGTTCCCCGAGATCTTCGCTAGCTTCCAGGTACGGCTTGGGCCACTCGAGCATGTGCTGTACCGCCTGCTGCAAGGCCACGTTTTTTGACATTGCGTTTGCGCTGGTACAAAGGCGGCACCCGGCGTCGAGGACTAGGAGTCGCCCTCCGCAGCTACATAAGTTTCATTCTTTCATAATGCGGCGTGTACGTAATGCAACAAACAATTTCCAACAACTGCAAGAACTACTATCGTCTGCGAAAAAGTCCTTTCTGCACTGAGATTGTTGGACGCGCTCGCAGCTTCCCTACTGCCATGAACGTGCTCGCAGTCGAAACCGTGCTACGATGGTTATCGACCCTCTCGTCCGTCTGTCTCCATTCGAGCCTCATTGATTCACTCTAGGCGAGCCAACGAAGAAAGTCTCTGCAAGACACAAAAAGCGTCGAACTACACCGTACACATTTCACATTCCGGGCCTCTGGTCGCACGACGCGGATGGTCGGAGCGAGGAGCAGTTGTACCGAGACAATTGATAATTAGTGGCCAAAATAAGTGCATCTGCTCGGATCGGGTCTCTAGTTCGTTCATTTTCTAGTCTTAATCGTACAAGCGAACCTCGTGTTGAAACATATTTACATTGAAGATTTTTTCTTTCGGTACAGCGATTTGATGCTTCAGTTTGTTCTTTCGGCCCCTCCTCTTTCTGAGTCTTCATCGAAAGAGAAGTCCGTGTCCTCCCCGGGCGCCATTGCTCTTGGAGGCTGCTGCTCTTGATCAACAGGAGGCCCAAAAGCAGGACCACCACCCGCCGCGTTACCACCGCCCGTCCCGCCGCTCGGAAGGCGATTTCCCGCGCCTTGAAAAGCTGAAGTGGTACCCGCAGCCGGGCGCACCGGCCCTCGCGGACCGGTGGCGGCAGGCGTAACTGGTACTGGATTCGCGGGCGCACCAGCAGGCGCAATCGCAGGTCCACTGCTGTCCAACCAAAGGTACAGCATAAAGGCTAAAACGAGCGTGCCCTGAGAGAATTTTCATTTTGAATATTCAGGGATCTTCAGTGGATGAGCTTCCAATCATGTATATCCAGGCAGACCACGAAAGCAGCAGCCTATTTCTATTTTTTGCAAAACATAATCAAGTAAACACATATAGCAGATGGCAATACCACCACTCCAAGGACAACCAGGTTCATTGTTCGCACGAACTTCATCGTAGAGGATTCCGGGCTGCCGCCTGACCCGTCGTCCTCTGTGCCCGACGACACCGGCGTGAGGACACCCTCCTTCTGCAGAAGGCGCACGCGCTTCACTTGCAGGGTATCTTCTTCCTGTATTATAATGAAAAATGCCCCCACTTCCGAACTCGGGAGCATTTGTATTCATTGCAACCCTTTCCAAATGAAACACTCGCCCTCTTGCATCTGTCAGCATCACAGGTTTTCAATCGCGAATAGCAAAAATTTGTATTGCAAAAGACCCCAGCAAGGGCGGCACTTGTCATGGAAGCGATGCGATACACGCTTAGACTCTGCATCAGAAAGATTCATAGTCCTTTCATGCATGGCAGAAAGTTTTCATTTGGAAACTTCGCATCACAAATTTTTGCAACTTTGGGGGTGGGGGCATTTTTCACTGTAATATCCTGCTCCACCCCGAGCTTGTCTTTGTCCAGCTTTAAGATTTTCGCCTCCAACTGCAGTTCCTCCGCGAGAATTTCGGTTTTCCTTTTCTTCGCATCGGCTAGCGCAACGTTGGTCTTCTCCACTTCCTCATTCGTCCACTGGTCGTCCTCCGAACTGGTTTGGTTCCGTTGTTCCCGAGCTCGCTCTTCGCCACCTGTGGTCATGCGCTCCGCTACGTTCAGCAGACTGTTCTCGTCGGAGGTTTGGGTCTGCTCTCCTGTCGGACCGATGTGATATACCCCATCGTCTTGAAAAACGTAATCCGGTCCTCGCGTGGGACTCTCTGCACCACTCTGCGCTTGTGGAACTGTTCTTGACCTGCTGGTGACTTCTGGTGATGGACTCCTACCATACTGGGATTGTGCTCCACTCGGAGAAACGTTGCCGTACGCGCCAGCGGGAAGATAGGGAGCTGCGTACATTGGACTTTCGCGGCCATGAGCACTTGTTGCGCTTCTTTCAGCAGCTAGTACTCCCTGCTGCTGAAACGATATGGCTCGTGTGCTTCCGGCATTTCGCTTGTGCTGCTGCATTCGTGCCTGTTCACGTGCTGCGAGATAATGCAGGCGTGCACGCTCGTGAAAACCACTCGCCGTCCCAATGTTGTTGCCTTGCAGCGATGCAGGATCACCGCGGTTATTCGAACCAACCCACGGCCCGACTGAAGGCGCCCTCGCTGAAGGAGCTTGCGTCGCGGCGGAAAAGGGAGCCTGTGGTACGCGCTGTTTGTTCCCCCTATCGACAAAGTCGTGTTTCTCCAACATCGAAGTTGCTATCTCCACTGCAGATCCGCGCGGAATGATTTGCTCCGCAGGCTTGTCTACCAACAGGTTTCGCATGGAAAATGGCTCCGGATCGCTGATGATGGGCTGCGAATCAAAAGCATGATCTGCGTCTTCTTTTTTTGTGCCAGTTATCGATGGACCTTCAGAGGTTGGAGACTGAGGCCTCCCTTGCGCATGCGCGTCTCTACTTTCCTCGCCGTGCACGCTATGCGCTTGCAGCAAATTTCCAGCTTGGATGCCAGCCGGTGGCTCTTGCGTACGCGTCTCGGTAAGTACGTCGCCTGGAAAATCGATCAAAGCGTCACCCTCCGCGAATGTGGTCTCCCGGCTTGCTCGCTCGACCGGCAACATGGCGAATGATGTACCAGTCGCAAGAGAAACGATGAGCAGTAGCCCCCGCTGCCTTCTGCACGACCACGACACGAGCCGTGCACATGGGTAGGAGGGAGTGGTCATGATGCTTTCCTTCCTGGCTTTTCTTATCTTGTTTCTCAGGAATAAACTCAAGCATGCTATTAAAGCGAAGAAAAGCACCTGCTCCCCGTACGCATTTCAAAGCCACGCAGGCGAATCGATGATGCTAGATGCAACACAACGAAAGAGCGAGGACAATCACACGAACAAAAGATGCCCCCGTTCTGTCTGGAGCACGTCTCGATCCGCGTTTACTCCGGTCACTCAATCGCGTAGCTTTCCTCATAACGCATCACTCGGTTCCAGCGCACTCTAACTAACCCTTGCGGGAACACGATACGAGCACTTTGCTTTGTAGGTTCTTTCATCTGGATTTTTCTTGTGAACTTGCAGAACTAAGCGAAAGCTAAAGCGGTCCTTTAAGAAAAACCGATGATCGATCGGGCGTTTCTGAGAGAGAAGCAATGCCATAATACGAGTACAACTACGCGCAGCTGCTGCCGTACCTTGACATATGTTCTTTCGTAAGTAGGTACTTACAGCCTTCCGAAGCTGGCAAGCTCAGGCTGCGCCTTGTTTCGACGGTGAAAAGCTAGGGTCTCGGCCGAGCTCCTTCTTCAAGGCCGCAATTTCCTTCAGCAGTGTTTGCTCTCTCGCAATTCGCTTCTTTTCCGAGTACTGATCAGCACCCGTAGCAGATTCCAGAGTGCTCAGCAATTGATTGTATCGTTTCCGCAGCTCCTCCGCTTCCTCGGTGATTTTGCGCTCGCGCTCCTCCACATCTCGCAATTGCTGGCGTAGCCCCTCGATTGTTGCTTCCAACTCAGCACGAGCTTCCTGCAACACTGTTTCCGCATTCTTCCGCGTAATCTGTTCGTCTCGCAGTGCTGTTTGTGCAGCTGCGCTGTCCGCTTGCGCCCTTTCCAGAGCAGATTCGAGCTCCGCGATCCGGGCTTCGTATTCATGCCGTGACTTTTGCTCTGCCTCCTTGGCCACTTCAACCTCTTGCGCCAGAGCCGTGATTCGTCCCTTCTGCGCCTGGCTCTCGCGCGCCGCCGCTGCCTCAACGGTGCAAATCTTGGTGGTCCAGGACTCCGATAGCTGTGCGAGTTGGTCGCGATGCTTGGACGTGGTTGCGTCAAGCTGCGTTCGTGCGCCTTGCAACTCTTTCTTCTGCGTTTGAACAGCAGTTGACAGAGCGGCGCGACGTGACACGGAGACAACGTGCCTCCACTGTAGAAACACCGCTTGCCGTAGGCTGCTCGCCACGTGTTCATTTTCCCGCTCAAGCAGTGCGAAAAGTGCCTGAGTTTGTATGAGTCATGTGCTAACTTATGTTCTGTGCACTTTATTTGAGGAGCAGGGGATCAAAAGAAATTTCCCGAATAAAAGAACATCAAATGCCCTACGCACAAAGAAACATCTCACCAGCTTGCTCTTCGCCGAGAAACCAGCCTTGGCGCCTTGTTCCGTCGGTCCGCATGTGAAGACAGCCTCGGAACCGGTGTTGCTAGCAACTTCCTCGATCGCCATGTCCTGCTCCTTTTGGAGAGCAACATTCAGGTTCAGCGTCCCCATGTCTTCGAAAAAATACTCCGCTACTGTGCTCGCGGATGGTGCACCAGCCACCCGTTTCGGCGACACCACCAAAACACGGTCTGGCTCGGCGGCAGGAGGCGCGACGATGTCAACGGGCGTTGTCGCACATTGCAGGAAGAGCGAGCTATCCCTGCGGACAACTACAGCGTCACGGGTCGGCGGCCTCGCGCCACTGGAAGTAGATTCTAACGTGGCAGCAGGCGGGTCAGCGACCGCGGCAGAAATAAGACCACCCCCGTCCTCGCCACCCGGTAGTAGAACTTGATCACCCACCGCTGGTGATCCACCCCGTGCCACTGCGTTGCGCGCGTCCTGGAGCCATTTCACCTCGAGCTCCAGTGTTTCGATCCGCATCTTTGCCTCCGACAATTCCAGCGTCTTCGTGTCGAGTTCCCGGGCGGTGGTCTGGTGCCGGCGTTCCAGCTGGTCTAGCTCCTCCCCCGGTAGTTCGGACGGAAGAGAGCTGACCCCGTAGTTGCTCTTCAGATATTTCTGGCTGTTCAAGATCGCCGCGCCACCCCGGGTCTTTCGCTTCGTGGGCGAATCGCGGACCAGTCCATTGTTCGTCACGAGGCTAGAGGAGCTCGCGGAGGAAGATCCTGGAGTTCATTTGGACGCGATGTTGAAGTAGAAGAAGATAAAACATAACAATAAATTGGAACTGAAAGTAACCAGTTTTAAACACAGTAATTCATTCAAACGAAAGAATAAACGTCACAACTTCAACAAGCGTTCTGTACCGACAATCATGGAGCCTTTGAACTGGCCTCCCGCATTGAGCGACTTTTTCGAGTAGCCCTGCGTGGTGCGATCCAGCAGCTCCAGCTGCAGCTGCTTGACCTCTTTCTTCAGGCACATCTTCTCGTACACCAGCTCCTCTACGATCTGGCTCATGCTCTTGTCCACGTCCGGTTCCACCATCGTGTTTGGGTTTCTCTTTCTTCTTATTTGGAAGAACAACTCTTTGTTTTTGTCTGTATAAGTATACTCCTGTGTCTGTTCGTATTAATAATTTACATCAGCATCGACCTCAATCTAGTTCCCTATCTTCGTAGTCCACCCCGCCCCCCTGAGACTCAACGAATGCTGCCCAGCCTCCTCTTAAAGAAACAACCCCTGTGTTGCGAAAAAGCGCCAAATAAAGCTTTCAAAAGTGCGAAAAACAAGTATAGTCCCCTTGATTCTCCGACAGACTTTGTCCGATTGGAGCACTATTTTACTGCCCCCCCAAGCAAGCATGTCTCCGCGCCCAACGAAGAAAAATTTGAATGTGATCACTAGTTATTGCCTTTTTGATACAAGTTGGTGGATCGGGATCTTGAAGAAAGAGATGAAAATGGTGTACTATCGCGAATGAAGCAAATTGTCCTGCTTTCCCGACCAGAAAACCCGCACGAAGGATGAACGTTCCACATGTATCATTGAGACGAGCCAGGATCTCACATCAAGAGCAACCGACGATAAAAAGCTCTTTTGAGCTAGTTTCTTCTGAATACTTAGGAGTGTACTGCAAAAGGAATAACGAAACGGAACTTCTTCACTGAAGCAAAAGTCACGTGAGAGTCTCTCTCTCTGCGAGTTTTGTCTGGAGGTAACGGTTCATTTTCACATTGAGGTGCGTCTGCAAAAGTTCTTTCTTGAAACGAATCCCGATGTTGCCGTTCGTTTGCTTGCACGACAACATAGTCGCCAAGCCGAAGCCGCAGATCTCCTCATCTACTTCTACTTGGAAACGCGACTGGGCCGCTGCATGAAACCGTGCGGTGCCATCTTGCGGTTCAGTGCGTGCTGGCGGAAGTAGCCGTATGTGGCACACATGGTATTTGGGTGTGTTGGTATGAGGCGGCCCTCAAAATGTCGGGTCATACCCAGGACGTGCGCCTTTTTGATGTAACCACGGCGCCGCAACATTCGCTGAAACCCGGCGTGCGGGTGAATCTTTGGGCGCCGGTGCCCATGGTAGCCCGTGTGGTTGCAAGACTTGTTCGTTCCGATTTTGTAGCGACGGTACGGCAGGTACTGCCGCTGCTGTGCCTCTATTTTGTCCATGTCCTCGCTTGGCGGCGGCGTGGTTTCTGTGTACTCATGTAGTTGCTGTTTCAGCACCGGAAGCGCCCGCCGGAAATCCTCCCACTCCTCTCTCGACAGATAGCCCAGCACGCGCCGTCGGTAGTCGGTCAGGCACAGCATGGGCTGCTGGCGGGCTTCCGGCCGTTCTTGTGCCCTCGGGTCCAGCCGCTGCCGATAAAAATTGCCCACCCGCGGCTTACCGTGACTACTGCACGGAAACGTGTCACCTGTGACGATGTGCGAAAAGCTTGCCGATTGGAGTAGCACGAGTTGTCTGTCGCACCAGCTGCGAAGATCCATGGTTTCGAGAAAGCTGCACTGGTTCGCTGACACCATGTTTTTGCTCGATTTTCGAGCTGTTGAAAGAGGCTGAACAATCTTCTTCTACTACTTCCTTCACTTTGCGATATATTATAAGAAACCACTTAAATACCTGTCTTAGTCGCAGAGGGCCACAGCCTCGTTTCCTGGCGCATAGTTTCCGGTCCGCAGTCTTTAACAAACTGATCCTGTACCCAGTCAGGACGATGATCGAGCTGGCAAGGCGCGCGAGGGTCGGGTAGCGCGTTGACGTCGGCGGAGCGGGCGTTGTGCACAAAGAGATTTTTTCCGAAGGGCTCGATCGCCATCAGAGGGGTTGCATCCTTCGGCGGCCAGTGTGGCCACATTGCATTCCACCATTGCTGCCGTTCGACGCTCAAGGCCGGCCGCCAGGCTTTCAGGGCGCGCGAGGCACAGTCCGTGAAAGCCTTGTGATACGAGTTGGACGCAAACTGCCCAAACGGGTACGACATGGTCTTGGTTTCAAACAGAATTAAATCTGCTGTCTTAACAGGGGCAAGTTGAGATTTCTCTTATTCACATGACATAGTTCGAAACCACCACAGAAAAGTTCCCGTCAACGAACAAAATAAAAATCTGAAGATCCAACGTAGAAGAGAAGAGTAAAAACAAAATGGCGGATCTTTCCTGCCGGAAGCCATCAACTACAGTAACAACGTAGGCTACAATTCCACAACTAAGTGCTGGAGGAACACCGCGGTATGTTGGACGCGTTTGCGCAAGTAGAACGTCTTCCCACCGTGTCGCCGTTTCTCATCGCGTGTGTGTCATTGCGTATGCGGCATTTTCGCTTTCTAGGAATCGAGATCTATGTATCAGGCGCGGGATCAGCAGAGCTTTGCGTAAATTTTGTTTGTTGTGCTGCGTCGACGGTAACCCGACGCAAACACAGGGAGCCGTGCCCGTCAACTAGCTGTCGTCCATCATGTCCTCACTCTGTAGACGCCGTAACTCCCGATAGAGGTCTTCCATGGCCTGCCGCCGTTGTATCCGGTTCGAGAGTTTTGCTGTTTGATTTTTCATCCATGTTTTCCGCCTCTCGGCATGTGCCGAAAACGTAATATGCTCCAGCGGACTTAAACTTAAGTATTTTGGTCATGCTCGAGTCTATGTGCATGACAAAACGATCGCCAAAAGCAGAAAATACATGCGGAGCCGCCTGTGCGCACACCACTGCCGCGCGGGCCCAGTGTCGTGCCGCGTTTCCGCGCGGCACCGGCACCGCTGGGACTGGAAACGGAGCGGCGGTCTGACTGGCCGGAACCGGCCCGCGCGCGGTAGTTTCCGCGTGTCGCGAGACTTCCGACGCCCGGTATTGTTACAGGAATGTCGAAGTTCAGGATGTCCTCACGCGAGACCCCGTTATTTTCTGGCGAAAAATTCCCGGTGTTTTGCGCGGACGAGGAACTCGCTCCGGTCTGGAACTTTCCGTCCCGCCAGGGAGAAAAGCTGTTTGGACTCGCTGCCGCGTGCTCCAGTTTGGGCATCTGCGTCGACGGAACGAGCGTGTTTCCCGCGCCTGCCGTGTCCGCCGCTTGTGAATCTGCGACGGATGCCGACGGCTGCATTTGAAACGCGGCATCCACCTCACCCGGCGACACGAGCGGCGGCGAGCGCGCGGCGCCGAATGTGGGAGACGCGCGGAGCATGCTCTGGGGCGACACCGCCCGCCGTTTTGGACTTACGGAGGTCGCACGCGACGTCACTCCACGCGTCACCGGCTTCTTGTCCACCTGGTACCCAATCACCTCGACGCTACCTGCAGAATGAGTGTTCGGAACAAATCCCATTGGTGGCCGCCCCGAGAACGTCTACCGACAGCAAGATGCAAAAATATTTCTATCATTCTTGCACCAAAAAAAGCACTGAAATAAGCACCGATCACTCGGCACCAGCGGTATTACCTTCGACTGCAGCGACTTTTTGCTGCAGCGTGCGCTGATTGGTAACGACCTTCTTCAAAACCTCACTCATTTTGCCCAACTGCTCGGAAAAATGCGCGTTCAACCGCTTTTCGACCTATAGAAATTCAAACATCTGCGCGTTTCGATCACGTTACAGAAAGTAGTCGCAACGAGAGTTGTGGGCAGCTCCTTTCATAAACCCGCTACAAACTTCGATTAAAATCGAAACCACGGTAGTCGATAGTTGCGTACTTTGTACCATTTCCATGACGTGCTGCGTGGCGTCCTCTCGTTGGCGGCTGATCCGGTCGTGCACGTCATTGAACTGGGCGGCGATATGTTCCCTAAAATCCTGGAAAAAGTCTGTGGCTTTGCGATCATTGGCCTCTATCGACCCCACTGCGTCGTCCGCAAGTCTATTGCACAGCTGTACAGTCGTTTTTAGCTGCATCCATTATCATCGCGTTCAAAGCAAAATCGTGGCGCTCTATATATATCATTCCATGCACAAACGGCAATACCAATATCTTAGCGAAAAAAAGGTAATAAGCCGATGAAGAATGTCAAAATACTCACCTTTTCGCTTGCTTTTATCATGTCGTACTGTTCCGCGAGCTGCTTTTCCATCATCTTGTGTTCCGACGCCACTTTTTCCATGGCCGCTACACTGCGCTCCATGTCGCTCCGCAGTGCGGCGCAGGCCTCGTCAGCGCTGTCCCGCGCGGCGTCGACACTCTGCGCGCTCTCCAGAAACTGCTTCTGCACTTCCGAGCCCAAAACCTCCAGCTTTTCGTTTGTGCGGCCCTCGATATCTTCGTTCATTTCGTTCACTCGAACCTTGATGTTCTCCGCAACGCGGTTGACCTAGAGAATGAAAGTGCCGTACGAAGAACATCGTGATCAAGGCAGGATGGCAGTCGTCGGCGTGCAAACAATTTTTTCAAAAGAACCAAAATTTTCAACGACGGCGCACAATGAATAACATTATCTACACCTCCTCGTTGTATTGCTGCATGAGCTTGATGAGCCGGCCGCAGTTCAGCACCTTCTCTTCCATTGCATTCACCTGCGTCTGGACCTGCTCGATTCGTTCCGAGAAGGCTTGTACCTTGGTATAATTGGATCACCCGACATCAAAAACGAGGTGGTTCCTGCAGTGGCAAAAACCAAAATTAAGCGGAAGGTTAATACAGGAGAAATTAAAAAAGGACGTCCGCAAGAATCGATTATAGTACTGTGAGGCAGCTACTGCTCACACGTTCGAGCTGAACTTCAAGAAAGTTCAAATAGGCGGCTCGATCGGTGAGCAGTCGGTTTTTGTCGACCTTGTCGACTAGCGAAGAAGGGCCAACGGCTGCTCCCGCCCCGCCGCCGCCGGTGCTTCGCGGTGTCCGCGGCGTACTGTACGTATTTCTCCGCGTCGACATCATTTTTCGTCCTAGGACCTGCAAGCGACGAGGACCATGCACAAAAACAAAGAACTACTCTACGCTCGGTTTACGAAAAGGACGCGAAGAGGACTCAGAGCTCTCTACAGATCATATTGAAGACCCGCACCTCTCTGATTGCATCGGCAGAGAACTAGAGTTCACCTCTGTAGTAACGTAAGGGGCTCCTCCTTTTTGCTGTTAGTTTTTTTCCCGCTGCACTCTCGTCATGAAATCTCTCCGATGATTAATTTGATCTCTTTCCTTCCTTCTGGTATAACTCTGAAAGCTGCACGGTGTTTCTGAAATCAGTAGGATGCCCGCTATATTGTTATTCGTCAGCGGCATCATGCGCTTGCGCATGCGTGGTAGAGATCCTAGCTCATTGTTACGAACACTTGCTCCTTTGGTTTTTCACAAAAATCGCAAGCAAGGCGAGGTAGAGTTCGCTTCTGCAAGGAACTGGTTGAAGATGGTGTCGTTTGTATTGCTCAGTTTTGAAAGAGTTCTCGTGAAGAAGAAGACCGATGCGCATCAGAAAAGGAAAACCGGATGTTTGTGCTTGCAGGCGACACAGCATCGCGCAACGTGGATGATGGAACAAAAACCAGCCAACCTGTTGTTAGTAGTTCCACGACTTGGTTGCCCAACGCGCATAGCCTACTTGAAGGCGCGGCCCTCGTGTTGCTTCCGCTGCGCCGAATGTCCACCTGGCGGTCGCACGCTGGCAGCACCCTCGGGTCCCCGGGGTCTTGCAATCAGCTTTGGATTCGCAAAACCGGTTTGCTTGGGCGGGCGTGGCGCCTTGCCCGCACCCTTCTGGCCAATCTGACCTGTTTTGGTACTGCGACTTGCGTTTGCTTTGTTCTTCTTGCCCCCGTTCAAACGCCGGTTCGCGCGTGGGCTGCCTTCATCGCTATCGGGCACATCATCCAGATCCACCACGGAACTGTCACTAGTCTCGTCTGAGCCGCCTCCCCCGAAGCTGTGATTGTGAAAGTTGTTACTTACAACGCATTGAAGATGATGAAAACGCTATTGCTGCAAAGGGCTCACTTGGAGGAATGAAGATGAGCAACTATCTATGGAAGTGGCGCTCGCAGCCTGTTTGGTCGTCGGACACTGAAATTATTAGCAGAGATACACAACTTGTATAATGAAAACGACTACGTCGGCAACACAGATTTTCATATCCCAAAAATACTCGCTCTCGCTGCCTTCGTCGCTTTCCGTGTCGGGGTTGAATTCGTCGTCTTCTTCGATGTCTGAATCGTCCGAGTCTGGCTTCCAACTTGCCTTTGACGAGTTCTCCGCCTCAGAGTCCGATCCTCCCTGCTGCGCGTTTACCTGTGTAGTTGTTTTCAACATCTTGATTACTTTTATCCGACTGAGACTGCCTGGAGTGAGAGTGACTCATATCGATCCCATCGAAAAAATCAACATCCTAGTGGGCAGCTAGTAGAGGGGAAGATGGGGAGCGAATACTGCCAGTCGCATCAAAAATCGAAGTAGATTCCGATTACCTCGTCGCGCTGGTCGTGGCCGAAATAGCCCTCCCAGAAGTTCTCGTCCTGGAATGTCCCTGTTCCGATGTCCTTCACGATATTCGCCATGAGGTCCTTCCACTTTTGTGAGTATTCGGTGGTGTACCAAACGATCCGCTGGCAGGAGAGAATCATTTTCAACCGCTCTCCGAACTCGCGGTTGGGAATGGCCGTGATCCGCAAGGGTTCTTTTTTGTAGTCTTTGAGGACCAAAATCAGGTCAAACTCCTTCAGCTCCATAGTGAACCGCTCAAACACCGCAATTTCGATATCGCGAAATGGCACGCAAAACGCCGGCCACTCCTGCAGCGAGATGATGCAGTGCGCCGTCGGATGCAGCACGGTGTGACCCCTGTTGAAAAGTCGTCCGTGTCGCAATTGATCAAATCTTCAGCCACGTCGGTACTTCTAAGCGTACGACCAACTACACGTAGTACCTTACGGCTCACAAGAATATCATCAAAACTCAAGCTTTTCTATTTCTTTCGTGTTCCCGTGCAAAATTCGATTTTATAGATTTGCCAAATGAGTACCTGAAATGCACACCGCGGAAGTCCAAGTTTTGGTACGGGTACTGGAAAACCAGGTCAATTTTCTGTTCCCGCAGCAAGTTGTGGATGTGCTCGATGAAACCGCGGAACGTCGCATTGATTTTGTTCACCATGCGGCGCTCGTTCTCCTCTTCTTGCCTCTCGTCCAGGTTTGACAGCGGCCGTCGGCCCGTCAAGTCCTCGGTCACGTTCAGCACTTCGCAGTAGAACTGCACCATAAAAGTCCGCTTCTTGTTGATCACAATCTCGTTCTTCAGCTGGAAGTGCATCACCGTGTTCACGGAGTCGACGCAAGGCTCGAAAATCGCGTGCGCGATGTTCGTGTACAAAATGTCCACGTATTCGCTGCGCGGCGCGATGAAACGCAAACCGTTCACGTGGCCCTCGAGCCGGCCGGTGGCCTTCCCGGTGGTCAATTTTGGCCTGACGTGGATATCGCGGAGGCAGGGCGGTTGCCGCTGGTACATTGGCTTCAGCGGCTCCTGCGCGACGAGCCCGACCCGGGCTGCCTGCTCCTGCTCGCGCGCACGCAGGGTCTTCTGCGCATCCTTGAAACGGGTGGCCAGCGTCTCGAAGTTCCTCCCGTCCAGGGACTTGAACACCAGCTCCTTGATGTACATGCGCTGTGGGAGCGGCTTATTGGGCTTCGCGTCGTAGGCCGCACGCCTTTCCGGCGGAAGCGCCTCGCGATCCTTTCTTCTGCGCGCATTGATCCAGTCTCGGGGCATGGGGGGGAAATCGTCCAGGGAGGCACCACCGCCGCCCGGAGTGAAGAACACCATCCGCAGTACGGACCGGGACAGGTGATCGGTGGACACCGAAATCGATTTCACAACCTTGATGGCGAAGGGCACCGTTATTCCGTTTATCGGGACCAGCAGAGCATTCTTGTCCGTGTCCAGAATCAGCTTCGGTTCCAGCACCTTCTTGGCATTGGCAGCTCCGAGCCCGTCGTACGAGATATCCGGAAGGTTGCCCGCCCCCTTGTAGAGCTCCAAATCGAACCGCTTCTTTTGCGGCTGTCCGTCGGAGCCGATTCCGACGTACCCGCGTGCGAACTTCTCCTTGAGCTCCACGCATTTTTCATGCCTTAGTCTCTTCTGTATCTCGACCTGTTCCTGATTGTGCGACATCGCGAGCTGCAGTTGCTGCGCGCAGGCGCGCTGGCTCCTGCCGGCCCGCGCCTGCTGCAAATTCGTCTGCGCGGCTTGTCGTGCCGCAGCTTCCTGTTGGAGAATAAGCTGCTGCATGTTCCCGCCCTGTACTCCTGGCCAAGCTCCAGCTGCTGCGCCCTTCGCTGCTGCACCTGGCGGCATGCCCGCCGCACCCAAGGAGGGATGCAGGCCCTTGCCAGCACCCTTCGCCGTGCCCCCGGAAATCACCGCTGCGCTCGCGGCGGCGGTAAAACCTGCTGGTGTGTGTACAACACCCGCGGACGAGGAAGACGACGCGGGACCCTTGCCCGTGAGGGGAAGATGAGCCGCGTTATTCTTCGACGTTTCACCCGGCAACGCGTTGTCCAATTCGTAGTCGATGTCGCTTAACTGCTTTTTGGCCCACGCCGTCAGTTCCGTGACCTTCCACTCATCCTGCTTCCCCACTTCCTGATTCGGCAAAATCACGACGGTATCGGTGGTCCAGATGGCCCACGGCTCCGCTTCGGTGGTGGTGAGTCCGACGGACAGACACAACACCATGCCCGGCTTCACCGTTTTCTTGCTTTTGGGCGTGATCGCCAGCTGCCCGTCGCGAAACTCGAGCCCCATCCCGAACCCGACGTTGTGCAGAAACCGGTCTTGCAGCGCTTCCGGCAGCGCCTCCTTGCCGATCTGGTAGAGCTCCGCGAAGGGGAGGTCCTTCCGACGGAGCGCGAGCAGCATGGCGCGGTACGCCTTCTGCACCTCCACATAGGCCTGCTTCTGCTCCTTCGTGGCATTGATTAGCAAAGTACGTGTCAGACTCGCCCCGTACTCGCAGTACTTCACGCCCAAACTGAGCAGGAAAGTTCCCTGCGTCGCCAATTTTTTTCTGTAGCCCGGGTCCGACGTGGGGCGTGGGTCGAAGTCCTTGCCGCTCTGACACGTGGCGTACAACAGGTCCAGCTTTTTCATCTCGATGTTGTGGTCCTGCTCCCACTTCTTCAGCATCGTCCGCTTTTCGAACTCCTCCTCCACCGCTTCCGCGACATTCCGGTTCTTCAGATCCGCCTCCTTGTCGGCGTTGTGCAGCACGCGATCGATCATGCAGCGCTGCATCACCGCCACGGACACCTTGGCGGCGGAAACCACGTTCTGCAGCTCCTCGAGGCCTTTGCACGCCAGCGCGTCCGACACCAGCGGCCGCAGATCGAAAACCTCACCACACCCGGCAAGGATCTTCTCGATTCGTACGCCAAACTCGCCGACATGGGTCTCTTTCTTCAAGCACCACATCTGCGTCACCTGATTTGTCGCGATTGATGTTGTTGATCTTCACGAAGTGATAATCATAATTCGAAACAAGTACTTATTCAATAAAAGCAGCAGATAAAAATTCGGGGCATGTTGAAAGCAGCGAACACTAAGCACATATCCAATTCAAATCGACAATAGAGCGCATAATTCGATTGCAGGATGAAAAAAAGGTAAATATAGTACCTGTCGTTTTTCAAAAAACTCCTTCAACTTATCTTCCAACTTCTCGTCGTTTCGAAAGAAGCCTGTGACCTCCATGGGGAGCTGCTGGCTCGGGTTGCCAAGAGAGAAACCGCTCACCCCCGCCGCCTGCATGGCGGGCACGAGGATCCCGACCTTCTTTTCGGTGGAGATTAGACATACGGATTGTCGTGTCAAAATCAAACACGTGTCGTACATAGCGTAGCCAAACAGGTAGTGAAAGAGCGCGACCGTCTTGTGCTCCTCCGACTCGTCGTCGTTCTTCCCGGTGAACACAAAGTGTGCGTGCCCATCTTCTAGCGGCAGAAACCTCGCGACGCGGCTCCGGAAAGTGCTAGGCAGAATTGCGTCTGCCGCTAGGGGCTGCGGCTGCGCCGCCGCGGTCGCCATGTTGGCGGCCTCGTGGTCCTAACAACTACAGCGGCCTGGAGACTTCACTGCTCGCCTTCGCTTTGAGGTTCAACGCATGGGGAGACAACCTGCGTATCGCCATCAAGAGATCATGAAAAAAATCCTGAAAAGACAATGGCCGTAAAGTTTTTCAAACGCAAATAAGGTGAAATAAACTAGAGACGTATAGACAATAAGGAGGAGGGCACGTAGTACGTACTTACCAATCTCTTTGGATAAACAAATTTCAATATCAAAATCATTGAAGGAAAAAAATTGTCATATGGGTCGCTGATCGAAGATGCGAGTCGCTGTGAAAAAAATTATCGATCGTCCAGCCAGATGACGATCTTTTCGAGAGATTCAGATATGATCGAGGCATTGGAAAGCGAGAAGGCTAAAGCGAGACTGCAGAGCTGAATAAAATCTAAAACTCTATATCTTTTCAATCTCTACTCTGATCGGAATAGCTGCACAGCAACGGTGTGTAATCAAGATGAAAGAAAAAGATCTTTCGTTGCACTTTTTTGCATCACTCGCGCCCTTTGGCAACGGTCTGAATAGCTACTCCTGATCGTCAACAAATTGCAATGAAAAGCAGGGTAGAACAAGGCCTGATCTGAATCTTCGCAGCACGTGCGCAACCTCGAGCTGCGGGTCTCCGTCTTATTATTCTCCATAAGGGATGCGGCACGCAACGGCCACCGCCTTTGCGTCATTGGCAAGGACTTAAATGTTTCTCAATACGTGTATCGCTGTGTTTTTTTGAGTCGCTTGTTGTAACATGAAAATGGAGTGATAGCGAGCATGAGAGATCGCAACTGCCGCAATAATAGCACGCAGTCGCATCCGCGCGCAGAAGTAGGACAAGGACATAAGACAACTTGCGCATTCGCACGCGCGACGCGTCACTAGTTCGTCTTCTTGGTCGCTGGGAGGGCAGAGCTCTTCCTGGACTCGCGAACTTTCGGAGACCACGGTTCCTTCAGCGGTGCGAGAAAGGGAATGCGCAGGTACCCGCATATCCGCGATATCGTGTCCGCCGACACCCAGAGCACCGCGGCGATTTCCCACATCAGCAGCAAAACCAGACGCCAGTGATTGCACAGATACGCGAGCGAAGACGTTGCGCCTCCGAAGAGGCACGCGGTACTGCTAGTTGTACCGGACGTCGCCGCGACGCCCACGCGTTTCGGGGAAGCACCACTAGCACTCGACACCGCGTCCGGACCCGTCGAAAAGAGGCGCCAGGCGGCTCCCCGGGAAAAGTCCAGCAGCTCGGTGTACTCCTGCGGCAAGAGCAGGAAGCAGGAGTAGCACACCATGGGCAGCAGCGTCAGGTGAACTAACGGGTACCTTATCTTGCAAATGCCGCTGACGATCATCCGCAGTGTGAGATCCACGGCCGCGAGGCCAAGGATCATCAGCATCAGCACGGGCGTCCGGCTGTACTGCTCGCTCCGGAAAAAGATCACCGCAATGACGAAGTGCTGGTACAGGGGCAGCATCGTCCACACGGGGTTACCGAGGGGGTTTATGCCATTCTGGTGATGTTGCTGGTGGTGATGGTGTTCGCCGCTTGTTGCAGTGCCGCCATTGCCAGTGTTCGACGTGGTCTCCATCTCTCCCTTGCGCCACTGCCTGTACACCCGGACCGCACTACCGCCAATCACAACAAGGGCAAAGACAATGCCGATCCAGAGAATCAGGTCCTTGCAGTAAAGCGAGTCGATGCCGATGGCAGGGGTTTTCATCCACTCGCGAAACAGCGGCCATCCAGTTACGACCATGCACACCGCGCCTGTAAAAGGGCGATAAGTAAGTACTTCTATCATCGTAAAAATCCATGCAGTGCAAGAGTTGCAACTATTTCAACATGATGTGCCGGCCAAAGAAACGCTGCGAACGAGCGGAAGAGACGCTAGTTGTACCCGATATAGTTAATACGCAGTAACCTATCTTTTCGTCGCAGAAAACACATCAAAAGCAAGATCTATAAAACTTTATCATACTGAGGAACTGCGCTTCTGTGCATCCCTCCGCGGGTAGTATGCCGGTGTGGTAGTGCTCCCACTGCGCCGCAAACATGGCGTACGGTACGAGGAGAAAGTTGAGCCAGCCACAAAAGCTTCGGTCGGAGTAGTTCTCCGGCATGAACGGCTCGTGTGCGCACAGCACGCAAATCAGCCCGTTCAAACAGACCACCACCGCATCACACCCGTGATCAAAGAGCGCGCCGAGCGGCGTGGACTGCCCCGTGCGTCGGGCGTGCTTGCCGTCGGCTGCGTCGCAGGTTTGGTACACCAGGATGGCGACCGCGGAGTAGATGTGGCCAGCCCACCTGGCTTCCGGAGAAATGGTCTCGCTCGTTACGTGCACCACGAGCATCACCACAAACCCGCTGAGCATAACGAGGAACCCGGCAAAAGTGACCAGATTCGGACTCACGGAAGCCGGCAGAAAACTGCTGAACCAGAACCAAAACGGATTCAGCACGTTGTCCAACGCGGAGTACTTCCCAGCCGCATACTTGAAGTGCATCAGGTTGCGGATTCCGGCGGGCGTGACGTAACCCCCTTCTGGGTCCGACCAGTTGTCCTCTACGATGCCTGCAAGTGCGTTTTGGTGTAAAGTGATCCAAAACTACTACCGGAATCAGCGGGCGAGAGCTTGTGCTACCAGGTTTCTCCTTAAAGGATGCACTATTGAACAAGACAGCAGGCACAGGGATTTTATAAACATCATCTTCGGCAAGCACGGAATAATGTGGTAGAGGTCGTGTGGGATCAACATATAACAAGTCTTCATTATAGCAGGGGAGCTGGCATCGTCGAGGACATCATCTTCGGAAAGATGCAGAGTCGCTTTTATAATAGTCGCCAAAGTTGTAGTCGAAGCAGTCCCCTAGCAATTAGCAGCAGTAGGATTATTGGAACCTTCCGGGTGCAGGGAATCCGCAACGGAATCGGGGCCTACCACAAACTGCTTCGGCATGATCTTCGAGATCGCTTTTTGCAGTTTCTTTCGTCGATTATCCGCTGCTACCCACGTGCTGAAGTAGTGGACCTCCTCGGACTTTCGCGGTGCAGGCGGGCTCGTCCGACTGCTTCGCGGTTGCGTACCCTTTCTTGAAGGGGACGAGGAGGAGGTTGCTCCCTCGCTGGTTGATTCGCGACCGCGGGAGGATCCGACCCCGGCTGAAGAAGGCGGCGAAAATTCTTCGCTGTCCGGCCCGTCCGATTCTTCTTGCCCGTCCGCCGTGCTGACGTTGCTGCTGCTCACTTCTCGCTTTGGTCCACCTAGGTGGCCAGACTCGCCCTCTTTCCTCTTTTGCTTGCGTTTTCGCGCTTGTCGCTGCGGCGAGGTCTTCGCACCCAACGACCCGCTCCCCTCTGCACTGTCCTCTGCTAGCAACATCGCTCCGTCCTTAGTGTTAACGTCCGAACCAGCTTGCTTCGCGCATTTTTTCTCTGCCGAAGACGCCGCATCTTTATTTCCCGAAGATGATGCCAGTACAGCGTTTTCCGCTCCTGCGGCGAAGTTGTTTTTCTTGTTGCCGTCACATGATGAGTCCTTCTGGTCCGCCAGCTGCTCGAGCTCGCTACCAGTCTCCTTCGAATCCGTTCTCGGCGAGGCCGCGCATGCGTCCTGCTTGCCCTTTCCTTCGCGCCGCTGCTTGTACAGCTCGTCCCGGTACAGCCGTTCGTGGGTGACGTAGTCTTCTTGCGCCGCCTCCGAAATCGGCATGTCGAGATGCAGGGCCATCTTCTTCCGCACGTTCTCCGCGTACAATTCTGGATCCTCCTTCTCCTGCTCACTCGGGTGGTACACCTTGAGCACCTTGATCTGCATCCGGTTTGCGAACTGGCAGCAGGTGCGGAAAAACAGCATGTCCATGTTGTTGCCCCCGCAGGCCGCTCCCGTCCAGCACGGGTTGTAGTGGTAATACGGGAACCGGATATCAAATGCAAAAATGTCTGGGTCTGGAAAAACTCAACTTGTGATGCTGCATTTGGATGTCTAAAAAATTTGTGTTGCATGAGCAGCAAAAGGAGTGTAATTTTTGCTACGCGGAGAGGGCATTTGTCATGCGGAATAGGCATCAAGAGTCTCAGTCTCTTATAGAAAATTGTGATGCTAGGGCATGCATCATAGACATCATGGCTCATGCAAACCGTGCGTGACAAGTCTCGGAATCTTCCAGACCCAGACATTTTTACAGTTGATACCGGAAGCACACGGGCTGCACGGGCGCGCCGGGCGTGAAGGCGCCCTTCTTGAACTTCAGCATGGCGATGTTGTTGCCCGTGGTGCCCTCGGGGAAAATCATCAGCTGGCTCGCGTTATCAAATGTAAAAATGTCTGGGTCTGGAAGCGTTGGAACTTGTGATGCAAACTCTGGAACACACAAAAATTTGTGTTGCATGGGCGCCAAAAGCTGTCCATTTCTTGGCACGCAAGTAGGCAGTTTCTCATGCGTGACAGGCATCATGTGGCGTGCTCAAAACCTGTGATGCTTTTGCCTGCATCAGACGCCATTAGCGTGATCCGAAATATGCATGACAAATCTCGCAATCTTCCAGACCCAGACATTTTTACATTTGATACGCGTTCGGGTCGTTGGTGCGACGCTTGATCTCGAGCAGCGTGTTCTTCTTCGCCTCGGGGTCCCCGCTATGCATTGCAAATATGTCTGGGTCTGGAAACTTGTCATGCAAGGAAGGGAAGAGTGAGCACTCTGTAATGCGCTGCACAGCATGGCAAGTTTTTCCGTGGTTCTGAGTTTCGTACTCCGCATGAAAAACTGCATTTTTGCACGACAGGCGAGAGGAGCTCTTCGCGGCCACGCAATACAGATTTCAGAGTCATACCGGACCAGCATGGCAAATATCGCAATTTCCCAAACTCAGACATATTTACATTTGATACTTGCTGACAATCACCGCCCGTGCGGCGTTGACCACCTGCGGAAACCCCGGGAACGCCAGGTTGTTATCCTGAGTAAAAACGTACCCACACCAGAGTTGTAGTGCAGATTTGCGAGGACAGACGGACTTGTAATGCGCATCCCCATGAGAGCCATTTCCAGTCGTGTTTTGGAATTTGTGATGCTAAAACAACCGCACCGACATTGCCATTGTCCATTATCGCTGGGGAGGCAAGCCTCCGCAGGCGCTGGAGCGGCATAGGGTCAGAACCGCGAAAACATCGCGAGTATTTGGAATTTGTGATGCTGTGAACAGGGTGAGCAGATGAATCTGTGATGCGGCTGCACTTGCTAACCTGCACTACACTGCATAGTGCAACTTGTCATGCGTGACTCACAAAACTCCTAGGTTTGTGTTGCAAAATCCTCATCCTGACTCTGGTGTGGGTACGTTTTTACTCAGGATAGTTGTTCACCGAACTCACGAAACTGCAGCCGCCGGACTTGAAGAACAGCATCACCACCTCCCAAATGCAGGGGTGGTTGGACACCAAAATCTTGGCCGACTTGTCAAACCGCCCGTCCTGGTCGATCCGGAAATAGCACATCCAAAACATCATCGAACGCGCGCAAAGCGTGCCCAGCTGAAACCAAATTCGAAACCTGGGTTGATTGAAGTACTTGTAAAATAGACGAGAAGTAGTACTCACTCGGTAATTCTTGACGTCATGATTTCAGTCCAGATTCAAAAGAAGCAGGCGGCTACAGTAGAATTCCTAATGGATTTGCTCGTCCTTGAAAAAGAAAAAGAGAAACTGCTAAAGCCAACGCAGGCCGACAAAAAATATCCAACCAATCTTATAGATACCAGAGGGTCTCATGTGGTTGCCAGACGGCCACGCAAAGGCAGAAGATGCCAAGGAAGCAACTGATTATGGTAAACAGGAATCGCACCACTGCAATCCCGGACAGGCCGAAGAAAACCATCTTCGCGATTTCGTAGGACGTCAGCGGTGTGTCGTAGTAAAAAGCCATGTCTTTCCCAACCCTCTTCAATTTGGTTTGGTCTTCCCCGAGTTCCTCATCGGCATTGGTCCGGATACTGGAGACAAACCGCAAGCCCATCAATGCCCGCCAGTGCTCGAGAAAATAGAGAAAGAACTGGAAGAGTACTACCAGGATCAAATACCGCCAAAGAAAGGTCCCGACGAATCCTGCCTCGGGCTTTACTGGCGGAAACAGGCTCTGCATCAGATCCGCGGCACGTGCCTGTGGATGTCATAAAGAAAGTAGTTGAGTACTTTGTTAATTACGTCCAAACAGATTGCTTTAATGGACGCGATTGTAGATCTAGATTTCTCTATTGGATACAAAATGAAAACCACGTTCCCAGAACTTCTGCCAATGAAACCAACAAAACAAAAATTGGTACCTCCATGCCTTCCAGGACGAGGCGGCGAAAGGCTTCGGCACTAGAAACTGGCATATGGACAAACTCTGCCTGCGAAATGACTCCGTTACCATCGGTGTCGATCTCTTGGAACAAGGTCAACAGCACTTCTTCCATACGAGACTCCACGAAACTTGCGGCATCCGCCGCTGCATTGTGAATCCAATCTGTCGCCATGGTGATGAAGCGCCTTGGTCGTCACGTGAAGGGTGTTTACATGATTTGGGATCGAAATAAAACTGTCAGGTGAATGTACCGTCTCCACAATTTGTTTTTGTTTTCCCCGGTCTTCATAACAATCTAGGGCTGGAGTTCCGGCGGCTCTCGTTTTTCTTTTTAAGGCGAGCCATGAACTTTATTACCCTAGTCAAAGGGAGACTACTCGTGCTAGGCTCCGGCTCCGAGTGAAGTTTCTAGCCTTGAATTCTTAGCTTCTTTTTCTTTTTTTGATGGAGCAGGTGAAAAAGTAGCTCTTTTCTCAAACAAAAAAAAGCACCTCCTTAAAAAAAGCCGACCTGGTGAGGAATGATAGCGATAAATCACAGTTTACCACGTGGACCGACAATGGATGCATCTGATGCTGACACGAGATCCAATGATCGCTGAGATCTCTTCAATTTTCTTGCGGATCCTTTGACAGCAATCTTTCTATCATAGTGCTGTTTTTAAAAATTTTTCAATGCGAACATTTGATTTTCTGAAAAATCACAGATTAATGGTGACAATTTGCTCATGTAGCATCTCAGAGCGAAATGGAATACGAATTCGAATACCAAAAGTGAAAAATACACATGAATGTCTGTCAGCTGTACGCCAGAGGTACAGGGATACACAAAGTGCGTGTCAGAATCCAACTTGATATACATTTTCCTCAACGGTCGCGCAAAATTACAACAAAGCCACGACTGGCAATGATAAGCTCTCAAAAACACTACTCAACACAACAACTGTACTAGCGATGACTATGTATTAACTTTGGAATAAACTGTGAAAACTCAAAACCGAAAAGCAAAAGATACTTTCAACATGGGACGAAATAAACTATTTTACAACTCAAATACTTTTATGTGAGTGTCTGATCAGCAGTGGTGTTCCGCGCCCCTGAGAGGACACCGGCCATACTGGAGATTGTACGCGGTTGCTCTGTGACCGTGCGAATGACGTGGCTTTTCACCTTCGTGAGCCGGCGATTCGTCGCGAACTTCTTGTCCCCGGGCTCGGAGCGTTCCTTAACCTTCCCCACGCACGTTCCGTCGATCACCACTGCACCGCTCCCACGCTGATTGGCCGCGGTCGGCTCGGCGTCCGGTTGGAATTTCGTCGACCGGAACTGCGCTGCTGATTCCGTCGTGTACATCCCCTCGATCGCATGATCCTGCATGCCCCGCGCGGGCGCCTCCTCGAACAATTTCCTCGTGAGAGACACGCTCCCGTTCGCCAGGGTCCGCGTCCCGCGGCGCGTGTTGGTCTTTCCCGTCGCTGCGATCAAGCGCTCCTCCTCCCCCGTCAGCCCGGTCGGGGAGGACCGGTTGAGTTTTGATGTAATTCTCCCGTCGTGCTCAGTAGATCTAGAAATAGCTTGCTGCACTTGCGCGAAGTTGTGGCCCGCGGACTGCGTTCGTCTCAAGTTCAGCCGTTCCATGTCGTAGTTCTGCTGTTTGTCGTACACCGACCGGTATAATCTTTTCGTTTCTGCGCTGGTGGGCGACCGGCCGAGCACGTCGTGGGAATCCCGTTCGCCGCAGACGATCCCGCCGAAAAGACGGACTTCGTACGGGTCCCAAGGCAGGTGGTACATCGGGGACTTGGGTAACCGCACCCGGCGCTCCTCCATTTCGCGGCTCGTCATGAACCGCCGGCTCTTCACGTCGTCGCCGGGCGCGTTTTTGAGGTGCGGCTTCCGGTGCGGGGGAATCGTGGTGAAGTACTTGTCGTCCACGAAGTTCTCCTCCGTCTTGTCGTAGAAGGGCGCGTACTTTCCGTCATACAGGCCGGCGTAGGCTCGCGGTTCGGTCCAGACCTCGCCCTGAGTCGTCTCCTCGCCCAGTCGAGAGACGAAATAGGGATACTTGTCCCGGTCCGTGGTCTTCTCGCTACTTTCGCCGACGACCTTGTCGTCGTACTTCCAGCGCTGCCGCATGTTTGCGTCGCGCGTGCCGGGCTGCGATCGGGTGCGCAGCTGCTTCGCTTCCTGGGTAGTCATCACCTGCGCCCGCGCCTGGTAGGGTTTCAAATTCAGCGAGCTACCCCAGGGGCGCTCCCAGGCGACAAGTCGTGTCGAAGGAGGCTGCAAGACGTTCTTCATTTTCTTGTCGTGCTGTTGATGACCCTGTTGTTCTAATTCATCTACTTCCGCAACACTTGTCCGCGAACGGTTCGCCCGCTGTTGTCTGCGCAGCTCTTCATCTTCTTGCGCGTTTATTTGTTTATCTGCCTCCCTGGTCTCCTGCTGGTCGCGGTGAATAGGCGTAGAGACGCCGGCCGTAGGACTGGGAGGGTGCTGCTCAGCCCGGAGCGTTGCGGCGTTTTGCGAGTTGTAGAACCGATTTCGGGGTTTCTCGGATTTCACAAACGTCGTCGAAATCTTGTCCATGCCGTTCGACAAGTCTTTTTCAAGCGCGTGGCGCAGACGCTCTCGCTTCGGCTGATGAGACAGGGGTAGCGGGGCTGATTCATTAGTAGTGGTATTTCGTTGCAGCTCGTCGCTCGTGTCCAGGGCAGAGCAAGAGGCGCTGCTTGGCAGCTGCTGGCGCTCCGGCTTCATGAACAAGCTGGAGTATGCCGCTCCCTGAGCCTTCAAGAATTCCTCGTCTCCCGGGCGAAGCATATTCGGATCTACCCCCCGCCGACCAGAGGGCGCAACGTCCGTGATTTTTTTCGTCAGGTGCTGCGTATCGTGCTCGTACGTGGAGAGAGACGCGTGCTGTTCCTCTTCCGCGCCACCGTGGTCTTGTTCCAGTTCCGAAGGATCGGTTTTTCGTCCCGGAGAACTTGTAGCACTAGCGCCTCGGCTAGACATCTTTCTGCTCTTCTTGTGCTTTTCTTGCTTCTCGGCATGAAGATTCTTGTTGTGCTCGGCCGCTTCCGTGTTTACAATCGTACGCTCGGGACTCACCTGGTTCCGTCGCATCGCGTGCGTGGAGTGGAAGCTTCGTTTGTTGTTCGCTCGACGGGCGGGGTCGTGGCCCCAGATCAAGTCTTCGTCGGTTGCGACGCGTGGGCGGTGCGCGGTTTGACTTTCTACTTGAGATGTTATTGGGAACTGTGCCTGCTCCTCAGCATCTTGCTTAGCGTCCAACGCAAAAGCTATCTGTCTCTTCTGGCCCCCTTGGCCGCGCGCATGAATATCGTCAACCCCGGACGACGAGTCCGACCCGCGTGCACTCATCTCCGCGTGACGATCAGAGTGCGCCAGATGAACAACGGGCTGCTGACGCCCGCCCCGCAGCCGAGGTTCGTTCCGGCCGCGTGCTCCTGCATCTGCCTCTACTTCCTCCTGGCCACCTTCTCCGAAATTTTCCCGCCGAAAATCCTCCTGATCGGCGTCCAGGGGCGTCACCTCTTCCCAACCATCGGAGAGGGCCTCCTCGGCGCCAATGCACTGCACCCGCTCCCGCACGCCCTTGTTTTTTATCTTCTGCAGCTTGCGCGTCAACTGGTCCTTCTCCTTGGCGGGCGCGACGTTTTTGGACTTCTCGTCCACCGTGTAGCCAGCCCGGAGCTTCTCGTGGTGCTCGCTGTTCTCTTGGAGCAGAATCAGATTGCCCTCCTCGTTCAGCGTGACATCCACGGTGCTTTCCAGCAGGTTGTTTGGGGGCTTCCACATGTACACTTTGTCGCCCTCCTCGGCGTCGTCGTTCCACGCCCCAAAAGAGCACCGCTTCAGGGCGTCCTCTCGTTCGTCAATGTCCTGCTGCACGAGCGTACTCCGCAATCGTGCGATTTTCGCACTGGACAAAGTCCGCGCAGGCTGTTTCTGCGTGCTCGAAGTTGTCGTATAATCGGCAGGGAGAGAAGTTGTAGAAGAAGATGGCGCCAGGCCCAAAGCCTTCTCGTCTGCTGCCGCGCCCGCGAAAATCCTCTCCATTTCCGGCGCGAGGGAGCCGGCCACGGAGTCAGAGGATTTTGAAATCAACCCTCGGCGCCGCGCATACTCCTTGTCTTCCAGCTGCTGCTGATCCGTGCGCCTGGTCGCGGCACCCAGCGACGCGAGGTAAGGCTTCTTGACATTGCTTTCCTCCGGATGGAGACAGACCCACTCGGTCAACGTCGCCCCCGGGCTCGCCCGGTGGTTCACGCGATTCTTGGCATGGTCCTGCTGCGGATTCAGCATCGACTGCTCCAAGGAATACATCGGGTCCACCAAGCGCGCGTAGGCCTCGGGGTCCCGGGCGACCATGGCCTTCAGGCGCGACATGTTCTCCAGGTCCTTGTACTCCTTCACGGACGCCGGAAGCTCCGTCACGTGCCGTGCGGTCTTCTCGCGGAAGGACAGCTTGCGCTGCCGCTTCTCGCGAATCTTCTGCCGCAGCTGCTCCGGCTGCATGTCTTGTGGGATCACGGTCAATCCAAGTTGTGCGCCCATCCGACACAGATTCGGCGGCCTTTCGCGCGTCAGTTCGTCGCCGAGCACCTCCTGGGCACCGTACTGCTCCAACGGCCCCCCGGGGCCGTAAAGTTCCTTCGCCTTTTCTGCGTTCATGGGCCGACGGTCGAAGATTTCGGGCACGGCCTTTTCGTACAAATTTCCGTTCGCATCCACACGCACGAGCTCGTTCTTGCTGCTCGTTAGCAACTTGGTGCGCGTGTGCAGCGGCAAACGCACGGCATGCCCAAACTCGGAGGCCCGGAATTCAAACATGTGCTCTCGCAGGCGTTGAAACTTTTTCCGCTGCCACAAGTGCAGCAGCTCGTCCGAGATGTCATCCGGGTAATCGTGGGGAACCAAGAGCGGCCGCTGCTGCAGGCGTTTAGCTTTCGCCAAGCCCTTTTCCAATGCGCGCTCGCGCCGTTGGCGGGCGCACGTCTCCACTACCTCGGCGTCCGCTTGCTGCCTCTTGTCGAAGAGAGCTTGGTCGATGACCACGTGCCCGGGTTTCAGAGTGGTCTGTTCGCGCGTCAAAGTGGCAAACTCGTCCCGCTTTCGCTTGGTCAGTTCCGCGTCCGAAGTGATGTAGTTCGCGAGCGCGGTGGCGGACCGGGACCGCCGCACTGCGGGGTGCCAGCCGTACGCATCGTCGTAGCTCGTCCGAGGAACCACGTGGGTGGCGCAGATGAATCCCGGGTCCTCGTCGTGCACCGAATCGGACTGCTGCAGCTCCCGCAGGGATTGGTGGATGCGCGGCGGAGCAGTGTTCTCAACGGACTCCCACTCTTCGGGCACTTCCTCCAAAGGCGGCAGGTCTTCGCCCGGGCCGATTCCCGTAGCGACCGAGGTAGAGGTGCGTGCGTGCGCGGAGCGGAGCCCGCTGCGAGGTCTCCCGGCCACGCGCTCGAGCGGGTACTCGGGTTTGTGGTCATCATCAGCCGCATGACCCGCAGCCCCTGTAGATTCTGTGCTAGATGGCGCAAAAGCCCTCTCTTCTACTGGCTTGGTTTCTTTCTCCCGCGTTTTCGTATTTGCACCACCACGCAACCGACCGGTTGTTCGCTTGGAAGTTCTTTGGGAATCTGTCTCGTGCAGAATTCCCTGTAGGAAAGTTGACCTGGCAGAAGTGCCAGCAGTTGCCGAAGATTGCTTGCTGGTCGTGCCAGAAACTACAACTCCGCTTTTGTGGCTCAAGCGCGCTTCCAGCGGTGTGATGTTCGATTCGTTACTGCGCAACGAGGCCACGGACTCGACATCGTGCTGATGTTCGCCCTTCTTGTTCTTGTTGCCCGCCGCGGCCCTGCGTCCTCCTCGCAGCTTCGGTTGGAATTCCAACTTTCTATTGCTCTGCTTCGAAGTTACCAACCTTGCGCTTTTCGTCGTCTTGCCCACATACGAGCGGATCTGCATTTCTGCATCACCCCGGCGGAGACGGTTCTTCAAATCCGCCTGAACTTCGTTTACACTCGTTCCCTCCGGGACCGTAATGCCCGCGTTTGCCTCATCGGCCAGAAACCGGGCATCCGACAATGCACCCTGTTCTTGTAGTTCCGCTTCCTGATCATTGCGCCGGAGTAGCTCCCTGCGCAATTCCTGTTCTTTCCGAAGCTGGTTGCACACGTGCACGCGACGCCGCTGCTCGCCGGGCTTGCCACGGGGACCCTGTTGCGGAAATTTGCGATCAGGCACTCGGGTATTGCGGAGTTCCAGCGATTCGCGCTCGTGCAGTTCCAAGCGACTCGGAACGTCAGCGTTATCACGATACGTGGTTTTTCGACTACAGGGCGCATCCGGGACGGTTGTAAGTCGGTTGACAACGCCCTCGGCACCGAACAACAGACCGTGCTGATCCACAGCGGAGGCCTGATTTCGCTCCCCCGCGTGGGAAGCGTCGGCCTCCGCATTTTCGCGATGCATGGTCTCCGCAGCCTCCTCGATACGACCCATGGCCCTTGAGTGAAAGCGCACTCGCGCCGACGAAATCGGCGATGCCGGCATGCTCTGTGCGCGGCCGGAAGTCTTGTAGCTCTCGCCGTACGTTGTCACAAAGCGACCCGCATCTGCCAAGGGGTCCGCAGTCCCGATCGCTGCGCCAGCCTTCTTCACATCCGGAAAGGCGGCTTGGATGGTGCGCTTTACCGTATCCATTCGGTGTGGGTAAAACAGCACGTGCGTCTTTGGGCGGTTTTGCGCCGCCTGGCGGTTCTCGTGCATGAACGTGAGAAATGCCTCCTTCGCTTTCGCGGTCGCCTCCGCGTCCTTCGTTTCACCCGCGTACCCACCGCCCACCACGTTCGGATGCTGGCGATGAGGCGCCACGGGGGTCGCCTTTTCGAAACGCCGCCCAAAGCCTGACCGAGTCTTCAACCTGCGCGCTTGTACACCATCGTCCCGCTTTCGACCCTGCGACCCCGGGTCCAGCGGACAGTCGAGGTAGAGTTCGTCTATTGGCGTATTGGCGGACCCCGCGGCTGCGTGGAACCGATTCGTACCGTCCACCGTGTGACCAAAGGTGCGCAGCTTGCGCATCGCGTCGCAACTGTAAGCGGCGCGCTGCTTCTCGTTCGCCTTAAACCTTTTCCCGAGGTCCAAGTCCAGCCATGCGAGCGAGGACTCGTTATCTGCCGGGGTATGCTCCTCCGGGTAAAAGAATGCGGTCGTGTCGTGCTCGCGGTCCTTCTTCTGGTTCTTCAGAAACGCGTGCTTGTCTTCGTACAACTGAGGCATGTTCGCAATGTGCTGCATTTCGTTTCGGGGCATGTCCCAGCGCGCACTCGGATTGCCGCTTCCCCCCATCTCCGGCCCGATCTTCGATAGAATCTGCTTCTGGCCCTCCTTGTAGGTGGCCTGCACATCGGCGTGATCCGTTTTGTAGTCCTCCCCCGCCTGAATGTCGGTGAAGGCCGTGGACGCTGTTGTGTGTCCGGAGTGTCCGCGCCGCATCCCGTCCCGTCGCGCGCGCTGTTGCAGCACGTGCCGCCGCACGTGAAACTCCTCGGACCGAGGCCGAGCCTCGCTCTTGGTCAGCGGCTGCTGGGCGATGCTGGTGGCGTCGAAAGCGAGCTCGGGGAAAATCAAATGCCCCTTCAGGTTCCCGTCGTTCCGGCGCGTGCGCTTGGCTTGTTCGCGCGTCCCACGCAGCGCGGCGTGGTCCTGTTCGCCCTGTCGCGCGGTGAGGTGGTTCACCTTCACGTACGACAACCCGGGATACTTTACGTCCACCCCGGTGTGCTTCATCGCGTCCTTCGTTTCGGGCGCGAGGTACCCAGTTTCCTTGGCATGAATGTGGTCCAGCACACGGCGGTAAAACTGCAACGACAGGGCACCCTCGTTCTTGTAGCGCGTTGCCAGGCGTGCGGCCCGAGGATCCACCTCGGTATCCGACACGGTCTGCAGCTCGTCGGCCGTCTTGTCCTTTCGCACAAATTTTACTTGTCGCTTCTTCTCCTTGCCCTGCGCCTCGCGTTCGCGGACCCCCGGGGCCCCGAGCACGCGCATTCGCCGGCGTGCACGCGCTGCGGCGTCCGCCTTCTCAACCTCGTCCTTAGTCACGCCCTGCGCCTCCCAAAGTCCGGGCGTGGTGAGCTGCGCGTCTCTTATATCGATCTCGTGGTTCCAAATATACCTGCGTAGTTGATATCAGTATTTAGTGAACTTTCATTTCCTGTTTTTTCGGGCATACAAGAGAAGTCGGCAGAACGAAGCCACGAGATGAAAACACACTTAAATCTTCTAACCCCCTGCAAACATCGTGAAAGTTCAAAGTAAGTAAGTACCCCTTGCCCAGATGTGGCCACTTCCAGGGTGGTGGTACGTCATTATCACCCCGTCGAACCATCTCCGGAAGTCCTCGTTCGTGGATGCGCTGCCGCAAGTTTTTCATCATGCCCTCCTTGGGGAAAGAGAACATTTCGTGTAAGGGCGTGGTGCGGACGTCTCTCACTTTGCCCGCGGCCCGCATGTCATGGGCCTCCTGCAAGTCCTGCGCGCTGCTGGTCCGGCCTCGATCGGTGACTTTCTCGGCGACCGCAAATTTTTTCCGCTCTACGTCCTCGATCACCTTCTGCCTCGCGGTGGCGTCCTCGGGCCTAGAATCCAGCTGCTGCTCCAGAGCGCCGTCTCGTCCTGCGGACGACTCAGTCGCGGCAGGCTGCTCTACTTCCCGTGCCGGCCCTCCCAGGGGGCCGCTGCCTGGCGCTGCGGCATGCGGGAGCGGTGGTGGGGGAACAAAGTGCACGCGGCTCTCCGCCCCCTCGTTCACTTTGTCGTCCAAAATGTGCGGGTAGCCGCGGAAGTACTCAAAGTCGAAATCCTCCGTGAAGTCGTAGAAACGGCGGTTTTTCTCCTCCTCCTGCAGCCTCCTGTGATCGATGCTGAGCCCCGTGCGGACGGGATAGGAGCTTCCTCGCTGATGCCGGTTGTTGCGCGTGATGGTCTTCGAGCGACGCACTGCCCCCGGTGGGACGGTCGTTAGATTGTTGCGGCGGGGGGACGTGTGCCGCACCGCCACCAGGTCGTCCGGCGTGTACTCTTGTCCGTTCCGCAAAAAGAGCTCTGTGACGTCGTTCGGGCTCTGGTCTCGCAGCTGCAGGGCCGACGGCGAGCCCGCTGCGGGACCCGGCGGGCCGCGCGGGGACGCGGGCTTTCTCGTGTCGTGGGCTGTTCCCGATGCAGTTCTTTCCTGCTCCGGATCATACACGCATTCGCCTTTCAGGGCCTGCAACTCCCGGTCCACGCGCCCCTCTTCCCACTCGGAGAAGTCCCGCCGAACGGCCTGCGACCGCGCGTGGTGCTGAAACGGGGGATCGTTAACAAGGGATTTGCTTACCGCGGCACCAGCATCTACATCGTCGCTGACCTCCCGGCCCCAGGAGTCCACCTGCTGTCGCGTCTCCTTTATTTTGGACTCTCCGAACCCAACCTCCCGCCCGCCCGCCATGCGCCAGCTGGCCAGTGGTCGCAGATCCCAGTGCGTGTTCTGCGCGGCCGCCGTGGTTTTTGCAACAGCAACCGCGTCCCGCGGCGGAGCCCGCTTGACCGGGTTCCCGAAAATGTCCTCATAGCGTTGCTGCCTCTCTCTTCGACCCGACATCTCGATTCAGCGCAACGCGCCCGCCGGCGCACCTTCTGCGCAAACAAAAAATGAAAGTGAAACTAGTGATGAAAAGAAAAGGAAAACAACAATGCTGCTGACATTATTTGTACATTATGGTATGTTCTTGAAGGTTATAATGTTGAAAGCGGATACAGTATTTCATAAGTTTTTTGCTTGCTTCAGACGAATTCCTAACGTAGCCTGCGCTTTAAAACGGAACAAAGTTTCATAGCTTTCTTTTCATGATCTGCACAATAATGCGCAGCAGACCACTACTTCTACTTGTCGTGTGCAACATGCGCTTTGTACGACGGAAGTACGCCAACCACGACAGGAACGATGCAATTGACGGTGTACGACATCAGACACACGACTGTTTGGAACGATTGCAAGTTCTTCATTAAGATTTACCTTTGCGTTTGAACGACGGAAAAATAATTCTTTCACGAGTACTACCTTTTCAGGTTCAACAAGAACGGTGCCGCTTCTGAACAGTATGATATACACCCAGAGTAATTTTACTGGCCTTGGACGACAAGAGCGTTTCCGGAAGTTGAGTAGATCAAAAAGAAGAAAACAAAAAAAAAAAAAAAAAAAAAACTAAAAAAAAAAAAAAAAACAAAATAAAAAAAAAAAAAAAAAAACAAGATAAAAAAAAAACATATAAAAAAAAAAAATAAATAAAAAAAAAAAAAAGAAAAAAATAAAAATAAAAAAGAGAAAAAAACTAATGCACAAAAGAAAAAATAAAACTAAAAAAAAAAAAAAAAAACAAAGAAAAACAAAAAAAACAACACAAAAAAAAAAAAACAAAAAAAAAAAAAATAAAAAAATAACAAAAAAAAAAAAAATAGAAATAAAAACAACAAAAAAAAAGAAAAAAATAGAAAAAAAAAAAACAAAAAAAACAAAAAAAACAAAAAAGAAGTAAAAAAAAAAAAAAAAAAAAAAATAATAAAAAAAAAAATAATAAAAAAAAAAAAAAAAAAATAAAAAAAAAAAAGAAAATAAAAAAAAGCAAAAAATAATAAAAAATACAAAAAATAAAAAAAAAAGAAAAAAATAAATAACAAAAAAAGAAAACAAAAAAAAAAAAAGAAAAGAAATAAAACAAACAAAAAAGAAATAAAAAAAAAAAAAAAAAAAAAAAAAAAAAAAAAAAAACAAACAAGAAAAAAAGGAAAAAAAAAAACCAACAAAAAAAAAACACAATAAAAAAAAAAAAAACAAAAATGAAAAAAAAAGAAACAAAAAACAAGAAGAAAAAATAAAAAAAAAAAAAAACAGAAAAATATGACTTGCTCAAACGTTACAATCTCAAACGTTACAATAGAGTCTGGAATTTGTGTTGCATGATGGGCATGACAGACTCGCACAGCGTTCCACCTTTTGCAATACAAATTTTCCCAGATTGTAGTGGGGTTTGGAGCTCCGGAACTTCTCATGCGCAACCCCATGAGAGTTGGCTAGATCATGCTCATCATGCAAGACAAATCTCAGATTCCATTGTAACGTTTGAGATTGTAACACCTGAGCAGGTTATATCGTCCCAGGCTGCAGCGTCGCCGGCTTCCTGCGGAGAGATGATATGATACTCCTCGTCGTCGACCTCTGCCACGAGGTCGAACTTCTGCTTGTAGTACGACTGCACCTGCGCAGCGTCCGGCAGGTTCGTCGGGGTCCGCTTCGCAGGTTGAAACGAGGATGCTGGCGAAGATGAGAGCAGGTCGTTGGCGTTTGCTGTGATCGCAGGGGATCCGCCTTGTTTCACGGATGAGGAAAAGGTGCTTGGAACTACGTCGACCTCCTTGACGTAGTTGCGCGGTCCACCACGCGAAGAGGAAGGCGAGTGCTGCGACGACACCGGGGGGTCGCAAATCACGCCCGTAATTTTCTGAATCCGACCCTGGCCACCCCATTCGCGAATCTGACTGCGTTTCTCTTCGACAGTGAGTGGCTGTTTCTTGTTGACCGGGGCGGCTGCAGCCGCTAAAATCTTCGGGACCTGTAGTTGCATTTCGGCACAGATGATTAGACTAAGTGTAAGTACCAAAATCCACATCTGAACAAATATTTGCTGGTGCATCGCATCCTCTATCGAGCGCACAAGACAAAAGAAAAGAAAACAGCAAAAACCATATTCATCGCTATACATCTACCGCTTTCCCGGGGTTTGTCACGTTCACTGGGTTTTTGGGCATCGTAAATATCCCCACGAGTCCCAGGTGGGGCACCGTCATCGGTCGCACGCAAGACAATGCCATGTTTCTTTCTTCTAGTATTGGGCTATAGAAAAGTGGATTTCGCAAAGGCAAACAAGGCGTGTGCGTGAATATATGTTTTAAAGGTAGGAAAAGAATCAAAATGCAATCGAAGGGGAAGCGAAAGAATAGTAGATGGACCTGAAGACGTAGAAGTAGAAGTAGAACTAGAAGACGACAATGGAAAAATAAGGAAAATAAGTCTTTGTCTCAACCGCTTGCCCAACCACCGCTAGGCTGACATTGCGGAAAATCGAGGACCGAATGGAATCATACCAAAAATACCGAAAAGAAATCATGAACAGCTCTGCGTGTACTTATAGATTCATCTGCGAGAAAAAAACCGACAATTCTCCAAACGCGCAATACCACCGAGAAAAGACACCGATTCGTTGCATGCTTCCTGTCAACATGTACTACCGTCATTGTCATACTTCCGGTTCTGGATGAACAAAAGTCTCGGTGTGCAAAATGACTGTCACGCGAGTACTAGAAAACCGCTGGCTGCTTCAGAGCGCGTTCTTGTTGTTTCGATACTTTTACTGTGTTCGCTGTTTCACTAGATAATTGATGTCCCCGCTCGACATACGTAGCTTCGTACCGTTCTAGTCGTGGCCATAGTTGTACATTCGCTATTTCTGGTAGGGAAAGAACTTCGGATACAGGTCATCCAGCACCAGGTACATGTCGTCAGTGGTCTTGGCCCCGGTAATCACGATTTTCCCCGAGACAAACACCAATATGGACATCTTCGGTTCGTCGTGATTCCACACCAGTCCAGAGAACATCTCTGGCTCGTAGGACGAGTACTCGCGAAAATCGTAAGCGATACCTGATAGATGAATTTATTCGATTCATTTTCTGACTCTCTTTGCTGCATGGTGGTAGCGGTACTTCTAGGAGCACCCCCATGCATCTACTTCGCAACAACCGATACAGGCATGCAAGGTTCACTGTTAGACTTGGGGTGATCACTTACACTTTCTGTATTCTCTTGTTCCGACAAGATGACAACGACTTCATAGAACAAAAAGTAAGGCTTTATCATACCTTCCAAGCGCAGCGGAAACCCGAGGTCCGCAATCGCAATTAGGTTTTCGAGCTGGTAGTTCGTGAACTTCGCATTTGGGTAGCCGATTTTTTGAAACATCTTGGCCACCTTCTTTCCGGCGAGTTTGGCTTCGTCCGGGGAGCGCGCCCCGGTGATCATGACTCGGCCGGTTTCGTACACCAAGGCGGTGGCTCGCGGGTCGCGGTGGCGCACGATCAGCGATGGGGCCTTCTTCGGGTTGTACTCGATGTTCCGCGCCCGGCAGACCGTGTCCTGCAGATCCACTTCCACCTGCAGCTGAAAGGACGCGACGCAGTTGTGGACGACCGGGACCACGTTGTCGGGCCTGGCATTGTTGGCCGTGTGCATCATCGCGCTGACCGACTCCAGGTGTGCCGAGGAAAATTTCGGCAAAACCGACAGTAACGTGTTCTCCGCGTCCACTTGACCCTGCTCGATCTTCTTCTCGCGCACCGTGGGCTTTTTCAACCCCAGGGCCTCGTTCCTCTGTCGCACCTTGGTGGCCGCGCTAGGCTGCGGGCCGAACCCGGAAAACGTCTTGTCGTCGCCGTCGGAGTCAATGTCAGTTTTCCTTTTTTTACTCAGGTCATTGTTCTGCTGTCCGGATGCAGAGGCTGTCGGCTGTTTCTTCGCCTGCTTTTCTGCTTCCTCCTCTTCTTCCAGTGTGGGCAACAAAGTTTCCACGTTCGGTCGTTTCTTGGTGCTGGAAGCAGCTGCCGATTTATTCTGCAAAGGCGGTGCCCCGGCTGCACTCGCGGCCCCGGTACGACCAGAAGGCGCGCTGCTGCTACTGCTGCTGCTGCTTTTGAGCGTTGTGCCGGTGATTGGCTGTTTGGAGGCGGAATTAGTTGCTGCCGTGCTATCCGGCACCACTTTCAACTTGTCATGCTCCTTGGAAATGCGGTCGGCCATGTCTTCCAGGGCGTCGCCGTCGAAGTCCTCGGCTGCAGCGAGCAGGTCATTCGGGTTAACCGCCTTGTCATCTTCCTCAAATCCCGTCCCGAAAAAGTCATCCCAGGTGTCGTACTCCTCCTCAGCGTCGTCTGCCATGGCTTGATGTTTTCAATCCTTCTTGTTCCAGCTGCTACACAAGAATGGGAAAGTCTTTTCCCTTTTGAAGTAGCGTGAAATCAGTTGAAAACGAAAGTACTAGAAAATCCTTCGCTTATAGTACTAGTTTTAAAATCTCATTGTTACGTTTTCAGAAACCGATTCGTCCTGTTGTTCCATTGGTTGGATCTGAAATGATCCGCATGAAAACGATTCTCAATCACATGAAAAAGCGGCATTCAGAACCGGATCGCATTTGCAATTTCGTGCGATAAGCCAGAAAAACAATCGGTTCAGGGCACCGAAGATCGCAACGCCACGGCGACAATGAACTAGGATCCATTTTCATTCGGATACGAGGATCATTTTTCTTTTTGCGTATATAAAAGCTTGATCGAAGCGCTGGCTTTTGCCTGGCGCAGTGGATACGAACCGTCAATTATAACACACCTTGTTTCCGATCATCCGACGTCGACATAATTCTACATCACAGTATTTGATTCTACATCACAGTATTTGCCTTTCTTTCGCGGAAGATCAGCAACTTTTTATTGTACAGAGACGGCGCCATTCCGTGGTTTTTCTGCTGACCTAAGATCTCCTGTAAAGCAGCAAAAGTACAAAATTCAGAGGCGTGAAAAGTAGTTTGAGGAATGCAAAATCAAAACATTTGAAAAGACGAACTACGTGGTTTGTTCAAAATGTTCCTAATATCATACAGAAATAATATTAGACGCTAAAAAATGACCCTCCCAACCTCCACCGTCGGACAGCCACCTCCTCCACCCCTTCCCTCATCCTCCGACCGACCGGCCTCCTCCTCCGGTCCAGACCTCCTCCCCGGCTCGCACCTCCTCCTCCGGCCCGGACCTCCTCCTCCGGTCCGGCCCTCCTCCTCCGGTCCGGCCTTCCTCCTCCGGTCCGGACCTCCTCCTCCGGCCCGGACCTCCTCCGCCGTTCCGGACCTCCTCCTCCGGCCCGGACCTCCTCCGCCGTTCCGGACCTCCTCCTCCGGCCCGGACCTCCTCCTCCGGTCCGGACCTCTTCCTCCGGCCCGGACCTCCTCCTCCGGTCCGGACCTCCTCCTCCGGCTCGCGCCTCCTCCTCCGGCCCGGACCTCCTCCTCCGGCCCGGACCTCCTCCGCCGGCGCGGACCTCATCCTCCGGCCCGGACCTCCTCCGCCGGCCCGAGCCTCCTCCTCCGGCGGGGACCTCCTCCTCCGGAGGCCGGACGTCCTCCTCCGGCCCGGACCTCCTCCTCCGGCCCGGACCTTCTCTTCCGGCTCGCGCATCCCTCCTCCGGCCCGGACCTCCTCCTCCGGCTCGGACCTCCTCTTCCGGGCCGGACCTCCTCCTCCGGGGGCCGGGCCTTCTCCTCCGAACGCTGGAAGGACCTCCTCCTCGGGAGACCGGACCTCTTCGTCCGGTGCCCCGACCTCTTCCTCCGTGGCCCCGACGTCCTCCTCCGGGCGCCCGACCTCCTCCTCTGGAGGCCGGAGGGACCACCTCCTCCTGGCGCTGGACCTCCTCCTCCGGAGGCCGGACCTCCTCCTCTGGAGGCCGGACCTCCTCCTCCGGGCGCCGGACCTCCTCCTCCGGAGACCGGCCCTTCTCCTCTGGAGGCCGCACCCCCTCCGCCGCAGGCCGGACCTTCTCCTCCGGGCGCCGGACCTCCTCCTCCGGAGGGCGGGCCTCTTCCTCCGGTCGTGCCTGCCTCGACCTCCTCCTCCGGGCGCCGGACCTCCTTTGCCGGCCGACCGACCTACACGCCCGGCCCGCGGACCTCCGCCGCCGGCCCAAGGTAGGTCCTTTCTCGCTCCGCCGGCCCCAACTTCCGGCCTGCTGCACCCGGCCTCGGCGCCCAGAAATTCTTCTCCGGCCTGGAGAACTCTTCTTTCGGGCCCCCGGAATCCACCTTGAGCCAGCGGGCCTTCGCACCCGGCCCCTGACCTCCTTCTCTGGCCAGCGGCCGGACCACCTCCTCCGGTCCGCGGACATCCTCCGGTCCTCCTACTCCATCGGGCTCGCGGATCTTCAAGGCGGTGTACGCGCCCGTACGCAGAGCCACAGACCTTCGCTCTACTTCGCGCGTGTGCTTGCAACTGTTTGCACCCACGCAAAACAGAAAACCATTGGAGCGCGCCAAGGCCCAGGCGCACACAATAGAGCCGGCCAGGCAGGAGGCTGGCGGGTTTTATTTATGTTTTGTCTAAGAAGCTTGCACTACATTGTTTTTCTTTCTCTTCTTGAGGTGGTTGTCCTAGTGGGGGGGATTTGTGATCGGTCGCTCTTTGCTAGTATAGTACACAAGCAAAAATTGATCTTGAAGCTCCAAACAATGGAATTTTGAGTTGCACAAACAATCAATCGTAAGTGGTTTCAGTCCCTGTCCAACATTGGTCGTCGTACTTCAACAATAAAACCGCTTTACAACCGGCGGCCTGCGATTTGGCGCCCAGTGAACCCGTCCCTCGCCTGCTGCTCGCGAAGCAGCCTGGCCTGCTCTTCGGGTGTCATCATCTTCGTGACGGGTGCGGCGGCGGGAGCTGCTGCTTGCTTCGTGGTGACCGGAGCCTCGTCACTCATAGCGCCGGTGTTCGCGTTGGCGTTGAAGTTGACGCCGCGCTTGACCAACGGACCGATCATGGCACCGTAGGACGCGTTGACGAAGATGTTCATGGCGCAGGCGAACAAAACCACAAAGGGCAGCATGACCCCCTCCGAGGTCTCCCCGACCAGGTCGTAGTCCCGCATGATCTTCAGCACCGTGGAAAGCTGGAACAAAAACAGAATTCCGTTCATCGGCTGGCCCGCAAACTGCACCAAGGTGGTCGCCCGCCCGTAAAACGCGAACAGCACCGGGTAGGCCGCGCGCAGAAGCACGTACCTGTTTAATATCATGTATGTGTCCATCAAAACGTAATGAGATCACCAAATCTATTTTTTTTTCCTATTCAAGTCCGGCGCCACGCAAAGAGGGCTGGGAAACTAACTCGAATGGAAAGACTATTCTGCAAAATACGTAAACCGAAACCAAAGTAGAAAACTTCCAATCGCTTACAGCACGCCCAGCTCCACGCCGACGGCTCGGTTGACGAACAGGGTGTAGCACAGGAAGGAGATCACGAAGGGTAGGCCCTGTTCCATGTGGTTTCCGGACATTTTCTCGGCCAGGGTGTACTCCCCGAGGCTGAAGTTCCCGAAGTCCAGGTTGATCATGTTACGGACGAACTGCTCCAGGTTGCAGATCAGCTGCTGCAGGAACGCGTGCGCCACCAGCACCAGCACGGCGGTCCCGTAGTTTTCCAGGTTCGAGTAGCCCGCCAGGGCCGGCTTGCCGGCCCCCGCGCCCGAAGAGTACAGCCAGAAGGTCACCAGCGCGACCGACCAACCGAACACCACGGGAAGCATCTTCACGTCGTGCGGGTCCGTGCCCCAGAAGTAGGGCCGGCCCGCAACCGAGGCGCGTTTCGGGTCCATGGTATTTTGTTGACTCGGATGGGAGCGAGTTGCAATCAAGGAGAGAGGGAAAGTAATGTTTTACAACGGATAGAAAGCGATGGATGATGACGCAGAAGCAAGAAATGTGCTCTTAAATGGGGATGCTTCAAATGGGAAATCTGTTTCAGTCGAAGTCGATGTTTCGGTAACATAAAACTGCAGCACGCTTTCACATTCAAGAATAGGCATGCAGCAAAGGAAGCACAACTTACTTTGTAAGGATGAACAAAGTTTTTAGGTTGCAATGGTACGAACGATGAATCGTAAAAGTGTGTGCACGATAAGACCGATTCTATCTGTTGTAACCACATGAACGTGAGACTAGCGCGTGCCAAACCGATTCTTCTTGGTGAGAAATGATAGTAGCCTGGAAGTTGTCATGCTCTCCACCATTATCCGATTGCAGGACGACCGACATTTAGTTTACGTTTGTCTGCCGTGGCATTTTGGAACCGAAATTTCAACAGTGAGCGAGCTTCACCGACCATCATGAACAGCTGTGCGGGATGACCTGAGCCTTCATAAGATAGGCTTACCTGTAGCTCTTTTACTTGTACACGCGAGGACAGAGTGATTATAGGCATCTCACTTGTGGAGACCAAATTACATTTATCTGTGTATCGGCGGGTGATCGATTCGATTATATATCAGATAGATTAAAACTCGATCAAAGATAAAGGTTGTTCAGAATATGTGGTTGATACTTTCACGATCAGTTTCAAACAGGGAAAGGGACCTGACTGCTTCTACTTGTCTGTATCATCGCTAGAATGCCGCGGAAGGATCTTGGTGGAAAGGTGGTCGATTTTCTGCGCAGGGGCCGGGTCGTCGCATGCTGGACGCGGGGCAGCAATTTCCTGCGGGCTGCGGCATCGAAAAAGGTCCGCTGTACTTGACAAAACGGGGCACCGCGACGCCACAAAGATCGAACACCGCAGAAGGCAGAAGCAGACAAGGCACCGGAATCGTCAGTGGGTCGCTCAGCTCTCGCCGTTCTCCGCCCGCTGCGCGGCCTCCAGGGAAACGACCGGCGGCGGGTTCGCGCGCCGCTCTTTCAGCAGCTTGTAGAGCTCGGGGCTCGTCACGGGCTTACTGAAGTAAACCACGCACACCCGATGCCCCTTGGCCCACGGTTCGGTCGCGTGCGCGCGTTTCCCCGAGAAGCGGACCCAGGTCAGGTAGGTTTCCAGAAACTTCCCGCGAATCCCCTCGCCCTGCTGCCAGTCGCGCCCGTCGTATCTGCTGAGCGGGATCGTGATCGGATACCAAAACGGGTCGCCGCCCTCTTCCCCCGAATCATGCACGAAGAGCCTCCCGCACGGGTACCTGTTTGGTGATTAGAGTCTATCTGGCGCGCTCTAGTGAAAAACAAGCCGCCGCAGGCTTGCCCGGGCGACGAATGGCACCGGCCTGCCGCTGGTGGAGGCCGGCAAAATTGCAAAGCAAAAACAAAAAGAAAAACAGAGAATCTGCACCCCTCGGCCCCGTTGCTGTAGGTCCCGCCGGAGAACGTGGCCGAAGGCGCGCTGTTCTTGCCGTCAATGTGCACGGGCGTCTGCACATCGAGCCCGATGCCGATACCTGCGGATTGATGATTTTTTCAATTTAGAAAGACTAGCGCACCAGCTACCGCGCGCGCACGCTGCTAAGAAGATAGTCGCCAAGCTTGGAGAAACAAAGCGAGCCCATACCTGTCCAGAAGAACCCGCCGACACCCTTCGCCGCGCGGTCTTTGGCCACTGCCTCGGCGACGTCAGCACAGGCATCCCACACCTTCTTCTTCCATTTATCGTCGAACTTGGCCGCAATCGTATCCGGCTTCTGCCGGAAATCGGTCAAGCCCATGCCGAGGAAGTTCACTTTTCCGGTGGCGTAGATGTTGCTCCTTTCTGCGGTCGGAAATCCGCTCTCGACGCGCGTCATGCAAAGGTCGACGACTTTCTGCATCTTCGTCTTGATATGTTCCGGCTCCTGCGCTGCCTGTTTGAAGAAACCCTTCGGGAGAGCGTCCTTTCTAGAAGTTTGCCGCAAAGCCTTTGCCATCAGTTCCGCCTGCTCCGCGCTCCTCTGCTCCCCCTTCACTCGCTTTGCAGTTTTTGATGCCGGGTTGAACACGAACTCGGGCTCATCACCTTTGTCCCCTCGCAATTCCTCTCCGGCGAAAAATTTCGGCAGCTGGGATGCTCTGCTCTTGGACGTCTTCCGCGTCGCTGCTTCGTAGACCTTTCTCATCGCAAAGACGCAGCGCTTAGTCCTGAGGTTCTGCTCCACACTGGCTGGCAACTGGGACGGGAGAAATTTCGACAACGGCTGCAGTGCTAGTAGCGGAATAATCACCTGGTTAAGTTTTTTTTTCCTCTGAAGAAGAAAACGCGACATGATGCGCATACTGGACTCACATCTGCTGCACTAGAAGAAGCAGGAAGTGTAGAATCTGGCCAGCAAGAACAGCCTGCCGAGCAAGTCCAGCTGTACCTTTTGCCGTCTGCATTCCGCCTCGAAGCGGTGCGTCTTGTTTGTGGCGCTGTCTACGACTCCGCGCCCCTCCGTTCCGGTTCTCCTGTGCTCGACGGCCCCCACAAGCTGCACCAAGCAGTCTCCCCCAATTGTTCGCTTGAGGTTCTCCCCGGCCTGGGTGGCGTTAATCAACTAAAGTATCCTCAAAAAAAAATCCATCTACCCAGCAGTCGAAGCTGCAGGCGTGACACCATGCAAAAGTAGCAAAATAGGCAAACGGCTGCCGCTACGTCTCCAGGCGCACACTGATACAACAGCCTGCAGCTTTGTATGTCGGGACAGATGGATCTTTCACTTGCTACGCAGACCGCCCTCTGGCTGCAAAGTCTCTGTGAGACAGCACTGCAGCCGTCTTTTGATTTCCCGAGTATTTTCTTCCTTTTCTTCCTTCGTATCCGGAACAGCAGCGCGCGGCTGGTTCTTCTGCCTGGCCTCATTCGCGCTCTGCTCCTCCGTGGTGAAGAAGGCGCCGTGCCAGTTGCGCTGTGCCTGCAGAACTCGTCGTCTCGTTGCCGCTGCTCCTGCGCCCGAATAATATTTCCTCCAAACACCGTGATACAGCCTGTTCTGCCTGGAGTCCAGGACCAACTTCTTCTGCTTCTCCGCGAGATCGCTCCCGAGCTTCAGGATCTTCTTGCAGCTTTCCTCGTCCCCCTCCAACAGCGTCCGGACCTGCTCCTGCACCTGCGGCTTCTTGATTTCCGGCAGCGAGATGGGCCACGAAGTTCTGACGCAGTACTCCTCCCCCTCGAACCATTCGCCGACGTCGCGCCCCGCGTAATCATATGCATTGCAAACTTGTCCGGTTCTTTATGAATGTTCAGGGCTGATGTGCGAGAGCGCACACATACTTGGATGCCCCTTGATATTTCAGCGGCTCAGTCACCAGAAAGATGCAGTGAGAAGCAGATAGGGTCTCTGCCATGCCTCCTGCGTGGCGCCTTTTCCGCGTTAGCAAGTTTGGCGCTGAGCTTTAAATTGGTCCGACATATAGCAGCCCGGACAAGTTTGCACAAGATAAAGACCCGCCGGGATCCGCCGCGTTTGACTTGGCATCGTCTAGATTCCAAACATGCGGATAGTGGCGTCTTATCAAAGACACCGAGGCGACTTCCGCATCGCGCGAACCGTCGTCGCTGATCGCAGCCCACAGTCGCCGAAACCCGTTCATACAGGTCTCCTTCCTCGCATTGTGTTGCTTCCGCCAGGCGGCCATTGCTTTTTCCGCATCGGTAGGTCCAGCTGGTCGCTTACTCTCCGTAGTTGCGGCGATCTTGCTAGAAGTGGAAGCGTTCACCGCAGAGCTCGTTGCAGGGGCGGGAGCGGTCAGGGACTTCGGCGGCTGCTCGTGAGCGATTTTCAAAAAATCTTCGTACTTGGCCTGCAGCTTCTCCAGTTTTTTCCCCCAGCTTAATTTGCGCAAGTCCGACAGTGAGTCCCCCTTGTGGACCATTTCGTACTTTTCCAAGTCACTTCCTATGTTCCACCGTTGATTTTTCACCTTCTTCGAACCTGATCAGCAGTTAAGTTCCACTGCGTTGTTGTACACTTTTTACTTGCTAGAAAAGCGGAAGCCTTGTGAGGCCTAGGTGTGATGCATTGACATACCAGTAGAGACATGAGCTGTAGACGAAAGTGCCCAAGTTTAGTACTCAAGTCAACGATCGAAAAAATCAAATCGCGATCACGCCAAGAGCTAGTTGAGTAGGACATACCAAACTCCTTGTCAACGCCGTCGTCGTCCTCGTCCGACTCCGCCCCTTTTCGGAGCGAGCGTCTTCCTTTATCGGGAATCGCTACTTTTTTCGTCAGCAGCTTGCTACTGTTCTGCTTCTTTGCATCCGCCTTGCCAGCATGCTGAAGTTTCCCTCCCGACGTGTTCTTCTTTCCATTTTTCGCTGATGCCCCGCCAACGGATCCGCCGGCCTTCGAAGGATTGTTCGCTTTTGACGAACTTGACCCACCGTATGTCGTCGGCATGTCGCTGGCTCCAGAGGTTCAGGTTGTGGAACGGTAAAAATGAATGAAAAAACAAGTAGAAGCAGAACAGTGGTAGCGACCCAATACGTACACGTAGTAGAGAAAAAGACTTGAGCAATAATTCAGTTGTAACTTTGACAACTTATTGGTATATGCGTTTAAAAACAAGTAAAAGTAGATCGATGTCGCAATAAACGACTTCGCTGGAGAAGTATGGTCGCTTGAAAAAAATCAAATTAGCTTGAACGCAAACTCAGTACAGAACAGCAATCAAATAATGTATCACAATCGTAAGAAAGTCTGCTGGTGATAACGCAACAAAAACAACGGACGGTCTACTGGAACTCGCGCCAGAATCGTAAAAGTTACTGTAGTTTTTCTATTTCTCAATCACATCCTATCAGTCTTTTTTTTTTTGAAATTTCATTGAATTCACGAGTACGAAAAAACTCAAATTCGAAACAAGGAAAGTCGAAAGGGAAAAACAGAAGACGCAAGCGCGGAAAAACTGCCACGCCTTGATGAAGTAATCCTGCTATGGATTGGAGCTCGTTGTCTCTCCAAAAGTGTCAGCGGTGCTCTCACGTGAATAAACTTTTCACATAACTTCCAATATGAGCACGCTTGGCGAATCTTCCAATAAATTGCTACACGAACACTTGGCTGCAGGGTACTGTGGCTAAAAGTTAAACGGTACTCGGCTGAGGGACATAGACTGAGAATCCTCTTGCTCGTGCAATTTTTTGCGATTTTGTACCGGCGGTACGTATTACATTCAATCCGTCAATACTCTGAAGACAGCAGACCCACTCTACACCACGGGAGCTCGCAAACAGGTCCAAGGCGCAAATCATTACAGCATGATGGCAACAGCCGTGCATTGGCGCAAAAAAAGTATCCTTCGTGCTTCTCACTGCTTCGCGTCGTCGTGATCAACCCACTGCAGGCACCTCTCGTACGCAATCTGCATCGCAAGCAGCAGAACCGCCTGCAGAAGACAGTACTTCTGCATGCCATTAGCGCCCGCCACTGTTTTCCGCGCGACGGGCGGCCCGCAAAAGCCACCCGATAGCTGGCACACCGAGAGCGCAAGCGCGACCCAGTTTGCGTCGCTTGTTTTCATCCGCTGAAAGAGGATCCCAAGCGTTTCTCGCTCCGCACCAAAAACGGAGAGGTAGAGCAGCGTGTTGCCGCACAGGAGAAGGATGACCCAGCCTCCACTGGAGGTTTGTGTGACTGTGCCTCCGTTCGGACCGTCTTCGATGGACCCGAGGAACCGACTACACCATGTCCCTACGCCGAGTAGAACGAGTATTCCGAGCAGGCCCACCGACAGAAAAGCGCGGATCACAGGCGTGCGCCGTCCCGCCGGCCCAAACACTCCGCTCTGCTTCAAGTAGGGCGTCAGAAGAAACGCACTGACCCCGCCGCCAATCGGGATGAAGCTGACGAACCCGATGTGGTCGTTTGGCCAGCCGAATCGCGTTTGCAGTGTCAGTGCCAGCGAGTCCTCCACTCCCGTCAACATCAACGTGCGCAGGAAGGCAATGCTGAGGGCACCGGCAAAGATGTTGAACCGCCTGCTTTTGCCGTCAACATCCTCCGTCACTTCTTCCGCTTTCCGAGACGAGGCTGCTTTTTTCTGCTCCAGCAGCGGTTTTTCGAGTGCCGGCTGTGCTTTTACAGCTCCTGGCCCAGGGTCATTGTCGAAAGTAGCCGCTACTTGGTTTATTTTCCCGGCCGTGCTGGAGGTACGATGTACAACAGACGCTGCAACAGCTCTGGTTGTAGATTTTTCCTCCTCTGTTACCCGTCCGGCCTGGAGGATTTCCGCCAGCGACTGGCGTGTCATATAACGAAGGTACAGCAGCGCCAGACCACTCCACGCAACAACGCCCATGATTCCCGTGCCCTCGTGTGCAAATGCGTCTACTTCCGTGGAGGAGCCGGCTCCGCGATCTTCTTCCCGTGTGCCCTGATCAAAATCGAAGTTGAAGTGCACGAGCGCCATTTCTGAGGCGGAGAAAACGGCGGCGCTCATGGAGCCGATGATAGCGAGGAGACCGAGCAGGGGTCCAAAATATGCCACGTGTTCGCCCGGGACGACGTATTTGACAAGCGGGGCAAGATATTCAGTCCAACCATGAAAAGCATCCCCGCCTCCACAGGATACAAACACGACTGACCGTCTCCTGATGCACCTCCAATGGGGTTTCGGCCTTTCGTTGCTTGGTGTTTATTCTCACAGCAGGCTTTGTTTCCGAAAACATTCTTTTTGTGCAAAAATCGCACACAAGTTATTCGAGTATGACTCAAATCAGAGGTAGAGGCGCTTTTCATGATGGTAAAGAGATCTGTGTGTTGATGCCGCGCGACCACCCGCCGACAAATCTTGCAAGGAGCAACACAGATAGTATCCCGCCGGAGTTGAGCCTTCTATAACTCTTCATGCAATGAATGTTGCTAAGTGATAGTGCTGTCGAACGCAGACTGACTGATGTGCTGCTCATGATGTTGGGTTTGAATATGCGCTTCCACCTTTTGGCTTGGTATAGCAAGACAAGACTCTGACTTGATTTCCAATTCTCGGCGGATACAAGATGTTTCAAAACCCGCGCCTTCCATTCTATCGGGTCCAGTTTCCGTCGTCGTTGCTCCCGGTATAATTCTAGCCGGTATCCTCGACAGACCGATACTGAGCAGCACCCAGGAAAAGATTCGGATTCCCGTTGAGTAAACGAAAATGGTCCGGATCGAAACCGTCTGTGCTCTTTCGGAGCGAAGAAACAGGTACGTGCAGAAAATTCCCGGGATGGCACCGAGGTTCTCCGCACTGACCAAAAAGCCACTGATATCCTGAGTAAAAACGTCCCCACACCATAGTTGAGATGGGAAGTCTGCAACACAAAATCCCAAGTTTTGGGAGTTCTGCATGACAAATTTCCATCTGCAGTGTAGGGCTGGCTAGCAAGTAAAGCCGCATGAGAAAGCCATTTCCTCATCCTGTTTACAGCATTACAGATACCAAAACACGACTGGAAATGCCTCTCATGGAGTTGCGCATTACAAATGTTCCTGTCATTGCGCATTTGCATCACAACTATGGGGTGGGGACGTTTTTACACAGGATAACTGAAAGCAGCGCCTCGTTGCAACCCGAGCGCCACGTTGTAGGCATCCAGGATGACCACGGAGGTTGACCAGGCACCAAAAAAACCGGTTAAGGATATCAGCCCGTAGAGAATCTTCCACTCGTTACTATTTTTGTCCCCGGTTGTACTGCTGATGCTTCTACCCGAAGATGTCGCCAGTTTGGTTACACAGCTTTCTTGTGCGCCACACTTCCTGACGCGGCGAGCGAACAGCACGTATCCGATCAAAAAAGCTGCTGTAAAGGTCAGCGAAAAGAGCAGAGATATCGCGTCACTCCGAAGTTGCTCGCGGAGGCCTGCGGGGGCCAGATTCTCTTCAAGCGCCTCGCCAGGGCGGTCGTCGAGAGGTCGAACTTCTGCTCGCATCGTTTATTCGTGAGGTACCTGCAGTGTTAATTACAAGTCAGCCAGCACGCCTGATCGAACGAAGTTTTGTGACAAGGATCTGTAGCGTCGACATTACGAGAACTTTGATCTGTGTTGCAATTGTGATCATTTTCCCGACCATAGAAGGAGCAGCGATTTCGATCATCACACCTATTGGACAACACAAGTTTAGAAAATTTCCGCAATCGCCCGGTCTGCAATTGCTGGTATTGGTTCTTATTTTCTTGGCTTCAGTCTCGTAGCCCGCTAGTTCGAAACAAAATCACGAAGCCAGAGAATTTGAATGTGCCCGACCTTGGACGGTGTGCTCTTCGGCTATGAGTCTCAGTGTGACAGCGCTACGTAATCAGCACTATGCATTTGCTGGACGCACTTCGAAGATTATTGTGCGTAAACGAGACGACAAAATACCGTCGTCTTGGTGAGCTTGTTTTATTACGAAAAGAGAAGATTTTGGTCACAAACAAAAATGTATGAGTATGTAAAACACCGATACTAATGTTATTGTTGCTCAGGTAATAAATCTAGGGAAGGAAAACTATGTGCAGCACTACTGCTGCGGAAAATTCAACAGTGCTAAATCACAAGGTGCTTGGGGAAATTATCGGCCCTGCTGCAGGGAAGAAGCAGTTGACATCAAAAGTCGTATGACATTTGTACCATATTCTTCACACACAAACTGAAACTTAAAAAAAATTGCAGTCAAATTTGCAAATCCAGTTCACATAAGACCACAGTAATCAGATTTTCCCGATAAGAAACTCAAGTAGCCCGCCCGGTTCGGTCCGCCTTTTCAAAGAGAATTCGGCCCGCCGCAGAGAGCAATTTGTCTCCAAGTTGGTTGTCCAGCGGCTCTACTGGGTAGGAAACGTCGCTCCGATCGATTGTACTGTCGCTCGCCATGCTGCTGGCGCTCCGCTGCGGAAAGATCTGATTGTCCGATACAGAAGCTTTCACAAAACCGTTGGTAATGGCCTCCGCCTCCGTGACCAAGTCCGGGAGCTCTGCGCAGCAAGAGAGTGCTTGTGTGAAGTCTTGGCCCACTGCCCACTCCGACGGCAGTGCCAGCGTCGGAATACCCGCAGCCAGCGGGCTCTGCATCGAAATCCAAGTGTCTTCCAGGGCCAGCAGACTCTTCGTCTTGATAACTTCCTCGAGCGCAGCCGGGTTCTCTGGTGGGGTGGGTGTCTGTTCGGGCAGGCCCGATCCGTCGTGCTGCTGCCCGGTGGAGCTGTCCTCTACTGCAGGCGACGCGAACTGCTTATGGAATGAAAATATGGGTTCCTTGTTGTGACTGTTTCGAGACAGTTTGCAAGAAAACCAGAATGCAGCACAGAAACTACGCGTTTGCGTAGGTGCCTCTTGGGCAGGGACGCGGAAAAATGTGCCGTGCAAGTAACTTCGCACTCTGCAAAAACATGCACCAGGTGCGATTCATTCTATCGAGATATCATGATCCGTGCTTGATCTACTTCTCACTAAACAAAGCCACAGCGTTGCACCCCTTTTTTTCTTTGTTGATACAGCTGTCCCACAACGTATTGGTAGCAGTCCGGCTCGGGCTTCCCCTTGTCCGGGTACCGGACGCCTCGGTCGTCGGCAGTAATGTAGACGTCAAACAGGTCCCGCAGATTGAGCACGTCGAGAAATGCGTCGATCACAACCCGTTCCGTCGGGGCGCAGAAGCCAACCTTCACGTTGTTGCGCCGCGCGGCGCGGAGAAAGGCTAAAACCCCGGGGCGCAGAGAAAATTGCACTTCCGGCGCAGTCGTCGCCCCATTCAGTTTTATTTGATAAATTCTTTCCGCGAAAATCTCGGACTTGCGGTGGTGGATGCGGGCGCAGAGTTCGTCGCTCAAGTTGGTTTCGTCCTCTACCGCGTAGTTGTTGGAGAAAAATTCTCGCAGCCGCTTTGCGCCGCCCGTGGACGTCAGGGACGCAATGTACTGCTCGCGCGGCCACAGGATTTCCTCCTCCTCGAGACTGCCGTGGTCTTCCGGGGCGGCATCCAGTTTCGCCGGAATAATCAACTCGCCGCTGTCGCGGAACTCGCACAGCGCCTGGTTAAAACACCGCCACTGAAGACGGCTGCAGTGCGCAACTACACCGATCGACCCCACGATGACCGCGTCCAGGCCGCGGGGAGTATCCTCCGCGTGTTGCGGCGGTGCGCTATCCATCGACTGAAGTTGGTGCACAAGAAGTTCGAAACTCAAAGTGTAATCTTTTTTCAATCGTATCGGCCCGGCAGCGCCAAGTGAGAAGCTCGAGGGTAAAAAGCTGATAGACCAGATGGAGTGCCTATTTGACTAGAGAAAAAAACTTCTAGTCAACTACAAACATAAACGCATATTTGAAAAGTTGTTGTTGGCAAGCTTTACGCTTGCTCTCTGAAAATGAGGTGGGGAAAGAGTTGTCCGAGGACCACGACCCGATGCAGAAGAGTAAGTGGATACAGATATACTCCAAAAAGGGGTTCAGGGTCCTGATCAAGTAGTGACGAAAAGTCATGGTCTTACCGAACATCGCAACTCAAACAAAAGTGGGCAAGCGTGGGGAATTTCATTCATTCACTCACGCAAGCTATTATCCTTCTTCAAGAGTTCTTTCTTCGGTTTCCCATCATGTGCTTACAAGTGTATCGCTTTGCTAAGAATCTTTGCACGTGGGGAAGATAATATGCAGTCACCGAAATAAGCTCACACCGGCGGAGGCCACAGCACAGAGAATGTTCAACCGACTATTAGCTGCCACTTTATACGTCAGTTTACTTTGCGACACACCGACCAAATGAACATAGAAATGCAAACGCGGACACGCGCCAAGGACTGTTCCATTTGCATGCCGCTCTCTTTCAAATACGTAGTGCATTGAGTAAAGTAGACAAAACATTCAAGCTGGAGATAATTCGGTCTTCTTGATCGGCTAAGAACCGATCCGATATCATGCATGAAATGAGAATCAAGGTTTCTGGTATTGTATGTCTGTCTGGATGCGACGACCTCTTTTCTAGATGCTTATTTTCCACCGTAAAGACCACGATCTTACTGAGATCGTAGAATTTTTTCAAAAAATATTCTCAACAACAAATTACTTGTCCACGTAGTGCGTGAGGAACAATCAAACATTGTAAAAACCTCTATAAGGAATCGAAATTCACATGTCAAAAAACATCATATACGGGTACAAAAATTGAACGTGTAAATACACCATAGCTTCTGTTTCATCATATTTGCATGTGTGAGGACAGCCGCTGCGGTCGCTAGCCTTATGGCGCTCAGGAAAGGCCGCCCTTCCTTCGCTCATTCCCAGGTTTGCCGCGCCCCTTCCGGGACATGCCCTTGGCCGCATTACTGAAATGGTACTCCAAACGCTCGCTCCGTTCCGCAGCCTTCTTGTAGAACCGGTCCAGGAGCTTCGTCGCGTGCGAGAAATTGTTGTCACCTGCAGCTGTAGTTCTCACACCCGCTTCCGCGACGAACTCGATTCCGATGCGCTGAAAAAACGTTTCCCAACTACTCACGGCCGTGTTCGACGTGAGTTCCTTCACTTGCTGCCGCAACTCCGCTACTAACGAGGGTGCAGGCACGCCCTTGGTCCGCTCGTAGGCGTGCAGGGCACAGGAGGCTGCTGTGCACACTGTCTTTATTTTATTTGTCGCAGCTTCACCTCCGTTGGACGAAACTTCTTCGTGTACGTGCGGCTTCCGGGCCACCTTGGTCAAGAACCAGTAATGAAACATGAGCAGCCTGCGTCCGACCACGGTGTGCTGGAAAAGGTGCTTCAACCGGGTGTCCAAGTCGTAGCTCTGCTCCCAGCGGCGCAGGGTCCACTGCTTGTGCTCGTCGAATACCCACTTGATCGCCCGGGCCGCGGATTCCTCGAAAAGCGGCAACACCACGTCGTGCCAGTCAAAACTGTTCGACACGGAAAGCAGGCAGAGAAACTCGCCCAGGTCCGGCACGTTTGCTTTGCTCCGAAAGTCTTCGTGCTGGATGAAGTTTTTCAGAATCACGTCAATCTGCCGCCGTAGCATGGGCTTCTCCTCGCAGAGCAGAAGAAACGAGTGGTGAAAACCCAGGTACCCGGCGAGCGCTTTTTCCGAAGCAAAAACGTCCCCCTTCATCAGATGGACCAGTTGGCCGTTCATGAGCTTCAAATAAGTGTACAGCACAGACTTGACGAAGCACTGCTCCACTTGCTTGGTCAGTTTCACGCCATGGCAGAGCTGTTCCTGCGCTTTGCTGTCATAGTGCAGTTGCTCAAAACGGGGGCTTTTGGCTTTCCTCGAGGACGATTGTTGCTTGACTATCAACTTCTCCGACACGGAAGAGATGGCGAGGAACCGCGGCTGCTTCGTTGCGGAGCCGTTGTGCCGAACTTCCACCCAATTGGTTCCGAGATCGTTGGCATCGTCCTCACCCTCAGCTCCGGACCCTGCGGAATCTGCGAAATCGTGGCTCCGGATTTCGTCCGCGTCGCTGTGATCCTCTGTTCCCGAAAAGAACTTCTCTGCCATTTCACAATCACCCTGAAGATTTGACTCCGAGTCTGAGGTCGACGTGTCTAGCAACAGATGAAAACGATTGCTGCTTGGGCTCTTGTCTTTTTCTGCCTCGTCGGAGGGGGCGAGCGCGGACCGCAATCTTGTTCCCCCGCCCGTTGCTTCAGGTTCAGCTAGGTCACGGCCATAACTTTTGGCCCCTAGAATTCCCGCCGCACCGAACCGGCTGCTTGTGGTCGTTGTTCGCTTACGCAGTTGATACAATTCCAGCAAGCACCCCTCCAAGAAGCCCATTGCGCTGTCAAAATGCCTCCGGTCTAGCGCAACAGGGAGCCAAAAATCGATCGCCTCGCCCAACGGCGCCTTTCTCACACGCAGATCGTGGAACGCTTTGTGTGAAAGCAAGTCGTAGATACAGCAAAACTGCTGCGTGTCGCCGTGCCCGGTCGCGTTCAGCTGCAAGCCGACGCCAAGGAGGTCTTCCAGCGGTACGGGAGAAGGGCGCGGACTAGTACGAGAGAAAAGCGCATGATCTGGTGCCAAACCAGAAACTGGCACTCTGGTTGCGTGTCCTCGTCGCGCATCTTCTTCATACATTTTTTTGGTGTAGAAGCATTTCAAAAACTGCGGCCGCTCGAAAAACAACGTCAAGCGCTCGTCGGATAACTTGCGCCAGTCTTGCGACACATCCAGCAGCACGTGCAGATCAGTGTGTGTGAAGAACGGCAGTAAAACTTCCGCGACGATTTCAGGAAAAAGTTCCAGGAACTCGGCGACGTCGCCGGCATCCGGATCCGCTTTTCGTGTTCGCAGAGTCGCTTTGGGTTCGCTCGAAACCGTTTCGAGATATCGAACATTCTCGGATATCGCACGGTTGGGGCGAAAGAGCTCCTGGGCGTCAAGCTGAGCTGGTCCAGCATTGCGCAGATTTTTTTCGTCACGGGGGAGAATCACCTTCGTGTTGACGCTTTTAGAGATTGGGTTTCCGGTAATGCCCGCCCTGCTGCCCAGATCTGCGCCATTGTCGTACCCAACCGCAGAGATTAGCTGGCGACTCTTGCATCTTTCTTCGAACCGGAGCTCAAGTTTCTTGTTCCGCTCGGCTTCCCATTCCTCCACGAACAGTGCCTCCCTCTCGCGCCGGAGCAGCGACGACTCCTCATACGAAAGATTCGGCTTTTCCGGGAGAGCGCGCTCCCAGGGCGGTTCGCTGTAAATGCGATCGTGACTATCATGGTTCAATGCGCGAGAAGTGGAAAGAGCGTACTCATTCGAACAACGCAATTCCCGCATCGGAAAGCTGCTCAGTTGCCGCTGATAGGCCTGCCGTCCCAGTGGTTGAAATGCTAGAGGCTCCAGCGCGCAGATGAGTTTCATATCCGCGTCCGCAGGCACCGGGGTGACAGTGGCAGCTTTCGCATGCGGCAAGAGCGTAAGGCTGTCGACAGCTTCTGCACCAATCTCGTTTCCGGCCGCCTGCAGGACTGGGAAAGAAAAAGATGCTGCAGCAGGCCGAAACACCACATCAAATTTGCAAGTCGACCACAGGGGCAGACTCAGTCGCAGCATCACTTCCTTTTCGAGGAAAAACGCGTGACGCGTTCTGTGCATCGCCGGATGAGCAGCTCTTCCCGGTGCGATTGTAGTCGCATTGGTCACCGTGCCGTCAGCAAAGCGATGCCGCGCCACTATTTGCTGGATGACACGCCGAGCTGCAGTTTCAATCTGCCGCCGCAATGCGGAAACGTTTAGTGGTCCTGTATCTTCTCCCGCTGCACGCTGAGCACCTGGCAGTTTGTCCGAAAATCGGGTATGTCGCAGCGCCTCTCTCATTTCCCCCACTGCAGCTTGAGCAATCACATGCGAGGCATTGCATGGACGGAGAGACGTAAGAAACTTATTGTAGTTAGCTTTGTTCTCTTCTTCGATCTCGAAAAAACTGCACTCGACCAAAAAACGCGCGGCTTCCGAAGGCTTTTTCTTCGAAAGCACCGCGACGAAAGCGACGATGTCGCCCGGCAAACCCACGCCCGGAATGCGAGACGTCGCTAGGTCCTCTACCAATGAATTGGCGCAAGCTGGCGCCGCGTCGACGAGTTCCTGTAGTGAAGAGGTCGATGCGGAAAACGCGCTTCCGCCGAGGAGACCTGGACTATCTCCCGTGCCTTCCAGTGCTACTGGCGCTGGGGTACGATCGTGCACTAGCGAGCACTTGGTACACTGAAACCCAGCCACGTTCTTCTGCGTCTCGTGCAGCTTTTTGCAAACTTCCGACTTCGGTCGTCGGCCGCCCCCCTCCTCGCACACGCGGTCCCAGAGCGTGTGTTTAAAGCGGTCGTCGTAGTTCAAAACCCACTCGTCGAAGAGGAAGGCCTGGATTTGCACCAGCAGCGCCTGCATACTGTAGGCCGGCGACCAGCCCATGGAGGAAGCAGAAGTTTTGCCGACGCCGCGGGTAGTAGCTCGCTTGTCCATGGTGCCTTGTCCCATGAACCAGTCGAAGTTTTTCAATAAATCGGTGCAGAGGAAGTTCCGCGCATTGCCGTGGTGAGGTACGATGTTGGAGTGCGGGATGTAGGAAGAAAGGTTCACCGTCGGAGGTTCTTCCGGGTAGCGCTCCGAGAAGGTGAGCACCAAGTGCAGGTTTTTCAGCCCGTAATAATTCCCTGAGGTCGGTGAAAGTGTCACGTGCCACTCGAAAGGACTATGCTCATCGTCAATGACTTCCACGCGGATCCCGGTTTCTTTTTGAAAATCTCTGTCAATGGCTCGGAATTCCCGCCAAATCCGGGCGATCGCGGCCAAACGGCGGGTGCTGGTGCTAGTGGACATGGTGCGGGATTTCTGAAAAGAACAAAGCAACGCGATATTTCAGTTTGTGGATTTGGGCTACGAAAAGATAAAGAAGCGTTATAAATCTTTCTATTACAAGGAAGCCCTCGTCACTTTCTGCGCGATAATAAGCGAATTCTAGCCGAGACTTTTACCATCGGACTTTAATTTGACCTGATCCTTGTTTACTGGAAGAGTATAGATTCAAAGCGGTCTTCAGAAACCGAAATGTGAAGAAGGTCGTTAGTTCCACACTTCTTTTCTTGCCTGATCGCTATCGGTCTGAATGCTACAAAACACTACAGCAACGACATTTTTCCATACATAAATGGCCAACATTCGGATCGCTTCCATCCAATGGGGTGTCTGATCTTTCAGCGATGTTCGGATCATGTTCGATCTCAAACTGCGTGTGGCGAGTAGCGCCAAACTTCACATTTGTCCTACCTTGTGCGAAGCCTCGGCGCCGCTTGCACCAAGCCGACGCTCCTCGCGTGACGTTCATGGAAGCATGCACCCGCAAGGAGGACCGTTTGCATGCGGCTTTCTTTCGAACACGAACTCCAGGGAATAAAGTAAACAAAAAATTTAAGCTAGGGAATTAGTTCCTCCGTCTTCTTGATCGGCTAAGAAGTGCAACCGACACGATATCATGCATGAAGTGCTTCTGGCACGGGAATCAAGGTTCGTAATTCTGTATGCCTGAGTGCGACAGCCTCTTTTATGGATATTGACTCTTCACCACCGCGAAGACCACAATCATACTGAGATCGTAGGATTTCTTCGAAACGCACGCGCAGGTGTGATCCCAGGCGAGCAGCCGCGCGAAAGGCTCCGGCGCGACGCACCATGATCTCGGGTGACTTGGAGAAGATATCCCAACAAGCGGGGCGGTTATGAAACAGAACGGCTCCCGAAGCGGAAAGAGCAGGCACCGCACTGCTCCGCAACGGAATCGCGATGCACGGTCCGCGCTGTTCCTTGTGCCTAGCGTCGGCAGAACGATTCGGCGTGGCTTAATAGATGCGATCTCCAAACTACAAGGCATGGGGATAACTTGCTCACCCCGTCGGCAATTTCTTGGCAACCCGCGCGCCCCGAAGGCGTTTCCTTGGCCACATGCTCCTCGCTGCGATGTTTAACCAGTCCCGCGCCCCGATTGCGATTCTTTCCTAATCACGGGCCGGCGGGGGCGCTACTACAAAGGCCCATAGGCCCGGACATGGCCTTCCGCACGCCAGGGTAGCTTTTTTCGGTCGTCAGCGCGCCAAAACGGTGGGGATATGGACGCCCGCGCGTCCAGACGATGACGGTACGACCGCACGCGCCTCCCGATGGCAACTACAGGGCTGTATGTGCACATTGAGCACATCTGTAGGGATCTGTGTCTCTCCCGTCCAGCATTACAGGGCCATCTGCGCGCAGGACGGACATTCTAGACCCCCGCACTTGCAAGAAAGGTGATTTAAGCAGTTTTGCAGCCTTCTTGGGATCCCACTCCAAGATGCTCATCTACATGAGACCTCTTTTGACACTGAGCCATACAAATCGACACACCTGGCTTGTGTTCAAAGGTCAGAAAGAATATCTTACAAAGAAACGCGGGCGAATACACAGTAAAATCAGAATCATACCACAGCTCCTACGGCAAATCTCCAGTAAAATTGTCACGCACTAGCCATTTTTTTTTTGATTTTTGCCCCAGTTGGCCACTAACGTGCAACATTTTCTCCGACTTGGCCAGTACTTTGCGAGATTTTACCACAGCTGGCGACTAACTTGTAAGATTTTGCCCGGGCTGGGAAGTAACTAGTAGAATTCTCCCTCGATTAGCTGCTAACTTGGAAAATTTTGATGATGTTGGCCGCTAAGGTGCGAGATTTTACCCCAGTCGGCCGCTAACTTCGAAGATTTTGCCTCAAGTGGCCCTTAATTTGCAAAATTGCATGTGGATTGGCCGGCAACTGAGAAGATTTTGTCATAGGTGGTCGGTAAGTGCGGCAATTTTGCCTAAATGGGCTGCCCACTTTTAATATTTTGACGTGGTAGGTAGCCAATTTGTAAGATTTTACCAAGATAGCAGGCGAGGAGCGAGATCGTGGATTTATTCCACTTTGAACGTGCGTAAGAGTGGAAGACACATGCTGCACGCGTGCGCGTGCCTGTATGTGTATGCATTGGGTAGCAGGACCTAGATCGGATCACGACCACGGTGTCACGATTCGTATTTGTTTTTACCAATCAGCAAAGCCAGAAAGAGAGTGAGAACAGATACCACATACAAAAGGAGAATAAATTGGGTGGCTAACTTACAAGACTTGCACAATTTTGCCCCATTTAGATGCTAATTTGCACAATTTTCCCGAAATGGGCTGCCAACTTGCAAGATTTTATCCAAATGGGCTCCAAACTTGGAAAATTTTCTCCAAATGCGCTACGAACTTGCAACATTTTATCCCAGTGGGCTAGTATTTTGTGCAGATGCGTGAGCCTACCGAATGCGGCCGGTTTTACTACCCTTCAGGGCGCAGGAAGCGGGAGCGATGTCGCACCTTGCAGCGCACGCCGTGCACGCTTTTGAAATAGGCGGGTGCCCACGAGGCAACCCCCGGTTGCTATTGCTAGCGACCAGGGCCGCAGGGAGCTTCACTGCACTTTTTTGGTGCGGTGGCTTTTCGTGGAGCTTATCGTCCACGCCCACTGCAGATACACAGATCGCGGCTGCACTGCGGCAGCCGTGTATCGATCCCTGTGAGGAGGATCGACCTAGATCTGTGGTCCGGCGCTCAGTCTGCGTTCCTGAGCCCCGGCGCGACCTTGTGGTGCCACTGCGGGCACAGGTCGCCCTGCTAGGCCGCTGCGAGGCCTCGTTCTTGTCCCCGTGCGGGGGGAGTGGCGCTCGTGTGCCACTCTGTGGGGGTCCTCTACGCCCTGTGCGAGGCGTGACCCCCGGCGCGTTGCTCGCGGAGGACCTGCGGATCCTGTTGGCGTCTCGGCGCAGCTTTCGAGGCAGGTCGGTCGCGTTCGAGGCAGGTTGGCAGCTTTCGAGGCAGGAAACTTGCAAAATTTTCTCCAAATGGACTACCAACTTGCAACATTTTATCCCAATGGGCTACTATTTTGCAAGATTTTCCGCAAATGGGCTGCCAACTTGTCAGATTTTTTGGCATCTGCTGCCCACGCCCGGCCTCCGCTGCCCGGGCCCGGCCTCCGCTGCCCGCGCCCGGCCTCCGCTGCCCGCGCCCGGCCTCCGCTGCCCGAGCCCGGCCTCCGCTGCCCGCTCCCGGCCTCCGCTACCCGCGCCCGGCCTCCGCTAAGTGCCAAGTATATTGCGCAGCGCATTGCGGGCGGGCTACAACGACTGGACTCGCAGAGTGCTCAGTATATTGCGCAGTGCATTGCGGGCGGGCTGCAACGACTGGGCTCGCAGAGTGTTCAGTATACTGCGCCATACATCGGGGGAGGGAAGGGAGGGAAGGAAAAACAGAAAGACACAGAGGGTGACTGAGAACGCCCGGGGGAAAGAAGAGTGCGGCCAATAGTGGTAGCCGTCGTGGTTTCGCCATCGCTCTTCGGACCGCAACTTCCCCGGCCAGATTGCCCAGAAATCGCCACCACCCGCCTCTAGTAGTAGTCGTTTCCGAAATCTGATCATCAAAGCATTCGTCGCGTTCCTACTGACTTTTGCGTACTTGATCAAAGTGCTCGCGCTTTTTGCGTTTTTCGTGCCTGCGTTCTCGTCGATGCTTTCTCATTAATGCGTTTTCGTGCGTCCGTTTTTGTCGATGCGTCCGTTTTTGTCGATGCGTCCTCGTCAATGCGTTTTCGTGCATGCGTTTTCGTACAAATCGTAGTCGTGCGCGTCTCATGGAACAGAAGCTCGCGGTTTGCAACAGCGTTGCTTCGTCGAAAGGCCTTTCAGAACATTCCACCAGCGTCATACGACATTAATGTTATCGCCCCCCGCCCGGAAAATCCACAAGCACCAGTCCCTGAGTAGCACGACCCCTTCCCTGCAGGGAGTGCGCGACGCATTTTCTAGTCGAGAATAGTGGCTCTCCATTTCTACTACTTTATTTCTTTATTTCTGTGCAACCAATGCGTAGGCTGATTCGCAAGAAATGTCGTGCGTGGGTGTCCGCTTAAGGCACCGGGGAAGTAACCGTCTTTAGGCAGGTACTCTCAAGTCAGTTTCTTCGCGGCTCTACGGCACCGTGGTCTCAGAATGTCCGAAACGTCGACACCAGCGCCAGCAACCGCACCTCCGGCCCCGGGCCCCGAATCTACTACCCCGGCTCCGAGTCCGGGAGCGAATTCTCCGGTACCGGGGCCGAGCCCTCCGGTTCCGGCACCCGGACCAGTCGCCACCCCCGTCCCTGCCGTGCCGGAGGAAGCATGCGACACAAGCGTTCTGCTCGCCGCGATATTGATTCCCGCCCTGCTGATAGGCGCGTTGTTTTGTTATTTCTTCTACAAACACTACGCGATGAAGCAGAAAGCACGTCGTGATGAAGAGAATTGGGAGGAGGACTATTGGGAGGAGGACGTGCCCGCGGTGCCGCCAGACAAGTGGGAACTGCACGGCCTGAACAAGGATCCCACGGGCTACTACCAGAAGACCGGCGACGAAGTGCTGGACTCCATCGGCGCGAAGCACGCCCGCCACGGCCGCCCGGTGCGGCCGGTGGTGCAGTCGTACTATCGCGACGACGTGCCTTACCACACCACCCAGCCTCTCCGTCCAAGCGCCGCCGGGGCAGACTATTACGATTGGGAGATGCAGCAGAATCAGAAGGACAAGCATTCCGGAAAGGGCGGTGGCAAGGGCAAGGACAACGCAAAGAAAGGCGGCGCACCCGAATCCGATGACGAAGCAGAAGAGGCACCGCAACAGACTTGGTGGCAGTGGCTTATAGGGGAAAAGACCGAAGAGCAGGCTTTTATGGATACCTTGTAGTGTCAAAGGAAACGTGCGCGGAACTTCGGAAGAAAAAAGACGCGGTCCCGGCGCATATGCACAAAAGAGCACACGTCAGCACAATTTTTTTACAGTAAATATGTTCGCTTGGACAAAAATATAATTGCGGCAACCGGATTTGGAATAGGTGCGGGGATTGTGCGTGAGCTACTTCGTCATCGTGTGTTCCAAGGCTTTCTGATGAATCTGGATGATGAAAACCTCATACGAGAGCAGCGGCGAACGCAAAGAACTTAAGTAATGAAATATACCGCTCTTCGCCTTGAGTGCAAAGCGTGCCACTGATGCATACAGTATTGCTGCAGGGATCTGCGAGAACGCATCTCATTTATATACGCACGTGCTTTTCAATGTTACTACTTTTCTTCGTCTTTTCTTCAGTCTGATAGGTCAACACTGCTAGCTAGCTCGGTATAACTTCCTGTTTCCTCTGTGATGAGCAGTCGCCGGTGCGTTTAGTTCTTCAACACCCCAAACCCTTTTTTACTGGGTAACATCATCATCATCATCATCATCATCATGCTTTCGTGCGTCCTCCAATGTCTGTGCCGGTTCCTCTGCGCTTCTGGTACACAGCACACTTCCGAGTAATCATACCCTTGCTGTCACTTGTAAAAAAATAGCCGAATAGAAATTTGTAAACCGGGTCCATGATCCAGCAACCTTGTTTCTGGCAGAATGTATTAGGGTATGTCCTCACTTGGAAGGTGATCGCGACAAGAGAACATTCCCCAGAACATCACGCTTTTTCGGTTTCGAGGTAGACTTGGAGCTTCCCCGTTCTGCTTACTATTTTTCGTTGCAAGAATAAACTGTTTAATATCAGCTAGTGCAAATACACAATGTGGACTGGATGTGGAAACACGTCGGATTCGGCGTGTCGCAGCCGGCGCCAGTTGGTTGCCGTCCTGCTGGCCGTCGGAATATCGTGCAGCTCCGCGTTTACGGCAGTTCCCGTCGCATCCTCCTCGTCCGTCGACCAGAAGAGGTTTCTGCAGTCTGCGGACGAAACCACAACCAACAGCACAATCACGAACAGCGTTGCACAATCCCCCGTCGTGGGCAGCAGCCGCGTGTCCGTGTTTGACGCGAAACAGCTCCCGCAGTACGCCTGCTACAAGGTGCCGTACCTGTTCCACACCCGGAGCGGGCACCTGCTCGCCTTCGCGGAAGCACGCGGCCCGGTGGGGAACCCGCGGTCGCTCGGCAACTGCATGGACTGGGACGTGACGGACGTGGTGATGCGGCGCTCGACCGACCAGGGCGAAACCTGGGGCCCGCTGGTCACGCTGCTCGAAGGACTCCGCGACTGGCACCAGGTGGTGGGCAATCTCGCGCCGGTGCAAGACCTGCGCACGGGCCAGCTGCTGCTGCCGTTCTGCCGGGGGAATGTGGAAATGTGGATCACGCGGTCGTACGACGAGGGGCTCAGTTGGACCGAGCCGACGCGCCTGGAGCCGCTGGTCGCGCGGGATCACGCCGCGCCGAACTTCTTTTGGTGGACCTGGGTGGGTTTCGGGCCGCCGAGCGGGCTTCAGCTGCAGCACAATTCGAAGTTCGCGCACCGCATTTTGCTGCCGGGGTATTTTAGCGACAGTCCGATTTTCGACCTGACCGGCGTGCACTTCAGTCGTGCGTTCGTGCTGTACTCCGACGACAACGGAGCCTCCTTCCAGCTGTCTGTCGTGCCAAATGGCGTTTTCGGTCTGCTGCTGGGCAAAGCGGGCAACGAGTGCGAAGCGACCGAGCTGGCGGACGGTCGGGTGCTGCTTTCGGTGCGCACGGTCTTTGCCCACCGCGCCCACGCCTACAGCTCCGACGGCGGCGCGACGTGGTCACCGCTCGAGTGGGTCCCGGCCCTGCCCAGTCCGCTGCACGGCTGCCAGGGCAGCGTGGTGTTGAACCAACCACCCGAAGCGCTGATGAACGACCAGGACCGGACCTCGCACGCGCCCGCGGAAGTTTACTACTCGGGCATCGCGAGCCGGTTGGGTCGGCACGACCTCACACTGTGGCGGAGCGCGGATGGAGGACAGGGAAAATTGTGGATCAGTAGCGCCTTACCAAAGAGCCTGAACAAGGGCCCATCGGGCTACTCGTCCCTCGTGCGCACGTTTAGTGGGGACATCGGGGTTTTGTACGAGGCCGCGGATGTTGAAAATTCGGGAACTGTTTTTGTGCCGGACCACTGCTGGTTTCAGTTGCTGTACTTACCGGACGTGCTGCCGACCAATGTCACGCGCCTGCAACAAGCGTACGGCTATCAAGTTGGAGCGGGGACGAGCAACAGCAGCGGTAACGATTATCCGTTGCCCTCTGCACTACACTCCTCGACGCACCTGTTCCACGGCAGCGATGATCCGGCGCGACGGGCCTTGCCAGCTGCATCGTCCGCCCCATTTCTGTTCTCGGGACTATGGTGGCTGATTCTCCTCGTCGACTACGTCGTGTTGGTGTTGGGAGCCTTTGCCGTCACGCGCACGCCCGAAAGCTGTTGCTGCTGCCTCCCGTGCTGCACCTGTGTGAGTTTATCCTGCGCACGATCGTCGAAGACGAAGCCGGACCTTGTACAGCCCGGCATAATTGTTGCGACAGGATACGCGACCTCGAAGGAGGACACCGCGGCATGCGGCGGTGACAAAACCATGTCTGGTCCCCCGCCGCCAACTGCTGCATTCCAAACACAAGAGCCAGAGCAGCAGCTGGATTCCAGCAGTACAAGGACTTCGTCGTCCAACGCAATCAGCTCCCCTGCCGGCGGGGCGAAAGGAGACGAGGACGAGAATCGCACCAATCGAAGACATCAGCTGCTACAAAACCATTCAAATTCTTGGTACCAATTTGGGTGCACGGTTTTGTGGAGCGTGGGTTTTACCTCTTTCTTCTCCTTCTGGTACACCGGCGTGCTGTTGAGCGTGCTCTTTTTTCACGATGACCCCGGCCGGTGGATTCAGCAAAGCGTCGGAAGCCAACTTGGGGTCTTGCTTGCGATCGTCTCATGTGTGCTTGACTTCTGTGGCTACTACAGTCTTTTCGCAGTTTGGACGGCGGAAAAACTGAAGCTCTTCACATCTACGGAAGAATCGCGTGCTGCGGAGAATAAACCAGCGCAGGCGGAAACCGTAAGTTGGCGCGAGTTTTTTCCCTTTCTTCACCACGAAATAAATACCGACACGACCACAGCAGGCGTTGGTCAATCGAGCCGACTGCAGCAGCGGATGATCGTCATTGCCGAAATCACGGCCCTTGCGGTGCTCTGCGTTGTCTTCGCGGAGTACATGGCGGCCTTGCTGCCCTTGTACGTACTGTGCATCCTCATCCCGACCGCTTTCCACTTCTACCCTGCACGTAGCAAAACTTTTCTAGAAAAAATGCGCTCGTGCTTGAAGTGAAAGTGGGTTTCGAACAACCATCTCATTTTTGTATGATGCTTCTTTATTCTTGTTTCACGTTAGGATCCTGTTTCTCATTGTACTTACTTTCACTAGCAACCACTCATCTTCCTAAAACTTCGTAATCCAGGAGAAGTGTATTCTCGGACAATCACAGTAACAAAAGTCAAAATCGCAATCGTCATCAGGAGGCGGTGATGGTCAACGCTAGCAAATACAGTTGTTCTCCCTCTGGGGAGAACGGAATTGCAACTTCCCACGAAAGATGTCGCGAGCAAACTTTGCACACTTGCTGTCGCGCAGAATTTTGGCTTTCTTGTTCCGCTCAACTACAACTGTTTCCGTTTTCTGCTTTCCAAGGTTTTGCTGCTTTTCTTTGTTCTCTACGAGACGTCGCCTGCACTTGAACGGAAACATTCTCGAACAAGGGCTTGAAGTCACCGCTCGGAAGATCTGCATCGGTATAATCTTTTGCGCGATTGTCAAGAATAAGTCGGTTGGAGAAGTAAATATTGTTGAAAATAAATCTCATGATGGCGTCCCTTTCGACCAAATGGCTCACCACCGCGCTACTGGCTGCCAAGTTTGCGGCCGGCGAGGTACCAAGCACGTCTTTCGAGACACTCGCCGACAGGCACCCGGATTTTTTGGATATTATCAACGGGGAAGACGGGGGCTACGAAACCGTGCTCACACTGGAGTTGCCGTATGCGGATATCAGTATCCCGATGAAGTTTGTGGTGGATTGCGCCCAGCAGCGGGAGCAGATCGACTATTATCAGGGCCTCGAGACAGATTACTTCGATAAGTCGGGAAAATACAAGTATGTTTTCAAGAACAATGAGCGCGCGTGTCTGCACAACGAGCCGCCGCATCAGGGGCCAGCGCAACTCGTTCATCCCTTTCCGCTGGACCTGAAAACCTACAAGCACGAGGGCTCGGTCATTTTTCATGGTACAACGAGCTGGTTCATCTTCTCGGATGCTGCCATTCGCGCCCTCTGGATTCTAGTATTTTTGCCCACGAAGATTGAATGTTAATGTTATACTTGGAAATATAAAATTCCTCTTCCTGCATCAGAAGTGTTTCGATATTTTTGGCTCGCAGGTATCAAGGTGGAGAAGTACAGCACGATGGCTCCGCATGGCACGACGCACACAATGGATGACCAGTTGGTCTTCTACTACGACAACCTGCTGCACCGACCGGTCGGGTGGCACATGCATTCGCGGAACAAAATTTTCGATTCACACACGGACGAGTACGTTGTTCGGTACATGTCATTCACCAAACTCAGTTCTCCCCACGTTGGTGCGCTCCCGGATGCGTGCACCAAAGCCGCAACCGCAGAGAGGAATAAACCTGCGCAGGTCTGGAGTTTCCCCCTGCAGTGGATCTTTTCCTCGCGCACCGCGGGGGCACCGGCGGTCTTGGCTGATACAGCGAACAGCGGTACTAGACTTGGCGTTTCTTGTCATGGTGTTTATGAGAGAAGTTGAAGTTTTCTTGCTTCTCTTCTGGGACTGTTGCGGCGCACTTAGTGTTTCATTTTCACTTGCAAAACCGCTCTGGCTCTGTTCCAACTCAGGCCGCGGCATCAGTGCCGAATTTTCTGCGTTCGCCATGAAGCACGGGCTTTCCTACGAGTCGGAGCAGGAGTGGAGCCGCCGTGACGCAATCTTCCGGGCAAACGTTGCACAAGTCAACCGTTTGAATGCGGACCACGAGGGGCAAGCGAAGTTCAAGCTGAACAAGTTCGCGGCGATGACTGTTGAGGAAGTGATGTCTTTTCGCGGGGGGCACCGCAAAGGGGAGCAGGAAACGCTCAAGGCCACAACTTTGGCTACGAAGGAGGAACTGTACGATGCTGATGCATGAATAATCCGTTATAAGTTTCGCACAGGATGACAATTCGTTTATAGTCTTAGACCAAATCTTCATCGCATGAAGGCCGGAGGATGACATCAAGTTTGTAGCGTCGACGTTTCAGGAACAATACAAAAACAGTGCTGCCCTGCCCGCGGCGCCGGAGAAGGACGAGAACTTTGACTGGCGCATCCACCTGCCCGGTTCCCTCTCCCCAGTGAAGGACCAGGGGATCTGCGGGTCGTGCTGGGCGTTCTCTCTAATTTCCGCGGTGGAGAGCGCCAACTTTCTGAAGACCAAGCAGCTGGTCTCCCTCCCGGAGCAGTTTGTCATCGACTGCACCTGGACGCCGGAACTGGCGGCGTGCGACGGCGGGGAGAGCAACCTGGGCGCACTAGAGATCATCAAACGGTTCGGCGGGGAAGTTCCGTCTACGGACAGCTACGGCCAGTATCTCACGGTCGACGGCTACTGCCACAAGGAAAACTTGAAGACCGGCGCGCTGCTGTCCAGCTGGGTCTCCCTGCCGGCCCGGGACGACGAGGCGGTCATGCGGGCCTTGCTGCAGCAGCCGCTATCCGTCGCCTTTAACGTGGGCGCGGCCACGTTGTACTACGACGCGGGGATTCTGAACGTGGCGGAGTGCGAGAAGAACACGTCGGACGACCTGAACCACGCCATCAACCTGGTCGGGTTTGGCACCTGCAAGAAGACCGGGCTGAAGTACTGGACGCTGCGCAACTCCTGGTCCACCTACTGGGGCGAGAAGGGGTACTTCCGCGTGGTGCGCGGGAAGCGCGACTGCGGAGTGACCACCGACGCGGGCTATCCGGTCGTGCAGGGCGTCCACCTGCAACCGGCGCCGGAGCACCGGGGGGAAAATGCGGTGTTGACCAAGGAAATCTACGTGTAGTGCGAGGGAATTTATTTTTCGGCCTCAAGGTCGACAAGATGCTGGCTGCTCCCCGTGTAGTATAAAAACGAAGCAACCTGCCCACGGGCTCTGTAAACAAAAGTCATTGGAGGTCACGGCATTAATTTGGTCTGTACCACTTAATTTTGCATAGAGACGGCGCGTCTGATGTATCAAGGTTCTTCCTCTATTTTTTGCCGATCGGAAAAACTGAAAGACGCAGTAATGTATCTATCACTCTCTTTTCTTGCAGACTGCATAATCAAAACACGCTTTGATAGCCGCGAATTAGCCGGTGTACGCACTATTTTGCTTTTCTTTGTGGTTGAACTTGAAGACTTGCGCCACGAACATACACATGAATGGCTCTCGTAGAGAAATGGACTAATTCTTGGCAAATAAATGAAGTTTCTTTACAATAATACGGTAGACTGAGTCTGAGTTTGTTCGCCCATTGGTATGACAAACAGCCTTGTCGGTTTGCAGAGGAGCAGCACAACTGTCGCACCCTAATAGTGTTTCTCGGTAACCCCGCTGCAATCGGTTCCACGAAAGTCGGTCGCGACTATTACGGATCCGGATCACCTCTGTGCCTGTCTTCTACCTTTTCGCTGTGCAACTTGTATCTGTTATGCCGCAAGCATTCACGATTTACAGTTGATGCCATCCCTTTGTGATCACTCGATAATATTGGCCTCCAATTTGACCCCACTGTTGGGTACATGATTTCGATCCAGGACTACACTGGCGCCTCATCGTACTACAGTAATCCTAAAATTTTCACTTTTTTATTTTCTACCTGATTGCAATCCGCTTGCGCTCCTCATTCTCTGCCTACTGCAATCTAAAAGTGAAAATAGACCTCCATAAATCCAGAAATGCTGCGCGTTGCGGGGGTTGCGCTAGGTATGACTGCCGCCAAGTATGCGGCAAAGAAGGCGGCGGAACAGAAGAAGAAGGAGGGCCGGCTGAAAGAAATGCTGGAGCAGCAGGGGGGAAGTGCCATGGTGTACTTGGTCATTGGAATCGCGGACCCCGATTTCGTAGACTGGCTCGCGGGGGAGAAAACCGGCGCCTCCCAGCTTGTGGCCGCGTTCTTTACGGAAAGCGAAGCCAAGGCCTTTTTGATTCGGCAGCAGGAGCGCATGGCGCTCGGGCTGGTAGACCAGGGTGACGGACTGAGGCTGGAGATCGACAAGGTCACGATGCGGTTGGTCCCGCTTTCCAAGGCGGATGCGGCGAACAAAAAGACCTTCTACGGCCTGCGCGGAACGCAGTACCAGCTGCAGGAGCTGACCGGAAAGTATTCCCCGGCGCTGGTCGTGGAGCATCTCCGCCGTCTGGACCCCCTTGGCGTCGCGGTGCCGCCCTTCGAACGCCCGGCGACGTCTATGAACTGCAAAAGCATCGTACTCGTGTAAATGCATTACAAATTTCCTCAGCATGAGAAATAAAATTTGTAGTGCGGATCTACCTTAGGAAAAAAATGCATGACTGCGATACGAGTACGATACTTTTGCACAGGATAACGTCGTACAACGAGCAGGCTGCTCGCGCTTCACGCCAGGAATTCAAACGTTGGCTGGCGACACAAATGGCTGCGCCAAAATGACGAACCGCGGGGAAGCGCAGAAGCGTGAGGAAGCAGCGTGGAAGAAGTTCCATGGAAGAGGTGCATTTTCTTTTTTATGGACGAAGCTACAGGCTCAGCGTCAGTTTAAGAATCCTGAAGATTATAATCTTGAGTAATTTTTGTATGATGATTATTTGCGAGTAGATGTCGTTACGAGTTTGTCTTCTGGGCGCGACGTCGGGAGAAGTACTCCGATGCCGTACGCCGCAGAAGTTGTAATGCACTCCGGTGATGAAGATGATGAAAAATAAGTACAGTGTAATCTTTGTGAGTTTCACTGACCTCGAATTGGAAATGGCATGCAGGCTGGTACTGTATTCCATCTGGTAAACCATGAACTTCTCGGTAGACACTGAATGATATTGACTGGGAACGACCATGCGAGCTTCACGCCTTGACAAACACAATCTAACTTAAAGTGTCTCCCACAATCGCAAAATCGCGTTCTGCGTCGAACGTCTTTGCTTCAATTCAATTTGATTTGTCGGTCTCGTTCCAACCTGCAAAACACAAGGAAGCAGCGTTTTTCGTCCAATACAGTTTGTCTACGGTTTGCCGGTTTCTGAGAGACCCATCGTTCGCTTTTCTCAACCTCGTTCGGTGCAACTGAATTCCCTTGTCCTCCCTTGAAGTGAAATTCGTTCTGGTCAGCAGTAGCGGGTCGTTCTCGTGATTCGTTCGTCATCGTTTGGTAACATTTTCGCTTCGTCGCGCCTCGTTGAAAAAATTCGCAACCTGAAACTTCACAGGAATGTTTTGTATCTATTCCTTGACATCCCCATTTTGGCTCACTGACTGCTCCCGTGGTAGTCTCACCTCCTGCGTTATTTCTTTTTTACCCCACACATGTACTTGATCAAATTTGCACGACCCCAAATAAATTGTTCTTTCTGTACGCATTTAAGTAATATTAGACAACTCTCAGTCTCACCAGATTAGCTTTTTTTCCTTCTCTTCTTCCAAACCGACTACAGCCTACTTACAACGCGAAAAAATAAAAATGCCAACCGCGAACTATCACTCCCCGCCAATGGGAGGTAATTCTAATTATGCGAACATAGAGGAGCAACCGTCGGCGACCGAGCGCGCCCGACTGCTGGAGTTTGCGGAGCAGGCAAAGGAGGGCAAGGCGAACGCGGAGGACAAGAAGTCCTCGGCCCCCGACGTGGACAACGAGTCCTGGCTTGCGGAACAGGTGCAGAGGCGCCCGGTGTTGATGACGATCTTTTGGATAGGCCTGATGCTCTGCTGCAGTGCCGGCTTAATTTCGTACAACAAGTACCTGATTCACGGCCCTTTTCCGTTTGCCATCGCGCTGACCTGCTGGCACATGGTCTGCTGCACGCTGTTCGCCTGGGCACTGTACGCAGTGAAGCCATCCTACTTCCCCACAGCGCAGGTGATCCGCGCCGGCACCGCCCAACAGGCGCGGGAATATTTGTACTTCATGATCCCGCTCGCTATATGCTTCAGCTGCGGCGTGGTGTTGTCCAACGTCGCCTACAAGTACGCGACCATCCCCTTCCTGCAAATGATGAAGGAGCTCAACGTGGTCATCGTCTACTGCATGTCGCTCTGCGTCGGCATGGAAATGTATTTTTTTTTCGAGATGAAGCCCATTTTGATTTTGTCTCATTTCTGTTGTACCTGTGGGACAATGTAAATACATAAGTGTTTGTGCTTGCAGTTGCCGGAGCGTCGGTCGTACTTTCAAAATGTGCAAAAGCAACATATTGAAATACGTATCATGTGTATCACCACAAGCCGGTGCGATGAAAATAAAGATGACACCCGATCATATATAATCGAAAACTCAATAAAACAGATTCCAATGTCGATTGGTGTCGGTGTTGGCGGTCATTGTGCTGGGGAGCTACTTTTCCATCACCGGAGAGGCGAAATTCGTTTTCCTGGGATTCCTCGTGCAGGGTGGGTCCCAGTTTTTCGAGTGCACTCGGCTCGTTACCGTCAGCAAAGTGCTCTCCAACAACTCTTGGGGCATCAAGCGCGTGGACCCGCTGTCGTTTCTTCTGCTGGTGTCTCCGGTGTCCTTCCTGCTCCTCTCCTTCGTCCTGGTTTTCACCTGGGAGACCGCGATCGCCACTTCGTTTGTCGAGAACTGGCAGGCCCTGGTCGGCAACGGGCTCACAGCCTTGTTGCTCAACATCGTCACCACGATGATGATGAGTGCGTTTTCCGCCTTGACCTTCGTCGTCGCGGGCGTCATGAAGGACTGCTGCATCGTGGCCTGCGGAATGCTCTTCTTTGGCGAATCCATCACCGCCATGCAAGCCGGCGGGTTTGCTGTGCAGGTAGAACTATGTTTTTATATGCACTTTTTTTGTTGTTGACTAGGATCAGGATGACTTCTTGTCAGGGTCGCGAGAGCGTGAGATGAAACAACTTCTTGATCTCTATTCCATGCTCTTCATCCATTACGTGCAGGTCACTGGGTGCGGACTGTATTCCTACTTGAAAGCCAGCACTTCCCTGGCTGCAATCGAGGACGCCAAAAAGAAAGAGGAGCTCGACCGCGATTTTAACAGTTCCGAGGAAACTACACTTAGCAAAGGCGCACAGGATTCCACTCTGACCGTGTCTACCGATGACGACGCAGCGCGGCCCAGTTCGAAGCGCGCAGTCTCGTCTGCGTCAAGTTCAGCGTCCGAGCGCGGGGTAGTACGCTACAACCATGAAGCGTTTCAGCGCGACGCAGACAATTACGGATCGACACCGTTGAGCCGGCGTGTCGTCACGGAGGTGTGAATCTTCCTGTGCTGAAGCTTTGCCGCCGACACTCCGCAGAATATTCCTGTTCAACGATATCCGACCTTCGAGCAACAGGCTAATTGCGATTTCGAGAGCTGCAAGCAATGTTTGTACGAAACTAGTACCCGCTCGTCCTTTTTCTGTACGCCCAGCTTGTCGACGTTCCGAAATCGCAGCTACTCTGTTACTGCCCGATAGAGTCAATTGACAGTAGTAAGGTCCCCAAGCAAGAATACAAACGATTCTGTAGACGTCCAAATAGAAGAGAAAGAAAATAATGCAATTTGTGAGAGTATGTACTTTGTACGTCACTCGTTGTACAGCCGCAGCCCAGCAGGATCCCTTCCGCTTTGATTTGTTTCGTTATTGTAAATCCACATCATTTGTACATCTAAGCTGCATTTAGCTGCCTAGCAGTACTACACGTTTCATCTTTATTGTACATCATTTTCCCCTTGATTAGAATTAGACTTTACATTGCCAACGAGTATGTGCACGAACGCATGCTGCTGGTGTTTAATGCATGAGGACGATATCTCGTCTGTCTCTGCGTCTGACTCTGATCTTCAATCACAGTCGTTCAGATTGTGATTTGCGCTTGCAGATAAGTGAAATCGCCACACAACGCATGCCGTAGAACATGTTTCACTATATTCTAACGCTAACCCCGAAACGGGGACAGAGAAAGAAAGTAAAAAGGAAAGCACAGTTGGTACTCCACCTGTCATTGCCACGTGAAAGCGCCGCCGCAGTGTTCCTTCCGGCATTTCTATTTTCCACGAGTGTCTGGGTCTGCGAGAAGCTTTGTCAAGAGGGACTAAGTTTTGTGGTTCTAGTGCTTCGGAGCCAAGGAATTAAACTGCTTAGCTACAGCTGGGGGGGGGGCGACGGAGGGAACGGCCTGGTATTCGTATTTGATGTGAAGACAAGATCGAGTGGAGTGAAGCCTTACTTCGGAAGAGGACTACGACATGTCATAGAGTGCCCTACTGTATTCGATCAGCTTGAGTAGGAGACGGTCTTCTGTGTTTTATGAAAGCGTGGCAAATGATCGAACAGAAGATCCAGATGCTCGGAACCATCTTGGGTGGCCCGGTGGTATTCCGTAAACAGGTATGCGTCAACCACCGGACGTAGGCAGAGATTGCCGGGCTGTAAAATAGAAATAATGTTGACTCCAATCGCAAGAGGGCGGAAAAACTAGGAAGCGCATTTTTGTTCTTTTTGAACAACCAGCGGCGTTCGGAGGCAAGTGCGGGCGTCGCAACGCGAGGTGGTTCCGCGCGAGCAAGTAAAATCCCAACTACCGCAGAGATGGCGACGTTAGCTTCCTATGCGCCGCTTTTGACGGCGAGCGGATTCTACGTGGGCTCGAGCATTGGCCTCATTTCCTTCAATAAGTACCTAGTGAACGAGTCGCGGTTCCCGTTCGCCGTTGCCTTGGTGTTGCTGCACATGAGCGTCAGTTTCCTGTGCGCGCTGCTTTTCTACTTCATCCGGCCAGATCTGTACCCAAATGCGGAGTACCTTCGGAAGGAATACCTCTTCCCGGCCTCGTATGCCAAAACCGGAAAAGTTTCCGCAGCCGCGCAAGCATACGTGCAGCGCATTTTGTGGACGATGCTGCCGATTTCCCTCTTTTTTGCTGGGACGCTGGTGCTCTCCAATATGGCGTATCTCTACTGCAGCATGGCGTTTCTCCAGATGATGAAGGAAGGCAACCTTGCGCTGGTCTACATCGGAAGCTTGTTGCTGGGCTTGGAAAAATGTATTTTCAGTATCTGCTGCGATCATTATTATATACTTTCATCGCGCAGGTGTACGTGTTGTTTTCATTTCCTTTGTCTTCACCGTGCTACGTGTTTTAGTGCCTTTTCGCCAGCTTGTCGTTAGTGTTCGCCACCGACAGTCGATTTTATATGACTCACAGCTATTGAGACACGAATCTTGGGAATTTTGTGTTTCATCATTGGCGCCACGAGCATGACAATCTACGGCGAGATGCACTTCGTCCTCGTGGGCTTTCTGATTCAGCTCGGCTCCCAGGCCTGCGAGGTAAGTAAGATTCTCCTGCAGAACAAGTGCTTGTCGCAAGCGGCGCAGCAAGAAGACCAAGAAAACGAGGGAGAGATACAACTGGACGATGAGGAAAAAGGCCTAGCCGGCACGGCCGCAAGCTCAGAGGAAGACAGAGGCGTAGTAAAAGCAGGGACATCTTCAAAAGCAGGTGCCAACAGCCCTCCCCCCAAGCTGGACCCGCTGTCGTTTGTGTTGTTTTGTTCGCCCTGTTGCGTGCCCATCCTGCTCGTGAAGCTGTACGTCCTCGAGTACGACGCGAGGATCTTGACGCAGGGAGCCATCTACGCACTACCGCTCTTGGCGAACGCGGTCCTGGCATTCGGGTTGAACGTGTCGATTGCCTGCTTCATGCAGCACGCGTCGGCCGTGAGCTTTCTCGTGTGCGGGGTCGCCAAGGACGTGCTCATCGTTTTTCTGGGCATGCTCCTGTTCCAGGAACCGGTCACCCCCCTGCAGCTCACCTTCTTTGGCCTGCAGATCTACGGAATCACATTGTACTCCTGTGTCCGGGGCTTTCCGACCCAGTTTCGCGACGACGAGTGGGCGGCATGGACACTGACGAAAAAGTTGCTGTGCATAGTATAATCTTCGCCGTGATATTCAAGCTTTCTTCACTCTATACTCTTGTAGGCGTTCTGCTTGCCAATCCAGTTCCATCATGCCGAGAACTGGCACAAGAAATGAACGCGTGTCTCTGACACGGTGTACTACCTCTGTGATAAGTACTTAACTCAAAATCAACACAACAGGAACCCTGGGACACGGATGCGGAAACGTTGAAACGAGTGGAGACCCAGCCCCTGACTGAAAGCACTGCCGCCACTTCATCTAGTAGTTCTTACACGACGGACCAGGAGGATCCTAGGCAGTTGTCTCCGCGAAGCAACGGCGACTCGATAGGACACGTCAAATAGTTTTTTCCCGTTTAATGTTTTGGTATGCCAAAGCATAGTACGCTTATTTTTTTTACGAGGGGTATGAGTAAGTTGTATAGTCCGTTTTGTTTTGACTCGGTCCCGGTGCTGTTTCTGATCAGGGCGTGATTGCAGTCCGCGGAACCGTCTCGAGAGAAAATCTTTCAAGAAGGCTGCAGAGATGTAGTTGACGTTACTATGCGTCCACTCATCTCCGCGAAACAGTCACATGACTGCATTACCGGGGAACCGAGTGTCAGTCAGAGTCATTGGCGCTTCAATTTTTGAAAGTCGTCCCTTATCTGGTACAAGAACGCGGGCAATAAAGCGACCTCGCTGAGGTTTTTCTTTATATCGTTGCCAGTGTTCTTTCGTCTTTCGTTTCACAAATAGTGAGCAACGGGCGGGATCGTGCAGAATTCGTACAGGAAATGCACACTGAGATTTTTTCGAGGATTCATCTAGCACCAAGAAAAACAAAGATAATTCGTGAGTGCCAGTTTTTCTGAGTACATCAAACTAGTAGCGCCTCGTCCAACTTCGTCGTGCCGCATAAAAAGGCAACAGCTTTTTTTTCGCTGCATCGTCAGTGACGAAAGTTATTACCAATGTGCTCAGTGGGTCGTGCGTGTACGTCTTAAGCACTTGGATTCGAAGAAACCGAACGCACAGGTTGCACGATATTCGTGTCCCCCCGATATAACCTCCAACGAAATTCATTCGACTCCAAGCATCAGGTAGCGAGAAGTTTTGTTTACTTAAGTATCCGTAAGCAGAAGCACACAGGAGTAGTAGAGAAAACATGCCACCAAAAGTGCCGACGAAGGATCCGCGAGGAGGCATCACGACAACGGTCGAGGTGGAATGCTGGAAGCAGCGCCTGAAATCCGAAAATTCCATCACCGCGGGCTCGTTGGCGCGCGACATGGAGCGGGCAGGAGATTTGAACAGGAAAAATGTATGGATTGTAAAAATGTCTGGGTCTGGAAGATTTCTAGATTTGTCATGCATATTTTCCATGACCCATGATGTCTCTGTCTGTCATGCATGCCTTAGCATCACAGATTTTTAGAGCGCTTTGTGATGCCTCTACAGCATGAGAAATGACCTCTCCGCGCCGCACAAACTGGAGTCCTCTTGCTGGTCATGCAATACAAATGTTTTCAGTATCCAGAGACAGCATCACAAGTTTAGAATGTTCCAGACCCAGACACTTTTACATTTGATAAAATGATCTCTTGTACTACTACCGAGCAAAGGACGAGCCGGATCGTCCCTTTGTGCAGTTCAGCTTGGACAAGGTACAGATAGTACATCTACATTGCTTATTTGTTGATGTACATAAGATGAACTGCAGGTCGTGACAGAATCAAAAATCTCGTAGCCTTTATTAATTTCAACGCCTTTTGATTTTTTTTATTTTTTTTCAACATGATTGATTCAGCTTCGATCGGACGCGGGGTTTGACGTGAAGGCGAAGACGGACACCTTGTACCCGGAATACACAAGACACAAGGAGGGCTTCAAATCGAACCGCCCGGTGCGGACGTCGCAAGCATACGGCTACTACGCCCCGCTGGATCAGCCGAAGTACGGGTTTAACCGTACCAACGGCCTGGATTCCTTCATGGACAACTCGCACTTGTAATTTGCACCTGTGAGCAGCGAGAGGAACAGAAATTCGTAAACGGTAGCTTCTGGAGATAAATACTAGGATCATGTGCACAAACAGCCGGCGAGTTGTGTAGAAGTACAGCACAACTTTACATTGCTGCACAAGGCACGAAGTTCCTCCTCACTCATGATGGAGGTGCTAGTACTTTGCGATTTTCAGAACTTTTGCTCGTTCGTTTTGTTTTCCTCTCCGACTGAATTACAACGCGACTGTAAGAAGAATTTTTTTTTACACTACAAACAAACTCAAACACAAACTTGCAATAATCCGCTGTGTCCCCCGGCGGACATTAAGGCGCCACTTGCTAATATACTACACTTTCAGCTGGACTTTTGTTTTATCGACTACTAACACACTATCTTCTCTGAACTTTGCGCAAATCAAGTACCCGCTATCGTGACAACAGCGGTGGTCCTGGATTTTCTTACACTCAAGACAAATGCTTTCGTTAATCAATGCTTAAATGGCCGGACTGCTGTTACGCCTTGCTGGCGCAGACTCTTCTGTACAGCTGTAGCCTGCTGCGATCGGGTCGTTGCGGAGTGTGTTTTGGTGGGATTGTGATCGTGCGAAACTAGCCCATCACCATTTTCGCGTTACGTGCAGATATGTCGTTGCTTTATTCGCAGGGGAAGTTTTCAGTTTCGATTCTGTCGCCAATATCTCCCTCGAGTACCAGTCGGATTGATTTCGTTGATGTTCTATCGTGAGCCAAAAGAAACATCGACTTCGATCGTTTGGGCCATTCGCGAAGCTACGCGCTACATTTAGGGGGCGATGAAGCTAAGATCGGCATGGATGCAGAAAAAAAGATTGAAAGGGTATGTTAGTCATCCTTCTTTCTTCGTTTGAATTGCAGAAAGGGTTTCGACGTTTTCTTTTTTTCTGTAGGGATTTGTGAAAAAGTGAAATTGGCCTTGTACAACCAAGGGTAAAATACATTTGGTTTTTCTTCAAAGATGGCCTGTCCCGAGGATTACATTCGCAGAGACTACCGCGAGGCGCCAAAGGAGAAATATCCCAGGAGGTTCTACCTTTTTTTTGGTTGAGTAATCGCATGGATTTTTTAATTTGGAGATGTAGGGTTTACTAGAGATTAAAAGCACCTGCACCCTGACCCTTTGTTTGCGCATGAAGATGATATCAATAAATTGATCTTGTAAAAATCAGGCACGCCTTCTTTTCGCATATCACGAAGGAAACGTACCAAAGCACCTACCGGCAGGACATCGGGGGCTTTTTCGACTTGGAGGCAAGTTTTGCAAAGACGCGCAAGCTGATGGAGAAGCGGGCCGCCAAGTGGACGAACCAGGTGCAGCATCTGAGCCAAAACGAGCTGGACAAGTTTGCGGTAAAGTACACGGGTCCCGACAAGAAGCTCAAGCAGACGCGCAGCGAGCCTCGGCTGAACTCGGAGTACCGGGACAAGATGCGCGGCCGCCAGGCGGGGTTCCGCTAAGTGAGATCAGTCGTGGAGGCTCTCCCTGTAAATTTAGTTTTGTACAACTAGAACTCACAACTTCTGGTCGTGCCCTGTATGTTCCAGGGTGCTCCTCAGTGTGTTGCTTTGTTTGATGAGAAGAGCTGCGCTCTCTGGTGTGACAAAAATGAACTAGAACTACAGAGCAGTACTCTTTGCTCTGGCACGACTTTGGCAAATTTTGAGATTAAGTGATCAAAGAATTGTATAGCAGCACGGAGCTGCTTGGGTGATCTGTATCTCCTTTCCTGCACGCGGCCCTGTGTTACTGATCGTCCTCCACAGCGATTTTCAGGAGCTTGGTAGTAACGCGCAATGGATAGCCTCTTTGATCAGGTTCAGGCTTATACAGAAGATCAAAGAAAGAAAATAGGGATCGGACGTGATCTTCACTGCAGCGATCCACTGTATAATTATCGAACGATCTAGTCACCAATTAAAATTAATTTTGCATTTGCTCAGATCTAGTGCTTCGTAAGTTCTTGCCAGCAAAAATAGATCGAAAACTCACGAGCAGCGCACCAAATTTCAGGCAAAGTAGAGTGTGAAGACGCAGAGGTACAGTAAGACATTCATGCTACTCACAAGTGGAAACGACAGCAAATAGACTCTACGCAGGCGACAACTGAGAAAAAATGACGGACGAAAAGATGGTTGGCAAAGCAGCCAAGAAACCGAAGAAACTGAAGGGCGACAAGACTCCTGTCGCACCGGGGGAGAAAAAGAAGAAGATCAAGAAGGTGAAAAAAGCTTCCAAGGTCGCGAGCGAGCCTCCCGTAAAGGACAAGGCCGCAGTGCCGCATCTTCAATCGCAACCAAACAAAACTACCAGTAAGATTAACAAAAGCGACGGCAAGCCTTCAGAGACGCCAAAACAAACGAGTAGCAGCAGTGCACCACCACCGCCCGCAGACGGAGCGCCCAAGAAACAGATTCTCTTCGCGGGGAACCTGGGTTACGACTGCACGGCTGCGGATCTTCGGAAGCTTCTCCAGGGGTGCAACGTGAAGGACATTCGGTTACTGACCGATCCGAAAACGAAGGATCCACGGGGTTGCGGCTTCGTGGAGTTCGCAACGGGCGGGGATCTGCAGAAGGGTCTAAAATATCACCACCGCACGCTCGGCGGACGCAAAATTCGCCTGGAGCTTCCGGGATCAGGGTCCAGCAAGGAGAAGCGGGACCAGACGGTGCAGCAGCGACGACAGGAGCTGGGGAAGAAGCGCAAATCGGACTTCGACAAGCGGCAAATGTCTAATCAGGACGGCGACGAGACAACCCCGGCGACCAAGCCTTCCAGCAAGGCGAAGAATAAGCCAAATGTAAATGCCAACAAAAAGAGGAAAAGGAATGCGGACCACACGACCGGGGAACAAACGCGACCAGAGATCGTGTACTACGACCATCCGACAGGGGAGCTGGAGCGGTTGCGCACCAAATTCCGACTCAACGACGACGGGGTGAACTACTTGAAACGAAACGAGGCGTGGCTGCTCGAAAGCATTGACCAGTTTTGTCGCATTCCGGACAAGAGCATCAAGGACCCCACGGGGTGGATGATCAAGTTCGGCAACCAGCTGCGCAAAGAGCGGGCCACCGGCGTGACGCCCCGGTTGCACCCGGTGTTTGAGGTACCGGAGGAGGACAGGGATGCTGCTGGGAAAGTGGATTTCAACCCTGCGGAAGTGAAGTTCGGGGACGAGATCGACCTTCCCGGCCCCAACGCATCGGTCTCGGATGAGGAAGCGGGGGTACTACCCGATGACATTCTTTCCGATGTGGAGGAGCCGATGCAGTCACCGGCAGGAGGAGCTTCGGCCAGACCAATATTAAGGGGCGACGTCGCGACTGCGACAACATCAACAATCCCGAGCAGTTCTGGCCAGAAGCAAAGCACCGCGGAACAAGCACCAGCAGCGGCAGTGCCACTCGGCTTTGTGGAAGCGGGCACCATCGTCGAGCCAAGAACGGAAAATAAATCGAAGGCGAAGAAGGGTTTCCTCTCAGTGCTGGATCGGATTGAGCGAACGAACAAGAAGCAACAACAGGAGGGAAAGGTAAATAAAACCGCTGGCAAAAAGAAAATGAAAAAAAAGGCAAGCAAGAACACAACTTCTCTGGAAGGGCAGAAAAGCTAAAGTGCATTGAAATTGTCTAAACGAAAATGGAAACGCTGCGCTGTCCACTTCTTCTCGATATCGTGCAAAAGCGTAAACATACTACTTGTACAACATGCTTGATATTCACAACTACTCTGGGGAGAGCGCGTTTCCTGCGAAAGTGTTCCACGCTCAACAATTCGTCAAAAACAATCCAGCATATTGTTGTCGTCTTCACTCACACGTCCAGAGACCATTTTACAACTGTGGCGTGATTTCTTCTACTTCAGCGTGCCCTCTTTTCTCTTCAATTCGTTCATCCATAACCGATCCTTTGCTAGAAGTTGCGATGTTGACACGACACAGCAGATGACATAGGGACACACGAAACTTCTAAGGGCAGCATTTGTACTAGCTCTACCACAATCAAGTCGCTTACTTCCTCTTAACCCAAAATGCGGACGACGTCCTTTCGTCGGCCCGGGAGTGCCACCGCGTCCGGCAAGAACAGTTATCCGTCACAGAGCACGCGGCGCAAGCATACGGAGGCGGGCTTGAAAAAGGTGATTGCGGGGGTCAGCGAATCCGTAGGCAGGGTATGGCCGGACGAAAACGACGCGGGTATAATTTCTACGTCGGAGCAGCATGCACAGCAGCTGCAAGCTGCAGTCCTTGCAGCGGCGGCAGGGACGAACAAATCTAGCACAGGAGAGCAGGAGCTGGTGCACAGCGGCGACCATTCATCACACACGCGTGACCTGGAAGCGTCACAAAGTAAATGTAGCAGCAATCACAGTACACACACCAACGCCTCTTCGCGTCGGGGAAGCAATGCGGCCGAGCTGCGGCTTGAGGAGCTGCTTGTGCAGAATGCAGAGTTGAAGCGCAATCTGCAGGTGTTGCAGGCCGGCGTGGTGGAGTCTATGAGGGGACACAAGGCCAGGTTTGATGTCGTAAAAAAGCCCTGATTCTTCATCTGTAATTGTTTTGATTGGAACCGACCGTGGCCTGCCTACAAGACGACGTTTTTGCACACCGTGGCAAAAATAGTTGTGAAATAAGAGTTACTCGTTGCTTGCGCCTCCGCAAGATTGGCATTCATTGTAGGCGTCTTACTTTTTCATCATGATGCTTTACTAGGTTTATGGGAGGCGCTGCGGGTGGCGGCGGCGTGAAGATTCCCGCAAATAAGGAGGCCACCGTTGCGAGCACTGTAAAGCTACCCAACCTGCACGATTTGGACGAATTGAAGGGTATTTTGGCCCGGAAGAATCAGCAAATCGCAGAGCTGGAGCAGCGGCTGCGCGACGCGGAAATTCGGGCGCAGAAGGGGGACCTCGACCGGGAGGAACTTTTGGAGCGGCACGGGCGAGAACTTACTTTGTGGGAGGAACGCTGGCATCCCAAGTGCGCGGAGGTGTACGCGTTGCAGCTGCGGATTGCCGAGCTGGAGCGCAGCTTGATCCAGCAGAAGGGTGAATGGGAAGAGGCGGTGAAGCGTGAGAGAGCAGCTGCAGAAGCTCAAGCGCGAGACCTGCGGCAAGAGCATGAGCAGTATTATAATAGCGAGAGTGCGTTGTCCTCGTCCTGTGTGGTCAAGAATGAGGGCCGCAAGCCATGAGAATAATTGTTCCACTGGAATTTTTTATCTGCAATCCGATTCCAAATCGAAATCAGACACGTGGCGACGCTGCAGGCCCAGATAGAGAAGTTGAAGGCGGAGGAGGAGCGGCGTAGTGCCGAATTCGCCACGACAAGTGCGGAGTTCGCCGCTACCCGCGAGAGCCTGCAGACAGCCCGAAATTCCGCGGTTGCCGCATCCCAGAGAAAAAGTGCCCAGATGTACTCAATTACTGGTTGCTTTTCAAATTCCTGTGGAGGTCTAGTTCTCCACAATTCAGAATCAATTTGTCGCAGGAGTACAACGATGTTGTGCGAGGAGTTTTCCCTGTTTTGAAAAATTTGCAGGTTCTCTCTGTCCGTGCGAGCCTTTGCGCAAAGCGACGATCTGATTCTTCGCAGTGTGGTGGATTGCTGGAAGCAGTTTCGACTGGAGGGAAGGCTTTCGTGGGAGCAGAAACAGCGCCGCGCATTGGAGGAAAGTTCCGCGAAAAGAGCAGAGGCCTTGGAGGGAGCTCTGGTAAGATTTTTTTAATTTTTACCGAGATGTTTGTACCGTGTTGTGTAGTACTTCTGCTGTTGCCACGCCCACGCACCTTCGTTGTGCAGTGTGGACATTGCGGGGAATAATAGAAAAAACACATTTGTAGACCTCTGCGCGTGGCGAGTACGACACGTGGAAAGCAGAACTCGTCCGAACAAAGGATAAGGAGAGTGCCGCGCTTGTGGCAGAAAAGGAAAAGGAGGCACAGCGATTGCGCGACGAGCTGGAGAAAGTAAGAAAATCGCACGACGACGAGTTTCAACGCGAACGGGAAACGGGAAAAAAAACCGTTGAACGACTAGAATCGCAACTGCAAAACCTGCGAGCAGAGCTAGCGGCAGCTCGCGCGAAAGAAAAGGACCTGCAAAAGCGGGTTGTTGACCTGCAAGCGGCAAGTGCGAGCGCTAAAAAAGCTGACTCCTCTCCGGGAAAGAAGCCAGCGGTTGCACCGTCCCCGGAAAAGAAACCGACCCAGCCCGCTGGTAACAAAGTAGAAAAAGAGTCGGCCGACGTGAAACAGGCGTTAGAAAAAGAACTGAAAGAGGCACAGGAAACGTGGGCGGCGGAGCACAAAAAGCGGGAAGATTTTTTTCGAAGACGCGAAGATACTCTGGTCAAAGAAAACCAAGCCCTGCAAGATAAGGTCAAGGAGCTCTCCGCTGCATCCGGTACGGAAGCGTTTTTCGTTGTGACCACCTTCTACATTAGATATTACGATTTTTCGGATCTACTTGAATGAGACAAGATATCTAAGCACACATTTTGCAATTCTATTCCACCCTAACAGGCGGTTTTGGAGCCAGCGGAACACGGATGGTCCCCGGCCACGACCCGGAACGAAAGTGGAAGCAGAAAATCAAGCAGCTGGAAGACAACGAGAAAAAGGCATTATCAGCCTTGCGGGCCGAATACGAGAAGAAGCTGCAGGAACTGGAAGCCCGGTTGCAGCAGGCGCAAGCCGAGGCGGGGGAGCTTTCTGCCGCGAAGGCGCACGCCGAACGCGAGCGAGACAGCACTAGCGTATCCCCAACTAAGCAGCGAAAGAGTAGTGTCGGCGGCGGTAGTGGTGCTCCTGCTGCTGGTGCTGCTGCTGCTTCCTCCACCTCCTCCGCCGCCGGCCCGGCGCGCGAGCAGCAACTAGAGCGCGAGGTCGCGGAGCTGGAAGCCGACCGCAACGAACTGCTGCAGCGCGTGGAGAGGCTGGAGGGCAGTGCGGCCCGAGACGAATTGCTGCGCCTGGCCGAGGAAAGGGTAGCAAAGTGGAAGAGAGCCGTCGAGGAGAACCTGGTCGAGGTGCGGAAGTCGCTGCGGATGCTGGTGACGAGCCCGAAAATCTCCATTAACGTCGGCACCAAGCCAACACTAAACGTCCAAGCCGCCTTTCCCTTCGACAAGATACAAACCGCCGTCCGCCAAGAAATCATCCCAAAATTCCAAGTACAGTTTGTTGGATGCTTGATTTCAGAAACACGAGTATGTAGTGTAGATCTGCCAAGTTTTGTGTGGTTTTTTTTGCAACTTCCCTGCAGAAGGGTACCGCTACCGCGCAAAAAAGTAAAAATGATGCAGATCATGAAAACAAAATGAACAGAAATGTCTCCATGTGGCAGAAGAGGAGTACGGCGCCGACAGTGACGTGAAAAAGCTCGTCTATGCTGGCGTGGAGGATTTGGCAAAAACACTGCAGTCAAAAATCCACGAGCTGATTCCGGACGCGGAAGGCAGTTGCCAGTGGGATGCAGACCCAGCGTCGCAGTCCCCCGTGAAAGCCAGCGCCGCAGCACGGTTACCGGCGGACAGATCCACGTCTAAGCCACCACCTACCGGCAGCGCGATTTCCTCGCCAACAAAGAGCATTTCGCCCCGCAAGCGAGCATCGCAGCCAGCGGCGCCACGGTTTTGATGTTCTGCCGGACAAGGAGGTCTCCAGGGTGCCGACCCGGGGCGCTGCGGCGAATTTTAGCTGCTCTGTGCGATTTTGTAAGTCTCGCTGTATTTATCAGGTATATAAACTAGAATCTTATCCTGTCTCGCAAAACAAAGGCACAGAGCCATATTTCCTTCTTAAATTCCTCATCTTTGGCAACCGCCAGGTTCGTCTCGGTGTACTTATTTTAATCACTGCAAAAATTGGTTGAAGTTTCTGTTTCACTGTAGAATGCTGGACCATGTAATTGGAAGACGGAGGTTTCTACCCGCAAAGCATGTCTTGGCTTGCTGAAAAATTGTAGAATTGTTGTGCTTCCCATTTGTGGAACTGAATCCTGTACCAATCCTTGAAGTAGTAGAAAATGAAAACTCATTGATGGCTACCGTAAACGTCGTGTAGGATACATCTACGCACCTTAAACTTGTTTGACAGCGTGTGACGCGATCAGTTTTGAGCGATGAACGATCCCACAAAGCTGAATCAAAGCGTGAGCTGCAAACCGCTCAAAAATGCAAAATACTTCAGAGAGAGGAGGCAGTCACAGATTTAAGAAACAAAATGTTGAATTGACGCGAATGTTACGCAAAAGTTAGTATGCAGACCTGACTTGCTAGGATGATATAATTTGAATTTATCGAGGCACCGTGGTCGTACTTGTTTTCTTTTGCCGTTGACACCACGCCCAGAGCTAATCTCCACCGAAACGCCTACAAGCGTTCTCGCTCTGCACCGCCGCTTGACGCTCATCCGCGCATACCGGTGCACTGCTGCGTGGCACGACTTCTGTCAGGACCCCTGTGCTGTGCTACGATGAATTCCGGTGCTGATCAATGTTCTTCAGGCGGCTCGTCACCCGCGTCCAACCCCAGGGCGCGAACTCTGTCGGCCCACGTCCGGGGCTACGAGCCGAGACCTCCACGCAGATCGTCATCACCACCTTCGAGAAGACACACCGTTGCATACTACGGCATGAACCCTGCGGACGCGATAGAAGGTCCGGCAAACCTCCAGTTTCGCAATGCCGCAGGAATACCTTCTAGCTCGGAGAATCCGTTGAATGAGCCAGCCCCGGTGCAGGACGCGCGACAGTCCCAAAAACGCGGCAAACCTGCGCTCGAATTACGTCGATGCAGTCCTGCACAGCTCGCGTCTACAAGGACCCCGCTGGCGATGCGCACAATTGTTGCTGGCCGGAAAAACACCACTTCAGGAGGGCGTGCATCATTCCCTGCAGCAACGGGAGGGGCGAGCAGCAAAGAGAGTGCGTCCTCTTCAGCGAGTGGGGTTGGGGTTGTGGATCGGCAGACGGGGTGCAACGTGCTCCCATTCGCTGATGTTTCGCGGGTCAAGCGAAACCCCCACCGCAAGGGGCTGGGAAGCCCCGTCGAGCGCAACCCGTTTGACTCAGAGAACATGATAAAAGCGGCGGCAAGTAAACGGGAAAGCATTCAGTCCGGTCTGTTCGAAATCGCGCGAGATGGCGAGCGCCAGCTAGAAGTCGGAGTTGACGCACATCCCACTGCGGCAGATGCGGAAACAGCAGAGGTGACACATGCGGGCGATACCTTCGAAAGCGAAGCGGCCGCGGAGAACGGAACAGCCGGAGAGCAAGATGAGTTCGTCAAGAACGCCACCAAGAACCCGTGCTCCATCACGAAAAGCAGCGCTTTTCAACAACCAAACACATTTTCTACTTGTCGCAAACCCAGCGCGAGAAGAACTTCTTCCGTCTCCTTCGATTTGAACGCTGCCCGAGCGGAACACGACGGCGGTGACTCGGATGGTGACTCGGCTGCTTCGTCGGTTGACTACTTGATGGGGAAGTTGGAAAAGACGCTCGCGCATGACGTCAAGCTAAGCGAGAAGCCTGGCGCTGTCCGGAACCAGATCTGGCTCTCGAAGCTCCCGCTGAAGACGCAGGATACCATCGTAAATTTTTTCTCGAAGCTTGAAGACTACAAGCTGCAGGATTCGTTTGAGGAGGAATTTTCAGAACTCAGTGGCGCAGAGGTCAAGAGAAGATTGGATTTTTTCGGAAAGCTGAAGGAAGTCGCCATTGACGAAGATATTTTTCTCGAGGAGGTGGGCAAGAGTAATGGGGCGCAGATCACAAGCGCTTTGGAGTTTCTGCAAGTCCTGAACATGATGGCAGAAGTCGGGGTTTGGGACGATGAAAAGGAGAACTTTACACAGGACACTAGGCAAAGTGTAGTTTCGCCCGAGCGCCCATCGCTCGTACCGATTGCAGAGGTGGACCGTGTGAATGATGACCTCGCTCAACGCCGCAGCGACCAGCGTTCCTTGGACCGGGAGCGCGCAATGCACCAAATCACAGAAATAGATCCGCGTGTGGCTGCAATTTTCCAGAACAAGCCGACGAGCAGTGGGTCTTCTTCTTCGTCTTCTTCATCCGCCGCTTCTGCAGTCGGTGCCGCGAATACCAGCGCAGTACACCTCTGCTTCCCCAAGATCAGATCTAACCACACACTTGGAGCGCCGTCGCCCACCCTCCCCGTGGGTGTTTTTGTCAGCGACACGGTGGATCAGGTGAAGGATTTGCTGAGGAGGGTGATTTTAACGGAGGAGTTGGCCGACACGATACGCGAGCACACACGGGGCGAATTCAAAGAGATCTTCCGTCTCCTGCAACGCAACACGATCAAAGTGGGTATCATGCTTGATCGGTTCGTCCAGCGGCGCAGCGAAGAGCTCGGCATTCCCGTGCGGAAATATAGAGGCTGGACTCCGCAGGTCGCAGTCGATACGAAGAACGGCGGCATCGTCATGCCGGGCGCAGCACAAGCACACGACAAATCCAGGAGCGAGCAGCCTGCTGCCGTTGACGAACAAGCTGCTCCCGTTTCGCAACTGGAAGGAGGCGCTGAAGGAGAAAGAGTTGAGGTTCAAAGGCCATCGGAAGAACGACCGAGAGCAGCAAAGACTTCGCTGCCGGACCCTGGCAATAGATCATCCAGCGACAGGAGCCTCGGCCAAGCAATAGCATCCAAGAGCGCATCCGAAGGCGGTCCACCCGAGAGGAAATACCGTTCTGCAAGCGAATTAGACAACGTGAAGAATGCATCAGGAGAAAATCGATCTGTGAAGCAAGAGGCGGGGTGTGGGCGAGAGGACCTGGCCCTCCTTCTGGAGTACGAAATAACGACGACGCACGTCGTGGCGGTGCAGCCGCAGTTGCCAAGTTCCGCCTCTCACGAAACTGGTCTCGTGGTGTCCGCACCTGGACTGGCAGACGCCCGATCCGGCGGAAAGGAGAAGAGCGATGACCTCAGCGTGCGGGAAAGCGTGCAAGAGAAAAAAGCGAAGGAAGTTGTAAAGGAGAACGAAAATAAGCAGCGACAGGATAAACTAGGTGCCCAGTCTGATCAAAAACGGCAAGGAGGGCACTTTCAGCAGGAAAGAGTCAACCAGCGTGATCAAAGGGCGCCGAAAGAATCGGCTGCGCAAGACGAGGATGTAGAAATGTCCGACGTCTCTGCGGATGTTGGCAACGACGTCGCCATGGGATGTGCCAACCAGGAATTCGAGCCCGGAGAGGAGAGCAATAAAGAAGGTGCTACTGATAGAGCAGGAGCGGAAAGTGACAAAGAAGAAGCGAAACAATGTCAGCATTCGGCCACTGCAGCAGTGTCGGACGGATCAGCAAAAAATGCAGAGGAGCTCGCGCAGCAGGATAGTGCAGCTGCTGGAGCGCCGCGAGGTGCCGCGATATCGGATTTCGAGGCAGTATCGGCAGGAGAAGAGCAACGAGATTCAGAAAGGCATGGCCGACGACAATCGGAGTCGCAAAAACGGGTAGAGTGCAGCAATGCAGCGGCGAGGGGGATCGAGATGCCGGCCAGTGTGGTGACCAGCGCCGCACCGCAATCTCGCGCTGCAGCACCTACTGGCCCGCGAACGGCCATTCACGACGACAGCAAGGGCGAAAGTTCGTCCGAGAAGAAAATGCCGACAGGGTTGTCGGAAAAAGCAGGAGGATCCACCACCGAGCATAAACTATCTTCAAGCATTCCGACTAGTGGCCGCGGAAGCGATGCCGTGGTACAGGAGCAGAATGCTGTGACACGAGCGTCTGTGTCGAATGCGGAGCAGGAAGTGAACATACCAAAAAGATGCGACCCCAACCTGTTGAAAAGCAACGAACCTGGCACGTCGTCTTCGTCGTCCGGAAAGGAAGTTCACACGACAGGGCGTGCTGACCCGAAACCCGTCGGACACAGAGTACAAAAAGAGGGCCTCGAGCAGGCTACTGCGACCGGTAGTCATCCTCGAGGTGTGCCGGACGTTACGGGTAGTCTCGATGACATCAAGGAAGCTGGACAAGAAAAGGTTGCCGCTGGTGCCGACGATCGCCGTGGGATTTTGCAGCCAGGTGTCCCGCACATGCAGTCCCAGCGGGCGAAGAGAGTCGCGGAAGACCGAGCCTTGTCCGGGGTTGGGGCAACCGATCAAGTACCTGTAGAGGCGTTCTCAAGTTTCACTCCTGGCACGGCGAGAGTTGAAAAAGAGCAGACCTTGCAAGCAGTGAAAGGTCCTCGTGCACGACCACCCATGTTGCAAAACAGCGAAAAGAAGGGAGAGAAACAAGAGCATGATCATGGTCGGTCAGATCCTAAGTCCACAGCTGCGATTCTCCACCAACCAACACGCGGTGCAGAGGCAGGCTCACAAGAAGTGGCGGAATACAACAAGAAGCTTGACGATTGCGATCTAGTCATGACGGTAATTGCGATGCGTATAGGAAAACACCTGGGATTGGGCGATGCGATTAGCAAAGCACCTGATTTTGCGGAGCTGGTACCAGCACTGACTAATGATGAATAGCCTGCTCGTAGTACTGAGTATATTGATTTATGGTTTTGCATTTGCTTCATTCTTGAATCAAAATCGCAGTCTACGTATGCTAACTACCATATCCGATGCTCCTTTGACACTGCTCGTTGACGGAAAACCACGGAAAAACCAAACCCATTGTGCAGCAAGCTTTCGCCAGTACGTGCCGAATTGCATTTCGTAGCTGGAAAGCTAATGACCTTGCGCCGTCACGTCTGGAGCTGCGATTCATGGCGGGCCCATTTCTCTTTGTCTTGACGAAGATCCAACGGCAGTAAGCCCTTTTGGTTGTTGATGCGTGAAGATGTTTTGTGAAACGTGCTTGTACTCAAGTAGGGTTAGAAATTGACTTAAAGCTTGGCGCATGCCTGTGCTCTTCTTTACTGTACGAAAAATGCCCCTGGAACAATCTTCCTACTATCAACAAACACCCAGGACTCTCTTCGATTTGTTGCTCTTGTCGCGGTCGGTCACAGCAGGAAAGTCTGACCTCAAGGACGACGACGCTTCGCTTGTTGGTCCGCTGCTGGGTGCGCGAAGCAAGACGGAGAAGAAGCTGGTTGGGGAGTGTCCCGGAGGCGTGGAGCGGTTTGACTTTGCACTGCACGACGCGGCGATGAGCACTGGCGACAAGAAGACATCACAAAAGGCGGGCTCTTCGTTGAACCGTTTCAGGGTCTTTCACGTGATCTTGGCAATCGCCCACGTCGTTCGCATCCAAGCTTCCAAGGGCGGGAACACGGTGCCCGGAGCTTCGTTGCTCGATCGGTCCAACTATCCTAAGTAAAAACGTACCCACACCAGAGTTAGGATGGGGATTTTGCAACACAAACCTAGGAGTTTTGTGAGTCACGCATGACAAGTTGCGCTCTGCAGTGTAGTGCAGGTTAGCAAGTGCAGCCGCGTCACAAATCCAGCTGCTCATCCTGTTCACAGCATCACAAATTCCCAAACCCGATTGGAAATGGCTCTCATGGGGATGCGCATTACAAGTCTTCCTGTCTTTGCAAATCTGCATTACAACTCTGGTGTGGGTACGTTTTTACTCAGGATACCAACCTTCGTGATCCGGTGCGGAAATTTGTCAACCTGAAGCTGGCCGAATATCCTGAGTAAAAACGTACCCACACCAGAGTTGTAATGCAAATCTGCATGCTGAAAATGTTTCTCATGCGGAGCCTCATGAGGAGCATTTTCTAGTCGTGTTTTGCAATTTGTCATGCTCCAATCAGCATTGTATGCTAGATCTGTGATGCTGCTGAGCTAGCTCAAACAGCACTACACTACGAATCCAAATTTGTCATGCAAAACAGCCAAAACTTGTGGATTTGTCTAGCCGATTTCCCATCTTGACTGTGTGGGTACGTTTTTACTCAGGATACCGAAAAGATTGCGAACAACCTCTTCCCGCATCTGGCTGGCACAGTCTGCGACTGCGGGCGCGACGACCCGGTTTTCAAGGAGAAGATGAATAAGTACTTACAACTTCTACTCGTCTTACAAATTCAAAGAAACCAAAACCGATTGAATACAGTTTTTGATTTTTTCATCACCTAGAGCGAATGCGAAAGTCAATCGATTCTTAAAAGGAAATCCATTTTCTATTCCAGGGTGCAAGCGGGGCTCCAGGGCATGATTCAGAGAAAACACGTTGAACGCGTCGAGGTGACGGAGCTGGAGAAGGTTTGTTGTCATGAGGGAGAAGAGTGCGACGCGTCAGGATATGCCTTCGAGTTCGTGTCCGTTTTATACGAGCGGGAGGAGGACCCACCGAGGCACTACTGGACTTGCTTCGCGCCGCCCCGCTTTACAGGTGCTACCTCTACCGCGACGTCAAGCAGCGTGCCGCCTGCGAAAGTCAGTGCGAAAACACAGAGCGTTGGTTTTGCTCCTGGGAAAGAAACGGCGCGAGGAGAACCGCTGGTTGCAGGAGAAGAGAAGAAGTTCGCGAAGATGAAGGTAGCAAATAAAAGTAACGCATCGAAGTCAACAATCCAAGGAGGAGCTACGAGAGGGGACGGGAAATCGATCGCGAAGACGGCTGGACTTGTTAACGGTCCGACTTTTTCCAAGTCTACAAGCGACGCTGGCCCGGGGTCGAATAAACACGGCATTGCAGCTGCACCGTCGTCTTCATCATCCGACTTGCTCGGAAATAGTAACCCATTTGCCATTCATCAGCGGAGCGGCGGCAAATCGGTACAAAAGTTTTTTGATCTGTACAAAGACACGTCGTGGAGCACTGCGGGAGACGGCGTGAAAGAAGGTTACAGCATCAACGTTTACGAGAAGTCGATCAATCTTTACGACCACTCCCTCGTGTACGCGGGTGGCGCGGAGAAGGTACATTAATGAAGAGTGACCTTCTGATCATGCTTGATATGAGTATAGTGCAGCTTGCGGATCAGTACACAGTTGAGCAGCCTGCGTTTGAAGTCTGATCGTGCAGTTGAAGAAATGATAATTAACCACTACATCAAACACTAACAGGGCCGTATTCAGGTGAAGAAGGAAGCCTTTAGTGACGGCAAAAATCCGGACTTGTTGATCGTGAAGTCCGAGGAAAATCCGGTGAAAAGTAGCACAGTGCCTTGTGGTCTGCGATTCGGCAGTGCGCCAAACTGCAGTGGAGTGCAAAAGGAACTACTTCGGAGTCCGGAAATACACGTCCGGACGCAGCCGGGCGCCAACCCCGAGACGTTCCTCTTGAGCAAGAAGTTAACGAAGCGCTACTACGTCAAGCCGACAAGCGCCGCTCCATCGCAAAGTGAAAAAGGAAAAGCAGTCAAGTCTACCGGTAGTGCACTTGCCGGAAGTGGGACGAAGCAACCATTTCAGGAAGACGAAGTCGTGGACAAGTTCTTTCGGGAGTGGGCCGGAACTCAGTGGATCTCCAAAGCAAGCAAAGCGGAGAAACTTGCCACCGGACAGTACTCTGTGCGAGTAATGGCTGGCACAGTGGAGCTCTGCTACGAGAACAAGGTACAAGTCACCAATTGTATGCGCATTGAAGATGAAGTTGTTTTTTTTTGGTCGTCATTCCTCGCACTTCGTGCACTTCTTTATCGATGAACGCAAAATATTGTTCTCAGGTTGTTGAAGTCGTCGGAAAAGCTGAATTTTCTGCGGTGGAGGCTGGGCTCATCGAGTTGAGTAAGGACACCTGCAGAATTCGATCTATCACATATGCGAAAGAGGACGCCCTGGACCGCGAGAGCTGGGAATTTCTGGCTACGATTACGGTGCCACCAACTGCCGCGTCTGCGCCAAGCACGGGCTCGTCGAAGAAGAACTCGGACTGTTTCTACGTCGAGTTCAGCTACGCGCGGCCGGCTAAAATTTCTAGAAAATAAGCTTGTTTGTTTGTACTGCGGGTTTTGGGTTCTTGTGCGGGTTTTTGAAGTTTTGGGTTTCACAGATTTGCTTGCTGCAGAGGCCTATGCACAAACATGATTACAAATAGCGATAGCATGTTTTTCAATTGAATAATGACAGGTCACATTCGAATTTTCATCATTTTTTGGCTTCAAGACAATGAATCATTGAATTGCTTCACCGAGTTTTTTAAATTATGGTTTAGCTTTAGGGTACAGAGACATATGCATAAGTTTCTGAATAGTTTCATTTTGCTTTTGGTTTAGGGTTCATGAAAATCCTCACGATTTGAACAGTTTAGACGGGTACGGAACACAGCAGATTCATGAAGATATTGCAAAATGCACCTTTAATTCGCAAACGCAACATTTTAGATTTTGTCAACTGCTTGAAATTTTAGCAACAGCCTTCCCGGGCGGAATCAGGTGGATCACCCGATGACCCATAGAAGCTTGTTTTTCCAAACTCCTGGAACACGCACAGTATCGAGCTTTCTGTGCGGGACTTTCTGCAGAGTGATGAGGTGTTGCGTTTCCAAACCAGTTGTGTGCACAGTTCAGAGAAGATGAAGATCCTAGACAAAAGCTTGAGCGTAGCTTGAGTCATTGCAATATTTGAAGTGCTCGTGCTCCTGCTGTGGCAGTAGGAGGTTTGATACACTTTGTGGCTACACGATTTTTCCATCTCATCAAAAGATAGCTCGGAAGAGAAAATCTCCCTGTGAATACGCACTCCTATTCAGGTCTCGTAGTAGTGAAAGCAGGATGAGTATGTACTTGAGTTAGGAGCTACATTGGTTGCAGCTCAAATTTTTGTTTTGCGTTTCCCCATTGCATCGCGACATAATGGCGGAGGGAGGAACGTTGGTTGAGGCTGGTAGCCTGGCGGACATGCCCGAGGCGGAGCGGAGGGAGGAGTTCGTTGTGAAGTTTCCCTCTGGCGAGGAGAAACCAATGAGTTGGGACGAGGCGCTGAAGTCCCAGGAAGCCGGGTTGCCGGTTTACAAGAAAGTTGCCAAACGCGGTCGGGGCCGTCCGCCGAAGATACGGAGCGACGCGAAAGCAGACGGCGAGGTTGCGAAGCATCGAAAGTCCTCGCAGCCTCCGGGGGGGCAGGCTGGCGGGAGTAGTTCCAGCTCCGCTCGTCTGCCGGACCTCAAGAATGTTGACGATGCACGACCTGCAAAGAAGCGCAAAAACAGAGAGGGGGCTGAAGGCGACGACGACAACGACGACGAGGAGAGCGAAGCACCTCCTCCACCCGTCGTGCAAACCAAAATTGAGGTCACCGGGTTCTTGGGAACAAGTTCTCTGGCACTTGTGACGCAGAAGCAGGGCGGCCAATCGCAGGCCCTGCAAGCCCTCGACATCTACTCGGGGACAGCAGCGCGGACGGAGCTAGATTTCCGGCAGAAGATAGAGCAAGAACGGCGGTAATGTTTTGTTGCTAATGCTACACATGCTATTCGAAGGCAATAAATTCTGATGGAAGTAGACATGATGACAAACACCGAAGCAGCCTTCGGTAATATGTTCTCCCACCGACTAGCGCTCGGTTTTATACTAGTCGTCGGTCTGGTGAAGACAAATAAATCTGTTGAATTCTCTGAAAGGCAAACGAGGGCCAGGCACTCAAAAACTATAAGGCGTGAATCCAGTTCGATAGCAGCAGGGTAGAAGTACAGCTGAAAGGTTTTACCGATGCGGTTATTCGGCGCAAGTGTTGGATGGCGATGGAGCGAGGATTTGAAATCTGGTTTCGATGTTTCTAAACAAACTTCAGGAAAAATGCTTTGGGCGGCGGACGGTGGCCAACACCGCACACGCGCGCGGACTGGGAAGACCAGCAGGCGGTGCTGCGCGAGAAGCATGCGGAGGAGCTCGAGCGAAAGCGGATGCGCAGTCTGTGGAACAAGTACTACAAGCGGCCTGCCTGGTACATTCGTCGGTGGCTGCGGGTCAAAGCAAAACAGAAACAGAAACACATTCTCAGTGAGGGCGACGACGACGCAGAGGATCCCGATTCGGATATTAGAGAGGACGAAAACGCCGCGGAGGGTCGGAGCAAGAGACGCAGAGACAGGTCCGAGTCCCCTCTGAAAGACGATATGCGCGGAGCCGCGGGTATCCGCCAGCCCTACGTCTCCAAATACTACGCGGACCGTCTTTTGCAGGCGAATCTCGAGAAATACAATAAGAAGCCAACGAATGTGCGCCTTCCCCCGAAAGGCGAGCCTGTCGTACTATATTCGTTCGCTTTGATAATTTCGACATGCTTTCTGCATCGAAGATGTTGATTGAATCTAGGAAGTGCCTCCAGAGTGTGTTTTCTGCAGTGGAATATTTCTGTTTTGCAGTCGAATAAATTCACTAGCTTCTGCGTAAGATCATTAAAAGCGCAACATCGAGTTTTTTCTCCCGTCAGGTCTTCGAACCTCGCAGCGCCGCTCGCGCGCGTGAGATGGCGTCGTGGCGCAAGAAGAAGCCCCGGTTGCGTCCGCAACTGCGGTGGGAGGTGGTGAGCAGGCACATGGACCGTACCGGCGAGGTGTGCGACTACTGCCCGCCGATTATCGCGCTCGAGAAGCAGGAACCCATTGTGCTACCACCGCTGGAAGATTTGGAACCCATGGACCGCGTGATTGAGATTGGCGATCCGTTCTTCGCCGCACGACTGGTGACGCTCGTCCAGGAAAAGGGTCACGCCGCGACTGGCGATGCGGGAACGACGTCGAAGATAGTAGACCAAGCCGACACGACAAAAAAGACGCTGCGATTCGGCTACGTGTGCCGGCTGCTTCAGTGCCGCAAGACCTTGGCAAAGCTCTACCTCGTGCATTGGTTGCCGAACAAGCACGAAGGGGTACCGGGGAAATACGAAGTGCACCTGCAGTCCCGTGTCATCATGTTCTTGCGCGCACACGATCCAGACCGCATTCTCGAAAAAATTTGAACGAAGGATTTTGCTACATACCTTTCGAAGTAGTAAAGGCACTAAACAAAGAATGTGACAGCGTCAAACGCGTGAGATAGAAGTACCAATCGAGGTTCCGCCTTGTGCAGTGCTCGCGGTGGACGTGCAGCGGCATTGGCTTCTGGGCTCCTCTCGTTGAGTTTGATGGTGGAATAACTTTGAGTTTGTGTTCGCAAGTAGATCGGGATCCAGGTTTGCTTTTTTGCCGGACCGAACTTCTCGCTTGATCCGAAATTAGATTTTTACCTTGACGAACGGCGAATTTACTAGTTGAAGTGTCTTGGGAAGCTTCGGTGCACTTTTTTGTTGCGACCTCGACTTAATATTTTCTATTCGCTCGATTTTCCTATCTCAGACGCAAAAATTAACCTCCTGTGATTGCGTAACAAACTCGAGTCAACAGCGACATCTGGATCTGTGACACGGGCAATGTTGGCCAAGTGAGAAACTAGATTCGAATAAAGTTATTTTTGACATTCTTGCATTTGCCACTGATCTTACTTGCCAAGCGATTGTTGAGTAACATGCCACGGCGCAGCAGCGGTCGGACGAAGCTGGCGAAGCAGCAACAGATTGTAGAGCTGTCCACACTCGCGGTCGCCAGTACGTTCTTGTTCCTTTCCTTCTGTTGGAGTCGCCACTCGATTCCGAAGTCGAGTCTGTCTCGCTACCTGGAGCGACTCATAGCAGAAAGTGAGCAGCTGAGCGATGGCGCCGTCCCCGGAAGAAATGGGGGCACGACGCCTATCAAATGCAAAAGTGTCTGGGTCTGGAAGAATGCATGTTTGTCATGCTTGTCTGGCATGACCCTTAAATCTGTCATGCACGTTACCCAAGAGCTCGATTTTTCTGTGATGCAGAAACGCAGTTTGTCATGCAGAATAGGCAACACGTAGAGGCTCAGAAACTTGTCATGCTGAGCCAGCACTTGTGGCCTCATCATGAGACGCCACACAGCATCACAAGTTTCCAGACCCAGACATTTTTACTTTTGATATCGCCACCACAGTCCTGGTTTTCAGTCATCCGCAACGCCTCGGTTAACCAGTACAAGAAACAGGCCATTCATGACTCCTTCCAGAACGCGGTGGGAAGCATCAGCAAGGTGTTGGCCGAGTCGGGGTTGGCAGACTCGGTGGTTGCCCAGCGTCTCCTCTACGCACTGTTCAAAGTTGCGGAGGGCGACGCGTTGGGCTTCGAGAAAACCGCTGCTGCGGAAGCGGAGGAGATCAAAGAATTGTTTGGGGACATCGCTGTACCAGCCTCGGCGACCGAATCAGTCTCATTAGCGTCCCCGACCGATAATTCTTTGACGAAACCAGACGCGACCGCCGGGCTTTTTCCTCTCCGCGCACGCTCGTTTCGGGTACTTGGCGACGCGGTGCTGGATTCTTTCGTGTTCACCCCGTGCTTCGGTTTGGCAGGATATCTCTTTCCGAAATACTCTGCGCAGGTGGAGGTCCGGCGCTATTTGCGCCGCTACGAGGACGCTTCGCTGGCGGCGAAGGTACTGTACGCACAGTTGATAACCGCAAAGCGCTTGCCCCAGCTGGCGCCGTCTTCCTCCGAGGGAAAAAAAGTGAAACCATCACCGGACAAGAAAAAAAAGAAAAAGAAGGACACGACCGGCGTCGCGACTGCGGGTCTTCAGGACCTTGCTGCATCGTCCGGCGGAGAAAAGACTATGTCTTCCTCAGATGACGCAACGGGCTTCGAAATCATCGAGGTCCAGGACAGCCACCCGTTTGACCGGATTGTCGTACGAGCAGTATTGGGCCTCGCCGGGGAAGATGCGGAGAACGACATAAGAAGTACGCTGGCACCAGAGCAGCTGCAAGCGCTCGAGCAGTTTACAGAGACAGTGCTAGAGGCCGGCAAAGAGGTTAGGCGGGGAAGAACGACGTCGCCGGCATCGGGCAGCAAACGCAAAGCCTCAGAAAGCCCGCTCGCCGGTGGGGCTGGAAATGACGACGCAGTTGTTTTGTCCGTCGATGCCGCAAGGAAGTGGGGGTCAATTGCAGATTTTTTCCAGCACTGCATTGCACCAACGGCTGTAGCAGACCAGGTTAGGGAAATTTTGTTGCGGTTTCCGCTAGTGCTTCTCGCGCGGGACCTGGATCAAATGCTTTTCATTCACTGGCTGTGCGATTCTGGCAATACGGAGCTCGTAAGGTTTGTGCTCAGCGAAGAAATGCTTCAGCCGGTAGTGGAGGTATTGCAGCGGGCTTTTTCATCAAACGACAAGTGCGCACAGAATCCCTACACCGATGCGAGGAGCGGAACTGCAGTCGCAGGGGCAGAGCCGGGCGCGGGGGGACTGGGACCGGTGTTTGCGGTTCCTAGCAGCCTTTTTGAGGAAAAAGACGTGTTAAGTGTTGACGTGCTGCGGAAAATTATGCTGAACCACCAGGACTGGGGCGCGGGTAACACCCCCTTGCATTACGCGTTTGATTGCGAGCAGGACGAAATCATAGATCTTCTCTCCTCCGCACCGCATGTAGGCTTGATCGATCAGACAGCGAGAAACATGGACGGTCGCACACTCGAGAAGCTGTTGTCAGAGAGGTCGGCCGCGTAGCAGGCTCGAGTGGAAATCGAAAGGTAAAGAAACAAATCCTCAGATAACATTGCACCTGCAAATAAACAGGCGTGAATAAACGTGCAGCCCGCAATCGGGGTCGTATCGATTCGCGTTTGAAACGAGTAACCATGAGCCTGTGAGTGAGCATTGCAGGCCCCACAGGCCGATCGCTGGGCCCCACAGGCCGATCGCGTTGATACATAGTCATTGTAAAGTAAGACGAGTTTTATCTCGCGAGTCTTGTTTTGGGACGGAGAGTACGGAGAGAGAAATTTGGCCAACGTTGTGGCGCATTGTACGTTCGAGAGCGGCGTGCGAAAACGCTGAATCGGGACGGTCGCTGTATCAAAAATACGTCTGATATAGGAAATCGAAAATCTTAAGTGTGTACTGAAAGCTGATGAAATAATATTGCGCTCGGTGGCTCCACAATGAATCAATTTCCTTTTGCTAGAAGCCGCGATCCCTACCACCAGGCGGGAGCGCAGATGCGGAAAAACTCCGGCAACACCGCTGCAGGAAAGCCTCGGCCCAGGCCGTCCGCAAAGCAGAAGGCCCCGGATGATACCGCAGAGGCCGCAACCGCAGGCACTTCTCCCGCCCTGAAGAAGCGAAGAAAGCACGCCGACCCGGGCGCGTCTTCGGGTGCAAACGCGGATTCGAAGAAAGAGGAAGCCACTAACAAAAAGAAGAAAAATCCTGCGGCAGAGAAAGTGAAGGCGCAAATCACGAGGCAGCAGCTCTCGAAGAAGGAAAAACTCCTGTGGGAGAAGCATCAGGCGCAAATTGCTTTCGGCCCGACCGCCATGGAGCAAGTTTTCAGTGGCGAGAAGACCGTAACGGATTACGGTCTGCGCAAGCAGGACCTGATGCAGGACCCGGAAACGGGGCGGATCGTCTCGAAGAAGCAGTACCAGGCCCGCATCAAGCGATGGCACACGCCGGCAAATGCCGACGGAAGCGTGAATCGCAATTTTCACTGGAGTAAGGCGTTTGCGAAAGCGCGAGCGGAGCACGCGGGGGGCAAGAAGGCGACGCCGGATGGTACAGAGCAGAAACTCGCCGCGGAAGTAGACGAGGGATTTGCGGCTGCACAACAGGAAAACATGGCGCAGCTGCGAAGCGGTGTCGAGCCCTCGCGAGGTGGAAAAAAATCCCCAATGAAAGCCTCTGCATCTTCTTCACCGAACAGTGTGGAGCAGGGCAGGATAAAATCGGTGAACGTGTTTGCGTTGACGAAGCCCGAGCGGACTGGGCTGTTTGACCGCACGCGGGAGCTGTACACGAACTCGGTTGCAGAAAGCGAGGCCGATCACCGGATGCAGGAGCTGGCGAAACGCTGGACCAGCAATTTGCTGAGGGAAGACGACAGCGGGCTGGACGTTTTGTGGTCTCACGGCGCCACGCTGGCGGGAGAGCGGGAGCAAGTTGCCAATCAAGACCAAGATGCGACGGCGGGACAAAGCGTACACGGCGGGAAAAATGATCCGGTGCACGAGGAAAAGGTGGATTCGGAAAGCAACGCTTCGACTTCCTTGCTTGTACAGTTTTTGCGCCACTGCTTTTCGCGTGACGACGGTTCGATTGCGCCGGAGCAGCAAACCGACGTAGATGAGCGAAGCGGCCTTCATCCACCGGGGCCCCGAAAAGACAATGGGTCAGAGGGGAGCAGCTTTGCAGAAAATGCGAAGAACGACGCGATCAGCCCGCAGAAGTACTGTGCAGTTTTGCAACAAGAAACTACTCCTGTTATGCCCCCCGCGCCGGAAACCGCTGGAGCATCACCAAGAGCAGACGCAGCTACAGCCGCATCTCCAGCCGATTGCAGTTCCGGCCTTGGTATCGAGCCCGTCGCTGCTGGTGAGCCAAACACCGCGGATTTTGACACTCCCGCAATCGCATTTGCAAATGAAGTTGGGTCACCTGCTGCACAAAATTCCCTAGATGAAGGCGATAGAAGAAGCAACCCGCCCGAGGAAAGGAAAAGCACAGGCTCAGTGTCAGGTTTACGTGCATTGGGCGAGTGTTCAGAAGACACGGCGAGAACAGCGTGGCACAAGTACTTTGCTCCGGAACTAGTGAAAAACGACGATGGTGAAGCTGCGCTGACGCCCGTGTCGGTGAAGAGCCTTTGGGACGAGATGACGCAGCACTTCGTGCGTTCAACATTGGTTTATCAAATGTAAAAATGTCTGGGTCTGGAAACTTGTGATGCTGGGTAGCGTATCATGAGGAGGCTACAAGTGCTGGCTCAGCATGACAAGCTTCTGAGCTTCTAGGTGTTGTCTATTCTGCATGACAAACTGCGTTTTCGCATGACAGAAAAATGCGGCTCTTGGGTAATGTGCATGACAAATTTAAGAGTCATGTGCATTCTTCCAGACCCAGACATTTTTGCACTTGATATGGTTCGGGAATTCGCAAAGAAAGAGGATCTTGCGCCGCTGAAGCAGGTGGTGCCGCGGATGCAATGCGCTACGTCTTCTGTACGACCGACGACTGCAGCGTCTTCGGAGCGCCGGATGACCCCGGAGGAGGAAGACGTGTTTCTGCGGGAGTGTCGTGAGGCGTTGAAAGTGTGTGGGAATCCAGCACTGGCAGCGAAATATTCCGGAACTTTGCCGCTGCTGGCGCAGAATGGTGAAGCCGTCCCACGAGGCGACGCACCGGAACAGCCACAGCTGCCTGAACCTGCGAGATCGCAGCAGTTCGCGAAAAAAGAAAATAAGAAGGAGAAAAAACCTATGCCGGAAGCGGTGAAAGAGAAGCTGCGCAAGCACAAGCAAGAACAGCGGGAAAAGAAACTGCAGGGGGAAGAGCCAGTGCGAATAAATAAGAAGGCAAAGGTAGACAAGAATGCTGAGCAGGATAGCGGAGACTACTACTCCTGGTACGACTACAATTACGATGATGCCCTCGACGGTTACAATTGGATGGAGCTTGACTACGACAACTATGGGTCATACGCGGACAAAGACGGATGGCCAGCATTCCCGGAGTATAACTCGTCCGCTTCTGCGTCGGTGTCACACTCGAAGTCGGCATCACGAAAGAAAAACGACAAGAAAAGCAAGAAGCTGCCACGCCGGGCCAAGGACAAAGCGAAGACGGAGATGAAGCATAGCCAGAACTTGAAGATGAAAGAAAGCGGCCGCAAGAAGGGGCCTTTGCCAAGAGAGATGAAGGATTTTGAGAGTCTGCAACAAAAAGAAGACGGTGCGACTAAAGACGACGCGGACCATGGCCCAAAGCGAAAACCGCCGGAGCTGCGGCAGAACGTGGCATCGTACGGAGGGCCGGAGTGCTTTGTGTTCGAGGATGATGACATCAGTTCGGGCTCTTGGTCCGAAATTACTGACGGCGAAATGGAGCGGCTAGACGCGTACCTTCGCGAAGAGGAGGAGGAACAGAAAAGACTAGCAGCGCCAAAGGAGTAAGTAGTCACATTCACTTGATGCGGATGGGAATCACACCAATGCCGCTTCCAAAAATGAAACAGGCAAGAACTTTGAGAAGCGCAATGGCCACGTTGTACTCATGTGCGACATGCAGTAGATTTGCAATGCACCAAGGATGCTGCATGGACAGCGCCTGGCTCATTCTTCAGTGCCTGTCTCCTTTTGGTCAGAGCAGTTGAGCGTAGGTTTCTGTATAGATACTCACTTCATGTGAACAAAAACCCGCTGTATAGATACTCACTTCATGTGAACAGAGGTTAGGTTTCATCTAGTAGCTTCTAGCTCTGTTACCGCCGACCCAGAGCCATAGGAAGATAGCGACCTGCCACCTACCCTCGTGAAGCGTGAAAAGCCCGCTCTTGAGCTTGAAACTAGTCCCCTTGAGGTTCATGTTGATGCTTGTACATTGTTCAATCCCCCTGTAATTTTTGGTGCTACTAAAATCGTAGGCGCTCTGTCTACGGCGCAGGGAAGAAAAGTGAGGTTTTCCCTCGAGATGCACTAGTGATCCTGGCGCTCTCCTTTCCAGCTTCTCTGTTCTTAGTGACACGGTTTCGAGGCGCAGTGCATTTCTTTTCGCGTTTTTTTGTCGCGGGTTTTCCACTCACATGTCATCGTCGATCGTCTTGCAGCAGGAGCAGAATATTAATGTTTCGTTTTCTTTCGGACGAGATCTCCTTCGTGTCTGGAGTGACGGAGATTGATGATGAGTGAGAGTCGTTGATGCAGCTCCGTGTTTGTCGCTTCGCTGAAGTAGATAAGATAAAGATTTCCGTATCAGTACGGGCACTGCCACAGGAATTTATTATCAAGAACTCTGGAACAAAACCAAAGGCAAATTATCAAGGGAAATTAAAAGTGCTTTTATCACCGTAGGTCTAGCTTCAGCTCCGTCCGGGTGCTCCAGTCGGCAGACGGAGTGTCGCCGAATTGAAGATGCCTTCGCGGTCGTGAGTAGAGCGCTGGTGTCTTTCGGATTGTAACAAGGGTAGCTGCTCTTTCGCCCACAGTCGTCATGGCGGAAGACGCGGGGAAGCAACATACAATCTACGAAGAGGTGGAGTTCGATGATGAGGAACCTCTCGAAGAACTCCAGCCTGACTTCGACGAAGAAGAGGAGGAAGGGGCGGATCTCGATGACTACAACAAGGTGCGACAATTTGTTACGGAGTTTTGCTCATACTGTACTGTGCCTTTCGACAAGAAACTTTTGTGATGAAAAGAGTCAGCTACTTGCTTGCGCATCTGGAAATAAAATAAACTTGTTTTAAAAAAAAAAACGAACAGCTTGTTGTCGAAACCCGAATCCCAAACACTCTGCGCGATTCCGCACCGCCTGCAACAATAGTCGAGCGGCAGGCACCGAACGTAGATGACTTCATTCGCAACTTCTTCATCAAGCACGGCTTCACGAGAAGCCTAGAGGCATTTCAGAACGAGTGGTTCGAAAAGGGCGGATTGGGGGAGGCAATAGAAACAGCTCCAGATCTCTACGTATTGTTTTTTTGTGATTGATTTCGTCACCCATGAAATTTGAGGAGCGAAGTTGTCCTCAGTGGTAGTGAACGGAAGTTATGTAGTCGAGACAGCAGTACTCCTGGACGGGCTAGGGAGAAAATCGAAAATCCCACCTTCTGCCAAAACCAGGTCAAAGCGCAGCAGTTGGCGCAGGAAAATGCAGGCCTGACGCACGCATTGCAGACATCAGAGGGCATCGCGCAAGAAAGCAAGAAGCAGTGGGACAAGTTCCGAAAAGAAAGGGACTTCCACAAAATGCACCATAGAAGGGTAAGCAGTACGCTTCACAAATTTTTTTACTGATTAAGTACTTTTTTTTTCTCGAAGGGCGTTTCATCAAGTAGTATCTCTTATCAGTCTAGCATACTCGCAAGAGAACAAGCTAGGATGCGAAAGAAATTTTGTGTCAATCCATGAAACTACATTCAGGTCGTGCAAGAAAGGAGGCGGCTTCTGACCGATTTTGAAAGACTAAAGCGACACTACGAGCAATATGAGCCGACACTTGCGGAGCTGAGGCACAAGTATTTTTTCCACGATAAAGAATCAATTTCAATTTCTTCGCCTTTTGGTTCTGTCGTTTTTCTCTACACAAACACCGTGAAAATGAAAAAACGGAGGGAGCCGCAGGCATTGCTGATGAGCATAGCGGTTTCATCAGAAAGTAGCTCGCTTTCCCCAATCACCTCTACAGGTACGAGGTAATCATGAAGGAGAAGATGCTTATGAGACTAGAGCGAGACCGTATCGCGGGTAAAATGGAGACCCTCCAGGAGCAGTTAGAGGTTTTGCAAAGACAAGTAGACCAGAAGGACTCCAAGGCTAGTCCGGCCGAAGGTACAATTTTTCACCTGCTCTAGCTTCTTTGGAGATACTTCATCTGGCACTATCTATCATTACGCGTCGAAACCGAGAATTACCGCGTTCCGTTTTTATCATGAGGTTTTGATTGTGTAGTTGTTGACACTCACGGGAAACTAATTGAAGACTCATATGAAAAATCGCCATACAAACAGCGACCGGAGTTACAAAGTCGAGAAGAAGAATAAATACGCCCTGGCCAGAGGAGGAAGATCTCGGTGAGCCGGCAGTCTTCGAGCCCATAAAACCAGCGGACCTAAAGGCACTGAAATCCTTCCCCAAGTGCCACGCTGGACCGATTGCGTCGCTGGCCTTCCATCCCAAGTTACCAGGTAGAGTTGAAGATCTACTTCGTTTTCGGTCTGGTGCTATGAGTTGGAAAAGTATTTTGATTAGAATGAGTGTACCGCTGTGCATCAGATGTTCATGATCCGTGTCGCTGATTCTGATTGTGCAGTCACTGCCCATCCAATGAATAAATGTTATTCGCCGAATGCTCATCGTCATCATCTGCAACGCCGAAATTTTCTTCTCAGTTTTGGCAACGGCAAGCGACGACCACACGTGGAAGTTGTTCTCTTTGCCGGCGGGCGAGCTAGTCATGAGCGGGGAGGGGCACCGAGACTGGGTTTCTGGCATCGGATTTCACCATCGCAGCAATTTGATCGGAACAACCTCCGGGGACGCGACCGTGAAGATATGGGATATGAGCACCGAGTCCTGTCGTCACACGTTTACCGACCACACCCAGGCGACCTGGGGTCTCGATTTCCATCCCACACATGATTTCTTGGTGACCGCCAGTATGGACCACACGGCGCGCGTCTTCGATCTTGCATCGTGGCGCTGCAGGCAGACCTTCCGCGGGCATGTGGACAGCGTCAATGCTGTCTGCTTCCAGCCGCATGGAATGAATGTATGTCTTTTTTTGAATATTTTGTGATTTTTCTCATTTGCGTCCAAGTATAAAAAGTTGTCGCCAGGGGCACGGATAGTATACGACGCCACTAGTTGATGTGCTGCGATCGATTTCTGGTACTTTTCATCACAAAGTCGGGACGATAACTTTCAGGTTTGCACTGCGTCTGGTGATAAGACGGTGTCATTGTGGGACTTGAGAAGCGGGCTGTGTGTGCAAACCTTTTACGGGCACTCGAACGCCGTTAATAGTTGCAGGTTCCAGCGAGCCGGCACAGTACTGGTCAGTTGTGACGCCGACGGGCTCTGCAAGCTGTGGGATATCCGCATGGTGCGAACAAATTTTCTTTTTAAAGAAGAACGACCGGCGCTGAGTGTCACCTTTGTCTGTCGAATAGCGGTAGCTATCTGTAGGTGCGAAAATATAATCTCTATCATCAGCAAATATCAACAAATAATCAGGTCTGCGAGTTCCTCCAGATTGACGCAGGCCCGCACCCAGTGAACGCGGCCGACTTTGACGGCAGCGGGAAGGCCCTCGCGCTGGCCAGTGGGGACGGAGCAATTAAGTTGTTCGATCTCGACACCAAGACGTTCGTCAAGAACCTCGACGGCCACGAAGATTCCGCCCAGGATGTCCGCTTTGACCCGCAGAGCAAGATGCTCGCGTCGTGCGGCTCCGACTCCTCCGTCATGCTGTGGCAGTAGGTGCGACGCGGAAAAAACTAGATTCAAACCCATTGTAGAATTGAAATATCTAGTGGAAGCTTTTAGTAGGTTGATAGAACTAGTCAGCAATCAATGTGACAGAACAAGTAGCCCGGTGTGTGACATCGTCATCGGGCGTTACACTGTTCATTGAGTTCAAGTATGACAAAGTTACTGCTCCGCCCGCGCAGCAGTACTCGCAGGTGTTTGGGTAGAAGCAGGGCAAAGGCATACGACCCCAACCCCGTGCCTTTCTCCATGTACCAAACCACTCAAAACCTCCAGAGATTCTTATTCACAATCTATGACGACAAGAGAGAGACTTTGATATTCTTACTGTTACCTACGACGACATTCGTAAAGACAAAAGCGAAGGCCCCGGGCTGAGGCCCAGGTGAAGTACGGGATAGCAAAAGCAAGCCGATGGCTTGTTCCAGATGCGATCGTAAAAACGTTGGAAAATGTCGTCAGCCGGACTGATGTACACAAAACGAATCAAGAAATCCAAAGCAATTTTCGAGCGCATGCAATTTGGGCGCGGCGAACATTGGACGCAATTGTGTGTATTTTGCGTGGTAGGCACAGAACGATCAAAACCTCGAAGAACACAGTTCATCTAGTGCAGATGCCTCATTCGATCCTTTTAAGCCGTCTGAAGGTGTTACACTTCTTGTTTCGAAGAACATGCACAGTTGCTGATCGTATCGCATGCAACTCTTGGCTGCGCAGTTTCGTACGCCCTCTGTTTGTTGTGCATTGACGTTCCGAAGTCGCACGCAAGCGCATGCATTTCAACTTAGTCGTGCATTTTGTTCCGCTAGTACATTCCTACAGACTAACTAGAGTTGCATTTATTGGATTTTGACTTTTATACACTGTATCTCGCTCACCCTCACGCATGTACAATTGCTTTCGCGTAACTAAGTACTCATTTTTTTTGATGTCTATGCATCCATGATGTGTGCATAAATTTCCCAAATATTTGTATCTTTTGAAAGAAGTTTTCTCATGATGGCGCCACGATTATCAATGTGTGCAAACTTGATGATCCCGCTTGGGATGGTCGTGGGCGCACTGGCCGCCGGTGTTGTGCAAGGAAGTTGGGCACGGACGCCCGGGGAGTTGCTTGATCGACCGCGAATTCGGCTTCGGGGGAAGCGGCCTCTGATCCCGTCGCTGGGCCGCGTAACCAGCAAATTTGCACAGAAGCGCGCGCTTTTCCGGCGGGAAAAAGTGGTGCCCTGTGATTCGAGTGAAGCGGAGCAGGAAGTGGATCCTACGAAAATAGGAAAAGGCTACAAGATTCTAGCGGGAGAAACAGAAAATCTCAGTGCAGCAGAACAGCCGCTCGAGGACACACCAGACAACGCCCCCACGAATGTGCTGGAGTGGGTAACTACTATTCGGAGCGAAGCGAGTACCGGTGCCGAGCAGACACGGGCTCTCATTAAGCTCACCATTTATCTAATTCGACACCAGATATTTCCCGACGGAGCAGCAAATCAGTGGTCCGCAGCGGACGCGGGTGACGTGAACTTTCGCAGCGAGCGTGTGCTAAAATTGCAGGGCTCTTATGTGCTTCCTGTGCTGTGTGGACTCGACGACGCTCGCTTTGGCCCGGACGCGACCTCGGAGGACGAGAGCTGCCTCGTTGAAGACCACCATTGCAGTTGCTCAGAGGCTTCGCAATCCAGCCGTGCTACATGTGTCGAAAGCAAAGGAAAGCACTCCCAGAGAGGTGCTAGTAGTCGAGATGAAAGACCAAGTAGCAATGCACGCGCTGCGCATTTATTTGCTCCTCCTTCTCCTTGTGCGGGAGCAGCACCAGACCAGCCTAGCAAAAGATTGTCAGAGGAGTATTGGGCTTCTGTAATATTTGGTACCGGCAACGCGAAGAATACAGAATTAGGCGCATTGTCCGGCGGTGAAATGGAGCCAATCGCCTTTTTAGATACGGAGTCGTCTCAGTCTCTTTCGGGTGGAAGAAGCGAACTGGACCGTATGCTGGGTTTTTTCGCGGCTACTAAAGTCGGGAATTGCGCCCACATGACCTTGGCCGCCGCGTACATATTGGGAGCGGTGCTGCCGGAGGGCGTGCAGTTACGCCGCACGTTTTTGAACGAAGAGAATCTGCGCATCGCAAAGCGGGAGCTCAGTGCTTCCCGGCATGCTGCGGAAGCATCTAAAGGCGCCAAGGCTATCCGAAAAACGGGTCGAATCGGCGGTACAGGGCGTCCTGACACCTGTGCGACCGAGGAGAAATGTGATTTTTTCCATCAAGATTTTCTAGACGACCATGTGTGGCTGACCGCCATTCCCGGCTCCCTGCGGTCCTCTCGGGCTCGAGGTTTGGCAAACGCACTCATCATCGATCCATGGCCAGTCGATCAGCAGAGAGCAGATCCGGGCATAGCGTGCTATCCCGCTGCTTGTTCCGCTTCCTCAGGGTTAGAGCCGAGCGATGTGGCTGGTATCGCCTCTGACGGGGCACCAGCGCTAGAGAAAAGCGCGTTTTCGGATCTGCAAGTGCACTCCTTTGTGACCGTACCAACACCGGCGCGAAGCCCACTGAAGGTATCAGGCAAGCAAGATTCATCTGGTGCAAAAATACGACCAGTAGGGACGAGAAGCAGATGCACGACACCGGCACCACTGGAAGGCTGCAGCCAGGTAATATCACCGTTGCAAGTCGTGGATTACTCTCGCTGCACAACCGCTAGACCCGCTCGCTTCAGTTTACGGGAAAACTTCACTGGCATTAGGGCTTTGCGAAAGCTACTTCACGAACGCAACGCCACGGCCTACCGCCAGGCGCGTGACAACACGTGGCAGGGCGTGCCTCGGTTGCGAAACCCGGATGCCGTGCTGCACTTTTTAGCTTTGCGGGGCACGCAAGCGGGGCTGCAGGCGTTGATGCGGCGCATGAGTCCCAATTTTCAGGCAGAGCTGCAGGGGTATAAGTCGCAGTTGGAGCGGGAGTTTCCGGCCTGGAAACGCCGAACTTCACAAGAGCAGCTTCGCGTGCAAGCGTCGCGTTTGGATACGGGATTTCCGCCGTACTCATTCCGCAACGCCCGAAAGGTGGTGCCTCCGCACGGGGTCCAGTACACTCTGACAAATGGCCGCATCGGAGGGTTAGTACCGCTTGGGTACGCTGACAAAAGCGAAACTCAAGAGGAATGGGAGGGACACGGCCATTGTTGCTAGAAGCTTTGATCGTACATCCGCACCACTCAAATGCATTTGTTCTTTCCTGTGCAAAGTAGAAAATTGCTATTTTGAAACTCGATCGCTACTTATACAAGCAGATACCAAACTTTATTTGCCGGTGTATTTGAACTGCAGCTTGCTGGCCGTAGAGGGTGTTCACGTTCAGCGCATCGGGATCGCCTTCGAAATTCCAAAATCCGAGCGTGAGACGCAGCTTCCAAGATCTTTTTAACACGTGTACGCGCAGCATCTTGTTCTGCAATAACGCGAGTAGCCCGTCGCATGTATGATCAGCCTGGCATTTCTACATCATTACACTCATTTCACCATCATTTTTTTCTTCAGTGCTTCGATCGTGAGTAGAGTAAAGTTCTGCCTGAGGTACTAAACCTCTCCAGTTTGATAAATATCACCCCATAGAAATAGACGACTCCTCTTTCGCCATTGGGTTTTCAGCTGAAGATCCAATGCTGTGTATGATAAAGTGTCAAGAAAAGAAATAGATCGGTACCAACATCAAAATACCATGGCGACCACCATTTCGGAAAGCCCGAGCCGGCGAGAAGAAAGTAAGCGACTTCCACAGCTGTTGCGGGATGGATCCCTGGCCGATTGCGTGACCGCGGGTAATGCGGTCAGCGGCATCTGTGCCATCCTCGGGTGCATGTATGCGAGTAAGGAACATCTCCGGGACGTGCTCACACGGAAAAACGACTCGGTTTTCTACACGGTACCGGAGCGGGACCTGGACCCGGCCTGGGCGCTGCGGGTCGCCTTCTGGTTTCTCCCCCTCGGGCTCGTGTGCGACATCATGGACGGCTTCGTAGCCCGGCTCCGGAAAGCCAGCAGCCCCTTCGGTGCGGTATCGTAAGGAAAAATCCCCCCTCCCCATATCGGAAACGGAAGACGCGCGAATTTGTAATGCTGTATTTGAGTACACAAATCCACTTGTATTGCTAGAAGGCCAAGAGACGAAGCTGCGGCCTAAATTGCAGGCAATCTGTCATGCTGTTTCCCACGTCCAGTTGCCTCCTGTCATCCTGGAGCTGCAAGGCTTTCCCTCGCTAGACAGCACTACAGTCCGCATCTTTTGCCTTCTAGCATCACAAAGCTGATTTGTGACCACAAATCTGCATCACAGATTTCCGTTTTGATATGGGGAGGGGGCATTTTTCATTGTAATATGCGGACTTGGATTCCCTCGCGGACCTGGTCACCTTCGGAGTTGCTCCCAGTGTGTTCGGGTTTGTCTTGGGCCTTGACGGGGGGTGGGACGCTTGCTGTCTGCTGTTTTTCTTGCTGTGCGGCGTCGCGCGGCTAGCGAGGTACAACGTCACCGCCTCGCTGCTCAGCGATACGAAGACTGGACAGGTCTCCTTTTTCCAGGGTCTGCCCATTCCCGCCTCGTTGTGGCTGTGCTTGTTTCTCTACATCGATTTCGAACTTTCACAAAAGGATACCAGCACCAACTTGGCCTCATCCGCTGCCGCTGGCCAAGCAGAAGAAAGGATCAGTTTCTTCGGGGGCGCCGTCCAGTACTACTCTGAGGGTGCGGCCCGGAGTGCCGAGCATTTCGGGCTAAGATTATTGCGCCCGGTAGTGCGAGTTTTCGGTTCACGACTGCACTTATTCTCTCTGTGCTACCTGGCCACCGGGTCGGCACTCATTTCCACGTTTCCTGTGCCGAAGCCAGACCTCAATTGTCAGAGGCGAAAAGACACGCTACCGCAACGAAGCAAGAGTGCACAGAAAAGACTGGAAAAACACATTGGAAAGCTGTAGATTGTAAGTACCCTTGCATCGAAATCGACGAATGTTTCTTGTCTTCTCATTGCATAGGAGGTCGCGAACATGATCAAATGCCGACGAAATACAAATTGTAATCAAGGGGAAAAATTGAAATTTCTTCTCTCCAAGATACAGATGAGTGTTCTCATGCCGGCGGTCCAGCTTTTCGCTTGTTGTATGTCCTTGCGTGTTGCAAGTAGGTTCGTTTTTCCGTAGAAGGTGTTGCGCGTCGCATTCTTTTTCGTCCCCAGGAAGAGCCCAGCTTTTTGTTTGATAGAAGCGCTCTTTTGTCGTCCTCACATTCGCACCCTTCGAATTAACATGAGGAAAGGCGCACTTGTTCGTACCCATGACGATCGGAGGAGCAGGAGCTTCTGCGTGTGCTGCAAGAACCTTCCGGGTTTTGCTCACCACTCGCCCTTGCCTGCAGCCCATCGTCGTTCGCGAAGCACGAAACATTGGTGCCGCCGCGGACGCGTTTTTGCAAAACTTTGCTGTGGTGCACGGGATTCTTCCAGCGGTGCCGCGATCCGCAGAGCGAGTGTCGCTTCTGTTGGGCTACCGAAGACAGGTACAAGACCTCACCGAGCTGAAACAATTTCTTCAGGACCTCTTTGCATCGCAAGAAGTGCGAGAAGTACTGAGAATGCCACCCCATGCGTGCTTCCTACCTGGATCATCCGGTGGAGCTGGGAAGAACTCAACCGCTGCTACCGGGAGCAAAGCACAAAAGTACGCGGATCTTTGGCGGCCACTCAGTGGCACTTTCTTCTCTCCAGCGATCGTTCATCTGCGCCCTTCTGAACAGCCATTTGCGACGAGGACCGAAGAACATGGCGTTCAAGCCGTCGTGGGTCCGACCGATGGCGAGCGTACGCAAGTCTTTGCGGCTGCGGGACTGCGGCTGGCCGGCGAGAATAAAGACGAGGCTCTCTTCAGTGGAAGAACTGTGACAGTTGAGACCTCGGTCGTCAACCGGTCGAACTTGGCTCATCGGGATCGCGTTCGCAGTGCGGCCGAAGAGGTTTTGGAACCAAAATTTTCCGGCGGCAGCGCAGGGCGAGAGTGTGCAGCATTTCCTGGGACATCTGGCAGTCTCCACGTCGACGTGGTTGGAGACGAAGAAAACATTGTTGTCGTGTCGTGGAATCCTTTCGGCGTGGTGTGTCCGCGCCCATATTCGCTTGCTGAAGTTTCGGAAATCGGAGAGGGCAGTGCTTTTGCGCGGCCAACGACGAGGACAAGCGTATCAGTAACTGGATCATCCCCTTCCCCGCGGCGCGCGCAACAACCAGATGATGTTCGCGTAGCAGCCCCGCATTCAACTTCTAGGGGCAACGCGGCGTCCGGGCCAGCAGGATCGTCAAGAGCGCAGATCCGGAGCACAGAGGAACGTAGTAGAAGCTGGGATTTACGGGAATTATCGCAGGCGAAAAACGTCGTATCAGGCCTGGAGGCTTGCAGCTCCCGTCCCTCGTCCAAAGTGAACTTCGAGCACCTCAGATCACCCGGCGGCGTTTCTTGTACCGTGGTCGACGAAGACGAGAAAAAGGATGGCATAGGGAGAACGTACGTGCGACCAAACTCCGTACAAATCATAATTCAGAATGCTGTGGAGCGGGACAGGGAGGACCGAGTGCGACCATGCCACGCCGCCGCCTGCCTCCAGGCTATATTGACGGACTTGCGAGCTGGAGCCCCCGAGGCGAACTCGGACGAGACAGCTCGTGACTTGACTTTCTGGGACCCCTATTGCGGCAGTGGCATTTTGGGTGTCGAGGCCCTGTGCCTTGGTTTCGACCGCGTTGTCTGCAGCGACGAAAATCGCAACAACGTGTCGCGCGCAGAGGAGAGGCTGCGCAAATTGGTGACTTTTTCTAGTGAGCAAACGGAGCGGCGCAAAGGAACGAGCGGAGACGGGCATGATTGTGATTTTTTCAACTTAGGCAACCGCTTTCGGGTGGAGCATGCAGAGACCGGCTTCGCAGTTTTTCAAGCTGCGAGCCCGGTGGTATTCGATACTTCCGATCAGGATACAGCTCAGAGCACGACAGGCCAGCAAACTTCTGCGAGCATCCAGATGCTACACGCTCCGCCTGCGGCAGTAGAGCCTTTGCTCAGTTCGAGCCGTGAGAAGACCGTGATACTTTGTCGGTTGTCCCAGTACCGGGGCCGCGATGAGGCCTCGCGCGGGGGGGAGAACGCGAAGCTTGCGCAGTTGGCCTGCATGTGGGCTTCGTACCCTTGGCGAGGCTGTTATTTTCTTGGCGACGGCCGGTTGCGACGCCACTTTCCCACAGCCGATAGCGCGTCGCTGCTGTCCTTTCGAGTCGGAAGAGAACAGCAGACTTTGTGGAAAGTACACAGCAGCTGTAGCCTGCCCGTAAAAGCGGTCCTACAACGTCAAACGTTGCAAAACATGCTTGACGTGGACCCACCTCTACTATCCACCGATGTCTAGACTCAGCTAGTTTTTCGCGGCTCGCAGAAAACATGCGCGTAGTTCTTGTGCGCTAGTAGTGCTGAATCAATGTACCGTTATATACATCTAACGAGCACCGTTTTTTGTTTCTATATGGCCCGAGAATTCGAGGGAGACTGCCGCACGAAGGCAGTGCCCATAATTTGTGAGAGGGAAGATTTGTTTGAAGCAACACTCACCGGTTGGTGCGGATACTGTCGTGTTCGTGGTTGTTTTCTGAGCCGATTTTTGTGTAGGTATCTAAGATGCATATGGCTCATGAGATATCCACAATCTTTCCGTTTTCTGTCGAGTTTTCATTGTCTTTTTGTTCAAAACGGAAACGACTGTCAGTGCCTCGTGTAGTAGAACCATTTAGCTACCCACAAGCCGCTCCCAATAAATTTGCTCCAGAAAAATCGTGACAGTTGTAGAAGATTTAAGCGTGTGCTGCCTAGGATTTGGCATTCGCCGCAAGCAGTCCTCTCGTGGATCGTCGCTACACAGCTTTTTAGTGTCTGTGTGTAAGTATGTGTAAGTATATTTTGAATGTGGTCTTACCGTTTTTAGTTTCCTGATCTATTAGCGCAGCTACCTCCACCAGCTGCCGCTTCGTCGTGGTGTAGAAAACTCCTGGAACAGAACGTGCGATTTCTGATGTATTAATTGTGGCTGCTCCTGCTGTATTACCAAGCTACTACTTATTTACATTTTTTGTTTTGCAAATCGACATAGAAAAAATATGGTTGTCCCCGCGCTTCTGGGACTCAGCGGGTTGGGTTACTTACAGTGGAAGGCCGGAAAAGATATCCTTGCTGAAAACGTCTTCAGATTTGCGATGAGCAGAATGTGTGCTCTGATGCGGATTCGATTGAGAGCCGCTTTCACATAATGTTTGGGGATAATGCTTGCTCAGTATGTTGAGAAAATAGCTTCGTGATGAGGCCGTACGGCTAGCCTCGATGACATTGTAGGCAAAATTTTGCTGTGTGCATACCGCAGTATTTCAGCATCCGGGTCTTGATGCATGTCAGTCTGCAGAAGTCACATCGCTGCCTAGAGGCTGGGGACGTCTTCAAGCAGGATAAAGGACCTGAATGCGCTAACCGATGGACAATCGCACAGTCCTTTCACATTTTGGGCCGGACTGTCGCTTGGAGGCCTGCTTGGAGTGTGGGTAAGAATTTTTGCCGTGTTTGAAGCGCATTCCGACGATTTCCTGCAGTGTGAGACACGACGTAAGTACTCAGTGTCCGATCAGTGCGCATACATCTTCAAATTTAATGTCGCATCCTAATCTACTTGATCGATTCCGTTCCCATTTTGTAAACAGGTGTACCGTGGCTCTCTGGTCTTCGAAGTAGAAGTAGATTCGACTAGATGATGCGTGCTTGTGAATCATGCAGAATATTAGCGCGTTTTAAGACAACAACGCACTGCAGGTGGGAACAAACTATGGACCAGCCATTGTACGCGGCTACCAAGCATGTGAAACATTTCTCTCTTGGGTGGTTCCTTTCGGGTTTTCCGGAGACGACAGTAATCGCAACAACGCGGACGGCGCCCCTCCGAAGAAATAATCAGCATGTTCTGGATTACCAGCACAAATCAGAGCGTTACACATAGCATAATCGTTCTTGGTGACCTACTGATGAAGTATGGTGCCCACCGCATCCACACCTGTCGTCGAAATTTTTTTCTCGAGAATATTTGGTCGTCTCTGCAAGCGAATCATGCACAGCGTGGTCAAAGTGAGCGCTGATACAGCATACCATCGACTGCGAGAGTGCACCAGTTGCGCGGAGCTAAAATGCCGTTTCAATGTCTGTTCTGAAGTCTCCTTCAAATAAGAAGAAACTTGGGTACTGGCGTTACAAGCGCGCACCTGAGCGAAAAGACATCTGTTGTACAGAATGACAAGGCATCAAGGGTTGCAATTATGCGACTGCCGCGTCCTGGTCCAGTGCGTTGGGGAATCAAGGAGCACAGAAGTGTAGACAGTTCGTATACAACGCACAACATTCATCGTTATTTTCCTGATAGAGATTTGTTGTTGTTCCGATCGCTGATTCCATGAATTTCGTTTCAGATTTCGTTTGCGGGTCGTCCATCATGCATTTCGCAACCAATGTCGAAAACTTCCAGGCAACGGGACGAGCACTCTACTAACGACGCCGCTCCTTCGGATGCATACTTTCGTGATGTCACTCTTCCTCTGTCGTATTCTTCGGGTTCGTATCGTTCAGGATGCTCGTTTTGGTTTTTCTCCCTAAGGTAAACATCGATACATTGTTGGCTGTCTTCGTAGACCCTCTAGGTTAGATGGAAAAAACACGTGCTCTGCTGGTTGTAGGCCGGCCTAGAGAGCATTACCTTTTTTTGTTGACGTCGTGCTACAGTTAGTGCATGTATTGAGAATTAGAATTTATAACCAAGAGACTACATCGCACGCTTTGATTTTGCAGGAGTCGTGAGGTTGTTTTTCCTGATTCTGGTAGCCAGGATGCCAAGGTGCCTCAAAGTGGTCGCGTTGTTCTGCTGTGTTGCACAGGCCATCCAAGAACGGAAGGTGCAGCGGCAGCTCGAGGCGGAGCAAGATGCGAACTCGAGCTACCGCGGTTCTCTACCTCCGCCGCAGTTTCAAGGCCAAAACCAACCGACGTCTCCTGCGGGTGTGTCACCGTCTGTGCCTCCGGCGGCGTCCAATTACCAGGGTTCTCTGTCTCCGCCGCAATTTCAAGGCCAACAGACGTCTGCGAATGCGCCACCGTCTGTGCCTCCTGCAGCGCACTACGGGAGTGCCGCGCCGGCGCCAACTGGAACGCCACCTACTGGGGCTTCTCATGGTCATGGCGCTGCACCCTGGATGCCGATGGCGCAGAATGCCATGCGTTCTTTCGGCGACATGATGCAGAATTTTGTTCCTCCGCGTCAGCAGGAGCAACACCAGCCGCCGCATCATGCGACTCAGCAGCAGCACCAGTCGCACTATGCGACCGAGCAGCAGCACAAGCCGCACTATGCGACCGAGCAGCAGCACCAGCCGCACTCTGCGCCCAGCCACTCCACCGCTGCTGCTCCTGCCGCGCTTCCGGAGACAGCCCCGGCGCACTACACTGGCGCTGCAGCACCTGGTTTCGATTCGCCATCTCAGCCGGTCAAGCGCGAAGAAGTTTCGGCCCCCAATGACCCGTGGGGTGTCAGCGATGAGTCCACCTCGCAATTTCACAACGCATACGTGGTGCAACAGCCTGAGCCGCAACAGCATCCGCCGGTCGACGTGTCCTCCACGTCAACCGCACATAATGAACCCCCGCAGCACCACGCTCTACACCATGCGCCAGAAGACCTACAACAGCATCTGCAGCAACATGGGCCACAACTCCAGCAGCACGCACACCAGCTACAGCAGCTGCACGGGCCACAATTCCAGCAACACGCACAGCAGTGGCATCAACAGGCCGGGGGCCACGGACTCCCGGTCTGGAACTTCCCTGGTCAGGAGCAGGAGGTGCATCAAGAGCCGTACTATGGTCCGTCCGAAGAGCAGTTGCCGACACCCACGGAACGTCCACAGCAAGGACAACAGGATGTGCAACAGCTGCAGATGGAACATGCGCCACCAGTGCAACACCACGAGTTTGCCTACACACACCAGCCCATGCAACCTGCGCCACAAGTACAACGTGTTCATCATGCACACCAGCCGGTGCAATATGCGCCACAGCAAGTGCAGCAACATGCTCCTGCGCATCAGCTGGTGCACGATACGCCACCGACGCACCAGCACGCACAGGAAGGACAGGTGCAGGAGCATATGCCACAAGCACCCCCCGCAGCCTCGTTCGGTGATCAGTTGGGCTCCTTCATGCGCAACTTGCATAGCAGTCTCCCGCCGCAGCAGCAGGCGCAGTTTCAGCCGTTCGTGCAAGAACTCCAGCAAAAACAGTTTTTCGGGCCCACGGGGCGCGAAGGCGGAAAGTTTCTGAGCGAGAAGGCCATACCTGCAATGGGGGAGGCAGTTGCGCAGACTGCGGCAACTTTTCTCGGCTCCGATCCTTTGCGAATTTCGGCCCTGGACGAAATGAACATCGTGTATCAGTCACACCAGGAGCTTTTTGCGAACGCAACGAATCTGATCAGCGCCGCCGAGCAGACCGAGGGAGGACTCGATCGCATTCGCGAGAATGTGATGCAGCGGGTGCGGGAAGCTTTTGACGAAGTGATTGAGAAGGTGAAGTCGCAGTTCGCCGGATTGCTAAACACGTTCGTCGAAAGCGACCGAAGCCTTACCTTCCGGACGGAGCTTGCCACAACGATGTTCCAGTACCCCAGTGATGACGCTTTCATCGATGACATTCTGATGGACACGACACCGCTGGAAGTGATGCAGCAAGCGAACATTACTTCGGCCGAAGAGTATGCGAGCGCGCGTCAGACGGCATCCAACACGTTCCAGGATGCGATGCAGAGCATGTCTGAGGGACCCGATGGTGGCAGCCACGAGAATGTCGCGCACACAGCTGTTACGGAAAAGCTTGCGCCCGAAGGCGATGACGTTATCGTGCAGAAGCTCGGCTTCAAGAAGGACGGAAACCAGGTGGAAGCCTTTCTCAACGACGTCACAGCGGCACAGAAAACGTACATGAATAGTGAGTGCGTTCTGTATTATTTTTTAACGCTCTCCAATAACGGCCTGGCGCTGGTTAACATTTTTTTCTTGCATTACGAAAGTACAAGGTTCTACGGCGATGAGGTTTCGTTCCGCCTTTGGAGAAACGTGACGGCTGCATAGAAGCCCAGATGATCAGGTTGAGACAGATGAAATAGTACATTTCTACTTATTATTTGTTAACATGATCTGCTCAGCTGCCTGTGACTTAAGGTTAAGACGTATGTTCTCCAGGTTTATGACCGACTTCAAGCAGGCGGGTGAGTACTTCGGAGGCTCCGAGATGGCCACCAGTGACTACATGTACGACGCGAAGCATCGAATTCTTCAGCGGTTCCAGGGTGTGGTTCAGTCAGCGGACAAAGTATTTGTGGTTTTTTTCCTGACACCCTACGGAGAATAGTATTATTTCCAGTGGGGATGCATGTACTAGTCTTTCTCTTTTGCATGATCATTTCTGTCGCCATCCCATCCTTTTTCTTGGCTTCGCATACAGATTAAGTACTCTCGATTTTTTTTTTCAACCCCACAGGAAACGCTGGCAAAGATCATGGTGATGCCGAGCGTTCTGCACCACCCCCACGTCTATGCACTGCAAACACAGGCATTTGGTTTTGTCATTTGATTATGTCGCTCGCAAAAAAGAAAATGAAAAGATACAGAGGATTTTCTGCTGGTGGTTTTTCCCAAACGCTATCTATCATTCCAGTTCTGATAGATTGCGAATCCATATTCTCCTGTGTGATTCATGCTATTTTCTCATGTATGTGACGGACGCGTTGCCATTCGCCTCCGTGGCTCCTGGACCAAGATAGATAAATAAGTATCCCCTTCCGTATTCTGTGCAGGATGAGAAGTTTCTTATTTCGTTTTTTTTTTCCGACTCAGAATCTGAGTCGGAAAAAAAAAACGAATCAGATGACATGTTTGCAGCGTATACCGTGCCCGGCTACACTGATTCCGCGTACAGTGTGCACAACATGTCGGGAAGTATGATGGAAGCTGCCCACCGCATGATCCGAGACGAATACCACGTCGTGGCTATCCTCCTGAGTAGATCATCCTCTACCATGACGCAATTCATATGCGTTTTACCGCGAAGGCTGTGCATGTGCATGGATACATTCGCTCCGCATGATTAGGAGCATTTCATGTAGTTGTACCACTTTCCTAGCCTGTCGCGTACAGCCAAGAAACTTCTAAATTTAGCCATGAAAAAATTCGTTTGGTAAGTCTACCTTTTACTTTTGTGAACATGGTAAGTCTACCTTTTACTCAGGATAGTGACTGTGAATTTTCGAGCAAAGTACGGCATCACCCGGGAGGTACAAAACATGCTTGCTCAGTTGCCTGTATGTAAGGGTATAGCAAGGATGCGGCCTCCTGAGCCGAGATAAAAATGCCATGAATCATATGAATGCTACAAAATATAATCAACGTCAGGGGCCGAGCAAGGGGTACCGGCAGGACCCGATCAGTCAGCAGTTCCTGAAGTATGCCACGCCTCCGCAAGCCCAAGCCGATTCGGGCGCCGCGCCCAGCGGAGAGGAAGGGGCGTCGGTCGGCGAAGTGAACAAGACCGAGGAGGTGGGGAAGGACGACAGCGGTTGCTGTGGCTACGGGACGACGCCGGAGGATGAAAGCAAGAAAACCGAGGAGGTCGTGGGGGAGAACGCCGCCGAGAGCAATGCGAACGACGGTGAAAGCAAGGCTTTCGTCCAGGTGAACGCAGCCGCGACGATGAGCGCGGACTTCCTGGCGAGCGAGAAGTCACTGGGTGGTCAAGATGAACAGCACCGGGACGAGCCGTTCCCGTTTGCCAGCGAACCAGTTGCTGGGACAGAAGACGCGGCTTCGTTTCTTCAGTTCAAGTCCAACGCTATGACAACCTCCCGTGGGAATTTTTCCAAAAAGATGAAGAGATTTGATTTCTTCCGCTAGTAAGTACATCAGAAACGTAACTTCTTTTTGGTCGCAGAGCCCTTGAAGATGCAAAGGCGACGTTTGCAAACGCTACCAAATCTCTACCTACTAGAATGATTCCCACTTGGCGGTAGTATACCAGCGTACGCAGAATCGGCCTACGGTATGGAGACTGACAGTTCATCCTATGTTCAACTCGCATTCATTCTCGGGGAGGAATACTTAAGAATGTAGCGCGATGTGATGTTTGATTTCAGAAACTAATATAGCTGTCCCCCAAAAAATGAAAGATCGTATTCACTTGAAATGGAAAAACAGCTTCTCCAACGAACGACGCACCGATTCCGTGGGGCTTCGTGTTCGCGATTCTGTGCGGGCTGATGTTCACCGCCGGATTCGTGCGGGTTGGCTACAACTACTATCTGGCACAGTACAAGGCGACGCTGAAACCGGAAGTTGACTACTACGTCAAGGACGTGGGGATCTGAAGCACTATCGGGCCTTCGGGCATCAATCGGCCGGTTAAGACTGGACGATCCCCCACAACACGGTGGAACACGCAGAATCCGCTTTGTCGAGAGGTGAGCTCTTTTCACAAACAACATCTAAGATTTTTCAATTGCAGTAGTTTTCACATTTTTTACGCATCGTGGAAGATTCTATCGCTCTGCTCCGGTCTGCTCTCTCAATTGCTCGCTGGAATTCGATGTTTCTCAGGTTTAAGTTGTTCCACTGAATAGTCCTGTAGCGAGCGAATGTCATTGTTGAAATGAAAAAGAAATCAAATTTGAAAAAATGTAAACCTATTGGAAAATATCTCCGGAAGTATCTTAAATCAGCGATAGCATGCACCGAGAAAATTAATATGTACATTGCAATTTTGAGAAAATGACGAAACGCGATCGCATTTGTTGTGGCATGATCTGAATAACCACTTAGTTTCACCGGCCTATTATTGTTAAATCAGTGGGGACAATGACAAACGAAACCATTGTGTAAAATGCGACTTTCTTTATAGAAATTGGTTTTCGATCAATTACAAATACAATTGTTAGTGCGACGCAGGAGGCTTGTGTCTAATCATTCATGATCATGTACACAGTTTTGAAAAAACCTGGTGCAGCAAGTGGAAAAAATTTGCTGTGACCTAGTTTTTGACTGTGTGCCAAAGATCATCCGTTCCTCAGTTTCTTAGATGAAAAACAACCCGCCTCAATATGTACTTGAGTCTTTCTGTTCGTGGTCCCTTCGGAAACAACTTGGAGTTAGATCTACTACAAAGTGAATGTTTTTGCTACTGCTGGCTGCTTTCCTTTTGCCCACTGCGAGGACAAACACTTGCACATCTCTTGGAGATTTTGCAGCTACGACTATGGTCGTGAAAAAGCACGTGTAGATCCGAATTTGAAACGTGATCTGAGGCTCTCGAGTCACTTGGGCAGATGCAAGAAGTACGAGATCAAAAGAGACCCCCTTGATTTTCACCTTTTTTCTTTTGCGAATTCTATCCAGGCGACGGCGACGACGTTTTTGATCTATTACAACAGAAAGAAAGTAGTTTCACCTCCTTACCGATAATTCTAGACGGAGTTTCACGGAGAAAAAAAGAGTTGAAGACATACTTGCTGGAGTCTCCTCAGACGAGCCGTTCCAGCCATGAGATCGTAGTCCGAAGACATGCGTATTTCGGTTGTAATATCGGATGAAAGTATTAACAAGTCGCTTTCAACCTAAACACTGTACATAGAATCCTGAAGAATGGTATCTGCTAACGAAAAGAAGCGGCGAGACCGCGAGAAGAAGAAGGCACAGGAGAAGCGACGAAAAACGCGACAGGCCGAGCAACGCGCAGAGGCCGCGGATCGAGAAAAAGTACAGGCTCGCAGAGAGGTGCTTGGGGGAAATGAAGCACAGGAACCAGAGGGCGACGAAGAATACGTGATTCCAGAGCTTCCATTCAACCAGGACGACAGCAGGTTCGACGAGTACAAAAAAGTTTTCCACACCTTTTCCATAGCCGGCGACGAGGACGAGAAAGAGGATGGGGACGAGGGCAAGAAACCCAAACCCGGCGAGAAAAAGTCCAAGCTCCAGCTGCGCAAGCAGGTACAAGAGGGGGAGGACGGCGACCGGGAGAGCGGCGTAGCGGATGTGTACGAGCGCTCTAAGAAAAAGAAGAAGAAGAAGTTTCTGGTGCACGAGCTGAAACAGGTCGTGGAGCGACCCGACGTGGTCACAGAAGTCGATACCACCAGTCCCGATCCGAAGCTTCTCGTGTATGATTTTCTTTTTTGCATGATCCCGATAGTGTTTACGGCCTTTGTTATTGTTTCAAGAACGCACAGGTCGTCGCCTGCCGCGTTTGTGCATGTCGTCTTATCAGATGAAGCCCTAAGGTCCACCTAAGGTCTTGAATCCATGAAATTGTTTATCTGCTACAGGTTTTTGAAGGCATATCGCAACACGGTTCAAGTGCCACCGCATTGGTCAGCCAAACGAAAGTTTTTGTCGATGAAGAAGGGGCAAGAGAAACCGCGATACCGCCTGCCCGAGTTTATCGAGGCGACCGGAATTCAAAAAATACGAGAGGCAGTGCTGGCGAAGGAAGAAGGACAAGGTAGCAAAATTGAGACACTACTTCTCGGATGAACAGCAGCATGAAGATACAAGCTCTTACTTTAAGATTCGCTGAGTTTCTTTGAAATTCAATATGGTCCTCTTCGCGCGGTGAGATTGCATGGATAGGTTCAACCATGTTCCCCACGCAAGAATAAATGGAGATTTGCGCATCTACATCAATCACTTGGAATTATGAACACTGAACAGGCTCCACAGGCAGGGCGAAAGCGAGGTTGACGGCGAAGATGGGAAAACTGGATATCGATTACCAGGTTCTACACGATGCCTTTTTCAAATACCAGACACGACCCAAGCTGACCGGACACAACGATATTTATTTCGAGGGAAAGGAGCAGCAGATGAAGATGCAATCCCAAAAGCCCGGCGGGAAACTTACCGCCCCACTCATGCAAGCGCTAGGTATTGATTCTTGTACACTCCGGATTCTGCATGTTTCAGTTTCGCCCACACGTCTCCTCTGCGATGCGGCTCTGCGGTGGTCATATTAGCAAATAAGCCAATGTCAGCAACAAGAAGCCATCGCGAGTGTGCAGCATGGAGATCTTGGTATATTGATTACGAGTTGAAGATGTGCCGACCAATTTGTTCAGGTATGATCGACGAGAACCAGCCTCCCCCCTGGCTTTTCAACATGCAGCGCTACGGGCCCCCAAAGGCGTATCCGATGATGCGCATTCCAGGAGTTAACGCCCCCATCCCCGAGGGAGCAGAATACGGCATGAATCCGGGCCAATGGGGAAGACCTCCCCTGGACGAATATGAAATGCAAAAATGTCTGGGTCTGGAAGATTGCAACTTGTCATGGTAAATCTGAAGCATGCAAAAATCTGTGTTGCATGAGTGCCAAAAGCTGTCCACTTTTGACCAAGTTGGAACGGAGTTGCTCATGCAGAATAGGCATGGCAGAGACCTCGCAGAGTCTGTCACGCTAAGTCCCGCATTCCAGACCTCATGGGTCATGGAAAATCTGCATGACAAGTCTACACTCTTCCAGACCCAGACTTTTTTGCGCTTGATAACGAATTCGGCAACCCAAAATTCGGCGACTGGGCCAAAGAACACGCGGCCCGCGCAAGAAGAGCCCAGTATTATTATTGAAACATTTTTAAAACAGGGCTACCTAAGCACACACAAGTGTGAAGATGAGCTTGAGAACAAGAAGTAGTGATTCACAACTTTCTAAGAGCTTGTTTGCGTTCTTTGAGTCGTAGGCTAGGAAAGTTATCCTTCACTGAACAATACTACCACAGAGTGGACGACAATACACTTTGGGGAGAAGCTGAAGACGTGTCAGATGATGAGGAGCAAATGCAGGCCGAGGGGCCTGAGGAACAAGCAGGAATGTCCGGCACTGCCACCCCAATGGTGGGACACGCGACCCCTATGGTACTTGAGTTGGCACATCAACATTTCCACTTCTTTATCTCTGTAAAGTCCAGCAAAAATTTTAGCGTTTTCATCGCGGAGGATGGCGTTTTATGTGTGTATTTGTCCGTCGTGGCGCGACCTTTGCGACTCTGTCTGATTGACATGTTCTCAATGATTGATTGAATATCAGATCGGGGTAGCGACGCCACTGGCAGGCGCAGGGACGCCACTCATTGGCAGCGGGTACAGAAGTACATCAGGAATTTCTTCCGTGACTTCGAACTTAACTGGCGGCCTGCAGACTCCCACCATGAGTATGCAGTACGGGTATGGAAGTGCGCAAACAGGCGGGGTGAGGTCTGGCAGCATGACGCCCGGACCACAGCTGTTTCAGGTGCTCGAAGAGCAGAAGCGGGTGGCTGGCGCTGGCGGAGTTTTTCCAAGTGCGCACGGATACCGTGCGGGTGGGATTGCCACGCCCGGTATCGCCACACCCGGTATCGCAACACCGGGAATCGCAACACCCGGAATCGCGACACCGGGGTTTGCAACGCCAGGAATCGCAACGCCGGGCATTATGCGAGGTCCACAAAGCGGAATTGCGTCCGTGGGGAGAATTCCAGGTATGCACTTGCTTTAAGAAGTGACCTTGGATGAATACATGAGCATATTGTTCTAGCGTAGTGCAGTCACTGTAGAGGATTATCCGGAGGAATTTCTGATCCTGTAAACAAGTGCATGGTGCCGTTTTTGTTTTTGCTTCGATTCTGCCTCCGAAAATTTCCACAGGTATCCAAACGCCGCTTGGTATTCAAACCCCAATGGGCCTGGGTATCGCGACGCCCGCGGGCGGAATACAAACGCCAGTGGGGGGAATCGCGACACCGACGGGAATCCAGAGCGCGGGCGGTATACGTTCCGTCGAGCAGGAAGGTATGATGACAGCAGATATGATCCGCGCGCAGCTGAAACAGCAAGAGCAAAAAGCCGCGGACGCCCGGACAGCGGCGCACCAAAAAGATGTCAAGAAGAAGGATGGCAAGAAAAAGAAAAACGCCTTCAAGTTTTAGTCGGGCCTCCGAGTTGGGAGACCCGTGGGCGGTCCGCGTGCTCATGCACCTTGTCATGGCGCAACTGTAAGTGCATCTATCTCCGCAGCGTCGCCGTAATGCCGTTGTTTCTCCGAACGCGGCAATGGTTGGACCGTGCGTTCGAGAAACCGCCTCACAGTAGAATCCATTGACAAGGACCCAACGCCTCCACCAACTCGCGCTGCAGCAAGTACTACCCTGCGACTTTTTTTCCAAGAAGCGAATCAGACCTCAAACCCAAACCCACTTTTTGAAAGTAGAGCTTGACGCGGAGGCGAGTGATGTGTACCGCAAACATAATTGATGGAGAACTGAATAGAGAACCTCGCAATTATCCACATGGGACCCGGCCTGGCACCGGAGATCATGTGTGGTCGGATACCTACACAGTGTTTGTTCGCGCTCAATTTAGGCAGGACAGGATTTGCAGGACTTTCCACGATCGTGAGTCGACGCATTAACGCGGGAGGTATTCTGTATTCGTAGTAAGTGATCTTTTCGGAAATCGTCTTTCGTCGCAGTTGGTTCGTTTCTATTGAGCCTGACAGATAAATTCGATATGCCTCGGGGAGGTTTTCGTTCTTTTGTTTCTCTTCCCTCGTCCGGCAATCTGGAAAGCGAAGGTCAGATGTAAGACAATAGACAATTTGTTGTTGATATTTCAAGCGTGAAACTTCTATAGACGACAGTACGCGAAGTTTGCGAACGGCGAAAGCCATGCTGATTCGTTTGCACCAGAATGAGCCGACCGCTTTTGCAGCAAAGCTGGTTGACCACCTCGCGGACCTGTTCTCTTCAGCAGCCGCGACAACCGGATGGATTCAGCAATTGCCGCTCGGGAACAGGCCGAGTAAGGCAACTCGATCATGCGGGCCTCGGTGCGGGACCGGGACCACCTGTACTACCAGCCCACAGAGTACAACTTCGTTTCTGACAACTCACGCCGCGTCCGAAGAGGGTCGGTACTACATGTCGCCTCCCCAGAACAAGGACCGGTACGAGTGGGGCTATCCCTGCTCAGTGAAAAAGCTGCCAATCGGGGCGCCTACAAACCAGCGGTACATTCCGAATGCTTTCGGGCTCTCCTGGGGTAGCTACCCAAACCCGTACCCGACGCAGTGTGGGACGACTATCGTGAAATGGGGGAACGGCGAGGACAGCGGAGCCGCCGCGGGGGCGGACTTCAACGGCAGACCCGAGTACGTCTGGCTCAAGGACAAGGCCGTGAACTGCACGGCGATCCCGGCGCCGCACGAATTTCTGCAGCGCGGGAACAGTCGGTTCGGCGGGCAGTCTTCCGAGTGGTTTCACACTCGGTTCCTGCGAGCGGCAAAGCTCAGTATTGGTGGTAGGATCATGGGCGGAACGTTTAAGGACGTGAACACAAAGGGAAACACCACCAATGACGCCTACGCTTTTGCCGGGATTTTGGAGGAGGGGCACAGTAAGCCCGTGCTTCGCGTCAAGAAGAAAGGTTTCGCGAACGACATCCTGTGGCGCAAGAAGCCAAGCAATTGGAGCGCAATCCGCAGCGCTGCTGCGGGCCTGGCCGCGGGGCTGAAGAATGTCTTCAGTCAGAATGCGAACAACGGCGATATGACGGACGGGAAGGGCTGGTGGCCCAATGTATTCTCCAAGTACCAGGCTGCGTTTATGTGCGAATCCGAAAAAGATTGCGGTTACTTTGTGTTTGACCCCAGCAAAAAACGCATGCAGATGTGCCAAGGCCAAGAAATCAAACCGAAGGAGGGAATGTCCAACAAGGTCGCACGGGGGAAAGCTTTCGGGTATTGTTGTTGATCAGTTGTTGCATGCTTGAAGTGCACTGCTTCTTGTTACTTGGATGCTTCTTGATGTCCTCATGCATGGTTGTGGAGCTGAAGAATGGTTCGGAATGTTGCAGCAGAAGGAGGAAACAAAACGATCACTAATGCTAAGTAGTACATGATCATCAGAGCCAAAACTACAAAATCTTCCAGTTACTTGCTGGCTCGGAAGATGCGAGGGTACATGATGGGGGTGAAGCCGAGCTTTCTGCGGCAAGCCTTGAAGCTGAATCAGAACGACCGACTGCTGATAAACACGAAAGCCGTCTGCCCCGGCCGAGACGGCCGGTTCCTCGAGACGCGGCCTTTTGCGGAGGATCTCCGCGACACATTCAAGCGAAACGCCGCTTCCCCGGATGTGCTTCGGCCTACACATTGGTGGTACAATCTCGCGGGGTCCAAAACTTTTTACATGCAGCCCTCTGACGTTCGGGGCGAGCTATGCAGTGGGGAGCCCACTTTTGTGCCACAGCTAGGTGCCTTCGCAGTCATACCGGAGATTCCAGCTGCGCAAGAACCGATGCTTTCATAAGTGATTCTGGTCCAGTCAGCACGGCATTAGCAAGCTTACAGCGGTAAAATTCCACACTTCATCGTGCTACATTTAAGTTCCTGGTATGCACGGTCTCATTTGGTGGACAATGCAGACTCAACAGGGAAGAGGGTTTTGTTGAATGATAGAGGTATTTGCTGAAATTCGTTGACTTGCCCCCGCGGTTTGCTGAAATTGATGCTTGCAAAAGTATTATGCTGGGGAAGATATTTACGACAGACGTTGACGTTGCTCTTGCTGCTGTTTGTCTAGGTCGCATTTCGCAAAAGCAATCTGTGTTGCATGACTCGCTTGTGAAGCTGCAAGCATGTGCTACATGATCGTGCGAGACTTGCTGGATTCAATTCAGTGTTGTTCTTCGATTCAGCGGGACGGAAAAAAAGGCTTCTAACACTGAAGAGAGGCATTACACTTCATTTTCCGTTCACGCGTACAACAGATGCGTTTTCAACATGACGAAGAGAAAAGAACCCCCACTGCATGTCCGTCGGTCCAATGATCATAAATTGATATCATGCAGCTCGTGGGCAATAGGTGATGGATCAGGATCGTAAAATTAAGTCTCTCACAGACGAGGCAACAAATTCAAAATTGGACAAAAAGCATCTATTGCTTGGATCTGAAAAAAAATAAAATGAATCTCTACAATGTCAATGTGTGTGATACCATGCACCGGCTCTAATTGAAAATCGAGATGAAAATGCAACGCCCATTTTCCTCAAACCACAGATTCTCTTCCAGCGACCTCAGGAAGGGATAATTTGTATCTAAACATGATTAAGAACAATAGAAAATATTAAGACTAACGAAAACGATAACGATATTCGATTAGGTATATTTTTTACTCGATTTAGAAAGCAAAAGGCGGTTCGATCTCGAACACAAGGCACTTTTCGCTTTCCATTTCCTTAAAACGGTCGATTTATATTTATACAACCCGATAGCTATACTACTCTGTTTTTCCCGGCGTAGCTAGTACTAAGTACCTTACATTGTTCTTGTTTTACTGCGCAACAGGCGAACACACTGATAAAGATAATTCCACGTCTTTTCACACTAGTACTCGCGGAATAATTCAACATACGACCCCTAGTATTAATCCGACGACTTTTTTGATTTTCGTATCCCGACAAGCTTTAACCATTTTGACGACTTTAATATACCCATTGCGACCCCGCACTTAAAACAAAAACTTTAACCGTTCAATTAATTAGTATTCTTGAACGCCGCTATCACAGAAAATGTCGGGCCTCATCCCGCGCGATTACCAAATCGAGGCCGCGAACTCGGCGATGAATGAAAATATCATCGTAAATTTGCCAACCGGGTCGGGGAAAACGCTCATTGCCGCTCTAGTACATGAGCAAATGAAGTCACGGATGACCCTCGTGGCGTGCGCGTCTGTCGCGGTTATAGAACAGCATACCCAGTTTTTTCAATCCCGAGGGATTCGAAACGTGATCATTGACACCGCAGCTGGCCTGAAAGCACGCATCTTCGATTATGGGGGCGTAGGTATCTATTGCAAATGCTAATTCCTGTTGATTTCATCTCGATAATTACTGAGTAGACAAACTGGCGGCCTCGCTAATTTTGCAATTGGTTGGTAGGCACACAGACGCTTACGAAGATAGTTTCTTTGTTTAGATGGAGGAAGAAACCAGGATCGACTTGTGAGCAACGGTCAAGATGAATTATTTCGCCAAAAAAATCAATTCAGGTGATGAGAACGACGAAGAGGAAGACCCGGACGTGAACGCACGGATGCTCGAGGAACGAAGAGAAAACATTCGGCGAAAGGTTGCTGGGGTGCAGCTGGTGGTCTTTGATGAATGCCACCACGCAATCGGGCACCACCCCTACGTGAAATTCTGCGAGCTCCTGTTTCAGTATTGTTTGGATAAAGATTTGTGAAGTTGGAATTTGTTGGCGATGTGGACGTAGAGCTAGAGGTTGCGCGTTTTTGATGAAAAATCAAAACCCATGCCAGTGGGCAGCTTTGTAGTTTTCTCCTGGCGCTGTCTGAGTTTGATGCTAGATCCATCTCGATAACGTAAACATGACATCAAATAACGCAGGTACAAGGAACAGGAGTCATTTCGGGTGCTTGGGCTGACCGCGAGCTTCATTCACGGGCAGTTCGAGCAGATCTCGAAGAAGCGGAAGCGGTTGGAGGACAACCTCCGGGCGCGGCTGTGGACCCCCACGAACTTTTTGGTGAAGAACCCGGACAAGCACTTTTACAAGGTGGAGTACAGCGCGCCCAAAAACCTGGTGTTGAGTAAGCGCGACATCGAGAACCGCAGTTTCGAGATGATGCGCCCGATCCTGAAATCCCTTCCCTACGGCATGGCCTCCATCGTGAGCAAGGAGGTTTCCAAGTCGGCCTACCTCTGCTACTACATCCTGGGCGACGCGGGCTGGTCCTTTTTTCTCCGCGACGGGCTGGTCCCGTACCTGGAGGCCAAATTGCGGCAGAAGGCCGAGTACGTGGTGCGGGATGCGGTGCAGCAGCACGAACTGAACAGACGCTACGCCCTGGAACACGACGACGACAAGTACAACAGCGAGCAGAAGGATTTTCCCGTGGATCAGGGAGGTGGAGGGAGCCTCGGGACGAACGGTGGTCCACCGCCCAACAAGAAACAGGCTCGCGGCCCCTTCGAAGACTACAGCGACACCGCCTCGTTGTACTCCAGCGCCCCGTCTCTACCGACAACTTCCGACCTGGAGTCACAGCGTGCCGAGTTCTTCGCACCGCTCCAGCGGTACCTACAGCAAGCCATCCCGATTATTCCCCAAGTCAGCCCCAAAGTTGAAAGTTTGCTCGAGATCTTGCTGTCCTGCACGTCCTCCAGAACGGTAAACACCTACGTCACCGACCCTGTCTTTGGCGGGCCGGCATACGCGGTACAAATGTTTTCTTGCTGTAGCGTTCTGTCAGACACGAGTGTTGACACAGTTAGGTCGCGCACCAGCTGTCCTGCTTTCTGTAACCCGTACTCATCACGTGACCAAAAGAAACTATGGGACTCGACTGACTACTAGAGTTTGGTCACGTTGCCTTGTCCGTCTCAAAAAGGCATGCTCAAAAGGAAAGATATATATCTGTAGCACCGACTGAATTTCTGTTTTGCAAAATTTACGTGACGACAAATACAGCAACAAGTGGAGGAAATCGACACTTCTCTTGTTTTCGTGGAGCGTGCGGTACTCTGTATTCCGCTGGCGAAGATAATCGAGATGCGCACACGCCGCGTTTGCCGACCAGTGATGGGTGTGCAGAGCATGTCCGCGGAAGTGCGGAACTCGACGCTGCAGGCCTTCAAAGAGGGCAAAGTCCGAGTCATCGTCGCTACCAGCAGTCTCGAGGAAGGTAAAGAAGCATAGGACTTGAGAAATTACCACTGCATTCACATTGTTGTATGCTATGATAGCAGCTGCGATCATCTCCTGCTTTCAGTGTATGACAGTATAGTTGGAAGACAAAACTCTTTTTTCTACAAACGCTCCGCTCCCTCTCCCTGGTAGTTCACTTATGATTTGCTATTTTGTCCATACAGGTATCGATGTTGCGGACTGCAAGGTGGTGGTACGATTCGATTACTTCTCTAGTGTCCGGTCGCACATCCAGGGCTCGGGCCGCGCGCGGCACCCAGACGCGAAGATTTTTTACTTCGAGCAGGAACCCGAAGTGGAGGAGTACAAGGCGAGCCTGATGACACTGGCGGCAGCCAACCGCGACCTGGAGATTCCGGACCTTGATGCGCAGCAGCGACGGCAGATTCCGGAGCTGCAGCGCGGGACGGGAAACAACGGCAAGGAAGGCAAAGAAGGCGACGAGGAAAACAACCAGGAAGGCGATCCGAAGAGCCGGACCGACAGCAAGCGAAACCCCGGGCGCAAGTGCCAGGACCCACCGCACCTCCGCGTCCGCGAGTACCCAACGCTGACACTGTGCGGCGTGGGCCACTGCTTCGACAAGGAAGAGATATCAAATGCAAAAATGTCTGGGTCTGGAAGAGTGGAAGATTTGTCATGCAGGTTTTCCATGATCCATGAGGTCTGTAATGCATGGTCTAGCATGACAGATTTTAAGAGGGCTTCCTGATGCCTGTTCCGCATGAGAAATTCCCTCTCGCCGTGGGAAAATCTGGAGTCTTCTCGCTGGTCATGCATTACAGATTTTTCTCGAATCCGAAGACAGCATGACAAGTTGCAATCTCTCAGACCCAGACACTTTTGCATTTGATAAGCGACCACGTGGGACCACGTTTCCAACAAATCCCAACGGGTGGCCGTCTGTATCCCCCAGAAAAAGACCGACAGGTCATATTTGTAATGCAAAAATAAATAGACAAAAAAATCTGTATTGCATGCCCTAAACAGGATGTTATGGCCTCGCCCATGACAGATTTTCCTGTGTATTTATTTTTGCATTACAAATATGACCTGTCGGTCTTTTTCTGTGGGATAGTCTGCACCAAGTGCAAGCGCGCCACCGTGGTGATCAAGTCGCGGGTGCTGGGCCAGGGGAGGAAGAAGAAGGAGCGGTACTACTGCTTTGGGGGCCGCGAGAATGACTGGGTCTGCAAGTGGGCCACGCCGGAGGAGCTGGAGAAGGCGAAGACCATGACCATGGAAGACCTCCTGGAACAGGGGCACGAGGTCGGCACCCACGCGGCGAAGGCGATGCAGGTGGCCAAACTGGACGCGGAAGCGCGCCGGGCCGAGGCCGAGAAGCGCAAGAGGGAGGCGGAGAACGGGGAGGCGCAGGAGTTCGCGACGCCGCCCGACCAGTCTCCGCGCACCGAGGACGACGGTGGAAATAACGTGGACGCCGCGGACGCGAGAGTGAAGGACCATTTATTGCAGGCTTCGGCGGAGGACGGCGAGGGTGCTGCGCAGGTAGCGGAAAAGGGCGATGTGACGTCTTCCAAAAAGACCGACGCAGAGGGGACGAATAACAACGGTAGTACGAAAAGACAGAATGTGTCTCCCGCCAAACCCGCACGGGGGAGCGCCTCGGTGTCGACGAACGCGTCAGGGCAGCGCGTTTACAACTTGCTGGAGGGACCGCTCGAAGGTCCGATCGTCAGTTTGCGGAAAGAAAAGGAAGAGAGTACCGAGATGGAGAAAATGCTTGCTACCGGCGGGAACCGACCCATGAGCTACCAGCCCGTGCAGCAGAGCTACCTGGGCGGCACCGTTGCAGGCGGGTATAGTAATCCCACCGGTCCGGGGGGCCCGGCATCCGGTGTCTACCCCGCGAGCTACGGTGCCAGTCCAAACCGCAGCGGTGGTCCCGGTTCGTATGGAAACTACCCGGCGACCGCACCGCCGAGGCCGGCTTCTCTCGGGGGAGTCGGAGGCGACTCGTCCGCGCCGCAGTATAGTGCAGTTCCGAAAGGTGGGCGAGCCCCCAGTACTACAGGTAGTACTACCGGTGGTCCGAAAGGAGCGGCCGCCGCGACGCCGACCCGCGAACCCCCTGGTCTCGCGGCCGAGCAACCGCAGAGCAGCACATCGAAGGAAGGCGCTGTCGTAGGGAGTGAGGCGGGAGAACTACAACCATCAGGCACGACGGCCAACAAGGCTCCTTTGCCGGTCATCGACAAGCCAAACCCGTCGCTTCCCCCCATCATGCCCCCGGTCCTCGCACACCTCAAGCGCACAAGCTCCAGTGCGCCGGAAGAAGCTGTCGCCGCTCCGGTTCCACCGCCGCTACCCGCGGGAGGCCCGCCTCCGCCGCCCGTTGCCCGACCACCCCCACCCCCGCCACCGGGGCTTTCTCCCGACGACGACCCCGCCGACGACGACTTGCGAGCCCTCGAAGAGTTCGGTCACGAGGAAAACAAAAAGTTTGAGCAAGTGCAGTAAGAACTGGGCTATGGTTAGAAGTACCTTCACGTACGATCTTCATCTTCGAATCAGGTCTGTGCTCGTGAAGAGTCCTTAAGTCTCTTTCGGGTTCAGAACCGATTCGAGCTGGCGGTTGAAATTTTCGAGAATGCGATCGCTAGCGCACTATATACATCTTTAACGACGACGGACAAACTCTAAACTGGTCCATGCTATCCGAATAGCTCACTACAGCAAGAATCTTCATCACTCCATGTCAACCTCCGGCGTCCTCGCTGTGCCTGTCATGGCGAGTCGGGTTGAGTTGTCTACTACAGTGAGATTCCCCTAGCACAACACCTTCTGATGTGATAGAGTCTATGTGTAAGTTTTCCATATTTTGACGACTGAAAGACCAAAACGAAACATGCGGTTTTGCTTTTGTTTTTCGACATGGAAATGGAAAGAGCAAAATGCGATCAGCGGTTTTGCTTTTGTTAGTTTCGATACATGGTATTGACGAAAGTAAGAGGCGGACGGGTTTTTGCGGAGTTCCAATCAAAATTGAAAAAGGTTTCTCGAAAGATGAGATTGTTTGTTTATCGTGAGATACTCAGACGATCTTCCAAGAAGCCAAATTCTTTCCCAATCGTATATATGCCAAAGACTAGTGTCTCAAAGTGAAAGGCGCTCGGTTTTTCGCGTTTGTGACCAACTCCTTCGTTTAAGTGATGTTCCCACGAGCTTGTTCTCATGCCCGACCGGCTACCAGTGCAGCTCAAAACTAGTTTCAGCCGAGCGATTCTGATCGGTCAGGATGTCGGTGTAGAGCGGACGAGATTCCAGGTAGTTTGTTCTTGACGGAGTCTGTTGTCCGTCTTTTTTGGTAGATGAAGATTGTACTATGACGTGTGAGCACTACCAGTTATCCACTGTCCATGCTTGTTTCTGTTTCATGTACTGGTCGAGGAGCGATGTGGACATAAACCACACGAGGGCATGAGTTGTGCGCATGAAAAATTATCGCCAGTGCGTAGTACGTGCCACCTAGACACGATAGTATGTTCTGCCTGGTTTTGATTTTTCGGAGGTAAATTGTTCAGCGTCTGCACCAGCATTTCCTTGAGCGCGCACAGAGTTCCAGGGAGAGGACCCCGCGTCCTGTATGTGGGGAAACCAGCCAGCCTTTTTCAGTGCTGGTGTCGGGGGCACCGTTCTGCCGCCCGCCGTCAGCAGATACCTCATCGGGAATCACGAGTTGGAGGCCGGGTTGGAACAGAACGCAGCGGGCGTCTGGACCGAGAACGGCGATGCGAAGGTGCCGCCGGCCCGCTTGCAGCGCGCCATCGACCTGGTCCAGCGGACTTTTGGGTTCGTCGTGGCAACTGCGACGGCCAAAAGCAGAGGCGCGGCTGCAGGAGCCACGGCCGCGGCGGAGGTGGGAGGCAGGGAGGATGCCGTGTCGAACCACTCGAAGCTTTCCCCATCGGATCAGGACAGCACCGCGATTCCACCCAGCAGTGATCAGAAGACGAGCAGTGCGTCCAACACGTCCGCTTCGGACAGCGAAAACAGAGCCGGCAATGCATCGAGCAGTAGTGCCAGTTGTGCGCCAACCGCAGCGCACAGCGAGGACCAGAAGAGCAGCAAGACGCAGCCAGGATCTTCAGTGCTGGGAGCTGTGCCAACAACACGGGGATCTACATCAAGTGCGAGGAACGAAAGTACAACCACAAAGGGCGTGGAGCGGAGCGTCGCGACCAAGGAGAGCGTCATCTCGAGCGAGTCGATCTCCTCATCGGACCAAGGAAGTTTCGTGTTCACCGCGGTCGAGGGCGCAAATAGCAGTGCGAAGACCTCCGATCCCCCGATACTAGATCGCATACCGATCTGCATTCCGGATTGGTACAACGACGGGGGCACAAAAGCTACGCTGCGGCGGCGCGACATTTTGTCGCTGGGAGATTTTTTGGCGTTGGTCCTGAGCAATCGGTTTTCCGGGGCGATGGATGTGCTGGAGGATTTTCTCGGCAAGCAAACCTTCGTCGAGAGCGACGAACTGTACCAGATCTGGCTGGACCTGAATACCAGTCGAGAGGAGTTTTTTGCAGCCGCCCAGGCGCAGTCGGTCCCGGCGCCGCACGCCGCTGCGGGCGGGGATTCGTCGGGGCCCTCCTCGCGAGAGGTCAGCAGTCTGCCCCGCTCCATGACGGACGAGAGCACACCGGACATCCCACGCACAAACAGTCGCGAAACGGGGGAGCAGTCCGCGACCTCGGTGCTGGTCTCGTCTGGCACAAAAGTTGTAGAGACCCCGCAGCGAAACAATGTTGTAACATTGAATGCTAGCGCTAGCACCACCAGCGGCAGTAGGAGTAAAGCGTTGCTCGACTCTGCGACAATCGTGCGCAGAAGTCACAGCCGGCCAGTTCAGCGTGTAGGCCGCGGGGTGAATGCGTCCTCTGCGTCACCCTCGAAAAGTCGCCGGAGTGCTTCCATAGGCATTCACCCTGGAGCCGCCGACGGAGCTGCAGATAATTGCGGATACAATGCCGCGGGGGCTGCTCCCGACGAGGGTGGCTCTGGTACTGGCGCAAATGCGATGCACGGGGGCAGCAGCAGCTCTTCTACGACGATTGGAAGCGGTAGCGTAGTCAACACGGCGTCGAGCGGCACACGCATGCCGCGGACTGCGAGCAGTACGGCCAGTGGGCCTGTGCGGGCGCGTCGGCTTTTGCAGCCGGTTGAGCAGCAAGACGGGGCAACGGATCCGTCAGGTGCACCTCTGGAAATCGCCGCGACGGCGCGTGGTCGCAACGCTGAAATCAAAATGAAACTCCCCGGCTTTTTCAGTTTGGTGCACGACCCAGAGCCTGTGTTCACGATGGTTGCGACAGAAACTGACATGCAGGGAGGACAAAGCGCTTCATTAGTGACTGAAAGCCACGGCATCGGAAGTGCAGGGGCTTCTGCCGTTGCACTCACCGAGGAAGCAACGACAAGCCCCATCGCAGCAACGCTCGGTGGAACGGAGGAGCCAGTAAGCGGAAACGACGACAGGAGTGCGACGACGATGCTGCTTGCCGGTGCTGGGACGCCACGGCAACTCCAACAACCTGGCACAGCAATTGGCTCTACGGCGGCCGCGTCATCTGCTCCGCAAGGGAACGGCAGTGCGTCAAGCACCGTGGCCGCAGCAAAGTCCTCAGTGGCTTCTAAGCTCCACGGTGCGCCGCAGCCACCAGGCACTTCCTACGGCACCAGTAAGCCAAACCTGCTGATGCGCGGAAGTTTGAGCACGCCACTGCTGGCGCCCCTGCACAACAAGCAGGCGGCGGGCTCCGGGTCGGGTGGAAAGTGGCCGCCGCCCCCGACCGGAAAATTCGTTGCGATGCGGCTACAAACCGGAAACTGGAGTTCTGTGTGCCGGAGCCTCCTGCAGCTGTTTCTGGAGCACCCCGGCTTCGCAAACCAGGTGTGCCACGAGCGCTCCGTCGTGCGTGTTTTCCGCGAGGTCGGCGGGTCGATGGTGGTCAAGGAGTGCCCCATCAAGATTCCGCAGTTGGTGCCACTGACCCGGAGTTTGGACCAGGAAACCGAAGACCGGGTCGAGGGGACGTTCACCTGGAAGGAAAACCAGCTCTCGTACATGTTTGCGGTGAAGAAATTCTACGCGACTGCGCACGAGATCTACGTCAGCCACGGGAGCGATCAGCAAGCCATGGCGCTGCGCCTCTTCCGTTACCTCCGTGCGAACGCACTGCCGGCCGCTCCGAGCGTGCCTGCGATCGGAAGTGACACCACCACTGCTCCTCCTGAGGGCGCGTCCGCCACGGCAGGAGCGTTGGCAAGCACGACAGGAGGAAACGCCAATCCGGAGAACGCGACAGTAGCGGCTGTTTCGCAACCTGTAACTACACCGGTGCCAAGCTACGAAGATCCGCTTAACAAGAAGTATTTCGTGGGGCAAGGAAACAATCCGGGGTTGATTGAGCAGATTCTGCAGGACCGGGGCTTCACTCCGGCCACCAGCAGTAAGAAGCCCTGCTTTCCCACCTTCCAGTGGGCACAAGACCACGGGCGACTGGACTTCTCGTTGCTTAGTATGACCCCGCGTTTGCTTGCGTCGAAGGGAAAGGGCCGACCCTACCTCGCGAACCACTGCAAGGGGATTCGCATCACAGAAAAAGTTGGAATGCTGGCGTCGTTGGAGCAGGAATTCGGGTGGAAGAACCTGCCTCCCTGGTACCCCAAAACCTTCCACGTACTCAGTCTGGCATCCAGCAAGAACGTCGAGCAGCTTGACCTGCCTGCCGACGCAAGATGGGTCTACAAACCAAGGTGCAGGCTCCTGTCGCGTTTTCCTTTTTCTGCCCGGCTTCTACTTTACTACAATCTGTATGTTGTACTTCTTCTTTTATGCATCTCTTGCGTCAGGCCTCAGGAGAAAGTTCGAACTCCTGCTGAATTATTATCTGTCCTTTTGCAGGGCCTCGAATTGCGGACGCGGAATCATGCTTTTTAGCAGCACCAAAGCGTTGCGGGACTACATTGCTACGGAGAAGAAAACGGACGGTATTGTGCAGCTGTACATCGAGCGCCCGCTGCTGGTGCAGGGACGGAAATTCGACATACGCATGTACTTCCTCGTAGCGCGCACGCAGCCGTTTCTCAGTTTCTACTGCCCACACGGGTACTGCCGACTGTGCGTCAACCCGTACGAATCCGCGAATTTCGACGACCTGACTATGCACCTGACAAACCAGGCCATTCAGAAAACCCTGCGAGAGTCCTACCAAGAAACAAAAGAGGACACCACGTGGACCTTTGCCCAGCTCGAGGAACACCTGGTAATATACGTTTTCTACTTGATCATGATCATGACCTTGAACTTTCTATACCCATTTTAACGCGTCCTGAATCCACATCCACAGCCATTCTTCGGAAAGAAAAAATCCTCCACATCAAAACCATGCGAAAGATAAAGAAAGCTCCTGCAAAACTTCTAGGTCGAGACGGCGCGCGTGAATCCTGGCTGGGTGGCGGAGGAGTTTCTGCCCAAGGTGAAGTTGATTCTGGTTGCGCTGAGCCGCATCGTCCGCGCACAGGTCATGCCCCTGGTGGGGTGCTTTGACCTTTTCGGGTGCGATTTTTTCTTGGACGACGCGCTGAATGTGTATCTGTTCGAGGTGAACAGCAATCCGGCCATCTACACCGACACCGCGGTGCTCAAGAACCTCATACCGGCGGTGATTCGCGAGACGATTGACATCGTCGACCGGGCGCACGTGCCGAACAACCAAAAACCCTTTTCCGACCAACAGTGGTTTGAGACCTTAATCGACGAGTCCAGGAATTTCCAGTTTGGCCCGGAGCGGCTCAAGCCTCTGTCGCGGCCCCACCAGTACAACTGGCGGACGTAGCATTACGTGGATCAGGAGGACATTGCAAGAATGGTGGAAAAAGACCGGATATATCGGAAGATGCTTCTACTGTGCGTGCAACTATAACTGCATGTACTTACCCACTAATGTGCCGTTGCAGACAACAATGATAACTCCTCCTTCTTTCATCTCTTTTTAGTAGGTAAGTGGCTGAATAAACTACATAATGACCGTGATTCTCTTCAACAATAGTGCAGTAGGAACTCGCCCGCTTTATGCAATTTTTCATGTTAAAAATTCCACTGATGCCCATCCTTTGTATGATAGAAAGTGGAACCTTTTTTTCAATGAATCAAACTCTGTACACTTGCATTAACTAGCTCTTCCCACCTGAAAAAAGCTCTTTTACGTATGTCCTTCATTTTGTACACTGAATGTAAACCAGACAGTACTAGCACGCATCAAGCCAAGGCAACCGAAAAGCCCGTGTGTCGCCAGTATTCACCGCGGGACTACGTGTTCGTGATCTGCGTGTTGGGATTGCTTTATGGTTTTGTTGAGCGAGGAATCAAAGTCAGACAATCAGTTGCTTGCCTTGGCTTGCGGGTCCTTTTCATTCAGCCCCTTTTTTGCTACTTGTACTTGACGAGCGAATTGTGTCTATAATACGCGCCTTTACCAAAAAACAGATGAAAATGTGAGATTGACGTACGCTCGAGGAGAGCAAGACTCTGAAGCCCTACTTTCTTGTTTTTTTCCATAAGGACAGAGAAAACTAACGCATTACGACGAATCGAAACAGCAATGATGGAGTTCGTCGCTACCGAGCAAGCGGAAGAACTGGGAGTCGCCAGATGTCCAGTGTGCGAACAGTCAATATCCGGGGAAGCCTCAGAGACTGCTTGCGGGAAACTCGCGTGCAGTTCATGCGCACAGAAGCATCGCGAGAAGTCTGCGTCTTCCAAGAACAAATGCTTCGTGCCGGGATGCACGAAAACCGACTGCGGTGTTTCTGCAGTTAGCGTCGTACTCCGGAAGGTTTTGGATGCGCTGGAGGTACGATGCAAAGCGTGCCAAGCCACTATGTCGAGGAAAGACTTTGCGGCCCACGCCGGAGTCGACGCGGACGTCGAGGCCGCGATCATCGCGCCGGGACTATGCAAGGAGATCGAGAGGTGCTGCCCCCACAAAAGCCGCGGCTGCGATTTCAGCGGAAAGCTGACCGCATTGCAGGCGCACCTCAAAAGTGAGTGCGCAAAGGGTTACCGCCTGCTGGACGAGGAAGCGGCGCGACTTTGCGGCGGGGTGGACCAGATTAAGCTGAACACGTGCGGGATCAGGCAGATGCTGAGCCGGGGCGGCGGGGCGGGCGGGGCAAAGTTGCCGCCGTTGATGCCGAGCTTGATGCTGAAGCAACTGGAAGACTCTGACACCTTCATCCTGGCGCGGGACTACCAGCGCTTGTGCCAAGGACCCAGCGACGGCCCGGCTATCACCGTGCGTGGCGCCGCAGACCCTGGCCAGTTGACTACCGACACCGAAACCGCTGGCGAGCCTGATGCTGAAAGAACCGCGGAGGGTGTGGGCAAGGGGAAGTTTGGCGTGCTCAGTGACCTTTTTGCGCGCTCTGTCCCGAGCGCGGACGAGGCCGACATGCTGCAGCTCCAGAACGACTACGACAACATACTGGCGTCCCGGGTTGTCGATACGTGGAACTTGAAGCGTAAAGGCGATACTGCTCGTGACTCGCCGACGGCGATCGAGAAACAGGGAGTAAAGCGGCGACGAGTAGACGTCGGCAGCGACCTGAAGAGCACAAAGGAAACCTACAGGAAGATTTTCGTGCCCGATCTACCGGCCGAAAAGCCACCACCGCGCAGTCCTACGCCGCCGCGACCGACACCGGCTCCATCGCAACCGGCGCAACGGAGAAACACTGGCGGAAAAGGCAACGGAAAAAAGGAAATTTGTCGGAACTACCGCAACGGCCACTGTTGGCGTGGAAACTCGTGTTGGTATCGCCACTAAAGGTAGGACGCGGCTTACCGCAGTGTTCGGCTCGCGCGTAAGGTTCACTTCGCTGGAGCAGAAACACAGACGCTGGCGTGTATGTCTTCCTTTACGGCTGAGAAAGTCGAAGCCTATCTTTATGTTTATGGTGAAGATGACGAAACTTTTTCATGCAACTGCACTGCTCAGGCAGCGAATTGGAATAGCTAGGATTAGAAAATTCTTGAGAGAGAGTAGCTCTTTGATTTGTTTATTACGGAAACAAAAAATAGAAACACTGACGCGTAACTGCGACCGCAACGAATGTCGCAAAGTCTGCTTTTGCGTTGAGACATACGAAGTCCTCACTCGTTGCTGTTCGGGCTCGTTAGAACGCCGACTGATGTGATGTACAGGGAACGAAAGTGAAGACATGAAGAAGCGTATTGGTATTTGCTTCTTGCCCTAACGTGATTATATCAGTAAAATTGGTCTACTGGGGGTTATGTATGAAGCATAAGAAATTTCGTATGAAAAATTGGTTCGACAAAGAAGCCGCACTACTCGTAGAAATATTTTTCGGTGTTGTGCAGCTTGTGTATTTCGTGACGCAAAAGTAGAACGGGCGCATGTTCATCACGCGAAAAAAAAACGCTTGTATGTGCGGTCAGATCAGCAATTCGTTCAGTGTGGGTTTTACTAGTAGACAGAGGCGCTTACGCGTCGCTGGGGGTCCTGCGTTCATATCTAGATAAGTTTTTAAGTCTTCGATCGTCGCTGTTCGTATTCGTTGAGGGAAAATCGCACCAAATCTATGTCGAAAAGCGCAAGCAAAAGTGGCTTCATCCTTTGGTCGTACCGCGTTGATGTTGCGCTATTCTGTTAACTTATTTTTTTTTTCATTTCTTTTCATTTCAGTCTAGCAGGTTTTTTTTTGTTTGGAGCTTTTGTATCGATCCAGGAACGGGGGTGGTATTATATTTGCGTTAAAGTCTTTCGCGGGGTGCAGCATCGTGTTTGCGTGATTGTTTAGCCTCACCGCTTGCGTAGAAAGGCGAGAAGAATAAAACGAAAACCGAGTATAAGAAAACACCATGTTGGAGCTGGAGGAGTTCTCGTTTCGGGACCTGGCCTCCGTGTTGTTTCCCGACTGGCTGAGCTCCACGGACGAGGTGATTGGTATCATCGCCGAGGCGCAGAGGACCGGGCACCTGGCAACGGAGCGCGCCGACGTGAAGGAGGTCGCGTTCACGATGAACAAAGTGAGTGCCACCGGTTCGTCCTACACTACGCGCTACCTCTGCGGGGCGGATTTACCCGTCTTGGCGGAGTTGGAGAGCGGCGTTTGCTACGCTTCCGCGCGGGGCGAGCTCGGACTGGTTGTCAACTACTCGATGAGTCGGACGAAGTGGTTTCCCAGCCTCGGGCTCCCGGAATACGAAGTGTGGTTCTACGATGCCGTTTTGATCCTGGTCGGGCTTCTCTGCTCCCTGTGCCTTTGGTTCAACGTCAAGGCGTTTTTGTCGCTGTTCGCGGCCGCCCGCGGGGCCAAGCCGGTCCAGTTGGTCGTCGAAGACGAGGTGACTTTGGTGGACGCGAAGCAGTATCAGCAGGTCGCTCCGGTGCTCGATGTCACGGCCACGACCACGCTGCTTGATGATGAGGTCGACCTGGAGGACTCGGCGGTGGAAGGTACTCAATATTTATGGACTCGTTTGATAGGACATCACTGCTACACTTTGCAGAATATTAAGCAGTAGCTTATGGACACGACATCGATGTTGAAATGATGTATGATGTGCTCTTTGTACTGTAGCTCCTTGTTGGACTTGTAAAAAATCTACATGATCTACAATCGCAGATAAATCGGTTTCGGTGGAGCCCGTTTCGGTGGTTGAGAAGGAAGAAGAGAAGGTACCAACGCCCGTGACCGAGGCTTCCGGAAGCGAGGACCGCCTCCAGGATAGCAAATGCAAAAATGTCTGGGTCTGGAAGAATTCATGATTGTCATGCTTGTCTGGCATGACTCTTAAATCTGTCATGCACGTTACCCAAGAGCTCCGTTTTTCTGTGATGCAGAAGCGCAGTTTGCCATGCAGAATAGGCAACACCTAGGAGCTCAGAAACTTGTCATGCTGAGCCAGCATTTGTAGCCTCGTCATGAGACGCCACCCAGCATCACAAGTTTCCAGACCCAGACATTTTTACAGTTGATACAGGATGCTGTCCCGCAAGAGGCCGCGGCGGTTCCGGAGAGAACGACGGCCATCCCGGAAGGTTAGAAAGATGTTTTGATTTAATATCTGTGAAGTTGTTGAGCGCCGGGTGCGCGTATGGCGGATTTTATGTCTGCGTTCCTCTGTCTGTTTCTAGCCGTGCACCTTTCGAAAGCAGAGGCAAGGTAGTTGGTTCCATACGCTAGTGGCTGTACAAGTACAGATGGTCGAAAATAATAATCAATGCAACCAAGGTTCTTACGAAGAGACTACGCCCGCACCGGCTGTGGACGACGGTGGCGCTAGTTCTTCGTCGGACATGATCTCCCCCGCTATGACCCAGACGACGGCGGGTGCCTCCAAAATCTCCAAGGGAACCCGTACCTTGAAGCGTCGCTTGTCTTCGTGCTGCGGGGTTTCGAAGGTGCAGGAGGAAGCCACGTACACCCTGGACTCCGCTTAAATTGTCATTTTTTACAATGCAATGAACAGAGTTTTAAACAAGTTCTGTCCTGAGGTTCACGCTTCTTTGATTTGAATGATCGATTGTCCAAGTAAGTAGAAATTGTCTTGCTCCGGTGCTATCCAAGCTACAGTATAGGATTTGCTGACGAATTTATGTGCTTTAAACACCTGTGTGCTCCGGTCTGACGTGCTTTTTTGCGAAAGAGATTTTTGTGAAAACAACTTCGACTTCCGAACAAAACAAAATATTTCTGTGTACAATGCTCATGCGTGAGCACTAAAGCTTTATTGCAACTACAAGACATCTCGATGTCAGAAAACTTAACGATTGTAGGGAATGAGATCTCCAGAATGTATAGGATTTTTTTGGTCGTCCTGCTCTAAGTTGGCCGTCCTTATCTCGTATATAAGTACCAACTTTCTCTGGCACAATTGTATTATCCATTGTAGAAAATGCACGTGTACCTGTTTCACTGTAGATACCTAAACCACCAATCTCGCCGCTTGACGAAGCGCCGGCTCGCCCGCAACAATCTTCCACCACTTTTGACTATGCGACCACGACATGGTTGATGACTATTTGGGGTAATTATGCCAGCAAAGCTTCACAGATGGCACGTAAGTACACTAGCGAGCCGACTTGTGCTCTGCAATGGCAGTCGATGTGGTCGAAGCAAATCCAAATCCTGCAGCCAACTCCGGTAATTCAAAGCCACAGAGACTAGCAGAAAGTGGTTAGTTGCTTTTTTGGAAAAATGTAAACCATCTTGACGACGACCGTGATGGAACGAGCTGCCTCGCCCCAGCAAGATCATCGACTTATAGTCTCCCCTTGTTGTTCTGTGTCTTGATTTCAAAGACGCTGCTGTCCACGATTCTAGTTCTTGCTGCTCGTCTAAAACAAAAAGACTACTGCAGCGCACAGAGGCTTTTGGCAAGCTAGTCTCAAGATCATCTTTCCTTTTTCTACAAAGATCGCTTTCGTTTGTTTTTGAGCCACCGCGCCGGCACTCCAAAGCTCGGCACTGCGACTGGCGATAAGTAGCGCGAGCTATTTCTCCATTTTTCTGGATCTTTTCTCTTTCCAAAGTGAACATCTCGCTTTGAGACCAAACATACGGATAGTAGCATTTTCCTGGTACTTTGCTTAGTGCAGGCGGCAGATTAGTAGCAACATATGTCGACTTTCACTGCGTCATCATCACTAGCCATAGTGCCAAGAGCCGCAGACGCAAAAGGCAGAGGAGAGAGAGAGCACGCGCTCGACCCTATTCAAAAAAAAAAGAAAAGATCGCAAAAGAAAGTAAAGAAAACCCCAAAAGCGACACAGATTGGGAGCCGAGTCTCCGGGGTCATAGAAACAAAAAAAAAAGAAATCGACAAAGAGAGGAGACGAAGCTGCAGGTGGTTGGACGACCTGGACATAACTTCGGTTCCCCAGGAAGTTCAGCGGCGTCTAGGTTACCGGGCTACGACATTTTGTTGTAGCTTGTCTGGTTCTCCGGAACCTAAGGTCTTGCGTTTCTGCCTGACTTCGAAAGATCTCACGCTGAGATACTTCCCGAAGGTTAGTCGGGGGCTGAACAGGCAGCAAGCCGCTGACCTGTTCTGTACGCCATTGCTGATGAGGTGGTTGCTTTGGCTGACTCCAATTGCGAGGCCGGTCACCGCTAAATCGGGTGGTGCCTCGCCTTGCAAGATGTTTTAGAGTTTCGCTCTGAAACAGACATTTACTCGCAGAAAACTCGACAGTGCCCAGACAGTTTCTCGCCCACCTAGAGGCGAACACACATGTTGATTTCAAAGACGCAGTCGTCCGCGAAAAAAAGTTTGGTTCCTCTACAGTGTACATCACTCGTAATTGCCGAGTCTAAACAAACGATGCTATCAGTATGCATGCTTCGAGGTCAGTTCCTTGTGGATAAAGTCAAAAAGAAAACGCGGAGGAGTGGCGTAAAAATATGGGTGCCGAAGATTTTGATTTCGCGTTGCACGTTTGCGAGTCGATTGCGTTTACCTTGCACGGTGCGCTCCGCTTGAGTGAACCGTGCACTGGGATCTTTGGAAAATTCATCGCCAAGGATTCGGTGCCCTACCCGAATATCTTTTTCCCGATTGTTGGGTTAATCTCTCTTGTTGTGTCAGTGGTAAACATCGTGTGCAGTGGCAGCGACACGATCATCCTCGCCGTTCAGGCGTACGTTGTCGCATGGCACTCTGCGGCAGCGTTCACGCATATCAGAATAGGCGATCCGATTTTTGTCACCGGAGTGCCCGGTGTCTTCGTCGTGATGGCGTTCACGATAAGCGGTTTGCGTGCAGGCTGGGTGTCAGCGTGTGCCGGAACGGTCTTGTTCGGAGGCATCGGAGTCGTGTCTGCCAGTGCTGTTGTCAAGCGACCAACCGTGGCGCTGCACGATGCTCTTCTTCCTCGAGAGGATTGAAGATGCTGGAGAGGCATTGCAACGCGAAAGTTTCGGCTTTTCAGCGTCACGTATTTGTATGCATACTTTCAATGGCCCCTATATGTCTGCGTGCTTCTTCTATTCAGAACATGATGAAATTTCCGACTTCTCAATGTTTACACTTTGTGTATGATAATGATCGCAATCGCACCCTTCAACCACTCTACGCAGCCGCGTGGAAATGCCTGCTCTCATCGATGTGTTCTGGCTGTTGGTCCTCAGCATTGTTATGCCATTTTTTTGCTGTTTGGGCTGTCGTTGTTGCAGAGAAGTTATTGTTTATTTCGCGGAACAGAATCGAGAAGCTGAACCTGTCTCAAGTTCGCTCTGCAAGCTGGGAATCTAGCAAGTATCGTTCGCGTACGTGTTACGTTTACCGTGGTTCGTTTAAAGGTATCTTCCACCCCGGTCGTCCACACGTTTCATTTTCGTTCAAAAAAAAACTGCATCGTACTTTAATTATTCCTTTACTCTCATCGTGATCTTCGTATCCTGTCAGGTTCGATTGCACAAGTGATTCAAGTATTTGCCATACTGCGCTCAAATGTTCGCCGAGTGAATTTTTTCAACCACTTTGCAGTTTATTTCCCCCACGAAGCTATGCGTTTACTGCCCGAAGTTGTACTTGTTTCATTCTGCTAGTAGTTGTAGACCTTTATGTTCCTTTTTATTGCTTTTCCTCGCACACCAAGCTGCTAGGGCTCCACTTTTTCATTTATAGTGCCACTGATCGTGTAAAAAGTAAGAATCCTCAAGGTGTAGTAAGTGTGGCGCAAGATTCGTTCTTCACGGAACAATAAACTAGAAATAAGCAGGGACTTCTACGTGACGCACGAATTGTAGCTGGCCTTTCTCCTTTCACGTTGTGATCAATCCGCAGACCGCTGCCACAGGAACCGAGACGGAAACTTGCAGTGCGGAGTGGGTCGTATGAAGGGCGATGATGACCACGCGGACGTGGTTTCCGTCTTGGAGCGCGCCTACGCGGGGGCGGGCGGAGGCGTGCGCAACGAAATCTCGGGGTTTGTGTTCGACCGACCCGGGGACGGCTGCCCCTTTGTGGACAGCGGAAATCTGCAGTACGGTGAGGTAACGTTTGAGGGGATGCGGAAGGTCTACAAATACCTGAACCTGCGCCCTGGCGACACCTTCTACGACCTCGGGTCCGGGGTCGGCAAGCTGCCGCTGTACGTTTTCTTGCGCACCGCTGCGGAAAATTTGTCCCAGTGTTCCTCGTTCGGCTTGGAGGTGGGCGAGCGGCGCCACGACCTGGCGTGCATGGCCCGAGAACGGCTGCGCAAAATGCTGTCGACTTTCAATCCCTCCTCGGCCGCGAGTGGTACAACTTCTAGTAGCCCTGCGTGGATGGAGAGCTGTTCGAGTCTTCTCGACAAGTGCCCGGATCTCACCTCCGAGCGGGTGAAGTCCGGTTGCAAATTCTACCTCCAGGACATCAGCACGCAGCGCTACGACGACGCAAACGTAGTGGTCCTGAGCAACCTTCTGATGGATGGCGGCATTCAAAAGAAGACGCTGGAGCAGCTTCTGCGGTGTCGCTCGTTCCGCCGCCTGCTCACGGTCCGAGTCGTGCACCACCCGCGACTAAAGCTGAAGACGTGTGTGCATGTCGAGTGCACGTGGGCGAAGATCTGTTCCTGGCACGTCTACGACGTGCTGCCGCCGAGCGGCATCAGTTTCGCGCTCCCGTCCTCGCTTCCCGCCGCCCTGCTGAAGCACAGCCGTGCAGGAAGCGGCAGTAACGCCATGCTGGGTGCTGGAACTAGCGGTGCTTCCAAAATAAATGCAGTAGTTGTAGAGGATGTGGCCGAAAATGGAAATGCTGATGCGCCTTTGGAGCTTCTTCTATCTGAGACCTCCGGAGCGGCCGCGGGCGGAGTTACAGCCGTCCCGCTGGTATTCCCCACCGTGCTGGCGGGGAGAACGACAGGCTCTTTTCGGAGTCGGTCCAAACCTGAACTGCCGTCCCGACAAACGGTGAGTACCCGACTTGCAGCGGTCGCAAAAACCCTGCCGCAGACATTACAGCACAAAGCCGCGGCGACTGCCAGCAAACCTGCCGCGCGTGCTTTCGCTGCACTGCGAGCAGCTTCCCTGTTGGCATCGTCGGCCCAGCCTGTGGATCCGGACGCTCCACCGCGATACATGCGTGCCCGCACCGGCGCAAGTCGTACAGAGCGACCCTGTGATGTGCGACTCGTGACAAAGTAACCGCCCCTTCAAAGGAGTAGAGACGGCACCTGCACATTATTCGCCGTCGGTCAACATGGGGTAGAATGAATTGAGACAGGAGGTCTTCTTCAATCTCTTCAAGCAGGATGTTTTCTTTTCCAATTCAGTGCAGTTAGCATCATTCAAGAAGAAGCTGTATGTAGGCTTCTATGCATAATTGCTGAGAAGATCCGCTCAGCGTCAAGCTTATGTCCTCGTAAAAATCAAAAGCTGTCTTGTTTTTATCCAAAAGTAAGGCGATCACACATTCGTGTCTTGGACAGAGTAAGTTGTAAGTTGTAGTTACATACATATCTAGTATGCATCCAAGTTATTACTTAGTAGCAGTGTCCCTGTGTCTGTTGTGTAAAAAGAGAACACTAAGTAGTATGAAATGGTAGCGCGTCCCAAATTTTGTTTGGGTCGTGTTACGAGACATATTGGTGTAGAAGTACCCCACATTTTTTATGTTGCATTATTTTCGGATTCTTCCCGATCCTGATGCTTTCCCCCAACCCCGCGGTTAACGCTCTTCAAACACTGATACGGACGATTCTCTGGTCTCATACCAGAGTTACCGTAGTAAAAAACCAATCAGAGCACGAGCAGTAGCTGCCTGAGAAAAAAAGTACAGTGGCATGGCGAGTTGCGACCCAGCAGGAGTGAAAGTTCTTCCCCTGATGTTATGCAACTAGTTATGTGAAAATCAAAATCGTGAATGTGCATGTGTCGGTCTTTTTCGTTTTCTTTCCCCAGGAACCGTGTCGGTTCGCAAATCGTTTTGTGCTCTTGCTCCAGTCGAGACGGAGACTACGGTCGGTACCTACTTAGATGTCGGTCATCGTAGCCGGCGTGGTACGCGTTTGCACGTGGCAGATACCGATACGTACACGTTCGTGTTTTTGCGAGCAGCGGACACGTTCTCGTTCAGCTTCTGATACTAGACAGTGGTTTCGGTTCGTCAATGTCGTCAGATTATTTCTTCGCTTTCGTCCGTCCATAGCTCACTGCCCTCTCGACCTCGAGTTTTCGTTCCTGCGACACACAGTCTAGGGGCTTCACGACGTTGTTGTACTAACTGTTTTTGTCGCGAGTACTCGTTGCTTTAACCCTGCAGCTGTGTGCATGCATCATCATCATACTAACTTGTCCACTCATCATCTCTTATTTGACAAACTGCAGCAGGAAACTCTCCACCATCCACCTGTTGAACCCATTTCTTTTTTTAGAAATGCAAAACTGTACATACTCAATTATAGTAGCCCCAAAAATTTCCTCTACGCAAGTTTTTCATGGTTTGTTTTGATTCCGTATCTCCAACTGGCATGAACTGTTGCAGCGCATCACCTCGCGGCTGGTGCTCGCTTGCTTTTGTGCGCGCATCAAAGTCTATCATAGCTACAGTTACATGCTTCGTGAAACATTTTTCTGTAGCCGCGCGTGATTAAAAGGAGAAAGCTCGAACACAGCGCAATGACGCAACAAGCCAGGGCCTTTTGCTTCGTAGTGGCACAAGTCGTGCCACGAAACCTCGTGGATGCGTTCACGTTTGTGAAGGTACCGGGAACGGCCAGTACGCACGTCCACAGTGTGGCAGTGAGCAAACGCGGGAGAGCCTCCGCTGCCGAACAAGGTATGAATTAGCGTCTTAACTCTGGTGCGACACCTGGTAGTAAGTGGCTAGGGCAGCAGTAATCTCAAGTTTTCGGTCTTCCCTGCAGCCGAAAAAAAAACTTATAGGATGTAGGCAAGGGTTCTTTTTTTTTTGGAACAATCAGCATGCTTGCAATTTTTTTGTTTCTCTTCGAACTTTTTCAGAACATTTTCCAATTGCTTGCATTTTCACAGGTCAGATAACCGGGAATGACGAGCGTAGCCTCGCAATATCTGTGGCGCAGCAACAGCTTCGGGAGGTGGAGACGGGAATCTGTAGACCACTGTCGGGGGCGGACGACAAGACCAAGGGCGAGTGCGTGGACAGACTGCGCTCCCTTCTCGAGGGCGACCCTCTGCGAGACAGTAATGGTGTTCCTCCTGCGGGCTTGTGCGCCTTGGCCTCTAAAGTACCAACGTCAGGAAATAAAGGCTATGGCCCTGGAAATAAATCTACGTGCTTGAGTACAACTCTTGAAGGATGCTGTGAGTGGTTTCCGGAACCAGCGCCGGGGGAAAGCGGAGGCTGCGCAACGAAGGTCGGCGCTCCTGCCGATCCTTCCTGCAGTTACGTGAAGACAGAATATCCCTGTGCAAAGACTTACCGAACCCCCCGACAGTGCATCGGGCTGGACACCCATTCTCAGGAGGCCGGAGCGTGCTGCGCATGGGACGAAAGCATTCCAGCGGACTCATGTCGGGCGATCGCGATTCCCAACCATGACCAAGAGGAAGAGTGCATGCGAAATGAATGTGTCTCAGAAACCGATGCTGAAGTCGGGTTCGATGAAAGCATGGCATGGTACACGAAAAAAATGACGCCGCTAGCGGACCCCGCGAGTACAGACGAAGCAACCCGCGTACAAACGTGCTGCCACAAGCCGGAAAACGCGGCAGCATATACTTGTCCCACAACCACTACGACGAGAAAACCGAACTCCGCGAAAGAACGCGCACCCGAAAAATCAGTCGAGGATCTACTAGGACTGGGTGGAAAGCACCATCCCGCTTCGCCGCCCCCGGAAGAATTTTTGCAGAGCAGCGACGAAAGTACATCGTCAACAACTCCGAAACCCAAGCCGACTCACGGGCTCTGTCTGACCTGCACCAAGTCATCGGGGTTTGAAGGGGGGCCCGGCCTGTTGATAGCCATGGAGCTGTTGGCCACCGCTGCGATTCTGGGACTGACCGGCACCATCGTGGGGTTAGTAGTGTGTTGCTGCCTGCCATTCGAAGGCTCGGGCAGCGGCGTCTCGACAGTGAGCTCCCAAAGGGGCGGTGTCAGTAATATCAATAAAAGCGACGCGGCGAACCGGTCGGCCGCGATCAATAAAAGCGACGCAGCAAACCGGTCGGCGGCGGGGAAGAAGAGCGTAGCGGAGGCGGGGAAGAAGAGCGTAGCGGAGAAGAGTACTAAGCCCTCCCCGCCGACAGAAGGGAAAGAGGACCCGGTGGAGGCGGCCGCGAAGGATGGGGATGCCGCGCCCGCAGCGGCTCCCGCGGGGGGTAGCAAGAAAAGCGCAGGCGCAACAAAGGGGGAGGACAAGGCGCTCGCGCGCAAGAAAAGCGCGGCTGCGAGCAACACTGCGTCCGCCGCCGCAGTAGCAGCTGGAGAAGCGTCTGCGAGCTCCCGGGACTTGCCTTTACCCGGGCCAGCAAGCTCCTCGCGGGCACCGAAAGTCATCGGCCTAGGCGGCACGGGCGGAATGAAGCCGGAGGATTACAATGCCCAATTACTTGCGGCCCAAAACAGAGCCCAACTCCGACGGCAGACTTCTTCTGCACAGGCACAAGCGGCCGCGGCCCGGGGTGCAGCTGCTCTGGAGGGCAAGCAGTAAGGGACCGGGCCTGCGCTTGAGTAGGGAGGCCGTTGACGACAGAGTGGGAAACACGACTTATAAACTTAGGTTCCATTTTTATTTAAGGAGCAGATGATTTTGAATTTCGATTCCCCCCGTCCCGAGCAAGATATGTCGGATAAGACTCCATAGCTGTTTCCGTGCTCTGAGTACTTGAGCCAAAAATGCACATCGATGCATACTTTTGGAGTTCGGTCTCGGTTGCTCACTTTTTGTGTTTTCCCTATACCCGCCCCCTAGAAAAAACATCAGATCTTCATGCATCATTATATCTACTTACGACTACGCCTATGCGGCTGAACAAAAAAAAACCATTCGTTTGACGGTGCGTCGAGTACACTGAAGAAAATCGTAAGCGTTGAAGTTGTGACAGAGAGCGTTGCTATGCTCCGTGCCTCTCGGGTCCTTCGATGGGACTTACGTTGTCGCGTTGTTCTTCCTCGTTTTATTTTCCTTTAGCCGAAGGGAAGTCGAAAACGCAAACGAAGGACAGCGGTGGGTAGCTTCTGTTTCATCAGCGAGAAATCAAACGGAGCTCAAAGTTGCTTGTAGTTGAACAGCACCATGAGCGAGGCAAACAAGTGCAGCAGGAAATGCGTACCGTGACGAACCTGGAACGGGACTGCTCTCCGAGCGGATTGTATGCGATAGTTCGGTATGCAATCGGATTGGTATGATCATGTCACATCCTGAAGTGCACTTTTCCAAAACTAGATACCAGAAAAGTTATGGAACTACAACCCCGCTATACGCTGCCGCAGCCAAGTTAGCTGAAGACAATTCATAGCATCGCCGCCGCGACGGGAAGGTGTTGCTGTTATAAGTCAAGTCTAATCCGATCGTAACGGAAGCACGACGCATCAGCATGGCGCCTCCCGATCAGAGCACGAACCCTCCGCCCAGCTGCCTGCCCAGCGATGCCTTTTCGCATTTCCAACAGCGTGAGGCGCAGTTGTTGCAGTACAATGAGGAGCTGGAGCGTGAGAAGAATCGGGCCATTTCCAAAGCGCAGGAGGCGATGCGAGACGTGGAAAATTTGGATTTCAAGAACTACCAGCCATCTTTTCTCAAGAGTAAAGCCATGCAACCCCTGATCGATGCGACCAGTGGGGATTACCACCTAACAGATCCTGGTATGTGGTTATGCTTCGATAGCACAGAGACAGATTCATGATTTAGTGTTTGCTCGCGTGCGGAAAAGAAACCTGCAGTATTGGCACATTCCTTCGGCCTTTTACGGGACTCGAGCCACTCTTTTCTGACTGCTTGGTCGTCCAAGGTCGAAGTTACTTATCTTGTTCGGGCGTTGGGTCCCAGAAAAGCTTTCTGTTGACGTGAAAAAATTTAATACAGCTCTTTCGCATGCACGTAACGCCGAGGCCGAGCCTGCTCCTGTGCCACTTCAAACCGTTAAGGAACCTCCACCACCGGCCGTCGCGGATTTGCAACCGGCAATCGCAACCAAAACCAAGCTCGTGCACCCCATGGCTTCCGCAAACGAAGTCGAAACACTCCAAAGTACTTAACACAAATATTGCCTGGCACACAAGCAAATGTTGGCCACATCATGATTATTCAACCGCAGGGATGAAACAAGGTTCTCTTGCAACTGGTATTATGTGCTTTCGAAATCTGTACTGTAAACTTACTGACACTAGCAGGCAGCGATGCTTCCCACGTCGACCACATCGAATGATGGTCGAAGGAATGCTATGTAGTAGGTTTGTTTTTTTTCGAAAAATTCCAGATACCATTCGCTTCCAGAAGGCACGAATTATCGCTCTCCAAGAGGAACTCGACAAGGGGATTAAGCAGCTTACGCAGCGCGATGGGGACAATAACCAGCTGCGGGCAGACAACAAAGCTCTCACCGAAGAGAACAAAAGACTATCGAGACAACACGTAATCGCGGAGGGGCACCAAGACAAACTCAAGAAGACAGTGGCTTTGCTCGAACAAAAAATTCGCGACTTTGAGAAGGACCTCGGCGATGTAAAAAGATAGTCTTGATGATTCTAGCGGGTTCTTCACGTGCGTGCGTAAACAGAGGTGTCGGGGTCTTTTCCTTTCTTTCTCACGCCATTCGCGCGAGTCATCTATAAATACCCAGCAGTTTCTCTTCCATTCACGACTTTTCTCCTTACGAAAACGAATACAATAAATCACACCTTCAGGCCCGAAAAGAAAATGACCAGCTGAGTCTGCAATCGCGGAAACAAGAGCAAGATATCAACAGCAAGGAAGCGCGCGTAAATCGCCTGCTGGAGGACTGCGAGCGATACCGCACCAGTTTACGCGAACTCCGCAGCCAAGACCAAGACAAAACAAAATCTGACCGCTATCAGTGTGAAAATTGTCCCAGCTACCAACGTGATTTCGCAACTGCGACGAAAGAACCTCTGAGGTTGGTTTTCGGGCATTCAATTTCAGTGTCACTTTGTTGCTTTTCCTACACGACCGCCGAAGGCGTCGTGGCGCATCATTGATGAAGAAACATGATGTCATGATTGATGCGTTATGGCTTGGGCAATTTTCGTGTGAATCACGGCAAAGAACTGGATCGGCTGTTGGCGGAGAATCGCAAGATCGAGCGGCAACGAAACGAACTGGTGGCAGCCTTTAAAAAGCAGATGAAGCTTATTGACATCTTGAAAAAGCAAAGGACGCACCTCGAAGCTGCAAGGGTGCTTTCTTTTACCGAGGACGAATTTGTGCGTATCCTAGATCTCGGGGACAAACTCGGCTCGGCATAATTCGGAACCAGCGCTACCACCTTCAAAGGAAGATAGAGAATCGCTCAAGTCACAGTGACATATCGAATAGTGAATCACGCAGCTCTCAAGGTTAAAAAACATCAAGGCTTCGTGGAGAGCTGCTGCAGACCGTGTGGCGTGCCATGTTCCCCCACTGATCCACCCTTGTATGGAAAGTAAGACCTCAGAAGTAAAGTGTCTTCTCGTTGCATCGGAATCGTACTGTCTCTATAATAAAAGGTGAAGCGCGACTAAAGTGAGACCAAACATGCATACAAGAACGAAGAGTGCTTCAGCATTGATTTCCATGAGAGCCGTTTGATGAAGAAATTTTGCAAGGACTCCTCGGTAGGACTCGCCGTGCGAGGAACGCCAGCGAGCGTACCGAGAGTTGACGAGAAGGACTTGTTGAAGTATGCGTCAGAGAGACCACAGAGAGAGCTACTGCACTGCGAGCGACATGAGGCTTTAGCGTTCTCGATAATCGCGTCTCGATGAATGGATCGTCGCAGCAGGCCCGAGGCACCCCAATCAATCCGCAATTTATTTGATACTTTGTTTATAGAATTAGAAAGGAGGGAATTACAATAGGCCCCACTCGTCGTACACGATCACATTCACACCCCCACCTGCATCTGAGCGATTCTGTTCGCAACGGTCTTGCACTCGCAAAAAAACCTATCCAAAACCGCATTGGATTCATACCTAGAGAGCCACATCGACTACACTGCCGGTTGTGCCAGTTGTACCCAGCGAGGCAGCATCCTGATGTTGTCGTTGAAGATGCATCAGCCACCCGCAACCCGCGTGGACGGGGTTTCTGCGAGTGGATAGTAGATCGGACACAGAACAACGCAGAGGAGAATGGCAGATAGCACCATCGGAAGCGGGACCGGGGGCGGGCCACCGAGGCCTGACCCATTGGAAATGAGCTTCACCCAGCAGGGACTCGGGCCGATCGGGTTGGGCGATACACAAGGCTACTCCGCGAAAGTGTCACCCGGGGAAACATTGAAGACGCTCGACGAGACGGATAAGGTACTTCTAGCCGAAGATTGTCTCTGCCTTGAGTTTGTACCAATACGTTGTTGAAATGAGTCAAGAACAACAGGTGCGGCACAGGCTGTTGTCCTTCTTGAAAGTAATTACTCACATGATAATTGATCACTGACACTTATTCATTTTTCAACTCCACCATAGTCGCCAGCGAATCGCGGGACTGTGTTGGCGGTTGCTGCATTAGGGAAGCTGGCGCACCGAGCGAAGGAGAATATAGAGGAGCAGCGAATCCACGGGCGGTACAAGGTGAAGCTCTGGCAGTTCCAGGAATTTCTGATGCAAGAAAAAGGGCTTCGGGTAGCCTGCAGCACACTTCCGTTCACAATTGTCCTGTGGTATCCAGGTGGACAGCGGTAGCGAGCTGAGGTAGGGGGTTGCAGCGCTATGTCAGCGAAAGCACTGACGAACTTGAAATGACAAAATAAGAAGACCAGTACAGCACAACACGTAAACTCCATTGCGGTCGTGAAAAAACGACCAAAATTCTTTCCCTACACCATATTCGCTGCACAATTTTCCTTTCCATAACCTGATCGTGTTTTTTTGGCTGAGTTCGGTCCACACGGACGTCCACGCGAGTTACCAGACCCGACTGGCTATCACCAGCGAATTCAACACGCGAAACGTATCGCGAGTAGCGGTCAGCCAGTTCGGAGAGGATCCAGGGCGCAACTTCCGAGAATTCAATCTGAAAACGCTAAACGACGCGACGGAGGTGAATTTGTGGCTGAAATTCGTTGCCGCCCCGATTATCAGCCAGGATACCACGGGCGGGATCGTCTCCTCCTACAACAAGCTCGCCGGCGGAATCCGCATCGTGCAGCGCCGCGCGAAGTCGGCCGAGTGCGACGTCCCCGACGACGTGGCCCAGCACCTGCTGACGGGCGTGACCTGCCACGCCGCGATTGAAAGCGACGACGATTACTCCACGGGCGTGCCAAAGCTCGCCCCCGACGGCAAAGAGCGCTATGACAAAGCCTTCATCGGCGGCAGCATGCTGCGAGAGGAGCCCAAGCACCGCTTCGTCGCCTGGCTGATGAGCGACCGAATTCTCTCTGAGAACATGCGCCGGGTAGATAGCCTGATCAACGGCTTTTGGCTCGACGACGACTCACTGGACGTTGCGGTGCAGGGGGTGTTTTACAACGGAAATACGCAAATGTACTTTTTACTTCCTTGTTTTGCTTCTTTTTCATTAAGACAAGTCACGGACTGCACGTCGGATGCGAGGATCATGCACATCAATTTTCTTGCTCTTGCATGAGGTGATGATTTGTATGATCCTTACCTTACGATGACCTGGTGCTAGCGTCGACCGAGGTCCGAGTTGAAAAAGAACGATGCTTTTTTCAGGTATGCGTTTATGAATCTGGAGATCGAGTTTACGAAGGCAGGCAACTTGGAGATTGTGAACGACGTGCGGACGGTGAAGAGCGATTTGTACCCGTCCAGCATGGAAGTGCTCCCGGATGCCGTCTTCTTAATGCTGTTCGTGATTCTGCTCACGCAGGAGATCCGGCAGATCCGCGAGGATAGCCAGGAGGGTTTTTTGAAGGAATACCTGCTGGACTACTGGAACTGGCTCGACTGGCTGGTCATCTTCACCTCTGCCGCCATCCTGATCAGCTACTGGTTCACCTACATCTGGCTCCTCAACCTGGAGTCCATGATCAAGGATTTGGGCACCGCGCCGGCGCAGATCCCGTCCGACGCCATCGATGACAACGTGTACAATGTGGTGCTCTGGGAAAACCTGACCTACCAGGAGAAGGTCCGCGACATTATCGACTGGCTCGAGGGCCTGATCGACTTCAAGGTGTGGGCGGACCTCTCGCTCTTCTGGTTCAACATCCTCAACATGCTCCGCTTCTTCAAGGGTTTCCGCGGCCAGCCACGCATCGCAGTCCTGCTCGAAACCTTCAACAACGCCAGCATCGTAAGTGATCATAGCCTGGTGTTCTAGCTGTAGCTATTTCTCTACTTCGACGCACAGTGTAGTTGATAGAGCAGATGAGATCGGCGATGGAATTCAGATTCGATATTGCTTGGCGATGCACCAAAAAAAAATTATCACAGGACTTCGCGCATTTCCTGACAATATTCCTGGTGGTTTTTTTGAATTATGCGATCGCCGGTTACGTTTTGTACGGGGTGTACATTTCCGACTTCTCCACATTTTCCCGGTCCATCGAAGCCTTGTTCGGTACGATGGCTCCTTCTCTGTTTCAATGTTGAAAGAATGAATGTCGAATCATTGTTGAGTACGCCGGATGATGGAACACGACGCACTGCGAATGCGAGGTGTGAGCCTGAGCACACCTTGTTTTTAGGTTCTACAGAAAGACTGAACCTGAAATACACACAACCTCCATACAGCAATGCTCTTCGGCGAGATGAAGTTCAACGAAATGTACGATATTTCGCCGGGCCTCAGTGTGGTTTTTTTCTGGTCGTTCATGGTCGCGCTGCCTTTCTTGCTTCTCAACATGCTGCTGTCGCTGGTAATCGAAAATTTTCTCTACGTCAAGAGAGTATGCGGTGATGGAGGAAAAGGCGTCTTCGCGCAGGTATGTTGTCTTCATCAGTTTTACTCGACCAGTTTTTTCCATGCAGTCAAGATGATCGCGGATGAAGATAAACAAAACAAAATCGAATTTCATTGATTCCGAACAGATGTGGGAGTACGTTGACAACATGCGATGGCAGTACAGCTACGAGGGCGCAAAAAAGAGTGCACCGATAGACACGCTCTTGGTGAAAACCGTGCTGGCGCAAAATCCGGATGACGTCAAGAACGCTATGGCGGTATTTTGGCACCTTCGACTGTGTTTTTCATCGGGCTTCATCAATGATGCCTTTTTCGATTGCAATGACTGATAGATCAGGCAGAAATTCGCGCGACAGTACGGGTCAGAGCATGGTTGTGTTTGAATTGGATTTGTGCGAACAAAAATATAACGCAGTGTCGCGACCGTGGGTTATGGGGATTCAAGATCGATCGATACCACAACATCAACAAATCTCTCCTCGCGGAACGCGAAGTCACCGTCGACTATCTCGTAGCAAACGGGTGCGACGAGTTGAACGCGCATAGGCTCCTGAAGAGATGCCGGGAACAGTTGCTGAGCGAGCGACAAGTCTTCAGCGAATATGAGTACTTGGTGAAGACGCTAGAAAACGAATTCACCCGCGTGCAGCTGCGGATGAACCGGGTGAAAGCAACTTTTGTGCAGATGGAGACAGACGCATTGAATCTGCTCGAAGTCGCGTTCGAGAAAATGCAGAAGTGTTCGCACTGGCTCCGCTCGATTCGCCTGCAGCAAGACCTGCCCGAGGGTTGGTTTGAGAAGTACGACGCCTCAAGCGACAAGGTTTACTTCCAGCACGCAGTCACGGGGCGGGTTGTCTGGGCGCTGCCCAAGGACGCACTCAAGCAGAGGAAGGAGAAGCGGACTTTCCGTTCGGTGGTCAAGAGAATAACGGCGGGGGCGTTTGCAAAGCGCGGGGACTTGGGAAAAGCGGCGCTGGCGTTACACGACGCGCAGGAGATGGAGGAGGCTCGGGCCCTGGAAGACGAAGAGAAAATTATGGCGGGCGGATCGCTGAAGCCGAGCGCTCGGTCGCCGGGTAGCCAGGGAGGCGCAAGTCCCGGAGCAGACGGGGGCACAAGCAAAGAGCAGTCTCCTTCACACGGGGGCGGAGAGCCACCACCGCCGGAGGACGGAGGAGGGACGTGAGTATCACACGCTCATTTATAATTTTCTACCCAATTAATATGCTGAACTCTTTTTCAATCTCACCTTTAGTTCTTGTTCCCAATATTGCTAAAGTACACTGACTGACCTCGTTCTACCCAGGGTCTGCAAATATGGAATTGTCGTATAATACTCAGATTTCGGTTCGTTTGGTCACGCTCGGTCCTGTGGACCGAGCGCTGGAAGCTGAATTCGTGTAGAACTAGAAACCTAAAGATACTTTGAAATTTGTCAGGAGGTATCGCGGAAGTGTGCCTCTTGTCGGGGTTTTTTATGTTTCTCTGTGGACCGGCGCAGGCGTCCTCATACTCTTACCTGCTGCTCGCAATCCGACCACTTTCTGGTGATGTTCGCATGGTGTTTGTTTGCGCATAGATGTCGCTGGTTTGTAAATATCTACAGTGTCGTTCTCGTTCGATCGGTTCGGTCCTGTCGTTTTTCGTTTTCTCTCTCCAACCGGAAAAAAGTCGTCGGTTGCGCATGGACTGCTCTTCGTACGGAGCATGGTTGTCGTCGCGAGGTAGCGGCTTCGGTGTCTTCAGCGCTTGTGCTCTTCGTGCTTTTCTCGTGCCTGGTCGTGTTTTTCGGAACCTTCTGCTCGTTCTTCGAGGTTTTCTTTCCGGACACTCACATGATGTGTGGCTTCTATTCAGTTCAGTAATTCATGCTGCAGGACTCCTTTACCTTTAATCTACAGCTTCCCCCACCCGGATAGAAGAAGATCCCCCCACCCTATTGCCAACACACATAGATAATCTTTCACATATCAGCCCGCCCGACCGTCGAGCAGATCGTCTTTTTGCGACCAGCGTAGTGTGATAACATTAACATCAGAGAGTGTTAGAAAGAGGACTCTCCTCCTCCTGCATTTCTGATCGAAGCATTTACTTTTCTCAGGTCGGCATCGGAGGAGGATAATACTTTGCTCCGTCGGGATCATAAATATTTGCTGAAGGTAAAATAAAAGTGGTGCTGCCCCGAAACGCCGATGTATCCTGTGAAACACGTTCCGAACCCGATTGAGGCCACACCAGTGCCGGGGGCATGGATGGGGAGGACAGCTCGATCCCAATCCGAGCCTCGCAGTTACTGGGCATTTGCTCACGGCTGCGCACACTACGCATTTTTTGTGAAGGATGATCGGACGGTTGAGCGGCAGAACCAGCAAGTCGCCCGCATGTTGGCGCAGACTAATAGACAGCGCGAGCGCGACGCTCAAACACTAAAGCAGTGCTTCTCGTGGGGCCCAAGCAGCGATCAACCCCGGTGGCCAGATAATCGCAATGTCGTGTACAAAACTGACTTGCCGGTGCAAGTTTCATCTGTGCCGCTGCGGTCACCCAAGGTCCTCTCTCCTCTGGCAGCTGAGGGAGACCTTTCGATGCGGAGAATGCGTGTGTCAAATGAGCCGTTTTCAGTCAGACAACCCGCGTTTCCCGGGCCTAGCGAGGGTGCCAGCAGTCCTTCGGGAAGAAACACTTCTAGTCTTGCCAAAAGCCCGGAGCCGCTCTGCAGATATGAGATCAACGGGGCGGTGCTTGCGTCGCGGACGAAGCCGGTGCCTCCGCCGGAGCAGGATAAGAACTCGGGGCATTGGGTAACCGAGGTCAATGCAAACACGGGCGAGTTCAATCCGATGACGAATCTAAATTTAGATCGGCACTTACAACAGTACCGTGACATGCAGAAGCGACAGTTCCGGGCGGGCAGCTCGGCCACAGGAATGCCCGCAGCCGGACAAGTGCAGCGGAAGCCGGTGATAACCTGCCACGACATTCAAAGCTTCGTGCCCGTGAGAAAAGAGGAGCGAATGAAAAACTATCACTTGATCCAGAGAAATTTGTGAATCATGCGACATTTTCCACCCACTTAGAAGACTAAAACCTGATCCTCAAGCACTAGCAAATCCAAATTCAAACTGCAAAATAAGCTTCACGCAATCAAGGAAGACGCGGCTAAAGTGCCGCCGTGTTTGTAGGATCGGAGCCGTTTTTCTAAAAGTTGAAGGTGATCTTGTTCGCGAACGATATTTCTCGGTATGAGTCGTAGCGATCTGAAACGGACTTCCTATGAAATTGCTGAGGCTAAGAACAGCATTGCCATTGGTGTACTCGTTCACACTGAAGATCTTGATCTGCTCAAATTCTAAAGATCCTATCTGGTGCCTGTGCCACAAAATCGATCCGTGGATGTGTGGATCTGAAAATCTAAATCCGTGTGGCAGGCGAACCTCGACGTGGATCTTTGTCTTGTGCGCAAATTCATAAAAAAACAGATCATACTATTGCCGTGACGGATCAGAATGTTTCGTTCCAAATGGAGGCTGCACAATCTGGTAGTCAATCTGTATCTCGGAAAATCAAAAAGGTGACTATTGATTTAAATTCAAATGACACATTCAATCGTGACCTCATCCTTATTTCGCAACAGGGAAGAATACTCTAAATTAGAGTATCAGGAGGTAGATTTATCGTCTTTAAGCACCCAACTTTCACCACTTCAAGATGCCGCACTCCTTCGGTAAGCGCGCTCGCTGCCGCGATAAATTCTCCAAGGCCTTCCGCACGAAGGGTCGCGCCGGTCTCTCCACCTACCTGACCCCGTTCAAGCGCGGTAAGCATGTTTTTCACGACCTTTGTAAGCGATTCATCTACCAAATATCATCTTTAGACAAACGCATATCATAGGACCTCTACGCTGAGACTGAGAGCCAAGCGGAAGTGTCATATCTAATACCACAAAAATTCTTCCAAAAATCCTTACCAACAGGTGACTACGTCGACATCAAGTGCGATCCGTCCCAGCAGAAGGGTATGCCGTACCAGTTCTACCATGGCCGCACGGGTGTCATCTACAACGTTACCAAGTCCGCGGTCGGTGTCGAGCTGACCAAGGTCGTTGGCAACCGCCAGCTCCGCAAGCGCCTGCACGTGCGCATCGAGCACGTCCGCCGCTCCCGGTGTAACGAAGATTTCCTGAAGCGCGTCAAGGAGACCGACAAAATCAAGGCGGAAGCCAACAAGAAGGGTACTTTAAGAATAAGATAGCGCTGGTTGCTTTATTATTAAAGGTGGCTAACTGTGCGAGTCTGAGTGTTAAAAGTCTCGTATGTTCCTTCGTTGTGCTTTGAAATGTTTTTACATGGATTTCATCAAGACGCGCATCAAAGCGAATTGCTCGTTTGGTACTCGTGAAAGTCAATGAAGTTTTGGACGCTCTTTCGAAAAACTAAAACAGGTGAGAAGATCGTCGTCAAGCGCATGCCGGAATGCCCGAAGCCGAGCGAGATTATTAAGGCCCGCCAGACCGTCACTGAGGTCTTCGCTCCTCTGGAGTTCGTTGCCAACCACTTCTAAGTTGGTTGCGGATGATACTGCGGCACGACCCTGGGCGTAGTTGTATTACAAGGAATGTGAGAAAGGTGTAAGACGAAGGAAATCTGTGAAAAACCTCGCTGTCTTCATGACGTGAACTTTGAGTTGTGGTGCTCCCATCGGGAAAAGAATGTCGTGAATATTGCAGACGATGAACCCTCCGAAAAATCTAGCTACGAGCAAGCGCCTGCCTTGCCGCTGCTCCGCAGAATAGTATACGAGGGACGGAAGTGTTCCAGCAGACTGTGAAATCGGTTTTGCCACAGTGTTAATGACTCTCTGAACGCCAGGGGACCTCCAGTGGTTTCGGTTCTTCTGTATTGCATTTTTCGGTGAATCAGTATCAGATTGTCGTAGTCGGATTTTTCCATATGGGGGATGCTAGAACCTCCACGCGCAGCGCGTCATCTCGGTGCGAAGGAAACGAACAGGGTACTATCTATCATGGCTTCACAAGCTTAGAAGGGTGTTGCTAACAAGCACATTCTCATACGAGGACGGTGGGGTTAGTCTATATATTGCGACAAGTACTCAGTGCGCCACAGGCATCCGGCATCGTAACCGCTTACCTGTTTAGAAGTAAAAACGCTTTTTTTTCTCTACGGTTTCTGCAGATCACGAGGAGTCATTTTGATTTTGGCTTGATACCGTATCATTTTTTTCTGCTCCTCACTGTTCGACGAGTGCTCCAAGAAATATGGGGAACGACACATCGAAAAGCAAGAAGTCTGCAGGCGTACAGGATGGTCCTGCGACTGTCTGGTGGCGGGAGTTGCCCGCGAAGAAAAGGGGGCGCGCGAGCAGGAGCGTGATCGACGATGAAAGTTCGCGGAGTCACTTCGCAGTCGTGTACGACGAAACTGATGCTGCACTATTGGCAGATCGGGTACAGTTCGTCTACGACGCCATTTTGTGGGAGCCAAGCGTGCGCAAAATGGTGTTCGCCAGCAACAAATCTTCCATCGAGGAAACGTTGCGGGCACTTGCGCAGACCAGGACGCGCAAGGAAGAGGACTGGATGCGCGACTGGTTGGACCCGAGGGATCTCAACGACGCTCCCGGGGACGGTGCGACGGGTCAGGCGGCAAGCAGCAAACGGGCGCCGAGTGGTCCGTTGAAGCTTGGCAACAAGATTACGTTCCAGGACATGGCGGGCACCTCTCACGACATCGAAAATTTTCTGCTCCCGACACAGCTTGGCGAGCTGAAGACCCAGAGGGAGGCTCGGTACAAACAGATCAAAGTGGAACAAAAATGGGCGCAGTTCGCGGAGGTGTTATACTCGCAATATCTGGACGGCCAGCGGCTGCGCGCACGGTGGTGCGGAAAGAACCTGCTGCGGAAGAAGCCCCAGTTTTTAAAGGTGAGCGAGCTTTTGGATCTCCTATACGAGCGTGCGGGATTGGAACCGCGCTACGCCATGATCATGGGACTCCCGGAGGCGCAAGCTCGGTTGGAACAGTGCCCGGAATACATCCTCGAGAAGGAGAACGGCGGTATTGCAGACAAGGAAAGCGATTTGGAGAGTCACGAGGAGGACAGCAAGGCTTCTGCGGGTTCGGACGATACTTTTTCGGAGGAGAGCAGCGCGCGTCCTTATATTGAGGAGATCGAGTCCTCTGCGGAAGAAGGGCATAAGCCGGTTCTTGAAAAGGGCGAGCTCGAGCTCAGCGCTGCAGAGAAGGACATCAAGAAGAAGACCGAAGCAGTAGATGCGAAGGAAGTAACTTCGCCGCCAAAGGAACCGAAGTCCTTGAGCGAGGAAGTCCGGTTGCACGCGTCGAGGTACGTTTTGATGAATACAGACGACCGATTCAATTCCTGCCGTCTGGTGCTTCGCGGTAAGTCAGGACCGTTTGAAGTGTTTCTGCGCAAGCAGATTGAGTTGAAACAGGCAAACCCCCGGTTTGTGCGCTTCAAGGCCGACACCGGCGCAATTGCAAGCAAGCGTCTCGCGGGTCCTCTAGCGGAACTCAGCGTGGAGGTTGACTGGGACCCGGAGACCACGGTCAGTGGTGTCTCGGGAAGCAGTGTGGTACGTATCGAACTCGTCAGGTTTTTCACCTCTACAAGTTCAGAGCTGCAAGACCGGAAAGAGCCCGAAGTTGCACCGGTCATCAATGGCGACGACGCGGGGGCGGTCGCAACAGCATCATCTTCCGCGGGCGGAGTCGCGAATGGGGGTGCTGTGAACACCACTCGCTTCTCAGAAACGGCAAAAGCCCCACTAAAAGCAGCACCCGCGGTGTCCACGTCGCCCACGTCGAGTAAACAGGGTCTTCTGCGCAAGCAGTCCTCGATCTTGGATGTGGTAGAAATGGAATACAAGGTGGTGTCCGCCGCGACTATCGTTTGGCCAGACACTAGTGCGGAGTTCCAACATGACAGAAGTGAACTGGTGGACCTGGCTCGTCCGGGGGACCGCTTCGTTTTTTCGTGCAAGCAAGGTGGTATCGCGCCCGTACGTCCTCTGAAGATTCGAACCGTCCGCGCAGGCGTGAGTTACATGCTCACGGAAACCGGAGAGTCGAACCTCGCGACGGTTTTGGCAACGACGGTGAGCAGTAGCGGGGGCATGGGAGGAGCTAAAATTGTTCCACCGGGTACTTCATCCACCTCGGCTGGCGACGACAAAAATGGCATAGATACGCCGCCGCGGCGCAAGTGTGCGCGGCCAGGCTGCGGGTATTGCGTGAACCAGAACCCGTACTTTCGGACCCTGAAAACGGCCGAAGGAAGGAGCTATTTCGAAACGACGACGCCCTCCGGCGCCGCTGCGGAAGCCGAGGATGATGATCCGGGACTCGACCGCTGGAACTACTGCTGCGCCGGCTGCTTCAACGGCGTTGCCCACGACGCCATGTGCCAGCGGCAGTCGGCGGACGGGATTTCCATCGCACAAAGTACAACCGACGAACAGCGACTCGTGGAGCTCGCGCGCCAACGTGTGAAGGAGGCCAAATTGTGGCCGGAAAGTGACACGTTCACGGAGAAGTTCAAGCGTCTGCTTCGAAAGGACCCGGAGGAGGCGACGAAAGTGTTGGTGAAAGACCTTTGCGAGAGCCAGATGCTGCGGGAAAAGACCCAGCGGGTCCAGCAGCGGACCGTGGATTTGCTGCTCGACGACGGAACGTACCTGGAAGACCTCCGGAAGGCGAAGAAAGACTGGTCCGACTCCAAGGCGCGGGCGACCACGGCCAGTGCGGGGTCGCAGGGTGAGGTGGAAAGCAAAAAGGAAAAGTGGATGCCCATGGCCGCTCGGTTTGGGATCACCGAAGACTCGCCGGACTCGCCCACTCCGGAAGACACCAGCGACACAAGCGAGGCCGTGGAAAGTGATAGTGATACGAGTGGCGATGACTCCGACGACAGCGGCAACGATGGTGCGGGGGGCGGCGCGGTAGCAGCCGGGCTGAATTTAGGACCCTTTGGCCAGATGAACATGAAAATGAATGTGAAAGGACCCGGGGGTGGCCGTCAACAGGGCGGGGATGATTGTGCACAGCAATGAATTGAATAGGCGGCCAGGCAAAGGAACATGGCTGTTTTTCCATACTCTCACGTTGATCTGGATTGTGCTCGTGTATTGAAATAGGTGTCGCAGTTGCGCGCATTCATTCTCTTTTTCTCTTTTAATTTTCTTTTTTTTTTTAGATGTGTATAGTGCTTTTTGTTGTGAGTGTAGTGTCTTTCCTCATGCAACGTTTCAAGATTCGCCCTGCCTGGAGCCACCTTTTGCGAGTGCTAACCTGTTTTGTTTCCCGAACAGGAGTTGTAGGTGACAAACTGTTTTCAGACGCACATGCCTGTTGCGCGCTGCTCGCCCTGATTTCGTACATACTCGAGAAATCGTCGACGAAGGATCAGAAAAAGTGATCTTGCGCCGCCCGTCTGAGTGACGGGCACGTTGTTCATCCTCCTACTTTGATTTGCTTGCTAGATTGAAATAACACTAGCAGTGTGTCCGTGGATGAAGAGTTCAACATAGGTTTAGGTGTTTTGTGTGTAAATTACTACCTCCTTGGCGAATGTGCGATTATGGATATCATGTTTCAAAAACATCATGTCTTCATCGTTTTGACAATTTTGCTTTTTTCTGCATTCGAGTATACAGATGGCAGTCGAGTCTTGCTTCCACCGCTGAAACCCCGAAGCGCACAGGACACGAACGAGAGCGTCGCGTCAAGGCTGGAAGTTTTCCATGCGCTGTCCGGGACATTGATTCATGCTACGTCGGCTCTGCAGGTGCCAGTGCGTCGCGATGGCTCGATTTGCTTGGTAGACAAGCAGACCGTCGTGAATATTTTGAGCAGTCGCTACGAACCGCACAACTCAGTGTCCTTTCTCGGTGATGTGGTTCAGATGCTGCCTTACGGTTCACCAGGGAAGAACGCAAAAGATGTGGGAGCCAATGAGGTCCAGAAGATAGCGCCCTTCGGAATATACTGTCCTGACAAGGCGTCAGATAAAGTCGGTGCTGACAAAGAGGGCCAGGACCGCTCGCCGACTGGAAGTAGTAGTACGGTGTCGGACGCGGACCAGGACGACAATGCAAATAGTAGTACGGTGTCGAGCCGCGAGAGCCGGAATATTAAGAGCGCGGAGGCGGGCTCGCCGCTCTTCCGGGTGAATGTGTTGTTTCGGCGGGACTCGATTTTCGTCGCGCACTTGCAAGACTTCAAGATTTTGCTGGAGGGCATGGAGAGACACTACGCGAGAGGGTCTCTTGGGGTCGCTGGCAACGGGGTCTGTGCTCGCAAGGACGAGAAAGAAGAGGTAGTTAGTATCCCGCCTCCTTTGGGACCTGCGCATTACGAGGAACATAACCCCTTCGTTTGTAGCACGAACGCCGTTCTGCGTAGCGCGGTGCTGAATTACCATCGGCAGGGACTTGGGGGCATCTTTGCGTCGCTGGTGCGGGGTCTGTTTCGTGTGGCGCACATTTGGAACGAGGTGGAGCCGTTCCGCCCGTTCCGGGGAGCTTCGAAGTGGATGGTGGAGACTACATGTTATGGCCCGGATCTGTGGATTGCTAGTCTGGATGGTTTCGAAGAAAAAGTCCTTCCGAATGCAGAGGTACAGACCGCCTTTGCACTGGCGCGGGGTGCACCCTTCAAAGCCTGGGTCATGGAGAGTGTCGAAACATCGCCGGAGTTTTTCTGCAGTACGAAGCAAATGTCTTTCCGCTGGCGGGCTGCAGACTCAACCACGTCGGACACTGCACAGCCAGTCAACTGTGAGAAGGCCACGTATCTGGAGCTCGCTTACACGTATACTCGTGATGGAAAGTACCGCCTCACAAACCTGATATTACGTCTCAGGATTCGAGGCGAGACCGTAATCAAAGCCCATCTCTACGTCACCTAGTTTTCTACTGCAGTAGCTTGTTTGTCAAACATATCCATTTTTCACGAGGACCCGAAGGTCTGCCGTTTCAACGTGATTTTGTGCTGTAAAAAACGCCTGCTTGCAGCACACACGAACTCGTCCCGTACTGTACAAAGGTAAGATGTTGACAGCGCATGCTGTGAGACTACAGTCATCTTCTTTCCAGGACCGACGCCGCGCCGCCAGCCTATCATCGATTGCTGGCGGTTGGTTTTTTTCCTTGAGTTCAACAAGTCCGTAGGCATAGCAAAACGAACACACCGACGACACCGCGAGGCGTTCGAGAGATTTCGCGAGCGTTGCCAAGCGTTGCTCAGAGCGCTGGCTTCTAGAGCTGGTGCTGGTGATGTAGTATGCGTTTCTGCCAACGTCTGAGAGATCGTAACGCAGAACATCCAGATACTCGTATGCGGCAGTAGGGACGCGAGAAAAAAATCGCATGGCTCGCCGAGAAATGAGAACCCAAAGTTTTTCCTTCGGAACCGAAAAAGTACCTGCTCAAAGATAAAAACAAGCGAGGCCTTCCAGGGGTTCGAATTTCGTTATCATGGAACAAGACGGTTCCGACGTGGATCTATCCGACGACGACCTGGATCCGTTGACCGCAGAGCAATGCCGGACGAAACTGCTGCTGCTCCTCGAGGAGCGCAAGCGCAAAAACCGGCTCGAGGAGCGGTTGGTGCTGAAGATGCGGAACCTGAACGACCAGCTGGCGGAAAAGCGGGATCAAGTCGAGGGACTGCAGCGCACCCTGGAAACCGAACAGGCAAAAGTGGAAAACGAGGTGCGCACGCGCAGGGCGGAGCGTCAGAAGCGGCTTTCCGAGATGGACGTGCGCATTCGGCAGTACCTCACGGAGGTGCTGTTCCGCAGCAAACAGCAACCCAAAGCGCTCGCAAACAAGGAGGGCGGCGCCGAGCAGGACCAACAGCTGGCCAAACCCGCCAGCGCCGGGGGCTCGTCTGCCAATTTGTCCATGATTCTCGTCAGCTATTTCAAGCCGGGCACGTCGGAACGCTGCGATTTGCGGTACCGCGTCAACGAAACGACTTCCGTGCGGCAGCTTCGCTACGACAGCTGCAAATACTGGCAGCTAGATGGCGACGAATTTGTCGTTCGCACCTCGGTTGGATCCAAAGTTCAAGGCGACATGATGGTGCACGAGGTAATTGCGTAAAAAGCTGGGTGACCGATTCCTAAAGGCTTAGACGATGAATATAGAGAGATTTTTACTCATTTCAGACCGAGATAGCGTGAGCTGCATTCAAAATTGCTGATCTGGTAACCAAAAAGTTTTGCCTACGACTTATTGTTGCTTTCCAGAACAAGATGACCACCAAGAAGGCAACCGCAAGATTTCAAAACTTCTGACACCCAGATTTTCAAAGACGGCGAGATCGCACAAGTGTTTCTGCTTCCCCGGATCATGAACAACACGGTGGTGAGTGAAGCGGAGAAGAAGTCGATCCTCCCCAAGACCGGGAAGCTTGGACGTAAGAGCGCTAGCCTCGAGGAGGGAGCAATGTTGGCCGGAATTGGTGCCACCGGCGAGCAGGAACTGCGGAAGTGCGGCGGCGGCAGCTTGATGGTCAAGATTGCGGAGTTGAAGCCGAGTGAGTACCTGGCGCGCATACGATTTCGCGACATCCTCGTGTATCTGTTACTTGCGTTGATGTGGGCGTGGCTCTGGCTGTCGAACCAACGCTGGCCCGGGCAGAGTTTTGCAATCGTCGAAGACATGGCCAGGGTGCTCGTCCACGACGATTTCTACCAGATCAACTCCACCGCGCAGGCACTCGTGTGGTGGCAGCGGTCCTACTCCCGGTTTCTCAGTCCCCCCTTCACGCAGTACAACCTACCCTTCGGATTTTTGCGGTTGCGGCAGCAAAAGGTCCAGTACACCACGTGTCCGAGTCCCATCCTCAGCCTGGGAGAGGCGCTCCTCGCCGGCCGGAATTGCACCGACGACAGTGCGCCCGAGACGTCCGGGATGTTGTCCGAGGGGCTGTACTATCAAATGTAAAAATGTCTGGGTCTGGAAGATTGCAAGGTTTGCCATGCATATTTTGCATGACCCGTGATGTCTGCGATGTATGCCCCAGCATTACAATTTTTTTGCGGGTATCTTGATGCCTATCCCGCATGACAAATGCCCTCTCCGCGGAGCAAAAACTGGACGCCTCTTGCTGCTCATGCAATACAGATTTTTTTAGCTTCCAAAAATAGCATCACAAGTTGCATTCTTCCAGACCCAGACACTTTTGCAATTCATATGTACGCGTACTGGAATCACGTCGATTCGCACGGCCGCATCAAGGGCGGGAACTACGGCCGCGGCCCCACGCCGCCCTACATGTACACCTCCGACGGCAAACTGTACACGCTGCAGGGCAGCAGCGGCGAGAGCTTTGACAGCAGCGGGTACCTGGTGGACTACAACCTGATGGAGGACGCGCCGCTCGTGGCGACCAGCATCGAGCAGGACATTTTGGCGTTCCACCAAAACAACTGGCTCGACGCGCGGACGCGTCTGATTACCTGGTCCGTCACCGTGTACAACCCGCACTACGATCTTTTTCTCTCGCTGGACTACATTCTGGAAACCCCTCCGGGCGGGCAGGCGCTGGCGCGGATCCAGGTGATGCCGTTCCGGCCCAACAACCGGGAAACGGACCAGGAGAACATGGAGGCCGCCACGTTTCACATCCGCCTGCTGTGCGCCCTATACGTGCTGTTCTCGGTGATTCCCATGGAGGTGGCCGCCCGGGAGCGCGTGTACAAGGCCGGAGGCAAGTATTTGATCACGCTGATGGGAATCGCGGACCAGATGATCGTCCTGACCACCTTCGTCGCGTACTTCTGGCAGCTCGTGCTGTTCGGCCAGGACGCGACGGTGGACGTGATGCGCGACGGGAAGACGCAGTTCCAGCACTTTGCGCAGGACGCCGAGCGCTACCGCGTCGCCTTCGAGGTGGATGGGTTGCTGGTCATCTTCCTTATGGTGCGGCTGTCGCGGTACCTGGCGATTTCCCGCCGGATCTACCTGTTGTGGAAGGCGCTCGACCGGCTGGCCCGCCGGTTCTTCTACCTGATGGCGGTCAATGTGATGCTTTTAATCTTCTGGACCTTCCTGGGCAACACCTTGTTCGGCCGGATGTACAACGACGAGCACTTATTGAGAGGAAAAATGCTTCCACGCCCAAAGTTGCAATAATTTGTGATGCGAAGTTTCCAAATGAATATGAAAACTTTTTGTCAGAGCGGGGTAACAAACCTCCCATAAGAAGTTACCGGCTAACTTCTCATCCACCCGGCCAGGTGCATGAGAAGTTAGCCTCAGCGAGCCCGTCCGCGGTTGCTACCGCCTTCCCCGTCGGGCTCGCGCCCGTCCGTCGTTCCCATTCCCAGATCTCGGCTGGAGGGGGGGGGTTGAGTACATGTAAATAAAGGAGTTGAGCACTTTAATATATGCGCGCAAAAGTAATTCGCGGAATGAATCTCTACAAGTAGCATTTGATACGCATTTCTACTCCTAGAGTCTCTAGCATGCATGTAAAAGTAAGAAGTAGTATTTGTTTGATATGCATTTTCCCCCCCTGGTTCCTTCGTGTTGGTTGGTTTGGTTGATATGCATTTTCCCCCCTTGCGAGTCTGGTTTAACTCGCAACCAAACCAACCAACACGAAGTAACCAGGGGGGTAACCAGGGGGGAAAGTGCATAGGTTTAACTCGCAGCCAACTGCTCGCGCGCATACGTGCGTAGATCTCTTGACATCCGTCTTGAGGTTTAGGGCCGGAGCGCTCTCAACACTGCTGAAGCTTTAGAACCTGAAGGGAGTGCACGCCCGAAAGGATCAGGGCGCAAGGCTTTTCGATAGCGCTTTTTTCCAACTGGCTTCATAATTCGCTTACTCTGTTGCTTTTTTCTCCTTTTTTCCCGGGACCAACTGGCACCAAGAAGTTTTTCTTTTCGCTTGTCCCCACCCGGACAAATCGGTGTAGGTCTAGGTCTAGGCTTAGGACCATCAAATGTCCTCCTCCGCGTCCGCTGTTCCGACCTCCCACCGTCCCGCCGTCGTAAAATCTTCTTTCCTCCTTCAGTCCCGGATCGCCGCGACGTCGTGTTTCAGGGTTTTAGGGATTTAGGGTTCCTAGTTCGATTCACATGCATATAGAGACTCCGCATGTCAAGCGCTAAATTACCTTTACATGTACTCAACCCCCCCCTCCAGCCGAGTCCGAGATCTGGGAATGGGAACGACGGACGGGCGCGAGCCGGACGGGGAAGGCGGTAGCAACCGCGGACGGGCTCGCTGAGGCTAACTTCTCATCCACCCGGCCGGGTGGATGAGAAGTTAGCCGGTAACTTCCTATGAGAGGTTTGTTACCCCGCTCTCATGCATGAAAGGAGTATGCGTCTTTCTGATGCAGAGTCTAGGCGTTTACCGTGTCGCTTGCATGACAAGCGCCGCTCTTGCTGGGATCTTTTGGAATACAAATTTTTGCTATTCGCGACTGGAAATCTGTGATGCTGATAGATGCAAGAGGGCGAATGTTTCGTTTATTTGAAAGGTTTGCAATACAAATGCTCCCAGGTTCGGGGGTGGGGGCATTTTTCATTGTAATAGCACTGGCACAGCATAAGGATAAGCCTGATCTCCGTGTTCCGACTCTACCGCGGGGACGGCCGCTTCCTCTGGATGCCCGATCTGCGGCAGTCGCTCCAGCGGGACACGAGTTTCTACGTGGCCGCCAGTTGCTACGCGGTGTGCTTCTACGGATCACTGGTTTTATTGCTGCAAAAAACGTTCGTGGCACTCGCAATCGAGAGCTTTGCGTTGATCAAACTCAGCTACGATCCGCGGTCCCAAGCAAATTGGAACCGGGAGCGAATATTTCGTTGGGTGCTGCCGGATCTGGTCTACAACATGGGTGCAACTCTGGTAGAGCGGCTCGAACAAAAATTGTCCCAAGATAAAACTTGAAAGCGGTGCTATTTCCTTCTTCTTCTCCACATTTTTGTTTTATTTTCCATCCCGAGCCGGAGCCGTGGGGGGGCATAGAGTTAAACATTGATAAGCTATCTCGCTGCTCCGGCTGGTGCATGAAAGTAGGGCCATGTGGTAGAGTATACCTTGCACGAAAGTGCTTCTTGGAATCGGCTCTATCTCTATCGCTGAAGAGTTCCTAGAAAGGCGCATAAACGAAAAATCCTTTGTGCTGGTTTGCTGTGCGAGTACTCACTTCTGCGGCTTGATGGTTTCCTTGACACGGACCGAAACAGGGGACGGGCCGGCACGTTCGAGAGAAGATGAGGCGACGAAAGAAAGCGAAGGATTGACAGATTTACAACGATCGGTTTGAGGCAGTAAAATACTGGAGGAGCGCAGGAAGCTTGCATAAATTTAGGACTGGAATATAATTTGAAGTCTTGTGAGTGAGCCGAAACGATGAAAGCAAAAGCAAGTAATGAGGCGGTAGAAAAAATCGGATGAGGGCGGCAGTCATGCCAAAAGAGGAACCACAAATGATGTCCTCCCAAAAATGTGGGGCTTTCCAGTCCAGCAGCACAGCAAGCCCACCTTCGTTCCGCCGTTGGGTTTCGTAACCACAAGCGAAAACAAGTGGAACAAGAAAGCCGGAGCCATACTTGTGCTTCTCGTCCCGCCTCGTCGATAATGGAGGGTGATTCGCCCGCGGTCGGAGGCGGCGCCGAGTCCAGCCAGTCGCCCGACAAGATCAGCCGCGGAAAGACACGAGTCATGAGTGGCAAGCAGCGGCACCCAACGGACCCGACGAAAAAGGAAGAGGCAGCGAGCAAGGTGGAGGACAGCATGTTTCTCACCCCCGGTGGCATCAATGAAGTGTTTAAGAACCCTGCGCACCGCCGGGACCAATCACTTCTCGACCGACTGGTAGAAGCGCTCAAAAAGATGGTGGTGGAGCGCTTCCGGAGCTTGGAGCAGGCCTTCTACCAATTTGCCGAGAAGGGTTTCCTCACCCAAGCGCATCTGGACAAAATGGTGAAGGCGGTCAAAATCCAAGTCGGTATTCGTTTACTTATCATTTTTGTGGCCGATATATGAACATTGGGATCCGCCAAGGGACTCTTGTCCGCGCTGAGGCACGTTTGAATTTGATATTTAGCTCTCACCAACCTTCGTCGAGATTTTGCTTTCTGCTGTCTGGTAAGTAGCCAAGTTGCGACTGGCATTTTGTGATATCTATTTCTCGTCAGACGGACGCGTGGTGCGTGCAATCCACGATAGGATGGTAAACCCGGACACGAAAGTGGTGGGATTTCTAGAGTTTCAGACGGTTATGATGGACATGACTCTGCGGAAACTGAAAGGCCAGCTCCAAACGTACACGAGGAATCATCGCCGTGTGCGAGCGAAGATAACGGCTTTCGTGCGGTCCCTGGTCTTTCAAAACACCGAAACAATGTCTGCGGCGGTTACCCGTTTCCAGTCAAAATTGACCCTCAACTTTGCCGCGCGGCTTTGGAACTCGATACGACGAAAGATATCCGACTCGAACAATCTCAGCATGTCGCAATGTATTGATTCTTCCTTGAAGTTTAAGGGATTTGGTTTTTACATACAAAGTTTAGCTCGAAGATCGACTCCATTCGTCACTGTCCCTTCTGAAGCAATTCTGCTCCATGCAGTAAAACAATTCCGCACTCATTCACTACAGTTTTGGGCCATATCCGCTCGTGGAAGCAGTTTTTCCACGAATACGAGTACGAATTTTTCGGCGAAATTTTCAAGAGGCTGGATAGGCAACAGAGTAACAGCGTGGATGTATTCCACATGATGCTGGCCCTGGTTTTTTTGAGTCCCGAGACGAACAAAAAGGTACTATCGATGCGGACTTTGTTTTCGGCGCGAAGAAGAGTTTCTCACTAGGAGGATTTTGTTTTATCAATTTGTTCAGTTTCATTGTGCATTTTTCCTGCAGACGCTCGAACACAAATATGTTCAGGTTCGGTTTGAGACTGTGTTTCGGGTATTTGACACGGACGACGACGGTTGTCTTACGACGGACCAAATTTTGAAGCTGTACCAGACCATCCGCACGCTGATTCCTGTTCTCGCCAACGACGAGGTCACAGCCGCGGCGAACACTTTCTTCAACGACGAACTGGGCACGCAAGAAGGCCGCCGGTTGTTTGACTTCACCATGGACCTGTACAAAAGTACGTCCAGCAATTTGCTGACGTGGGATGAGCTGTGGTCCCTGTTCGACTACTCAACCTACCTGAAGGATAACCTCATCCCCGGGCTGCACCAACTCAATTGGGTACTGCTGCTTGATGAAACTGTAACCAACATTACCATTGTACCTTCAGCAGGAGTGAAGCAACAAAATTTGAATTGACTGTTGCCACAGATGACGCCCATGCGCATGTGTCCATGGCATGAAAAATATGGTAGCGTACTGCCATGCTTAGTCAAATGATGTGCCGATGCAGGTGCTGAGCGAAGACGTGGTGAGCAATAAACAGAAAGCCAAGGGCGACGGCGGTGGTGCGGAAGCGAAAACGGACATGAAACAGCAGCTTGCGAGGTCACAGTCTGAGGCGCATCTGTGGTCGGCCGGAGTGAAGCAAGGGTAAGTAAACGTATGCGCACGAGCAAGGAAGATTCTCTCTGTCTCTATTCATTATCCTGCCTCCTTTGCCTGCTCTTCAAGCTCATTTTTTTTTTCGAAAGAACCAGAAAGGTTTTCCTCTTCGGAACCAAAACAGGTATTGTGCTGCGCTTCGGGGCGAGTGGAAGTACGTTCCACGCACACTTTATCCTCGTGAACTAGGTGAGTCCGCACCTCAGGAACAGGGTTGTCATATTCGAAGTACTTACTGATGCGAACAAGACCAGCTATTTCAAAGCGCACCCGACTCATCTAGGAAAAGGTTGCAACGGGCATAAGTATCTAAGCGCACCCGATTCCTTCGATAGGAAAAGCTTGCAACGCTGTTTTTCCCTGAGGTGCGGATACTTTTCATCACGACATAGAAGCCCAAATTGACAGCCAGGAATATCTCTTTTGGAATCCCGGGACCGGGCGCGATAACCGGGGCACCAGCGGAATTGCGCTTGGGAAGCCGGGTAGCGCATTGGCCGCGCTGGCAGTCGGCAGTAAGGGAGCTGCTTCCTCCACGTCAAGACAGGAAGAATCAACCACCCCGGAGGCCGATGCGGAGGGAGAGCCGGCGACCAAGCAAAAGTTCCAGAAACTGCGGCAGTCTGTGTCTGATACCATGTTTGACCAGACCGCGAGCGTTCCGAAGGTCCACTCCAAGGCCTGGGGCCGCGAGGCCATGTTGCGGTTTCACCTCTATTCGCTTGCGAAAGCAAAGAAGAAGCAGGGCGAGGGGGAGCTCCGAGAAGATATCGGGGCGGACAAAAGTGCATTGGACAAGGCGCTAGCTTCTGCTTTCTGAGTACTAAGGGGAAAAGTTCAAGAATAAGAATTTCAACAAAAAAATCATCACTGGCCCTTGAGCAATCCCAGAGCCGGGCGCCCGGTTGCTGGTTGCGGGGCAGGATTGCTGGAAGGCCGAGCGGCGGAAGGGCACACCAGCAGGCCCTGTCGGTCCAGAAACCGGAGCACCCCGTCGATTCCGCAGGCGAGCCTGTTCCTGATGGCAGTTCAGTGAAAACACAAGAAAAGCCTCTCCGGCGCCCGACGTCTTGCCTCCTTCTCCCCTAATGAAGGCATGACCCTCCACGCACTGAACTAGTTAACTTCTCTCGGTCTACTTGAGCCAGTCTTTTTAACATGAAGAGCCTTCATCATTCACAGAAAACAGACTTACTTAGGCGCCGGCTTTGGCGCTCTACTTTCTTGTAGGTCTACAGGGGCTGCTGAATGAATATGAAATATAGGACCCGAGGCTGCTGAAGTGCAGCTCATGAAGGAGTGGCCCCACAAAGATATAGAAAAGGCCTCCGACACAGGTAGCATTTAGCTTCTGCGCTTTACAACTATGAGACACCAGCTTGGCCGTTATCTAAAATCTCAAGAATACCAACAAGGGGGACCTCCCAAAGGGGTCCCTAAATCCGTATTCTTGAGATTTTAGATTACGGCCAAATCGAGGGAATCAGGTGCGTCTAAAATCTCAAGAATACCAACAAGGGGGTCCGCCCAAGACACCTCCCCGAACAGGGGTTTTCGGGGAGGTGTCTTGGTTTGGGGCTCTTTTCGCACCCCCATCCGATCAGCCAAATCGACCGACTCAGGTGCATCTAAAATCTCAAGAATACCAGAAAGGGGGTCGCCAAGTGGCCAACTCAGGTGCGTCTAAAATCTGAAGAATGCCAAAAAGTGGGCAACTTTGGTGCCCGCGCAGAAGTTCGTCGGAATCGGCACAACTTCCGGGCCCCTGCCAAACGTCCGAGGTGAACTCCCTTAGTGTGTGGCGATTAGTGCTTTACTTTGTGGAGGTTAGTAGTTTACTGCGTCCGATGTCCCGTTCGGGCGCAGGAAGGCCTCCTCCGCTACAGTGCCATAGCAGGACCTTTCTGAAAGCAGCCCGACCGAATGAGTTGCGCGGCCTTTGCTATCCGCCCCCTGTTAGTGTGTGTTTTCCAAAAATGGGATGAGTGGCGTTTGCAAATAAAACAGCACGCAGCTACGCTGTGAACTGACCGCGACGAGTCGCGTATTGATTTTTTTGTCAGTTTTCTTATTCTTGAACTTTTCCCCTTAGTACTGAGGAACGCATCGGGGCGGACAAAAGTGCATTGGACAAGGCGCTAGCTTCTGCTTTCTGAGGAACGCATCAGAACGACCGGGGGAATAGCGCACACTTCTACCCAGTAGCGGTCGCAACAGTGAATGCAAATACAATATTCAAACTTAAACCAACTGCAATTGATTTGTTCGGTGCTCTACGCCGGAAATGTTTTTCCATTCTCAATTCCAAACTCAAACCACATTAAACTTTTCTATAAATACGCACAGTGCAGCGACGAGACAGAGGAGGGTTTTTGTTTTAGACTGCAACAGACCACTCCAGCCAAATCCAACAGAATGTTGATCAGGCAGGGGTGCTGGGTATGCGAGGGGCGATTCGCGTCGAGTAACTTTCCCCTCCAAAAGTTTTTTTGGTTAAAATCATAAGAAGCGGCGTGCGCTGCTAACATACCTCTTGTATTCGACACTGCACACAACTTTGTCCCGCCGTGAGAGTTTCGTCAAAACTATGCTAATGAAACGTAAGTAAAACTCTAGGTTTGCTTTTGCAGAATGTTTGCTTTGATAGAGGTTTAGAGCTGGTTTCCAAAAAAAAAACGTACACGTCAATGAGGAACACAGTTGTACGATGCTCAGCTAGAAGCAGGGCCTGTTTAATGAAGCCGTGGGCTCAACACCTGCGAACCATACCAAAGATCAAGATGTAGATATGAACAAATGAAGGCGAGCGCGAGACAAAACAAACATGCAACTGAACCAGAATGATTTGAATGCACTAGAAGTAGAACTTTCACTCGGCTTAGCAGGATGCGGAAGCGTGGCTGAATGTTTGTGTATTGTAATGCTGCTCTGTCTACAGGTCCTGCTTGGCTGGGCTTGTATTTTCTATGCGATTCGGTCGATCTCGTTTCGATGCCCAACTAGCATCAGCTCTCATTCGGTCTGGATGAATGTACAAAACATCGTTTTTGCAATGAAAGATTGAAACTTTTGCGTACAGTATCGGTTCAACATTGTGAATTGAAGCTTCGGTTTCTAGTCGTTCAGCAGCCTGTTGGCTCTTTCGTCTTAACATAACGTGCATCAGCATCTGCATCGTTCGAAAAGTTGGCAGCCGAGGCATGCCTTTCACCTGCCTCTGGTCGTACAGGCGCGATAAAATTTAGGCGTCATGAATGAAAGGAACATTCACCACACCCATCAAATCTATTTTGGCTCAGACGTGCAGTCGCGCACGTATTTAATACACCCTTCCCGATATTGTAAAAGTAGTTTTTCCCAGTCCCAGATTACTTCCCCTTTTTATCTTCTTCGATGATGAATTTTTCACCGACTTGACATTGACTTTTCTATTTTGTATTTGGGTCATTTCATCACTTGTCTAACCACTCCTCCTTGACTTTTTCTGCATTCGAAGGACGGCAGCAGGATGGCGGACAATATTAAGGTGTGCATCCGGTGTCGGCCGTTCAACAAGCGCGAGCTGGAGCTGCAGTCGGAGAAATGCGTGGAGATGCCGATATCGACGCAGATTTGCGTGTTCGACCCCACTGAGGAGGGGGGCAACCGCAACGAGTTCGCGTACGACCGCTGCTTTTGGTCCACCGACGACACCAGCTTCGAGAAGGCCGACCAGCAGACGCTCCAGGACGAAGTCGGGCAGGAGCTGCTGGAGAACGCGATCAAGGGGTACAACGACACGCTGTTCGCCTACGGGCAGACGGGCAGCGGGAAGACCTGGTCCGTGATCGGCGGTTCCGACATCCACGGCGCCGACGCGGGGCTGCTGCCCCGGTTGATCACCAACCTGTACGTGAAACTGCGGGAGAGCAGCGAGTGGCAGTTCACGGTCACGGTGTCTTACCTGGAGATCTACAACGAGCAACTCCGCGACCTCTTCGCCCCCAAGTCGGGCAGCGGCGGGCCGGGAGCCGGGGATCAAACCCGCGACAGCGGGGCGAACAAGCGCGCATCGACCAGCAGTGGTGCGAATTCGCAGAATCTGGAGATCAAGGTGCACCCCACGCTGGGGATTTTCGTGCCGGGGATGACGGAAGCGGTCTGCATGTCCGAAGACGAGGTGATGAAGATGCTGGATTTTGGCTTCAACCAGCGCGCCGTGGCCGAGACCAGCATGAACCCGCGGTCCTCCCGGAGTCACACGATCTTCACGATCAGCGTGGTTTTGTACCAGGGGACGCTGGAGAAGCCGACCAAGCAGCTGAACTCGAAGATCAACATGGTCGACCTGGCGGGGTCGGAGCGGCAGAAGAAGACCAACGCGGAGGGCGACCACTTGAAGGAGGGCGCGGCCATCAACCAGAGTCTGTCGAACCTGTCGCTCGTGATCCACGCCCTGGCGGCCCAGTGCAGTGGGAAGTCGAAGAAGAAGGAGCACGTGCCCTACCGAAATTCGAAGCTGACGCACTTTCTGCAGCCCGCGCTGAGCGGGAACTCCAAAACGGTCATGATCGCGGCCGTGTCGCCCGCCCTGAACAACATCCAGGAAACGCTGTCCACGCTGCGGTTCGCCAACAGCGCCAAGGAGATCAAAACCAAGCCGACCACGAACGAACAGAGCAACCAGTCGGTCATGGACCAGTTGAAGGATCAAATCAAGGAACTCCAGAAGCAGCTGGCCGCGGGCGGCGGCACCGCAGGACCCGCTCAGCTCGACCCAAACATACTCAAAGAAATCCAAGAGCTCAAGGAACTCAAAGACAAGTTTGGAGGTGAACTACAACTTTACATTTTTTTGTTGACTACAGAATGATTGGAAAGTACTGAAGTACAACACTCTGCATTCAAAAATTTTCCGCTGTGTGGTCTAGTCCCTGGGTGAACAAAGTTTTCTGCATGAATAGACTCTTCAAGAAGTAGATTGATTGAATCTGTGTGTTTCAAGCATAGAAAACCACGAAATAATTAACAACAGAATCGTTCGAGGAGAAGCTAGCGCAGGGTGAGATGACGCGCGCCTTGCACGACGATCATATGGACGCTATGGGATTGATGCCTCCAGTATCAAATGTAAAAGTGTCTGGGTCTGGAAGAATGCAACTTGTGATGCTGAATTTGGATTCCAAAAAAATCTGTATTGCATGAGCAGCAAAGGGAGTGTAATTTTTGCTACGCGGAGAGGGCATTTGTCATGCGGAAAAAGCATCGCGAAGCCCTCAAAAAATCTGTGATGCTAAGGCATGCATCACAGACATCATGGCCTATGCAAAACGTGCATGACAAGTCTCAGAAATTTCCAGACCCAGACATTTTTACATTTGATATCCAGATGACCCGGATGCGCCATGCTTGCTGAGTATCAGTGCCGACGCCGCTCTCTCCGGAAAAATGTGCTTCTACGTCACCAAGAAGAAGGAGGTATTTATTTGTCTTTTCTGCCCTGCGTAAGCGTAATATCTGAAGGAGGCTACAGCAAACGGATAAAAAGTGTCCATGGACTTAACAACTTTTTCTCGGAAGTTGTAGAGAAGAACTCACGTTTTCGTTTACGAATTTTTGAGGTCAGAGCTTCTACGCATCAGATGACTTTTCTATACGCACAACTTCTGACAGCTGGTCCTGGGCTCCGGGTCCGACGTTGACGTCCGTCTCGCCGGTCTGGGAATCACGGAGAAGATGTGCGGTTTGAGGCACTTGAATGACGAGGCGCTGCAGATCAATCTGTTCCTCGACGCGGAGAAGAAGCTCCCGGAGGTGTACCGAAACGGCATGCGGCTCGCTCCCACGGACAAGGTGCTGAATCACAACGACCGGCTTTTCTTCGGGAAGGCGTTCGCGTTTCGGGTGCTGATTCCCGCCGTCGCGCGCACCGAGGAGAAGCGGGAGGAGGTGCTGGATAAGGAATTCGATGACCTTGTGGGGGAACTGATGGACACCCAGTCCGAGAACTTCCACCAGACCCGCGAGTTTATGGAAACCATCGGCGAGCATGTGGGGCAGCAGAATGCCGAGCGGTTCCTGAAGCAGTTCGCGCAGTGCCTGCCCCTCGTCAACGAAGCGAACCAGATCGCGAAGGAGGTGCGGCCCCAGGATCGCTTGCTCATGCGCTTGGATGTCCTCATCGATCCGATGCAGTTCCGAAACGCCCCACCGGCGCTCTGCGTTCGCCTCTACAAACTGGCGCCACCGGAAGACGGGCCCGTCGACAATGAGGGTATACTTGTTCAGCACTTTTCTTTGGAAAAAATTCATCTGGTTTTTGTTTTATCTGGGATGGTAATTCGTTTTATCATCTTGCATGGTAATTCGGATCATAATTCCGAGATTCATTCGCATGACACTCCTCTGGTCGTACCATTGGCGATGAAAAGCAGAAACCATGCTCTGCGTTAAAGTTTTTCGTACTTCGGTTCGAGTTTGATGTTGCTTTGTGCTACCTGCGTTCATCCTCCGACAAGAAATACAATGGCGACTCCTCGCGGCACAAACTTTTTCGATGTGCCTAAAATGCAAATCACTTCAGATTTGAAGCGGGAGTACGTGGTTAACACAACGGCGGCCATTGCGGAGGACCTGGAGGACATTTTCGTGGACGGCGTGGTGGACGGGCGGGCGGTGGTGGAACTCGCCGTGTTTTCGTGGACCAATTTCCTCACCCGCTTGCACGGCATGCGGGAGACCTTCGACGACTGGCACCACGGAAAGTTACACAACTGGGACCTGGAGCCGGATCCCTGGTCCGAGGTGTCCTACCTGGACCACCACGAGCACCATGTGGAGAAGTCCTACCACAAGTCGGCCGCGGCCGAGAAGGACGTGCACCTGGACGTGGCCCTGGAGAACCTGCAGAACACAAACAACCTGAGAAACGCCTCCGGGGCGCTCCTTCCAAACGCGGGGTTGAACTCAAAGATCGGGGAGCTGGATATCGAGGCCGTTGCGGCCATGAGCCACGAGGACCGACAAAAGCACGCGCAGACCCTGTTTCGTCGGTTGCGGGAGTCGCTCACGGTGTTGCGACGAGAGTTGGAAATCGACACCACACATAATCGGTAAGCGGTTATTTCGTACGCGTGACAGTGGCGTCGTCATACACCACACATCACGCATTTTTTTACACGAGTACTTTGTTTTCAAGGACAATCGTTTATTGTCTAGTTGTAGACCTTGCGTTTCATTCCACGTGCACATTATTAAGGAAGTAGTTGAAGTTCGTACTATCTTTTTCGTAAAACAGTAACAGTGCGCCTGTACTACATAGACATGAGAATAGGAAGCATGCCTGGCACTATATCCTGGACCTAGTTGTAATTCGAATTCCGCTTTGTGTCATCTGACCGCGAAAAAACTTGTGTGGTCACGAACTCTTCCGCTTTTTGTGAACATGAACATGAACTCATTTATTCGTTGCGCGCCACGATTATGGTCGCTATTCTGGTGTTGTGTTACGACCTTTGTGCGTGAAACACAAGATGTTCGACGGGAGTCAATGTGTATCAAGCAGGTTGTACATATGATCGTTGTGCTGCCTCGGAGGCGAGGCCGTTCGTCATGGAGAAGCAAATGGTTCCCTGCCCTTCGTATTGTCGCACTGAAGTAGATGAAATACAATCGGTGTTGTCGTCGTAATCCAATGTTTATCCATCTTCCAGAGCCATGGATCAATGAATCGTGGGCCAATCGTAATCGTGAAGGATTTTCTTAGTAGAAGAAAAGGTTCACCTGTCGCTGTCATCATCGTCGGGAAAACGCTCCGTCGTGGCCTGAAGTACAAAAAGGACTGAAAGTGAAAAAGTAGTCTACAGCAGGAAAATAATGCTGTCGTGCTATCTAAAACTAAGGTTAAAACCACTCTAGTGGCGCATGCCGCAAAACACTACCAAACTTCAAATTTGTTGCAGCTTCGTGAAAACTTTCCAAATGTGTTTTTTGATGAAATCCGTTCCTTTGCTTTGATTTTCTGTTCTGGACAGCGACGGACAGAGTGAATGTTTCATCTGCGTCCCATGGATGTGGGCTCGTTCCTCGAGGGAGTGGAGGAAACCGACGAGGAAGATGCAGTTTCTGTAGAGCCGGGGCTGTCGCTGTCGCAAGACCCGGCTGTGCAAGGAGCCAAGCAATACCTGCAAGCCGGTAGCCGAACGTTGCGCGTTTCCGAACCGGCTTCAGGACAACAAGCCTCAAAGCGCGCCGCGGAGAAGCGGACTAGTGGGCTGCAATCTGAAGAACGCTGTCAGGACGCTTCTGTGCCATCATCAAGCCGACCTACCGACTCCACCACGAAAAGCCGCTTTTCAGACGGCGTCATGAAAGAAGCTCCTGCGAGCATGCAGCGCTCGACCTCACCCGTGTTCGTCTCTCGCCCGCCTGCTTTTTCGCCTGTAGAGACAAGCGCCGCAGTAGAAGAGACAAGGGACAATAAAAGCCCACAAGGGGCTTCGGTTAATGTTCGTGCGCAGTCTCCAAAGCCCTTCCGAGTCGTGAGCACAACCCGCGCGTCCAAGCTGCTTAACCGCTCGCCAGACAAATCGCTGACAACCGGGCAAATTCATGTGATTGCGGCCGGTCTTCAGAGCATCGGCGAGCGCGAGCACGGATCGGAACAACATCTTCCGGGGGAACAGGCAGCATTCTCGCCCGGTGAGGTTTTTCCCGGCTCCGGCACGGAGGACGCTCTGTCCTCGCAAAGACACGGTGCTAGCAAGGAGGTGTCAGCACCGTCCCCCTCCTCGTCCTCCTCGTCAAAAACAGGAATGTCTCGATTACTCGCCAGTCGTACGCTGCTCCAGAAACTGGAGCCGGGCAGTCTTTCGGTTGCGCAGGAGAAGCTACGGCAGATCAGTTCGCCCACCGGCTCCTGCAGTACTCCCGCGGGCGATGTGATGATCTCGAGCAGTACTCACCTGTTAGACAATAAACCAAGGACACCTCCTGCTGCTCTCGACGGGGATGGTTTCGTTGTGAGCGAGACGCTTTTGTGGACCACAAGCAGAGGCAGCGACACCAAGGGCAGAAAGAACAACGAAGCAGAGCTGGAGCAGCTGCAGAGCACGCCTTTGGCTTCCGGGTCTGAGCGGGAGGAGGGAGCAGCAGCAGATCGGGGCTTGGCCACTGCCTACGCAGAAGCTGAAGTGGAAGAAGTAGAACTAGAAGACCCGAGAAACTATGCCTCGGAAGCGACTCTGGTAGCAGCCATTGATCGCGTGGCTCGCTTCAGCGGGAAGGCCAAGCGCGCAGCTCTCTTTTCTGCCGAAGAAGAACAGGCGTATCGCGACACTGTGCTCCAAGCGAGTGGCGTGCCGGTTCGGAAGCAGAGAACTCGTATGTCCACGTTGCTAAAGAAAAAGCCCTCGGATGCTTCACCTGCTGGCGCTTTATCCCACGGTTGTAGTACGGGGCAGACGACGAGTACGACTTTCATCGCTATTCCGAAGATTGCGGGTTTGGAGGAGGAGCGAGTGCTGGCAGCCGGTCCGCTCAGCGTCGTCGGTAGAACAAACAGGGGCGCGCTGCAGGCGGAGGGCAATTATACCGGCTCACCTGCACGCTTGGAGAGCAGCCGAATTCCCATCGAGAAGTGGAGTAGCCGCTCGCCGCACAGCAAAGTGTCACTCTCCCGCCAGATTCGCGCGCGCGCTTTTCTTTTTTCGGAGGACGATGACGACACTGTTTCCTCGCGGGGCAGCAAGGGGTCGAGTCAGGGTGGTTTAGCTGGGCCGCCCGCACCAGACCCGGGCATGCGTTTCGTGATTTCCCCACCGGACAGCGGGAGTGCAAGAAATAGTCACTTTGAATTCCCATCCGCTAGAAGCGTGCAGCAAATTGCTCCAGCTTTTTCCAACGGAAAAAACAAAATCCAAGAAAGTTTTGAGCAGCTACCGTTCGGTTTTGCAGCGAGCCGACGAAGGCAAGACAACGCTTCGGCCTCGTCCGGGAGCGCGGAGACGGCCAGTGGATACACGCGACGCAGCCTAAAGGACCGCAAGCCTCCGGCCTTCACGGCCGCGTTTTATCCAAGTACTCCGGAGGCGGGCGTAGGATTAGGAGACCATGCTGCAGGGTCAAGTGAGAGTTCGCAGGCCGAAGCGTCCACGGAAACAACTTCTGCTGTGGTTCTCGAAGATGGAGCAAGCGCGGGCCCCTTTCTAGTAGAAACTCTTCATAAGGCGACGAGCATGCGGGCGTCGCATAAAAACAACGTAGTCGCCGTACCGGGTGGAAGCGAAAAGAAGCTGGACATGCGCGATTTCTGCCAACGACTACTGGAAGCACCGTCGCAGGCACTTTTTACTCATGGCGAGAAAGGTACAGATAATCATGTCGCTGAAGATGTTCATGTTGCAGCGGAGCGCATAACCAGCAGAAATCAGAGCAAAGACAGCCAGCGTGCGGAGCCGATTTCGCCAAGTGCTAGTCATCGCGCGATTGCAATTGCAAAAGCACTTGGACCACGCGTCACCATTGTACAAGAAAAAATAGCTGCCAAGACCGAGGTACGTACTTTGCTTTTTTGTACTATCGCAAACATAGTAGCTGAGTTCTGAACTACATTTGTTGCTTCTTTTTGGCGACATTTATTAATTGCAAACCGATTCAATCGACGTCGAGCAGCAATAGATGCAAAGCTGGACTTGATGTGCAATAGCGATTGAACGTGATGAACTCGTAGGAACCATCAAAGCCGGGCGCTGGCGAGGAAGTTGAAAACGCACGACCCGATGCGGCAGCCGCCGTGATTCCGCAGCTCGGCGCAGGCACGCCGGAAAATGCTGCGATTCGAGAGTCGCGTTTTCTTATCTCAGCGAAGCTGCGCAACAAGTGTGGAAATGCCGTGGAGGCTATGCGAGAAATTGTGGCTGCGGGTGATGAAACATCAGCAGTGCGGGCGAACAAAGGCCTGCTGAAGCAGAAGATCCTTGCCAGCTCTAGATCTGATGCGGCAAACGCAACGACGTCCCGTGTTGACTTCGAACTCGCGCAACTCGGGCATGCCCAGCGGGTTACAAATCACAATCTGTTTCCGAAAGGTGAAACCACGGAGGCGCTGTCCGACGAACCGCACGAGCAGGACGTCGAAGGAAACGACGATGCAGAAGAAACCTTCCGTGGCACCTCTTTGAAAGCTTTGGTGCACCGAACCTCGGAGGCCAGCCCAAAGCGTCGCAGCGCCGAATCGTGCGGCGATCGGGCGGCGGCTATCCCCAAGCTTCACGCCGAAGATGGCGACAGGCCTCCGCGAGACGGCGGGAGCAGCGAAAACGCAAACGCGCCCCACCCTGGGTTGTGGTCGACACGCATTCAGGATTTCCCGAGGCAAGCCGAGGCAATTTTTCGGAAACGGCGGAGCAACGCCATGGTGAAGGACTCACACGGCGGTGAGAACCCTTTGGAGCTGACGTTACCGGGGATGCACATGCCTCCGCCCGAGCCGGCGGTTCCCGACCTGCCTCTGCAAGGCGGATGTGGGATCGCGAACTGGAACTCTCTGCTCGCTAACCGAGGACCTGTATTGTGATTTACGTGAACCATGAAATGTCTGTGTACTGTCTTCCTCTTTCTTTGCGGTTCTTTCATCTATTCATTGCATGAGAACAACATAGAAAGCGGTCTCTCAAATGGATGTGCAGGTATCACTCGAAGAGCCGGGCGTGGCCGCGCACCCTCGGGAGGAGTTGGAGGCGCGACCGTCGCAGGTGCAGGCACCGAACATTGCGCAGGTGTCCGAAATGCGGCCCAATGTTGTGGACGACAAAGTTGCGCGCGCGATGATGCGGGTTCGAAAGGGGCGGCTCCCGGAATCGTTCTTCGAGTCCAACTATCAAATGTAAAAATGTCTGGGTCTGGAAACTTGTGATGCTGAGTGGCGTAGCATGAGGGGGCCACAAGTGCTGGCTCAGCATGACAAATTTCTGAGCTTGTAGGTGTTGCCTGTTCTGCATGACAAACTGCGTCTCCGCATGACAGAAAAATGCGGCTCTTGGGCAACGTGCAGGACAGATTTTAGAGTCATGCCAGACAAGCATGACAAACATGCATTCTTCCAGACCCAGACATTTTTACATTTGATACCAACCGATTGCGCAATCGAGTCTCGCACGAGCAGCTGGTAGAAGCGCACGATCGTTCAGCAGCCGGGGAGCACTTTTCTGCCGCGAGCGACAACATGGGAGGAAAAGTAGACATTGCCCCAACGCAAGCGTTGCATTCCATTTCGAGTGACAGTCCCTTGGCCCGATTGCGCGGCGGAACGAGGTCGAACAAATCGTCGCCCCGGAGGCAGCAAGAGAGCCCTAGTACTCTCGGAATCGGATTCCGATTCGCGACGAACACATCGCCCGGCCGCCCCGAGGAACCTGTCCCACCTCGGGTGCAGCAGGCTGACGAAGAAAATGCGGCGGAAGTAGTAAATCGCTCCAACGTCACCCGGCCGGTTTTTGCAGCCTTCTCCACGACCTCCCCGTCCGCAAATGCTGCAGCGGTTGGACAGGGTCTTCAGCGGGTTTCGCTAAGTGCGCGGAAACGCTCCGGACAAACACCGACCAGTCCCAGGTCGCGATACGTGTTTCATTACGACTCCCCCTCGGACATGCACAGCTCGGTGCGGAATGAGAAAGCAGCGGGAGTTGCAGCAACCGCAAGCGTGAGCGATAGCAGAACGGTGTCGCATTCTAGGCGGCCAGCCAGCAAAGAAGTATAACAATGGTTTTTAAGGATGGTGTCTCTTGTTCCGTGCGCTCACAAAAAATTAAAATATGGGTAAACATGATTTAGACCACGACACTGATTTACTGATTTTGTTGCACAGAACTACGCCGCCGAGCTGTCCGAAGTGCCTTTGAGTGAGATTGAGTCGGAGCTCGACCGTATGCGAAGCAACCTTGAGGAGTCCATCCGCCGGTCACCACCGCGGTCGACGCGTCGTGTGGTCGATGTACAGCAGGAGGAATTACGGCGGGCAATTCAGATTGCGGTAAAAAAAGACGAACTGGACCTGTTGCTGCAAAACTTTGCGAAAAACAAGGAGGTATTCGAGAAGGTTTGCGAGCTCGTCGCGCACGAATTGGCCGACGGAGGAAATAAACCGTCGACGTAAGTAGAATCCTCCATAAGAAATGGTGGTCCCGCTCCCATAAACTCTATGTAGTTCTTTACATTCGTTCCAGCTACAGTGATCTACAAAGACTTCACTTTTATTTTCATTTTACATCGCAACATAAGAAATTGAAATGGTGTTTGATTGCAACATGACCTCACAAAGAAAAACGAAGACCCTTCACACATGAGTGTGCGACGTTGTTTTCTTCGGCACAGATTGATAGGAAGTATCCATTGTAATTTCACATTCGTGCTGTATGCATTTGACTTTAGCTTTACTGGTCAGTGTGCCATGTAAGTTAGTACAGTATTCTGTATAATGTTTATGATTGGTTTTTGTGTAGTGAATAAGAAATTACTTTCATCATGTCGCGAACAAATCGAAAAGAGAGCATTTGGTGCGGATATTGAGACAGGCGGGAGCTGTCGACGCAAGTGCGCGTGCAGTCGAACGAGAACATTGTCGTGTTCTATTCTTGCACGGAAAGTTCTTCACGTTCACGCCTCCTCAACTAAACTATCTGGTAGGTACGTACTCTCTCAAGTGACATGAGATCCGGATCCTGAGTCCTCTGTACTCTTGTGCAGAAGAACGTCGATCTTCGATTTATATCGTTTTTTTTTTCGGCCGTCCTCGTTTGCATTTGTTTCGTCATTTTTGTCACGAGTGGTGCTGCTGTGTGTGAAAGAAAGATCGACATCGCTGAAAAGATCGTGGATCTGGATATGACAGGAGGTTTTCGCAGTCGCATGGATGTTTTTTTCATTCGTTTTGGTTTTCGCAGGTCGTCGTCGTCTTATTTTCGGACTCGTAGTCGTGGCAATAGCTGCGGCTTGAAACATGCATTCAAACTTGTGTATATGTATTCACAAGAGATCAATTACTGTCACAATTTTTCTCTAAGACGCAGCTTTTTCTTTCGCGATTCGTCTGCGTAGATCGTCGCATAGTTGTGTGACCGGAACAAGCGCTTGAAGATGATTGGCGTGAACAATTCGAAGAAGCCGGAACCTCCGGAGGAGGTGCGTATCGACGGGAAGCGTATGACAGAAAAGCGCAAGGAGAAACTTCTGGCAATCCAAAAGCGGGAACAGATGAAGGATGTGTTGATCGAACGGTTCAAAGAAAGGTAAGTATGTAGGTATGTACTTATCAGCACAAAAATAAAACACTCCAGGCTGAAAATTTCCAGTATCTGCTGAAATGCACGAGATCGACCGTTCTGGAGGAATCACATGTGGTTCAAATATGAAATGCTTCGAAAAGAATCGGATTAATGAAGTTGAGCCTCAGCTTGAACTTGAGCCATATTGAAATGACAGGGTGAATGGTGGTGCTGAGCTGACGGAAGCGGAAAAGAAGCAGAATGAACAAGTGGTTCGCTCCGAGGTCGAGGCCTTTATGGATGGCGCTTCCATTACGGAAAACAACCTGAAGCGGTTGGATAAGAAAATTCGCACCAAAACTTCGGGTATAGAAAGCACTGTTGCATACTCGTGCATCCTTTTGGCCTGTGATAAACATGAACTTGAACCGACGTCAGATTTATTTTGCTGCTTAAATGACGGAAAGACAAAGATGAAGATCATCATCATGCTCTGTCTGCCAACGCTTGTGACCGACTTTTCGGTATTAAGGTACCAGCGGCAGCGCACTGGAGGCGGAGAAGTATTCCATCGTGAGTGGAACGAAAAGTGGGTCGAAGTTGTCCGCATCAAATGTCTCGGCCGCCGGAGCCGGTGGCGCGGAGAAAGAATCCTCTGTGTAAGAACGTGATTGTTTTTCTTTCACTTTTACGGTTACTGAGGGTTTTTCATAAAAAATTACGATTACCCATTTTTTCCAATTTCGACACACACATTCCTCTTGATTGCCCATCCGACGCTGACCACATCTGCTCTGCAGGGTGGCGGACTGGCGTGTGTTGGACGAATTTGCGTTGTTCAAGGAGGAGCAGTCCGTAGTGGCGCAGCGCGTCCGGAAGGTGGAGAGCGGCAAAAAGGTCCGATCCGCGCTGGGAAAGCAAGTGGCGGAACAAAAAGGTCTAAAAAACGCTGACAAAGCCGCGGATCGTCGTTGGTACGCCCTCGCCCTGGAGGACGTCGAGCGTTACGAGAAGGAGGAAGCGGCTAAGGCCGATGAGGTATAGTACTTCTGATTGACCGGTCTCATCCCGACGAGGACTCTTGCAGATGAAGAAACTTCAACCGAAAGTGACGTACTTTTTCCACTGAGACAGAGAACAAAGCTCCTGTCAGTTTTTTTTTTTTTTTTTGTATCTATAAACAACCCAAGAATGCCAATGCGGACTTCGATAATAACTACAGTTGCATCGGCGTGGACAACTCGAGAAGCAGCTGCGAGACGAGCAACTGGATAACGAGGAGAAGGCGCGCGCGGAAGCCAAGCGGGTAGACGGCGTCCTGGACCGGTTGACGAAGCAACGGTGCAAGGAAGAGATCGAGGCTGAGGAGCGAAAGGCAAACAAAATCCGGCAGGAACAACGGGACTACATGGCCAGGGTCCAAGCCGAAAACGTGATCGATCAGCAGCGGCGAGCAGAGGAAAAATTGCGCTTGCTCGGTAGTGATTTGTTCTCGGCGAAGATCTTGATAGATACAGCACTCTAGTCGCAAAACATCTTGTTGCTCCTTTGGACCACTGATTTTTGAGACCTGCTCCGCAGGAAAATCTTTTCGTTCGAGTTTCGTGTAGTGGTCCAGTCCAATGTTGTTCATTCGAATTTTTACAAGAGGAAAAAAACGGAACTCAGAGCAAGATCGGCTGCTGATGAAGCAAAGCAACGAGAGGCAGGACGAGGAGGAGCGCCGGCGACAGGCCGAGAAAGACGCCCGGGTTGCGCGGAACGAGGCGAGCGCTGCGCGCATGGCAAGTACCGTGATGGCGGTTCAGGACGCCGCCTTGGCAGCAGCGGAGGCCCGGGCAGAGGAGGAAAACCGACGGACCAACGAACGCGCGGCGAAAGCCGAGAATGATAAAGCAGCGTACCTGCAGCGTCTGCGCGTCGAAACCAAGGATTACCATCTGAAACAAATGGCCGACAAACGCGAAGTCCAACGACAGGAGCGCGAGGAAGCCCGGCTTATGGTGCTTGTTTTCGACTCTTGATCTTCAATAATCATACTAGCGGCTAGTATTTTTGACCCAATCGTAGTCTACAAATACAAGCAATTGCAAAGCATGATATAGTAATGTATCACCCCGTCCGCTAACTTCAGCTCGAACGCAGCATCCAGGGGGACAACGAGCACGCAGCGTCTGAGCGCTTGAAGATGCGGGAGTTGCGGAAGCGGGAGCTGGGAAACCAGGCCGAGCTGTCGCGAATGATGCACGAGAAGGGCGAGCGTTTGCGGGAGGTGGAGATGAGCGAGACCGAAAAGAAGATGAATCGCGAGCTGATGAAGCAGGTGAACAAACAGCTGAAGGACGCCGGTCGCAAGCCCGTATCCATCCGGAGCCCACCGAAAAAGGAAGTCGATCCGGAAGTTGCGATTCGCTTCGGGCTCAAAGTGCCAGACATCTAACAAGCCGCGTCATTTGTTTGTTTCGAGTCTCTAAATTTTGTACAAATCCAATTTGACGAGGTGAAATAAGCAAAAAATACCATTGGCTTCCTGTACAAAGAAAATCTACTTTTGAAGATGAATTTGCTTGTGAGCGGCTATGTTTGTTGTACATTGAGCTTCACGAAGATTCGAAGTAGACTGCACGTGGAAAAACTGAAAAACTATCACCGTGATATAATGAATTTACCAATACAGTAGGTTTGAAGTTGAACAGCAAAACTGTAAAATCAAAACTCCGATGAAAAACTTGTTTTTGGAATTATGCTGCGTATCTGTGCCTGAAAAAATGTAACAAATTGCTACAATTGTGGGTAGTGCTCGGACATTCTTGTATTAACCGTGCTGCTGGACCAGCTAATCCTCTTGTAAATTACATCTTCGCTGTGGAATTCAACCTTTTTGCGTGCGCTAATCTTCCAAAAAAAGGACCGACGTGTATGATTGCAGTATCTCTAAATAACAAAGACCGAACAAATCCGACGACGATACCCTTTTCCGTGAATCTTCCGTCCTCAACTACACTCTTGCCCCACCGATTGAGTAAGTACCTCTGCGGAACGTATTAGTGAATATGTGACGCAAGAATCGAAAACCGGCAACGTGGCTGTGGTATTACGGAAAAGAATTGCTTCTCGCGGGGCTGCGCAGCGGCCTCAGCGAATAGAACTGGTTTCGTGCTGATGAGGCAGCTTCGTCAATGCTACAAGTTGGCAGGTTATGTCGCCACAGTGTGTCGATCAACGAGAATCAGGAAAGCGGTAGCCCGAGAAACAAACCGAGAGGCCGAAAGGCCGAGAAACGACCGACAGGCCAAGGGGCCGAAAGGCCGAGAAGGGGCCGAAAGGCCGAGAAGGGGCCGAAAGGCCGAGAAGGGGCCGAAAGGCCGAGAAGGGGCCGAAAGGCCGAGAAAGGGCCGAAAGGCCGAGAAGGGGGGCGAAAGGCCGAGAAGGGGCCGAAAGGCCCAGAAGCCTCTCTTTCTCCGATTTCTCTTTTCTCGGTTTCTCTTTCTCGGCTGTCCTTTCCTCGGCTTCCCTTTTTTCGGTTTCGCTGTCTCGGTTTCTCTTTCTTTGTTTCTCTTGTCGCGGTTTCTCTTTCTCCGATTTCTTTTTTCTCGGTTTCTCTTTCGCCGGTTCGGTTTCTCTCACTCATCCCGGCTTCTCTTTTCCCGGTTGCCCTTTCGCCGGCTTCTCTTTTCGCGATTTCCCTTTTCCCGGTTTTTCTTTTCCCATTCCCGGTTTTGCTTTTCCCGGTTTCTCTTTTCCCGGCTTCTCTTTTCTCGGTTTCATTTTTCTTTTCCCGGCTTTTGTTTGCATTTCCGGGCTTGGCTCTTTTCTCAGCCCTTCGGCTTCTCGGCCTTTCGGCTTCTCGGCCTGTCGGCTCCTCGGCCTGTCGGCTTCTCGGCCTTTCGGCTACCCGGCCTCTCGGCTCCTCGGCCTTTCGGCTACCCGGCCTTTCGGCTACCCGGCCTTTCGGCTTCTCGGCCTTTCGGACGGCCTTTCGGCTTCTCGGCCTTTCGGCTTCTCGGCCTTTCGGCTTCTCGGCCTTTCGGCTTTCTCGGCCTTTCGGCTTTCTCGGCCTTTCGGCTTTCTCGGCCTTTCGGCTTTCTCGGCCTTTCGGCTTTCTAAAGCCGAGAAAATAAAATGGAAACTACCGGGAAAAGAGAAGCCCGGAAATGAAATGGAAACCGGGAAAAGAGAAGCCCGGAAATTAAATGGAAACCGGGAAAAGAAAAACCCGGAAAAGAGGAGCCGAGAACCCGAGAAAAGAGAAACCGGGAAAAGACAAACCGGGGAAAGAGAAACCCGGAAAAGAGGAGCCGAGAGCCCGAGAATGGGCGAGGAGGGACACCGGGAAAAGACAAACCGAGAAAAGGGAAACTCAGAAAAGAGAAACCGGAAAAAGAGAAACCGAGAAAAGAGAAACCGAGAAAAGAGACGAAACCGAGAAAAGAGACGAAACCGAGGAAAGAAACGAAACCGAGAAAAGAGACGAAACCGAGAAAAGAGACGAAACCAAGAAAAGAGAAACCGGGAAAAGAGAAACCGAGAAAAGAGAAACCGAGAAAAGAGACGAAACCGAGAAAAGAGACGAAACCGAGGAAAGAAACGAAACCGAGAAAAGAGACGAAACCGAGAAAAGAGACGAAACCAAGAAAAGAGAAACCGGGAAAAGAGAAACCGAGAAAAGAGAAACCGAGAAAAGAGACGAAACCGAGAAAAGAGACGAAACCGAGGAAAGAAACGAAACCGAGAAAAGAGACGAAACCGAGAAAAGAGACGAAACCAAGAAAAGAGAAACCGGGAAAAGAGAAACCGAGAGAGAAGAAAGAGAAACCGAGAAAGAAGAAACCGAGAAAGAAGAAACCGAGAAAAGAGAAACCGAGAATCCCGGTGCTCGGTTTCCAATTCTCGGTTTCCAATTCTCGGTTTCCAATTCTCGGTTTCCAATTCTCGGTTTCCAATTCCCGGTTTCCAATTCCCGGTTTCCAATTCCCGGTTTCCAATTCCCGGTTTCCAATTCTCGGTTTCCAATTCTCGGTTTGCAATTCCCGGTTTGCAATTCCCGGTTTCCAATTCCCGGTTTGCAATTCCCGGTTTCCAATTCCCGGTTTCCGGTTTCCGGTTTGCAATTCTCGGTTTCCAATTCTCGGTTTCCGGTTTCCGGTTTGCAATTCTCGGTTTCCAATTCCTGATTCTCGGTTTTTTTGTGCCTGGACATGGATTGACTTGATACGTGTGAGTTGAGGAGCTCGAGGTTCGATGAGAGAGGAACGAATTATTGCAAGGATATCCGTTCTTGCTCGAGATGCGGTTGACGCCGCATTTTCTCGGAAGAGAGCAATTCTTGGTCTCTCGGTCACTGCAACATCATACATACGTATGTATGCACTGAAACAAGGCGAGCCATCGGCATGCGTCTGCTACTGCTTTTAGAAGAGGAGGAATAAGTAGGAGGATTGAAGCATCAGGGGATCATCATCAATCATGAGTCAGTTCGGCATGGATGATGCGGACGGCGATCGGCCGGTGCGGCTGCCGTCGCAGATATTTCGACGTGGGGGCCTGACGCTGGACAACTGGATTTTGATCGGACGGTTTCTCTATCCAGAGGACCTGATCACCCTGCGAGGCACGAACAAGATGCTGAATCGCCTTTTTCCGCACCTAATCCAGATCCTGATGGATCTGTGGATCACGAAAGTCGGGTCGGAATTCCCCCTCGCGGAGCTCGAGACGGACATGATGAACTTCTTTATCGGACCCACCTACGAAAGAGTCTTGGAGCTAAAAAGTATCGTTTTTTTACGTGACTAATGGTAAAAATCTTGATTGCGTTGTCGAGCGATGTACTAAAGCAAGAGCGTCGTGGTTTCCTTCGTGTGATGCTCTGTAGTAATGTCCAACCAAAATGACAATGACTATGCCGAAACATAGGTAATTACAGCGAAGGGATGGAGCAGTTTCTAGCGAAGATTAGCGACAAGCGTTTTGTGAAGCCGATTTGGAGGCCGTACATCGAGGGCATCCTGCTGCTGCTCCGTTGCTACGAGTCGATTCAGCGGGGGCGAGCCAAGGCCAATCTAGGCTGGTGGTACGACGACTCCATTTTTGGTAGCCAAGCGTTTGATCGAAACCAACACGAAAACTTTCAGAAGATCAAGTACTGGTTCGGTGGCCTGGATAGCAAGAAAAAGGTACGTATTTACTGGTTTTTTTTTTGATTGGAACGAACGAAGATGAAAAGCGAAAAAGACACCTGAACGTTCATTGAAAGGCTGCATGAAGATATGTGAAACGACGAGTCGATATTTTTCTAAAGCTATGGCATTTTTCTTTTCTGCAGGTCCGCGGCAAGGCGGTAGCAGCCATGGACGAAGCAGAGGAACAGGCTTACGGTGCGCGTAGCCAAACAGCAAAGGTGTTTTCCAGGAGCGACTTCCGAAAATACTACTCGGTTGGCAAGGGTTCAGCCTTCGAAGACTGGACGTGGCTCGATTTCCGGGAACTGGAGCCGTCGCTGTGCGGCTCTTACTTGCGCTACACTGAGTTTTTGCGACAACTTCTCGCACAGAAGAGGCGATCGCAGGAGGCGATGCTGCTGGAGAGCGCGTATAGACTCTTCTGTCAGCTACTTTCGGGTGTGTTGTTTTATCAAGGACATGAAGATTGAGAACGAAGTTACAAGTTATAGAAAAATTACTCTATATCGATAATATCCCAGTGGTACCGACGAGAACTCAGCATCCTTGACGAACTTGACTGCAGAAGAGCGTACTGCGCATGTTGACAAGATTCGAAAGCGAGAGCAGGACCGAAAAGCTGCGTATGGAACACTGGACGAGCCACCAGACGAGCTTGTCGAGGTACTACCCGGGCGGTGTTTAAGATTCGAAAATGTGCTTCACTAGATCGTTTTTCTACTTGTGTCCATAGAGGGACCCCTACTCATTGGAAAATGAAATTCTGTATGCACTTGCATGATAGGTTGGAACCGCCGCTTGCGCCTGGGTGTACGAAGCTATTACGCTTTTCAACCGAAGCAAGGAAGCCATCACGCACTGCCGCTTTCTCCTGTCGTATTTAGCGGTGGCGCAGATGGGCATGGCAGTGTTGGAGTTTACCGAACCGCAGATGCTGGTGCTGAATTCCGCCCGGTTTCTGACTCGCAGTTTGTTTAGTCTCCGAAGATCGCACCTGACTACCACGGATGTGGAGCTAGCCCAGCTGATCTTCGCCCGCGGGGACCCCACGCCCACGGGAATCGCACCGCCCACCGTTATGCAGCGAGTCCTTGGCGTTGCCCCACCGAAGGACACGCAAGCTTCCAAGAAATCCAAATCAGTCTCCGGCGGCTCGACCACCTCCAGCTCTGCCACGCAAGAGGACTTTCTAGCGCAGCTGAAGACCAAACAGAGTACTAAGGGACGCCAGAATATTTTTGTTTTGTAGTTGTTAGAGATGAAAGTGTGATTTTTTGCGAAGCCGATGACTGAGGAGGTAGGTAGAACCTGCGCGACGTGAGGGCAGTAGAATTGATTCAAATTTATGTGCTTTGCAGCGATCTGTGGATCTAAAAGATGCTTGTTTCCTCCAATCCATCACGCCAGATTTCCTCAAGGTCCAGAGCGCCGGTTATCAAGTTCCCTCCGTGTTGGTATTGCGCACGCTCGCGCCCCGGCCCTATCTGAACGATTTTCGGTACGCGGAAGGCGGAACCGTGGTCACAAAGTTTTCCGCGCTAGGCGCCAAATTTCGCAAGCACGCCCGACGGACGTACGTGGCAATCCAGGTAGCGAACATGTTCAATGAGTGGTACGAGCGACACAACCGCAACCGCGGGAAGAGTTTGTTCAGCGTGGAGTCCTTCGCACCCGGCAGCAGTGCCAACGTCGGCGGCAGCGCGGAGCCCCGGGACCCCAACGCGGACGCGGGCTCCGGCGAGAAGTTTGCGTTGCGCAAGAAGAAGCCCCCAGAGGTGGGCAAATACGGCTTCGAGTACAAACCGAAGCGGCCCTGGGACCCCAGCAATCTGTATCCAGCACCCATTCCTCGTGTGTCCTTTTTGGATCCTTCGGGCGGAGAAGACGAAAGCATGCAAAATTCGAAGCGGAAACAGAACCTGAACAAACCCCCCAGCCGGGAAAACGCCAACAACAAGCTTCCGAGCTTCAAGCATCTCCAGGGAGGGCAGATCACGCCGGCGGTATCGAGTGTGACCGGGCACCTCCCGCACGTGATCGAGGGCCCCACGAGCCGCGCCTCCTCCAGCTCTTCCACGAGGTGGCGGCAGACTGGTCCGGCCAAGAGCGAACTCGATATGCTGATCGAAACCACCAAGCGGGACATGAGCTACGGCGACATGGTGCGGCGCAGCGCCTCGAAGGAAGAAGCAGATGCAGAGCAAGAAAGCAACGCGTCCTCTTCCAAGGAGGCGGGTGGTGCAGCGGGTCAGTCGTCCTCGCAACTGCAAACCATAGTCGAGAACGTGATGAAGGAGGATCCGGCCGCCACGGCCGAGGAACTGTCGGACCTGGTCACCGCTGCCGTGATTGAGAACAGTCTGAATCAGCTCGCGGACGCCGAAAACGCGGAGGTTCGCGTCGGGCAGGACCTGCTGGAAGTAAGCTTGCAGGAAGCGATGGACCGGCTGCTGCAGGAGGACCGCGAGAGCGTGCGCGGCGACGACAGTCGCCCCTCTACGGCCAACGTGTCGCAGCACCAGTCCGCACAGATGAACAAGACCAGCACCAACACCTCGAAGTCCAAACAAAATAAGCCTTCGATGTCGCAGATGCGTGTCAGCTTCTACCCGGAGACGGTGCCGGAGACTATCGCTCGGGAGTACAAGGAGACGGAAGACTACCGGGATCGAATTCTCACGCTGGGGAGTCACCTGGGACCCTACGCGCGGGGCCATTTGGTGACTGCGGAGAATAACGACAGCGTGAACACCGTCCTGAATACCAGGAAGGGGGGCAAAAAGGCGCGGAAACCCATCAAGAGCATGGTCGATCTGTATGTGCTGCCCAAGCTCTACCCCACCAACGCCGTCGGACAAAAGGCCGGGCGCCAAGTCGTCGGAACGAGACAAAACTGGTCCACTCCCGGGCAGCGTGAGGTCATGTTCTAATCGATCCTAAAGAAAATAATCAGCACGTCGTCGTTGTGGTGAATGAAATGTGGGTCACCACGTCAGTTCACACGACTGACTGCTTGGCTTTTCGTGTGGACCTTTTTATTCCACACCGTGTAGAAATGAACAACGAGGACTCCTCTTTGCGTTTCAAAATTAAATGTCCGTGGATGTCTAGTACTTCCATTGCCTTTTTTATGGTTCAACAAATGCATTCAACCGCAATATAACATTTACAGATTAAGCTTTTTCCAATATACGTTTCTGACAACAGCTGGCTGGTTAATTTCACTCAAATGCAAGCTAATTGTCGGCCAGGGCGGCAGCAGCCGCCCACCGGCCTATAGACGCCGAGTGTCTAAATTAGATGCAAAACCAAAAGGAATCATAAGTGCGAAAAAGCAAGTTTCAGATAGATTTTTGAACACCTGTACTAGAGCTGCATTCCTGTATTCCCCCATTGATGCAACTATTTGGTTCCCATTGAAATCACATTGAAAGCTGTGCTTTGAAGAACGAAGTGGACTTTCGTGTACAAAGAAATGTCTCAAAATAGACACACTCACACTAGTCTCTGGCGTTGCCAGCACGCAGTGAAGTTTTTGTTTTTCTCTTTCTCTGCTTTTTCTCGGCTCGACGGTGCACCTACACATGACGCATAGCCATTTTTCTTTTTGACGGCCTGATCGAGGCTTCTCAGCAGAAGACATAGAAGCGGATGGATCTCCTAAAAAGAGGCTCATAGTACAACTGGTTCCATCCAGCGATAAAGTAGAGGGAGAGCGAGACGAGTAAAAAACGATCGCGTCGAACTTCTCAGAAATAAGATAAATCCTTACTGGCACGAAGTAAGTAAATGTAACCCCATCACGCCCAAGATGCTGTGTGTCTATTTTCGCATGCCTTTTCTTATCCGTCTGCTGCTCGGCGTGCTGTGGGGTCGTCGCCACCTCGTTTCTGCCGGCGCCGCTTCTTCCAAGTCATCTTCCCGGGGGACGAATATGCTAAACAACTGGGCGGTAATACTGGACTCGAGCCGGTACTTCTACAATTACCGGCACGCGAGCAACGCCTTGTCCTTCTATCACACGGTGAAGCGTTTGGGCATTCCCGATAGCCAGATCATTCTCATGCTGGCAGAGGACTACGCGTGTAATCCGCGGAATCCCTTCCCCGGGCAAATCTTCAACGACCAGAGCAAGTCGCTCAATTTGTACTCCGACGAGGGTGACGCTAATTCATCGTCGGGGCCATTTCAAAATCGCGGCCAGAGCAGGCGGACGTCGGACACAAAAGTAGACCAACTTTCGCAGCTTCAGCAGGACAGCTCCTCCAGTGTCGAGGTGGACTACCGGGGCGACGAGGTGACAGTTGGCAACTTCCTGCGACTGCTGACCGGCAAGCACCCCAAGTGGACGCCGCGGAACAAGCGGTTGCTGACCAACCAGCAGAGCAACCTGCTCATTTACGCGACGGGGCACAGCGGCGCGGGGTTTTTGAAATTTCAGGATTGGGAAGAACTGCAGTCGCAGGATTTAGCGGACGCGCTGCATGTGATGCACCAGCAAAAGCGGTATGGCAAGGTGTTCTGGATTTCGGACACCTGCCAGGCGGCCTCGATCCAGAACGACATTTACTCGCCCAACGTGCTGGCGCTCGGGAGCAGTAGGGTGGGCGAAAACAGCTACTCGCACCACATCGACTACGACATCGGGGCCGCCGTTATCGACCGGTTTACGCACGATTCCCTGGAATTCTTCAACCGGGCCCTCGTGCCGCAGAATCCGCAGATGCACCGCGTTACGATCCGGGATTACTTGCAGGCTCTCGTGCCGGCGCGACTGTTCTCCAACCCGGAATTGCGCACGGACCTGATGACGAGGAGTCCGGGCGTTGCTGCCGCGGACCCGGCGGGCACCGCGCTAGTGGAGTTTTTCGGAAACTCCCCGGGTGGCACGACCGTGGAAACTGTCCCGGCGGGTCGGTGGAGATTGCCAAGAACGCCGGCGGGTGTACGAGCGATGCTGTGGGGGAGTACAAGCAAGGGAGGAACTCGGAAGAACAGCAAAGGCACTGTCAAGGACTACAATGCTGCGCCCGGAATCGCGGCCGTGCTTCGAGAGTTGGAAGATGCAGAAAAGACTGCTGCGGGGGCCAAAGACGACACTCTTCCATCTTCAAATGCCGCTCAAGCAGGCGCTAGGACTACCGGAGTAGATCAAAAGCCAGCATTGGTAGAAGATGCTGACGCGAGCAATATGGAAAAAATTATCGAGGAAAAGAACACGAATGCGCGCACAAAGGCTACTGCGGTTGCGGTTAGCGTTTTGGTCCTGTTGCTCACGTTGGAAAGTAATTTGTTTTGGAATCAAAAGCAGTGGATCATGGGATCGACTCGTGATGCAAATTTATTTCGGGTAGCATGTTGTTATTTGATGGATCGGGGTCGGCAACCGCAACACCAGACTTGTTCGTGCTTACGTTGTGCACCTATTATGCACTTCTACATTTTATTTTGTGCAGTTGGAATCGTAGTAGTCGTAGATTCGAAGCCGTGAACGAGCATTTTTTCTGAGTGATCATGGAGACAAAGAAGTGAAAATGGGCGATCGATCAATCAGAATCATCTTCATCTTTGTGCAGAGATGCGGTGATGAGCGAAAAAAAGCGGAGGCGCACATCAATCGGTGAATCGCAAGAGAAAGTATCATGCCAGATCTGCACGCGAAAATGAATCACGAGCTGTGGTTTTTCTTGTGAGAGGAGGAGTTGAAGATCATATAGGCAGGATAACAAAAAATACAAGTTGCAAAATATAGACTTCATCAACATGGCCGCTGCGCGCTCGCTCCAGCAGGCTAAAAGCAGGATTTCTGCGTTCCTGATCCAGGAGAAAGCAAACCAAACGGGCAGGTGAATTGGGAAGCCAAACCAAACGGTCAAAGCCTGCTCCGCGGTCCTGATATATCGGTCAGTGTGTACGAAACGACGGGAAAAGTTCTGTGGCAGGGGAAGCAAGGCGCGCAGTGTCGGACCGAGTTCGCCAATTGGCGGGGCCCAGCGGTTGTAGATAGCGTGACTGATCAGAATGGACCGGCTACTGTGGTCAACCGAACCAACAGCGCTGTGGGGCCTTCTCTTGGCAGCGTTGCTGCGTCAAGAGCAGAGTCTTTTTCCCACCAGGTAGAAGATTCCTTTGCGCCAGGACTGAGTTCCGCTTCCGCGTCCGCCTCCTCTTTTTCATTGAATGCAACTGCGCAACCCAGAAAGTTGCCCTTGAAGGGGCAAAAGAGTTCCTTGGAAGAGTGCAACGCGTTCCTCCGCGAGGTGGAGTTTTGTGAGACAAAAATGCAGGCAATTATCCAGCCTGAGCAACCCTCCTGGTGGGAAGACAAGCGGAATACGCAGTTGCTCGTCCGGCTGGACAAAGTCGCGCAAGGAAACCTGAGTTTCTACACTCGCACGCGGACACTGCTGATCCAGGGTAGAGATGCTGCGAAAATACAACAGCGGTTCATCGAGTGGCGTGGCGAGCGATTCGAACGTATACAAAAAGAAATGGAGGCACTGGATGCGGCTGAGACGGAGAAAAAGGAGAAACAGAAAGCGCGGCCGCGTCCTTCAGCAAAACGGCACCGCAGCAACAGCGGGTTTGCATCGACACACGAGCTCGACGAGGACACTAGTGATTCGTCCCTCGACGACGACGGCAATGATCTTATTTGCCTACCGAGGAAAATCGAATCGTGCCAATACTGTCCGAGGCCACTGTCGCGACACACGACCCGAGACGGACGCCGCCTGTGTTCCTTCGGCGGAAAGTGGAAGTGCAACGGCTCCTGCGAAGGTCGGTGGTGGTTCGCGGCGGCGCTGAAGGTGCAGAATGTGCCACAGTCCGACAAGGCGCACGCGTTTCCGGAAGAACTTTTTCCAGACTGCCTGGTCTGCAAAGAGAACTACTCGGTGGACCTTCTCGAGTATTTGCCTCCGAACAGCGGCCGAGCAGAAGGGCAAGTGACGACTCGCGGCCACCAGGCGCACTTATGCCCCGTTTGCAAACGAGGTGGACGTTGCGAAAGAGCTTGAGTTGTGTTTCATTTGAATTCGCACCGGAGGAGAATGGACCGCTTACATCGATTTGAATTTTTGATTTTGTTTTTGCAGACTGGAAAACGAAAAGCTCGAAGTGTTTAGTACAAGAGCGGGCTGCACTTCAATCGGTCTGAGGCTCACAGTCAGTATGGCCACCTTCTGATTCGGTCTTCGTGCTCGCATAACTCTTTTCGGTCTTGGTCCAGCAACGATTCAGAATCGGTGCATGCGTACGCATGGTCCGCAACCAATCGGTCTCGGGATTGTCAGTGAACTTTTGCAACAGTGCGAGCGTTTACTAGCGAGACTGATCTGGTAACCAAATGCGTGCGCGCGCGCGCGCAGAGCGCGCGCCGGCCCACGAAGCCGGCGCGCGCGCTCTGCGCGCTTGCGATATTGCTTAGCAAACGCAGCGCGAAGGCAGTTGCCGTTACCATATAGGGCAACCGCCGGGGGGCGTGAAGGTCAGGGAAATGGCCAGAAATGAAGCGGGAGAAGGGAAAAAAAGCGGAGCAGATGGGAAAATGGCCAGGAGGTCAAAAATGTCGCAAAAACGGCAGAAATCAAGCGGGAGAAGGAGAAAAGAAGACATTTTTGCGGCTTGGCCCACGTGGTATCTGAAAAAGAGGCTGACTATTTTTTGCTTCGCGCGCTGGGCAGCTGCGTTGGAGCAGCAGGTCCGCGACCTGTCCGGAAGCCTTGGGCCGCTTCGTAACTGGAAAAAGTTGGAAAAAAAAGGCAAAAAAATTACGCCATAACGTGGGCGGAAGCAATCGTCGGATTTTGTGCAGATCACCCGGACCACTTAGAAAATGAAAAAAGATGGGAAATTGCGCAAAAGCGCAACCCCTCCGCAGGCTTCAAAACTGCCAGTCAGGTGGGGGCGGTGAAAGTGTGCAGGTCGCCCGGGCCACTTGGGAAATGGGAAAAGAAGAAAAATCCTGCAAAAGCGCAACCCCTCCGCAGGCTTCAAAACTACCAGTCAGATGCGGGCGGTGAAAGTGTGCAGGTCGCTGGGGCCACTTGAAAACCAGAAAAAGCGGAAAAATAGCGCAAAAGCGCAATCCCTCCGCAGGCTTCAAAACTGCCAGCCAGATGCGGGCGGTGGAAGTGTGCAGGTCGCCCGGGATACTTGGAAACCAGAAAAAAGAGCGAAAATGAAAAAAAATTGCGAACCCTCGGCGGGCTTAGAAACTGGCCACCAAGGGCGGTCCGGCGGGCGCGCGCTTGCGCCGTACCATCGCGATTGGGAAAAAAAAACCGCACTAGAAGCGGGCGGGGGTATGTTACAAAATCCCCATTTGCCCTGGGTTGTGGGCAGAAATTCGGCATCTTCCCCGGGTCTGAAGTGGACGATTTTGGTGGGCCAGCCCGGGTTCTTTGGTTTGCGGTTTTCCACATACCTTCCTGACCAGGTGGCCAGTTTGTCATGCAGGGGGCTAGAAAGGATGCCCCGTTGCGAAGTTGGATCGGCCACATACCTTCCTGGCCAGGTGGCCAGTTTGTCATGCACGGGGCTAGAAAGGATGCCCCGCTGCGAGCCAGGTGGCCAGTTTGTCACGCAGGGGGTTAGAAAGGATTCCCCGCTGCGAAATAGCAGACCGGATTTCGCTTTCAATGCTTATCGCAGGAGCCTGCGGGCCGCCGCGGGCGACAGTAGTTGTCCGCGGCCCTTTAGGGCCGCGGAGATACGAAAGTGCTCCTGTATACATCGAGGAAAACCAAAATCGAAACAAGAGCATGCTTGCTGTCCTAGTCTCCTCTACGGGTATCTCTGCGCTGTTTTAGTCTGAGTGTTTGTGTTTCCGCTTTTGCACCGGAGGAGTTCATGCACATGCCAGTGGGGGACTTCGCTAACACCATTTTTGGTACTTTTGCCTAGCACCTGAGTGAACAATAAAACGATGGAGTCATTCGTGCGAACAGGCAGAGGCCTTTGTAAAGAATCTTGATCATGCGAACGTATGTTTTCTGCATGGCACCACTGAGCGTAATCGATGAACAACACACCTGTGCTTTCTCAGGTCTCCCCTTACGTTTTCCTTTTCGATTTTCTCTCGTGGCAGAAAACACGTCTGCACAAGAGTTCTTTTGTGTAGGACGTTTTCGGTAATTAAATTTTTTTTTTTTTTAAAAAAAAAAAAAATTTAATACGCATTGCGTTGCATTAACATCTTCCAGCATAGGCACCATGGCGTTCGTCCGTCGCGCGTCGCGGCACCGGGCGAGTTTAGGGGACGCCGAGTTCCCCTACGAGGCCGGGCGGTATGTGCTCTACGTCTCCTACGCCTGCCCGTGGGCGAATCGGGCCGCGCTGGTGGCGAAACTGAAGGGTTTGGACGAGAAAGTTCTTCCAATCGTGTCCGTGCATCCCACGTGGCAGCGCACGAAGCCGGGCGTGGACTCGCACTGCGGCTGGGTGTTCCGCGCGCCGGGTGCCGGCGTGGTCCCACCCCCTCGCCCTCCTGGACAATGTCACCGCGCAGGAGGGCAAGGTGGCCAAGGGCTCCGCGCTGAACGAGGTGAGTGCGGCGGGCGAGGCGGGCAAGCAGACCGAAATTCGCACGGCGAACTGCGGGGTGGACAGCTATTCGGGCTGGAACTGCCGCACGCTGCGCGAGCTCTACGAGAAGTGCGGCGACTCGCTCGAGACCGGGGGAAAATTCACCACGCCGCTGTTGTTCGACCGGAAACAGCGCAAAATCGTGAATAACGAGTATTTTGAGTAAAAACGCCCCCACCCCAGAGTTGTCATGCAAATCTGCACGCCAAAAAAGTTAAAGTTTCTCATGCGGAGCGCCATGAGAGGCATTTTTTACCCGTTTTTTGGAAAAATTTGTGACGCTATAATCAGCATGATATACTAGAACTGTGATGCTGCTGAATCAACAGCAGGATTACTCTACGAGGACAAATTTGTCATGCCAAACGACCAAAGCTGGCTGATTTGTCTAGCAGATTCCCCATGTTGACTCTGGTGTGGGGACGTTTTTACAAATGATAACGAGTCCTCGGAAATCATTCTGCAGCTGAACAATTGGCCGGCCGACGCGAGCAACGGCGCGACCACCGGAAGTGTGGATTTGTGTATGATCGGAAATGGAGAAGGCGTAGACTTTGCATTTTTGTAGACTGGAGGTAAAGCAGCTCCTGGTTTCGTCGCTGAGGACGAGAATTTTTTTATGCGCAACATACTGATTCACTTTCAACACAGTTCGAATTCTCGGTCGGAGCAGAGGATCAAGATTACCGCAGCAAAAATCTGTACTCTCGCACATAGGAAGTTGAGAAGCAATCCTTTATTTTCCCGATCCATACCCGACCCTCTTCATTTGAAGAAGGATATCGACGAGTGGAACGAGTTCACCTACGACCGCATCAACGACGGCGTGTACCAGTGCGGGTTTGCGCGCACCCAGGTCGCGTACGACCGGGCGGTGGAGAAGCTTTCGACCAGCATGCAGAAGCTCGAGGACCGGTTCGCGGAGGAACCAAACCGCGCGTTTCTGGTCGGCGACCAGCTCACGATTGCCGACGTCCGGCTGTTTCAAACTTTAGTTCGCATGGACGAGTGCTACGTGATCTACTTCAAGTGCTACGCCGCGAGTCTGCGAAATTTCCCATTCCTCTTGCGGTACACCGTGCGGATCTACCAGATGCCCGAGGTCCAGGCCTGCACCTTTGTCCGGGACTGCAAGATCCACTATTTCACCTCGCACCCGCACCTGAATGCGTTCGCCGTGGTCCCGCGGGATTCACAGGTCGTCGAATTGCTGGAGCAACCACCCGACACGCTGATCTAATATCCACGGGACAGAGGACGGTTGGAGGGAAGAAGGGCGAGGTTTGTCATGCGGTCAAAGGTTGATGTGGTTCTTGCGCTCAAGGAGAGACAGTCACAGCAAGTGTCTCTGAGTCGTTAGAACGCATGCATGAGACGGACATTGGAGTCTCATTTTGCATCCTCCTTGTATCGCATGAGAAACTTGAAGATGCCTTCATTCCACCCCAGCACGGCCACCTTTCCCGGACGATAAAAGCTCCAAGAGTGGCGCGTCGAAGGGTCTACTCGGCTTTTTGCGAGATTTTTTCACAAAGAGAATTTGTTGAGGGCGTAGTTCTTCCGCGGGAGCCGTGGTTTAGGTTTTAATTGATCAGAAGATAAACACTATGTCCAGTTAAAGAACCAATTCTGTCCTCACCTGGCACTGCTACCACCAGCAGGGGCAAGAATGCGCAGGGTCTATTTTTATTTTTCCGGTTGTGCTGGGGCTGCTAGGACAATTGCTGTGATGGAACAACGAACAAGCATGCCACAAGATGACGCGGAGCAAGCGCATGGACGCATGGATAGAATTTACACGAATTTTTGAAGAATAAGATAGGTACAGACGTTGTCGTGATACCGCTAGAGTTGTTCTTGATCGGTGGACGAAAGTGGTGAAGTTGTTGTAGCTACTTTGACCACTAGAATAAGGAATCAGAATCCAACTACACGCTAGCCGTTGCTCGTACCACCCTCGCTGGAATTCTTACGCTCATCCAGCGCGATTCGATCAGATGCTGGACGGAAAATGTCCATGAAAAGCGTTTCATGCAGCAATACACTGGTTTGATGAAGGAAAGCGCTGCACTTCCAGTGGGGCCGGCTGTAGCAGTTTCAGAATAGCGTTCAGAACGAACGGATGGCACTGTCGCTGAAAGAGTTTTTTTCTGAAATGTTTCGTGTCCAGATTCCAGAACCACACGGCAGGGAAACGATGCGGATCAAAGGTTTCGCTCACGTTGGAAACTTAGCACGAGCGTGTTCAGAAGATTTTCTCTCAGATCCTCTCTTGCACTCACTGTTCGTTCTTGTTGCTTCGGTGCCACGAGTTTAGCGATCTCCCTTCATGTTAGTCATCTGCTTCTCTGATCTTGTTTTTTCTGCTGAAAGGAGCCGATGAGCCCGGATCATTTTTCAGGTAGGGCAGACGTCAAGGCTGGTTCTACTCTGATCTCTGATCCCATATCTTGCAGCTCACGTTGAGCGTGCCATACGAGCACTTTGTTTTTGTTGATCGTGTGGTCGATCTTGGTCTTTCTCTTTTTCGCTTGCTTTGGGTCGATCTTGGTCTTTCTTTTGGTTCCATTCTCTGTGTTTTTGTGGAAGTTAGTTTGGATCTTTTTTGTTCCGTGTCGATGTTATAGATAGGCGGACTTCGGAATGGTGCTGCAGAATCGGTAAACTACTATGAGCGCGTCGCGTCGGATTTTTTTGCTGCTTTAAAAAAAAAACATAGACGTGTCAGTTGATAGACAACGGCGAAAGCGATACGCACTTCACATCTCCATGTTCATCAGTTTGACATTTTAAGAAACTTCTCAGGTGCTTCACACCCGATGAGGGAAGTTTCCGAAAAGAAATCCTCGTGCTAGCGGAATTGCCAGCGAAAAATTTGGCACGTACGACCAGCAGCTATGGGGTCGTCGTGGCGTCAGCGCCTCTGGTCCTCCAGGAGTGCGCTGCACAACGTCGTATTGTTTTCCGCGTGTCTTGTGACTAACTGGTTAGTGTCGTGGGACAGCAGCTTTGATGATGCGGATGTGGAAGACGATTATTTCCGTTTCCACCGCTCAACATGAGGTGCGCCGTTTGTCTCCTTAAAAGTACAGCAAAGTGATGAAAACAACTCCAACTCGCGTCAGAATTCCAACACCAGAGCCGCCAGCGAAAATCTCGAGCGGCTGTCCTCACGGCGCTTGAGCTGCTGATTGAGCTGGCTGCAGTAAGGGAACAGCAGGGACGGGCGTCGGCTAAGGTTGATAGCGGGAAAGGAACGCTGGATCGAGAAGACGAGTGCAAGTTTGAGGAGTCAGGGGGTCTGTTTCGCGGGCGAGCTTCAGTACAAGGTGCGAACGTCACATGTACGAATGACAAGGAATTGGCAGGTTCCGCCGAAACAAGAATAAGACGTGAAAGCCATAATACGCAGGACCACTGTAGGAGCGCACCTCGAGGTGTGTCGCGGTCTCCAGATAATCACATTTGTACGACGGTACGACACTTTCAGGACAGGATTGCGGGACTGCTAGCAAAGCTAGGCCGACGGGAGCAATCACTTCAGGGCGCTTTTCTACAATCTGAGGATTCACACGACGACAACCGGAGGGATATTCTCGATGCTGTCCCTGGAGATGCTACAACAACCTGTGAAGAGCAGGAGCGTAGTACTGCTGCTACTGCAACTGCTGCACGAGGGAATAACAATTCTCCTTCCCTTGCACACTGTCGATTTCCCACAAAAATAACAATAGGCACACCAGAAAGTAGCATAGCGGCGTTCCCCCCTCGCGGAGAAAGTGTGAAAGGCAGGTCGAGTGCAGCACTCGTAACCGCTGATGCTGACCCTCCAGGAGGGCCCACGGGAAGTAGATCCTCAGCACCTGCCGCACCGCAAAGCAGGCCCGAGCATTCATTAAAAAGGAAGACCACTACTACGCGACCGTCCTTGGTGTTTGCCACCGCCTACGCGTACTTTCCGCGGCTTCCGTGCAAGCGCTACGAGAGTGAGATGTTCAACGTGCACACGGAATTCGAAGATTTGCTGAAGGACTTCCTGAAGATGTACGACAGTTACGCGGACCCCGTTGTGGAAGTCATGGACGCCGTGGTCCTGCACCAGATCACCTCGATCAGCGAATCCTTTTTGAAAATCATCGAGAGCTACCGCCTCATCCTGTGCACGACTTTATGTGCCGAGAGCTGCCACTTCGGCGGGCCCGATGGCTACGGGGTACGGCGTGGTGGTTTGGTGCGTCGGATCTCCGCTCGTCGTGTTAGTGGTTTCAATGGGGTGGGTCCTGGATGAGCGATAGCTTTTTGCATGAGAGGAAACTGGTCTTGCGTGAAGATAGCTTGAAAGCAATCGCAAAATGAGCTCCTGCAGCATGTGAATCAATAAAGTTGATGATCATGTGCAAAAACGACCATACCCAGTTGTTTCACAGAGTGCCACGACCATGAGAGTTTCTGATCTTTTTCGATTCGATACACGACCTACTGGATCGACCACTGGATCACAGCGCCCGGATTCCCACCCGGATTCGGGGCGTCTGGCAGGGCGGCTCCGGCATGATGCGCACCGGCTTCCTCCCGATCCCGCCGGGGAGGCAGTCCACCTGCGATTTCCCCACCTTCCAAATTACGGGTGCCGAAGCCGCCTGTTGCAGCGAGGCTAACTTCTGCCGCGACTGCCGCTTCTGGCCGATCTACCCCCGGACCTGCCCGGCACGGAACGCCGCGAACAAATTAATCGTCTGCGAGCAGGCCTACACCAGGGACAACATTGCCTGCGGCAGCGACTGGTAAGTATGCCTACGAGGCTCGTCTGCGACTGGAGGGGAATGATCCCCGATTGCTCTCCTTCCCCAGCGGTGGGCACGCGGAGCCGCCCAACCCGTGGGCCTGGAAGGTGGGCTGCCTCGGCGTGGTCCCAACCTGCTCTGCTGCCTGCGAAGCAAGATTCCTCACCTGCAGCAACTACCAGACCGGGTCCACCGTCTTCGCCAAGTGCGAATCCGAGCTACATGCGGGCTGGTTCGCCCCGGACTGCGTGCCTGGGTGCGCGCCCACGTTGAACATGCTTCTGGTGAGTGAGTCGGACTCGCAAAATGTCGTGGTTTCTCTGTCCGAGGGGAAGTTCGGGGTCCAAACCGGGTTACCCGTTGCCGCAACCCCCGCGCCGAAACCGGCCTGCGCGAACGGTTTCGGCACCTTCGCGAAGATGGTGGGGAAAACGGAGTGCGTGGCGCCGGCGAGTTTGGTGCCTAGCTTGACTGGTGTACCGGATCCGGACTCGACCCAGGCGTGTTCCACAGCGAAATCGGCTGCGAGGGTCCGGGCGAGATTCACGTTGACCGAGCAATTGCCGACTTCGATCACCTCCGGGGAACAATTGCTGCAGGAAACCGGTTACGTCAACGCGAAGAAACGGGGCATCGCAAATTCTCTGCCCGGCGCCACCGAGGACAACGTCCTCATCACGGGGTTCGACGTCGTGAGCGCAAGAAGAAACCTCGAGAGAAGCACCAGGGCTCTCGCGACCGCCTCGAGATCCGTGACCACGCACTTCGAGGTCACCGACCTGGATTCCGACGTCGCGACCTCCATCGAGGCGGATCTCGCCGCCTCCTCCGTCCGCACTGCCCTCGCAACACAGATCACCGCACAGATGACCGCGAATCCCGTCACGGTCGCTGGCGAGACCGTGTCGGTGACCTCGACCTCAGCCACGGGCGTGACCGCGACTGCGGACTCCGGAACCGCGTCGGGCGCGGGCGCCGACGAGGACGATGACGACATCTGGCTGTTCGTGGTGATTGCGGGGGTCGGGGTCGTTATGGGAATGTTGCTGGTACTGGTGATGTGCAGGCACAAGCTGTGCGGCGGAGCGGCCGGGAAGACCGCGCCGCAAAGTGAGGCGTGAGGAGAAACTAAGTACTTAAAGATCGCGTCCTCGCATGGGATAAGGAGTCTTGATTCGAGCTTTATTTTCACTAAGTCCCCTGACCGTTTCAATTTTCAGCTTTTTACCCGTTGATTTTCATCTTTTTGTTTCTCACACGCAAAATTAATTTTCATCTTTTTCACTAGGTTCTTGATCCGTTTTACTTTTGAAGAGGCCCCAACAACGAAGTCTGAAACGAACCGAAGGGAGATACGATGAGAGGTGGAACAAGCTTTTGTTAAATGCATTGCCTTTGGCTTTGATTCTCTCCTTTTCTGCGGGAATACTAACAAACTTCTAACCTGAATATAGATATACCTCGTCTTACTCACGCACTCTCGTCCCTGGTTACAAAGCGCATTTTGCCGATGCCGATGACGACGCACTACGAGTGCTTCCATACCCGCTTTGTTGTACTGGAACTACTACAGGACATTTCATTCTGACAGCCAGATACATTTCATTCTTCCGAAGCTTTTAAAAGCACAGTGCGTTTCTTTTGGAGCTTTTGTACTGCATTACACAATTGCTCGGCACGGTCGCAATCGAGAAATAGCATTTGTTCTACAGCTTTTCGACGTCGTATTACCACGACACACTCTGAAAAACATACGAATTTTCATCATGTCGGTGCCCGGAGCCAGCAACAGCCGCGCGGAACCTTTGCTAGAGCAGAAGAAGCAGTACGAAAAAACCGACTTGTGGAGTCTGTACCTTTTGACCAGTTCTCATTTTCTGACCAACGTTGGGTGGCAAGCATGGCAGTTTGTGGTTCCGTTGTACCTGTTGAGCTTTTCGGCGGACGACAGCTCGATCGAGTATGCAGCCGTCTACGGGCTGGTGGTGATGTTGAGCACGTTCGTGCTGTCGCCTCGCTCGGGGGCTTGGGCGGACCGACTGGGGCCGGACTACCGGATGCAGATCGTCAGTGTCGGCATTCTCGTGCAAGTAGTGGGACTGTGCATGGGACTAGCGGTCATCCTGGTCCGTTCCGACATTGTTGTTGTGGAGGGATCAAACGAGTCGCTGGAACTGTTCGTGTGCGCCTACGCCTGTCTCTGCCTGGGCGGAATTCTTGAAAAGGCAGGCAATGTTTTGACTCTGAATGCAGTGAAAAAGGACTGGGTTCCGTGGCTCTTCCGCGACGCCGATCCCAAGGCGCTTTCCCTAGCCAACAGCTTCGTGAGTCGCGCCGACCTTCTCGCGGAGATGCTGGGCCCTTTACTCGCGGCGGGGCTCTGCACCGTAGCTGCCTCCTACTTTTGCACGCAAGCCATTGCCGACGAGGAGCGGGAGGATCAGGCGAAGAACATTCACGCCAGTACCGCCACCGCCTACACCTGCGGAGCGGCTATACTCCTGGTCGGCGTGCTGAACCTGCTCTCCTTCGTGCCCCAGTGGCTGTTACTGCAAGTCGTCTGGACCCGCGCCAGCAGTCGGGAAGCTGCGGCCGAACTGGTGGATGAGGACGAGGACACGGAAGTAGAACGCCGGAGCGATGTTGTAGTACAGCGGAGCGGCAGTGCCGGGTTGAAAAAATCGGCTTCGAAATCTTCGCGGCGCAGTAACGAAAACGACGGCAGATCCGCGTGGACGGTTTTCTTGCAACAGGAAGACGAAAAGTACTGGCTGACAATTTGCTACGCACTCCTCTGGTTCAACGCCCTCTCTCCCCACGGCGTGGTGCTCACCGCCTACCTTGCGGCGAGCGGATTGGACCCCGTCACGCTGTCCTGGTTTCGCGCAGCAGGTGCGGGCGTGGGGGCAGTTTCGGTGTTCTGTTTTCGCTACTTCCGGTCGCAGCTCGGGGTGGAGCGAGCTTCCGCCTACCATTTGTGGCTGCTCACCGTTTGTGTAATTGCAGCGGTAAGTAGTGTGGTGTGGCAAAAAATGATGTCCACGAGTAGCAGCAGCGAAACAGAGGATGACTACAATGGTCCCGCCACCGGCGGTGGAATAACAGCAAGACCTTCGTCCTCCGGGGCCGCCACGTCGTCCTGGTTGGTTTTCCTGGTTTGTGTCGTGATTTCCAGAATAGGCCTCTACGGCTTCGAATTGGGCGACATGGAGCTTATCACGAGAAAAAAGTGTTACAGTTACACATTTGTTGGAGTTTCTGCATCACAAATTTTCTCTGTGTGGCAGAGAAAACTTGTAATGCGAAGATCATAAGGGATAGGGAAAACAGGAAGGAAACGAGGCTCCCAAGCATTTCCTCCATGAGAAAGGTTGTCTCTGTTGCCAGTCTTGCATCACAATGTGTAACTGTAACACTTTTTTCTTGCGATAGAGCTGTCTCAACTTTTAGTGGCTCCGGACGTTCGCTTGCGTGTGGCCAGCGTGGAGTCGGCATTGTGCACCACCGGGACGAGCTTCATCTACGTGATGGGAATTTTCTTCTCCACTTCCACCACTTTCGTCTACCAACTGAGCACCAGCGCGATGGCGGTCGCACTAAGTACAGTTTTGTTCGAGCGGTACCGCCGAACCTACAAGCTGGAGGATGCGTGACGTCCTTCTAGGTTCGGATCAAATATCTTTGACCACACACCATGCCCCTGTGGACAGGAAATCGATGCGAATGTGCAGCTTTTCCAGGATTCACGGAAGATCATGGCGCATTGTTAAGGCCATAAATGTGAAAATGAATCAATCCAATTGATACGTGGTAATGCGTGCCGAACGCAAAGCAATGAAAGCTGCAATCACGACAGTTTCACACGTTTGGACACAACGAGAGCCGGTGCGTTCGTCTCTGTGGCCCCTTCAACACTTTATGTTCGCCCTAAGGAATTATCTGGATCGAGATCGAGGACCAATGTCTAGTTGCTTCGACAAGCACTGGTGTGAGAGTATTTGTATTGAAGCGACAACCGCAAGTAAGATCGTTTTGCGACGGCATTTCTGGTAGTTCTACATTTTTTTACCCCTCTAGTACCAACGCTTAAGACTATGAACTCAGCCGCAAAAGGCGCACCTACAACCGAAGAAGTCCTGCCTTCCTCGCTGCACCAGGAGCTGAAGCTAGCTTTTGGCCTTATTTTGGTGAGTTTGCTATGGGGCGCGACGACGCCTTTCATCCGCCTCGCAGCAAAGGGAGGGACTGAGGGATCGATCGCAGAAAATGAAGATAAAACGCGTTCACGTTCGAGGGAAAGAAACGGCTCTGCTGCAAAGGGATCTCGTCGGACGCGTTCGGGAAAAAAGGCACTCGCGTTGTCATCGAAAGGTGGAGGAGCTACGGGTTCTTCTTCGCGAACGCGACCTGTGCCTTCGAATAACTCAAGGAGTCGAACTAGGACACCTGCGGCAAAAACGAACCGGTTACTGGCATCAAGATCATCCTCCAGCGGAGAACAGCCAGTACGCACAGACACTGCACACGGCAGTGTCGAAGAACTGGGTCGTGCACATCAAAAGATCGGCGCGACGCAGAAACGACGATCTTCGCACCACCTAACTTGGCGCCGCCTTTCGCAAATCTTGTTGAACGCACGCTTTTACCTGCCGTACCTACTGAACCAAGTCGGGTCTGTGTGCTACTACTTCCTGCTCGGTGAGTTTGACGTCAAAATCATGGTTCCAGCCGCAAACGGCTTGGCTCTCGCCGTCACGGGCATCACGGAATTTGTGTTGCAGCATCGCTGCCCGGGGTGGCGGGAAGTCGCGGGCATTTTGTCGATCTTGCTGGGCTTTTCGCTGTGTGTCGCCTCGACAGCGGGAGAGTCTTGACCGGGAACCGGACATGAGAGTCAATTCGCCACTTGGCCGAGGCTACTACTTTTCACACAGGCAATGAAGCTGTTGAACTTGAAGATGCAAGAACATGAATCAAAAGAAGAATTCGGACTTTCTGTTTCTGCACAGTTCGTTCCTTCTCTTGAAGCAGTCGTTCCCAACGAGCTCTCTCTCTTGCTCACGATGAATGACCAAAAACGAGAAACCAAAAGCATCACTGCAATCCAAAAATTGCATCGACGTCGACGCAGCACAAGAATTCTGTCGTTCGCTGCACACTTTTTTGATTTGTTCGCTTCCTACTCAGGTTTGAGAAAATGCACCCTTACTCATTGGGTTTCAGAAGCGTCATCTTCACACTATCGATGAGGATGAGTCAGAGATGAAAGAGAAAAGCGGTTGGATTGTGTAGGGGTACAACAGTGATGTTGATGGAGAAACAAGCGACACAATCGAGAAAGAAGGTAGTTACAGAGGCAATCCTTCTTCGTCATGTCTCATGCCCATGGAATGCAATCTGAGTATTCCGACCGCGTCATTCTTGTTTTCTATCGACGATTTTTTGGATTTTTGAATTGAATTTCAAACAAAACGCACAGCAGAATGTAGGACAAAGAGGAACGGTTAAGACAAGATAATTATACTTTAGGAGGACGATAATACAATAGATACGCAGTGCAACTAGTTTGTTATAGAAAAAAATGCCAATTCAAGCGACCTGAAAATCAAAATCGATTTTTTTATTGTGACTTCTGCCTGTTACCAAAGCTTTCTTTACTCACTAGATCTTTGTCTTTCACGATAGTAATTTTTCAAAGTTAGTTCAAGCTTTTACAATAAGAATTCTTGAGTCGCAAAGCCGACACAGAAATTCAGTATTTTTTGAAGAGAAATTAGCTCGCAAAGTTCGAGTTATTCTCATCTCGATTACGCACATCAAATTTTTCAATACGGAAACCGTTAAGTAAAATTTCTATTTCATTCACGACTTGCATCTATACTATCGCCACTTTCTTACCTGAATTGTTATTTGGTTTGCGAGGTACCTACACTAAAAAAAGTAAGTCGACTAATCTTTCTCTCACACCCTCGTATTTGCTGCCTTTCACTCGACGAAGCGACGATGCCAAGTGCTTCCTCCTCCGCGAAGCGACCACTGGACGAGATCCGCAATGGTGGGCCGAAGCCGCCGACGAAAGCGGCAAAAGTAGCGGAAGAGCCGAAGAAGTCAACAACTGCTGGTGGTGCAACATCGACGAAAAAGGAGGTCCAGCTCCCGGTCATTGATCGCATCATGGTCGTGAAAAAAAATCACGAAATATGCACCGAAAAGGCCGGAGCGGGCAGAGTTGTAGTTGTGATGTTTGAGCGAATCGGCTATGGTCTCGCGGCTAAATGAATGTGATGCGCAATTCCATGATTACCATTTAGCGAGGACAAGACACGAACTTGCTCAGAGTTGTTTCAATAGGATACGCCCGTCTACGCGCTTTGCATGTTCGTAGGGCGATGCGCCCTCTATTTGCCATAGTTAAGTAGAATGGAAGCACTGCTCTGGCGCTTTTTTCGGTGCATATCTTGCGGCTTTTCGTGAACTTGGTGAAGATGGAAAGACGAGGATCAGGGTGGAGGACTGGAAGAGAGGGGAGATCGTGAAGTCTGCGATCGGATGGACTCCGTGCCCCATCGACGCGGAGCGCGACCCCGGGGGCGCTTCGGACTACATGTTGGAAAAACTTTACGACGGCCTGACGAGCACGTACGGAAAGGGGCGCACCCGGGTACTACTTTAAAGAGCATCAGACCGCAGCAGCTTGCTATAATATGCTTGCGCTTATTTTCTGTCTTTTTTATACCTTATGTCTATTCGCCTTTGTGTGTCATCTTGCACGAATGTAAAAATTGAAAACTTACTTGGCTTTATTCGCCTTCGGCCTGACTATCATCCAGGCCCAATGCGTGTTTATTGAAGTTGCCAAAGTGCTTAAGTACAAAATTACAGCTGAGCAGCGGAAACCAGATGCAGCACCTGGTTGACTATTTGCGAGACTCCTGCGAGCCGCCGATGCACTGCGACCCGTCCGAGGCCAACAACCAAAAAGGACGAGCCGAAAACATATCGAGGAGAACCTGCTGGCTCGTTGTTTCGATTGCCTATTCTTTCATCACCTTTCCTGCTGTCGTTAGGTTCGATCCTTTGAACCAATACCAATGAGAAGGATATGAGCATGACCCTTTCTACAACCATGAGCGTGCTCGCGCATTTTTTAAAGTAGTTGTAATTAATCTTGATCTTCAGCCCAAATTTAGGCCCGTATCAGCGATCCAGTTTTTGCTTGCATAAAATTTTTGGAATGAATACTGTTTAATGGATGGAGACTTGGTGGTGGTATCGGGCGGCTCGAAGAAACCGGGCTTCGAGCAAGACGATGGCGTGGCGCTGTGTGAAGTCTTAACTGTATGAGAGTGCAGTTCGGATTCTTTGGTCGGGAAGGTCAAAGCTTCCAATGCTTGCATGTCCTCCCTGATGGCAACGAAGGGACAGTGTGATGGATATAGATTTTTGATCTCCTTTCCCTGGTCTGTGCAAGTGCAAAGTTTTGCATGCTGAGGCTGACGTAGACGCTCGTGCATTTTGTTGCGTATTCCTAGTACGGTATCGAATGGCTATGCGTGAGACAGCTGTATAATTCTGTACGGCTTTGGCTTTTCAGACCTACACAATTTTGCAGTGCATGAACCATCCGAAATGCGTGCTATAGCGGAACAGCGCGGTGCGGAATAGGAGGGTCGGCGAACAGTGGAGAACAGGCGGGCAAGTCGACATTCTCCGAGAACAAGTTCTACCTGCGCATGAAGGTTCTGAAGGTGTGGGAAAAGGGTGAAGGGTGCCCGCTTCAGCAGCCCAACAAGGACGGCAATTACAGCGCGATCACAGTGGCGACCAACCAGAAGGCCTCGGTCGGTGGGGACTTCCGGAAGGCGGTTTGGAAGGCCCTCACTAAGGAGGAACAAAAACTGCTGGTGGACAAACTTTTGAAGCGGGAGGAGCTCATTGCAAAAGTGGGCTTCGAGGCATATGCAGGCACCAGATTGGGGACATTTTTTGGAAAGAACAAACAAGCAGGCCCATGCCTGTCTATTGTTCTAGGTCACTACTTTTGCAAGAGCATGAGCCACCAAAGAAGGGCAGCGCCTTCAGACAGGTGGGGCGCTGCCTGTGGTCGGTAGCACTATGCAGGCGCGCTTGCGTGAGAAAGTGCCATGAGTGATTCTTTCGGTCGAAAATCCCCCAACCTGGCGCCTTCATAATTGCATCCCGAAGTACCGCGCGCAGGCAGAACGGCGGGCGATCCCGCTCTACACTGCGGAGGCAGTGAAGGTATTGGCGCACGCTTTTGCTAGTTTTCTACTTAGCTTGCCGAGTGGGGTTTTTCGCATTTTTGTTTCTTCTCGTGCCGTAGTTTGAATTTTTGATACAGCTCGCCAGATGTTTTCTAGCCATCTGGGGCTAGCCGCGCGCGGGATTCGGAAGGATGTAGCAGCACGTACGTAGTGGCTGTGGTGAGTAGAAGTTTCTGCTTGCTATAGGAGGCACACCGAAATATCGCAACAGGACAAGAAGGAGTTCCCCGTGCCGCAGAAGCCCACCTTCGAGACGCTCCGGAACCACTTGCAAGTCCGATCCTTGCCGAAGACCACGCGCACCAATGTCAGCGTTGGCTCGACCGATTGGAAGAGCTTTGGCTGGATCAAGAGCCATTTTTATGCCAGTGCAATAAACTATCTGCCCCCTTCCCCGCCTGCAGTCTCAATTCCTCCACCTCTCTTATCGCTTGACTTGCATGCCGTGCATGATCGTGTTTGTGCAGAATTGAATCCAATGCATGTGTTGTATACACGGGCCGATGGCAGGTAGCAAGAACTGCTGTAGCATTGACTTTTGCAGGAGAAACTGTTGTAGCAGCAACTGTTGTAGCAGAAGCTGTTTTAGCAGCAACTGTTGGTTCCTGATGATGGTTATGGTGAACAACAACAGGAACGAATCAGCAAACGCGCAATTTCACGTAGCAAACCGAAACAGCAGCGCTTTCTACGTGAAAATACGCGTTGCAGCTAAAGTGCCAAAATTCAAACATCCTACTGGGATGGTACACAGCAACAAATCCTTACTAAGAACATCGCAGCTGCTCTGTGCTTACGCTTAGCAAAGAGAGTAGAGGTCGAGGCGTGGGGATGTCTGGTTGGAGCCGTATTTTCCTTCTGCATACTCTCGTCGAAGTCCACACCACCAAGCAGTCCCTCTCCCCCGCCGCGTACGTGGAGAGCCAGTTCGAGATCCCCTGGGCCAGAGAAATGCTGCGTCAGATCACGATGTTGGCGAAAGAAGAAGCTGCGAAGAAAAACGGACTGCCAGTGACTTTCACAGCAATTGGAGTGGGGAAGAATAATTTGACTGGTCCGTTAGCTTAGCTAAGAGCTTTTTCTATGTAGCTGACAGCAGTCCTTTTCTTGATTGCTTTCAAATTGCAACGCTCGAAATCGTATCTATGAAGCAGCGAGATCCACGCTATCGGGGTCAAAGCAACTGGTTAAGGATTTCTGTTCCAGCCTTTTCACCTCCACTCGCTCCGCACACCTTACGTAGCCAATTTTGAAAAGTTTCCCACTTCGCAGGTTGGCACCAGGATCGAGGAAACAAGCGGGGCAGCAGCAACTACCAATTTGCGTTGGGCGACTTCGATTGCGAGATGGGCTACGCAGCGATGGAAGTGAACAAGGGCAGGGTGGTGTTGCGGGGCGTAAAGGACAAAACTGCCGGCGATGTGGTGCTGGGGTGCAGAGGTATTCGCTACTATCATGCGGCCTCCCTTTAAGCGGCCGAGTTTCAGATGTATTGCCGATCGCCCGCTGCTCCATTGGCTACTCGCTTGCGCTGCAGAATTCACAACTAAACAACTCAGCCAGTAGCTGGGGGAGAGTTCTACTTCTAGGACTTTGCCCGTGCCTGTACGCAGCTGCTAGAAAGTCGCAGTAGCAGTCTATTGACTTGGACCCTCTGAGATCTGAAATGAAAACGAAAATCAACATCCACAGGGCCGTCGATCGATGACGCGCCTGCGAAGGAGGAGCAGTGCATCTTCCGCGACTGCAAAAACAAGTGGATTGCTTTTGACCCGTACCGCTGGCATAGAACGGAAACGCATGGGAACGACCGATGGGTGGCAACGTGCTATACCCATGAGCCCCCAACTTCTGCCAAAGAAAAAAAGGACCTGGTGACCGCCCTGAAAAAGCTGGGATTCCCGGTGCCAGCGGACTGGTGAGAAGCTAGCAGGTCGATCAATCTGGCGAAGGAGGTCGCAGGGATTTGCGTCGAGGGGTGGCCGCAACCTGATTCCAGTAAACACCTGGCCGCGTCCGGAAAGTGTCAAGCCCGCCCTCTCGATCCTTTCATCCCACCGCGCAGATGATCCTCTATTTCGCATCGATTTTTCCTTATCGAACCAGTTTCCGCATCAGCATCGTCCGTGATAACTCCGTCCAAAGAGACAGCAGCTAGTTCTTCTAAAATGTGTCAAATTCGAATTTAATGTCTATGCATCTATTTTGTGTTGTCTACACCAGAATTTGTGTTGTTACGTATACGTCCGTGCTGAAAGCGTGCGCATGAACAATGTTTGTTTTTTCAAATGAGAAGGTCAGCAGTGTTAGATGTGAGTATTGAATGCGAAGAAAGTACTTATAAAGATAAAGGTAAAACGAAAGTTTGATTATGTTGGGAGTCGGAAAAGTATAATACGAGCTCGAAGTGGACGCTGCGCACCCAGTCAGCAGCTCTTCATCAATGAAGCGATGAAGAAAATAGGCAGGATGCCACACTTGCGTTAGAGTATCAGAAGCACAAACGTGTCCTATCGCCACCGAGAGTGCTGACGGTCTGCGAGGTACACAGTCCTAGTAAGTGGACGAGCAGATCCTGTAGCCAAGTGTAAAAGATTGATCGGCTCTGCGCAGCTCAGCTTCAAACACATTTGGTTTTTTTCTTGTTGATCGAACGATCATAATGCGAAAGATTGCTCCCACCCATACGACTGTGGATCCGGAATCGGTGTGACTCATACAGCGTGTTGGCGTTGCATTTAGAAATTGTGATTTTTCATTTCAATCTCAGGATCTTGGACTGACTGTACCGATTGGATCGATCGAAGTGCGTGACTGTTTAGGTTTCGTCTGCTCTTTCACCTTTCGTGCTGCGTTGCCTCGTGGGTGTGTGAGAATTGTGTGGTCCTCTCTTTTTGGCCAAAAGCAAAAAGAAGAACATATCAGTTTTTGTAGCCGCGGTTTTGAAGAAGAAGAACGATCGAAAACAAACATATTCATATCTGCACCCATCTTCATCATAAGTAAATCGACTTGGGCAACACAAATTGGTGAAAGTAGATGGTGTATGAAGTACCGATATACTAAAACTCGCAGTCACAAGTTCATTTCGCGTGTATTGAGTTTTTCAGAGCCCAAGGTGGTACAACTCGATTACAATGTTGAAGTGACCCCTGGCGGATGGAACTTCGTCATTTTACTTGATAGGAGATCGAGATTTCTCGCGGTACCATGTTGCGGCACCTGCGGGCGTTCGATCTGTACCCGCGGTTGAAGCAGGACGCCACGGGCGACGGTACCCGGGGCCCGAAATCATCCCGCGTAGCATTCCTGGTTCTTTTTGGGTCGCAGCTTCTCGTGCTCCTCTGCATGGTAACGGAAATTCGAGACTTTCTGTCGCCCACAGTATCACAGGAGTTTGTGGTCGACCACGCGGAACAAGTGGATGTCGATAGTTCAAGCAAACGTGCCTCCCCGCGTCCCCAGCTGAACATGCGGGTGTCTTTCAACCTGACGATTGTGGATATCCGGTGCTTGGATGTGTCCCTAGACTACCAGAACACCATGGGCCTGCGCGCGGTCGACGTGAAAAGCGGGATTCGCAAGGTGCGGCTGGACGGTCTTACCCTGCGCCCCCTGGCAAACTTACCGTCCTTGCCGAACGACGTGGAGGAGGAGCTATTGGATCCGGACTTCCCCGGGATACACCACCGACACGCCGGTACGAACGAGACCTGCGGGGACTGCTACGGCGCGCTGCCGGCAACCGAGTGCTGTGACACCTGCGAGGACGTGCTGCACGCATACCGCATGAAAAAGTGGGCCCTTCCCCGTATCGAACAGCTCGCGCAGTGCCGCGGGCGAGAAACAGAGAGCTGGCGTAAGGTATACAGCCCCTCGGTGCAAGTGGCCCGGCCGGTTCGGCCGGACTCGCCGCCGGGGATGAGCAGGGATGAGAGCGGTGACTCGTCGACCCGTGCGAGGGCATCCTCAATATCCGCACGCCTGCGTGAGTCGTCTTCGTATCCGTCCATTTTAGGAAGCAGCTTCAGCATCCGGCACTTTCGGCCGCTGGACCTCACTTCCCTGTCGATCTGGGACTTCGGGAATCGTGATTCGCTCTGGGAAGCGAGCGCGGGAAAGCCTTGGCCCAACTGCATCATGAAAAACACGGCCATTTTTGACAACGAGGAGGAGAGCGGAGGACCCTTGCGAGGACGTTCAACTGAGGCTGGTACTACAGGTACTACGGACAACAAGAATTCCAAAGCAGCAGGCCCTTTGCGCGTGGACCTTACCGTGTTGGACGAGTTCATTGCGGCAGAAACCAAGAAGTTGGAGGACAGCGGGCGAGTTCCCACCGCCAGGTTTGGGTCACTGAGTTTGAACCCGTTCATCAGCAGCACCACCACCACCAGCTCCACTCCCGCAGGCGGAGACACGCAGCGCGCCTCCGCTCTGCGGGGATGTGCGCCGACGTCATCTGAGAGCAGTAGTGCAACCAACCGCATCCTCGGGAACACGAAAGGAACAAGCCAAAGCGATGCAGCATCTGCAGCGGACCACGGTGCAGCCTGTAAGTCCACGAATCAGTTCGAGAGCCGGTGGGAAGAGGTCTGCGCCCTAGTCTGTGCGCGCGTGCCGGAATGCAAGTACTGGCGACACGGCTTTGCCTCTAGTGCCATGACGAGTAAATGCTGGCTCCATGCCAGCAAGCAAAATAACCAGTGGCGGCTCGGGTTCCGGTCCGCCCCGCGTGACTGCCTTCCGCCAGCTCCCGGCGACGGGAAGATGAACGATGGGACATTAAAGACCTCTTCGTCACGAGATGGGCCACAGGATCATGAAACAGCTGCGCACAAAGCAGGACACCTACCAGATGAAAAAAGCGGTGCAAGTAGAGAGGCCGAGAATAACCCCCACCAAGATCAAGGTGCCGCCGCGCCCAGCTCCACTTTGCAGACGGCACAAGAACGAAGAGATTTGCGTACGAAAGTGGTGAAGGCCGAGAGCACGGGGTCGTCTTCTCCGAGCGTTGACCCGAACTCAAACGTCCCGGCGGATGCTGCAGCGCCCGCGGCGCAGGCGAAGAACTCCGCGCAAACAAGTACTACTAGAGACGACCCAGCCCCCCAGGGGGAAAATGAAAAAAGCGCACCTCGCAGGAGGCTTTTGCGCATTTTCGACTCCGACGAGGACGCTTTCTATGGACCAGGCGGGATCCCCCTGGGCGGGGCGCAGTACGACGTGCTGGACCACGTTCGGACCAGCGCGCAGAAGGGCGAATCCTGCCGCATCTACGGACACTTCCTGACGGCCAAGGTCCCGGGCAATTTCCACGTCAACTTTAAATCCACCAGCTCGGCCTTTTTCCAGGGTACGTTCGACCGTCCGCAGAAGGAATACGCGCACGTCATCCACCACCTGCAGTTCACGGAGATCGATCCCCGCTCCGGGGAACCGATCTTGCGCCGCATCAGCGACCCGCAGCCGCGCAGCGAGCGGTATCTGCTGTCCGAAAGCACCTACTTGGAGGGGAAAAAAACTGGGAGGACAGAGAAGACTAGCACAAGCGGTAATGAAGCCGTACATTCTGCTGCTGGTCGTGCAGAGGTAACCAGCAAAGGAATAGATGCAGACAAACATTCTGTGCGGACTCGAATACGGCAGCTATTGCAGGACGCAGATGACGGGGACACGGCACTGGACCGGTGGTCCCCTCTGGATGGAACGGCCTTGGTGAACACGGACGGGGCAGTATCCTGAGTGAAAAGCATCCCAAAGCAGGACCAATTTGCGCACGATGTGATTGTTGTCCATGTACATGTAGCCGTGCCGGCAGGTCAGGAATCGGAATGCTTCACACATCGTTCGGCATGTAAACATGACCCAAATAGAGACACAACTTGTCGAGACCCGTGTGCGAGAAGTATATCTCCGTAGTGGATTTGGTTTTGGATGGGCAGCCATGGGATGCTTTTTACACCCGACAAGCAACCACAAGCCAGTACTATTTGACCCTGATACCGAACACCGACGAGTTTCAGCAGCGGGGCTTTCAGGTATCGTTTCAAAATTTTGGCTCACGGTCTAGATAAAAAGAAGAGCGGCCTTCTATCTATCATGCTGTAAAAGTTTTTGCATAAAAATACGATCCAACGGCGCTCACATGCGAGAGTGAGGATACTAGGATGCAGATAGAGGGGCCGTCGGGACCGATTTCATCAATCTCTGGACTTGTTGTCCTCAGGTACGAGTCAATATTTTGGTTTCATACCGGTACCACAGTGCTGGATTTCAGACGGCCGGTCTCTTTGACTCAGGAATCTACTTTCGCTACGAAGTCGATCCCATTCGCGTGCTTTACACTCGCAAGCAGTTGTCGCCGGCGAAGTTTCTGATCCATCTTTGCGGCATTGTTGGTGGGATAGTAGCGACAGTACAGTTCATGTTCTTTTCGACGAAGCTGCGCACTTGAAAGAACTTGGAGATTTCAGCGGAGCGACAGCAAGACACAGCAATATCCACATCTAACGATTCTTGGTTCGGTACAGCGAACGCCTTCGCCTACTTTGCATTGAGGTAATTGTTTCACGTCGCAAGTTTTCGATTGGGGAAACAACGTTAAAACTAAAGAACAGAATGAAAGAAAACTAGAATGTTATGGCTGTGTATCGCGCTCCTAGTACGTCTACGTACTGCTACTGTTCCATTCTTGGTGTGGTTATTCGTGCCTTAGTCCTTTGAGTGGTCTGCTAGGTGTGTGCTGCAAAAGCGCAGGAGTTACAAGGCTATGACGTGTTTGATTTTTTTCTGTAGTGACGGACTAGCTCCAGAAATGGAAAGGAGAGAGACAGGGATGAGAGGCATGTCAGTACTTAAAAAATCCAGATGCTCGCCTGTTGCTACGCCGGTGTCCCGCCGCCGTGGCTACTTAAGTAATACCGATATGGATATTTCAATTCACATTCAGCTTTCCTTGCTCTGTGGCAGTTTTGCTACCTTGTGGCTGCGAGCAGCAATCTGCATACCGACGCACTCCTTCGCGAGTCTCAATTTATCTACAGCACCCGTTCTTCCCCACCATGAGTTCGTTTCTACCGCATGTATGCATGATTTTGTAGAAAGTCAATAAAAGACAAAGATTTTCGGCGACCACAGGTCGGTGTAGCATAGAGTTACATTTCTCTCTAAAGATTCTTTATCTTGATGCTATGTGTGTCCTCCGATGGCCTGGTGATAGCAGTAGAGAAAATTTCGCTCTTGGACGAGAAGCAGTATGAGGTTTTCCCGGAACGCCGATGGCTGTGTCGTGCGTTCTCGGTCTCACATCTCCAGCCCTCGTGTATAAACGTATGTGAATATCAAAGCCCCGGCCCCCGAGTAAAGACAAACTTACGACTCAGTGCTGTTGTAGATAGAAGAAGCCCAACGATGAGTGGAGACGGTGCAAGCGCGACGACCACTATCGTCGTGCCGTCTTCGGACGAGGTCGCACCTGAGGTAGATACTTCTACCGGGGCGGCACTTGCCACAGCGGACGAAGACGCTGGTCCACCAAAGCTCCCGGTCGAGAATGAGGACGAGACAACGGACGAGGAACTGCGTTCCTTATCAAATGTAAAAATGTCTGGGTCTGGGAGGATGGAACTTGTCATGCTAAATCTAATTCATGCAAGAAATCTGTGTTGCGTGATTACCAACAGCCGTCGTTTTTTACCGAGTTGAGAGGGAATTTCTCATGCAGGATCAGCATGCTAGAGATCTCACAGAGTTTGTCATGCTAGGCGCTGCATTCCAGACCTCATGAGTCATAGAAAACCCGCATGACAAACCTGGCAATCTTCCAGACACAGACATTTTTGCATTTGATACTCCTGGTACTTGTACGACATTGCGAACTCGGTGTACTCGGCCCCGGCCATGGCCATGCTGAACAACTTGCAGCACATCGGGCTGGCGACCTGGAACGGTTGCAATAACGTGAAGGAGGAAACCAACGGCGCGGTCCAGTGCGACTCGAAGGGTGAGCTCCCCGACAACAGCGACCGCGAGCTAGAGACCGATATCGGGCTGCGGCCGAGCTCCGTCACCTTTTTGGTGATCGCCCTGTCCGTGTTTTTCCAGGCGATCGCCTACATTTCCCTTTCCGCGTACGCGGACTACGGGAAAAACAAGAAGCTGCTCCTGCGCCGCACCTGCATGGCGGGCTGCCTCTGCGGGTCCCTATTTGCCTTCTGCGTGGACCCCGCTTTGTGGTGGGTGGTGTCCTTGCTGATCGTGTTCACGGGCGTCTTCCACGGCCTCTCCATCGTGTACTACAACGCTTACTTGCCTTTGATGGTGCGGAACCATCCCGAGTACAAGCTGGTGGCGCAACAAGAAGTTGAGAAGCAGCAGTCCACCGGCGTGAAGACGAGTCAGGAGCGCGAAGAGGACGACTCTACGCTGGCGAAGGACGAAAGCGGAACGAAGAACGTGGAAGCCACCAGTAGTTCCGTGCTCACGGAGGAGCGGTTGTCCTCGGAGTTTTCGAACCGTGGCTTTGCCTACGGCTACGTTTCCTCCGCCATCGCCTGCGTTCTCGTTGCCGGCATTCTCTTCGCCACCGGCCCCGAGAAGGACAGCAGCCGGGATACCTACAAGGACCGCTTCGGCTTCGTCGTCCTCGGTGCGTGCAGCTTGCTGTGCGCGCTGTTCTGGCTCGGTGCCGGGCTGCGGTCCGCCGCCGGGCTGAAGGACCGAGAGGGGCCCGAGCTGCAAACGAGTGAGGAGTGGGCGGAAACCATGGGTGGCGCGCACGTGCGCGTGACCGCGTGGACTGCGGTCAGGTTTTCGTGGAGGCGGACTTACCGTGCGCTTGTTTTGCTGTTCCGCCCGGAAAATCGAAATATGTGCCGGTTCATGATGGCCTACTTTCTGTTCTCCGACGGGTACAGCACCATTGCGAATGCTGGAATCATCTACGCGCAAGTGGATTTGAAGATTGCGACGATGTGGCTCGGCGTCATCCTGGTGGAGGTGGTGTTTTTCAATTTTGTCGGAGTCAAGTTCTTCCACTGGCTCTTCAGCGGGAACCCGGCAAAGGGGAAGCCCGCCGTCCGCGCCAAGGTCGCGATGCAAATCCTGCTCGTGTTGTACATGATATCGAGCGTGATTGCCTTTTTTACGCTGCACTTGGGGCTGCCTGCCCTGCTCTTCTTCGGCTTCGCGCACGGCATGCTGTTGGGAACCTGCCAAAGCTACTCTCGCGTGCTGTTCTCCAGTCTGGTGCCGAAGGGACTGGAGGCGCAGATGTTTGCGCTGTACGAAATCTCCGACAAGGGAAGCAGTTGGATCGGCCCGACAGTGCTGGCGATTATTGCACAGTTCACCTCCGTGCGCTACGGCTTTTTCTGGGTCTTTCTAGCCTTCTTCATTGGCTTTCTGCTACTGCACCCGCTCAACCTCGACGAAACCAGTCAGCAGCGAAACCAAAACTTCGAACTCGACGCCGGAGCGCACGAGTGGGAAAAGCGCACTTCCACCCGCAGTTCTTCCCGGGTGGGAAATGCTAAACTTCGGTCGGAGGCCAGCACCCAATCCGGCATTGACTACACTCCTCAGAAAGACAAAGAACCCGCCTGATATTAACCAGGCAACTAGTGTCCTGATATGAACCCCGCAGGTTTACACTGACTCCCATGCTGCACTTCATTTTCGCATCCATCTCCTGTCCTGCGAGACCGGGCCGCACAACTGAATCTTTGTTTCGATTCGATTATTGCATTGAAGATGCCCCTGTAGTGTACTCGTTTCCGCAACCGCTACCACTGCGCTGGTAGACGTGAGCGCTGCATTTGCAAGATACGACGGCATACTACAGTTTCTTGTTACGACCTCTTCGTTTCGCCCGTTGCAGATTTAGTCCGTTGTACTTAGATACGAATGAATGGATTGTAGATGTTGGACACAAAGAAGAAGAACTCTGTTGTGCCAGAAGGAAAAATATCCAATTCATTGCACCGTGTTCGTGTGGGCCTGTGGCTGCTTAGCCGCTTCATTGATAGTTCGACAGGCTGTCATTTTGTGCTCTTCCGTTGCTCTTCTTTTCCTTCTTTTTTTTTTCGGCCTGCCATGAACATGATCCATCATGTAGGTACCTACTTTGATACCATACGGTAGATGGTTTGTGCTTTTTTACGATTTGGAGTGTCGACATTGCGTGTGTGCGTTTTTGGATTTTACCCATTTCGTGGCACTTCACGATAGGGAAGAACGGTCGGCAACAGTAGATTCCCGACGCTTTGTCTGAACGCCCTTCATTTCGTGTCATGTAGTATTACAATTAGGCTGACTGCGACTGCTCGGCACAAAACGAACACGAAAGCAGTACTTATGTCTTCTCAGTCGGTGAAGAGAAACTCGGGGTCCGGTAGTTCCCGAACGCTTCGGGAGACGAGGAGCAAGGCTGCGACAAAACTTGAGACGTCTACCTTGTCATTGCCAATTTACGCACACCAGCCCTGGGACCCCTTTAGCGTGCGGCAACGGGAGAAGGACGTGCGAAGCGTTTTCGCCCGCAGTGTCCGATGGTGGACAGTATGCAGTTTTATCCCGTGTTGGATCGCGATTTTCGTGAATGGCTACCTCGCCCGCGTGCGGCACCCGTGGATGATATCCGCGCCTATTTCTCTGTCCTCGCACGAAACCTGGCACGGACGATGGCTGGCCACGATGGGTTTCACATTCACCGCCCTCCTGTACGCTCTCGTGGTTGCGCCGAAGGCGTTCTGGCGTTTCTTGGAACTGGTGGATATTGACCAAGACACAACTGCTGCAGAAGAAATAAACCCCCAGATGACAGATGAGATCGGAGAAGATGAAACTGCTGGTAAAAAAATCACGAGGCGGTCGAGTACCTCCTCGACGAAGCGCAAGTCGAGTCCAAAAAATCGACGACGGTCGCGAACCCCGGCTGCATCGACCGCTTCCTCTGCTTCGAACAGGCGACGCTCCGACGTGACGAATGCAAGTACAACCACCTCCACCTCGAAAGGAGCGGAAGCAGGCCCCAACTTTATTTCAGGATCTCGCGGTGCTTCCGGCGCAATGCAAGTAGCTGCGTACCTAGTCGCCGACGTCCTGACAGTGTGCTACTGTCTGCTTCTGCCTCTTCCGATTTTTGCGCAGAACAGTAAAGAGCGAGCCTGGACGACGCGATCAGAACGAAGGCAGTTTTTCTGGGAGAAAGTGCTGTGTAACGCCAGCGAGTTGGCAGCGTTGGTGTGCGCAGGAATGCAGATCTCGTGTGCAGGGCTGTGCTGGCAGAGCTGGTGGCCGGTGCAGGAAAACCGGATTGTCGACACCGAATGGACGGAACTGGAGTGGACCACCCTCATTCATCGTTTCGGAACTACGCCACTGTTTCTCGGCGGATATCTCTTCATTCTCGGGGCTATCCATTGGGTTTTCAACGTGAGTGCGCGCAAAGTCCAGGCGGCAGTGTGGCGAAAGAGCGCGAAAAGCACATTTGGACTGCAGTGCGTCCTCTACGCATTGGTGCTTAACGTTATCTACGTGCTGGGATTGCGCTTGGGCTTCGTCGCATTTGGCGAGCCCTCCAAGTACACTTTCCTGAACCTGATGGGGATCTCGCAATACATTGCTGTGCTCTGCTTCAACGCCGCCGCCTTTTCTCTGGCAGAAATTTTGTCCTGAAAATATGTCACACGCAGAGTAGGCTCTACTTTCTGCTTCCAAAAATACGACTACATGAGCGCGTTGGTTCTTTCGCCGCTGTAGCAGCAAACCGCAAGTGAATCTAACAGAGATCCAGATTCTAAGGCGAGGGCATTCAGCTGCTGTTCGCGTTTCTCTCCATCTTGTCGAGTTTGTTTTCTTGGCGTATAAATCGTTCTGCAATGCGACGGTGAAAAACGCGACTAGCTAGGAGCACCGCAGAAATTACAAAGGAGATGAAAGTGACAGACTTATTGTTATAACCTCCAATACCATGTTTTTGTTTGCCTTTGCACATTGCTAGTTCTTGGTCAGTGAAAGCAGCACCGAGCCTCAAATTTGCACGAAAGAAGATGCTACCCCCCTATGCTGCGGTTTTCCCGCACTTTTTCGCCTGTTTCTGGACCCTCGTCGTCCCAGCCACAACGTTGCTAGCTCTAGGCAGTGCCGGCGCGGTGGATGCCGCCGTTGCGTTACCGGAGCGTTCGGTGGTCGGCAACTTGAGCTTACGCCGCACGTTCCTGCATTGGGAAGAGCCTCCGGCAAGCGACGAAGAGGCAGATCACGACGACGTCGCGACTTTCGGGGGCTCATCTACCGGCTCGACGGCACGGAGCGTCCGGCGCCGTGCCTACAGCCTGCCCGCAGAAACCCGCGACCGGCGAAGCCATGAAGACTCCTATTTCGGTGGCACGGACGACACATCGCCGTCGACCGCGTTGTCGTCGGAAGAGGCGGAATCGGAATCGAACGCAGGGCGCGACGCTTTCGTCCCACGTAGGAGCCCAGAGCTGGAACACCTGGCAGTGGGATCCGCCCCGTCGTCTTCCGGAACAAGACGAGGGCCTGTGGCGCTTTCCGATCACGCCGCGGCACCTTTTTTTCTCGCCGGTCAGCCGACTGCTTTCGCGACGGGGCGAAACCAAGATCGGACACCCCCTGTGTCCGACATTCGTTGGGGCCCTGCGGTTTCCACCGAAGAGAACGATAATCTCCATTGCGGTCTCTTCGTGGACAGCTGCGGGCGAATTATTCAGCGCGTCATTTCGGAGACGCAGCCGCTGCCGCGAGAAGACCTGCAGGGCGCATCACCTCCGGGCACCGTCTGTGCGGCCGTTCCACCGAACGTCAAGGAATTGTGGGCCGACATAGAGTACGAGGAGCTTGCGCCACTCGAGGGTGAGTTTATTTCTCCGGGCGGGCTTCAGGCAGAACAAGGTAAAAGAAGATGCAAAGGGGCGGCCCCTTCAGGCAGCGGAGGCAGGAGCGAGATTGTGTCTCTCTTCAGCGAATTGGGACTGAACGAGGAAAACAGGGAGGCGCCGAAGAGTACAGCTCTTCTTTCGAAAGCAAACAGAACCCCACGTCGCCTAAGCAAGAAGCATGACGCAGTAGCAACTTCGAGTACTGTGGACGCAACCCGAGAGGATAAAATCGCGAGTTTTTTCCGGGAACGCGCATCGAAGCAGGGGTTGCAGCCGGATTCAAGTATAGTTAAATGGTGTTTAGTGTTACGTGTGAATTCCTACTGACACTTATCTATCAATCTCGTCTGCAAGAAGTAGAAGAGAAGTGGAAAGTAGTTACGCACCCGCACGGGGTTCGGTTCGACTCCGCTGGTGTTAGGAGGATACTACAAGACTTGTGCAGTCTTTCGACCTACCTAACAAAGTAAACTAGACAGAAACTTGAATGCTCTTCGAACATAACATTGACAGCAGACGAGCAGAAAGCGGATCTACTTCCACGCAGGGAGTCTAAAACGACGGTAAAGGGCTACTCTGTCGCCCCCGCGCGCCAGCTGCAAACAGCGAAGGAAAAAGCCGCCGGACGTCGGGTGTGCGGCGCGGTGATGTTTACCGAGGGCTTCGCGAAATTTCTCATGGAAGCTGATGCAACCAAAAAGGGTCGACTCGGCAAGGTGTGCGGGCTGTGCCGGCATACCTGGAGCAGGCATGGCGGGAAACTACGGCTCCGGGGGCGGGGAAGCCGGCACCTCGAGGACAAGACGAATATGGAGGCGAACATTCCTCTGCAGATATGCGTGTCCGGCGTTGGGGCGGGGAAGGAGTTGCGGTACCGCCGCAGCATCGAGGAGATCCAAACGTGCCTCCGCGAGACCTTTGCCGACGAATGGCGTGCCTGGTGCAGGAACCACGAGACGTACCGCCACAATTTCAGCCTGGACGATGAGACGATAGAGTCGAGCATGTGGACGGTGGTGCGACCCGTGCATCATGAAGCGTCGAATTGCACGCTTCGTAGTTCTTGCGACGGACGGGACCACGCAGGCGGGAGCTGGAGCTCCTACTTTCACCCTCTGAACTCGTGGCAAGGTGGCCACGGTTCGCAGCAGGAAGTTGGAGCTCCGCAGCTAGCACTTGGCCTGTCGCAAGACAAGCGGCTCGTGACGGAAAGTAGAGCGCCTGTCGAGCGAAAGGATTTGCTCGGGGACGTTGGCAGAAACAGAAGTGGTCGGGAGGAAGACGACACTGCAGCCGCAGACGCGACGAGTGCAGAGTGCGGGCGAGAAGAACTGTGCCGACCCGGAGATGTGAAAGATCACTGCAAACGAAGTGCGGCGAGCGAGACAGCTGCGGGGGTTGCGCACACCCAAAGTGAACATGCCCACCTTGTCCCGCCTTCGTATTGGAATTACCATGACCAGCTGCACTACGACATCATGAGCCAATTCTGTTCCCCGGCACACGCGGCAATGATGAACTATGCAAGTGGAATGTGCAGCAGCCCCTCAATTTTTCCTCCCGTTCCGACCAGCGACCCCGGACAAGACGCGCGCACCACCCTCCTGTCTGCTCTTTCTCAGTGGCTCGACGAAGCAGACCGCCGTCTCTAGGAAGAGGCAATCGTGGCTCTGCTAATCCTCGTTTTCGTGTAGGGCGTCCAGCAGTTGTCAGCAGGGTTGTCGGTGATACAACGACAAGTTTATAGCTGGATTTGAGAGAGACTCAACGTTCTTCTATCCTGTTAGTCTTAGTTTCTCTTTCTGTTTCTTTATCTATCTATCATGCTACGCCAAACAAAAAGAATACTAGATTCAGATGAGTTTCGAGCAGAAAAATGTTATTGCATTTGAACCCTGGTGGCCTGCCAGTGTTGGTGGGTATTCTTCAACGCTTTGCTGTCGCCGAGCCGCTTTGTTACATTTTGCTTACTTGTTAAAATTTGTGTCGTATAGAAGTATCTTTTCATTTACCACTCCTTCTGGTGAGCGAGCCTAATAGACTGATGTGAGAATTCGAAATGGTTATACAAGATTCTGTTGTTTGTTGTCAAAACGAAAAGACATTCGCCTCAATCTACCCGAGGCCTTATTTTTTATTTCTGCAAAATTTTACAAAAATTAAAATTCGGTTGACGTGGAGATTCTTCTTCTTTTTCCACCAAACCAAAAATTCGAAATCGAAGGTCTCTCCACCTTTTGCCACTTCAAGAATAAAACCCTTCAGTGAACCGGAACCAAGGTCCAACCAGTCACGACAGTGACATTATGGATGTTACGGGATTTTTAATATTTCCGACCTGGGCATGTGGCATGTATTCCTGAAAAGCTCTGCCGGCTTGGTCTTTGTGTATGAACAGTCAAGTATTGGAACACGGTCATGATCAGTGTGCAAAATGGGAACGAAAATCAGTGTACTACAAAGGTGGATCGGCCCTGTTGTGCCCGAGAGAGGATAGCAGAAATCTGAAAAACAAAGAAAGAGTTGTATACTAGAAATTCTCAAAATGGTTGATATGCACTCGCAGTTCGTTGCCGGAACCCAAAGCAAAAACTGTGGTTCGATACGCAGATGCAAGCTGGAAATGTTTTTCATTTTTCTCTTAAGCTAAGACTACAGACTACCAAGGCTGCTAGCCATCGTTGCAAGAAACAAAAAGATACGGAGCGCTTTTCGAAAACTAGCTATGAAAACTACACAGTGTAGAAGTAACTACTGAAGTTGAAAAATATTGACCCCGCCATCACTGCAGTGACATGAATATGTTTGGAAATTTTTCCGAGACGTGGTCGTGGACCGCGCATTTGCTTGGATGTCTCGTCTTGACCAAAGCGTTTTACGCGGTGGCGCAGTGGACGTACATATGCTTCTTTCGGCCGGGGAAGGACTTGAAGAAGTGCTACGGCGAGTGGGCTGTGGTGACGGGCGCGACAGACGGGATCGGCAAGGCCATCGCGCAGGAACTCAGTAAGCAAGGCATGAAGGTCGTTCTGCTCAGCCGAACTTTGTCTCGCCTCGAGGAAACGCAGAAGGAACTTCGAGGGGAGTCCGCAGTTTGCGTTGTGGACTTCTCCAATTACGATGATGCAGCACGTGCCAAGGTTGCGGCTGTGCTCAAGGGGAAAGGTGCTTACTTACTTATTTTTCTTTCGGCATAAGAATCAACAACTCTTTCTGGTATTTTTCTGTGCACAGTTCTGGTCTCTGCTTTGCTGGGATCATTGCGATATAAAAGTAGTACTTTAACGTCCAAACAAACAAAATCAATGCAGATGTGGGGCTTCTGGTAAACAACGTTGGCATCAGCTACGACCATCCCGCCTTCTTTCACGAAGTCGAAAAGGACCGACAAGAGCAGCTGATTAGCCTCAACGTGACAGCCACAACGCGAATGACAGCTGACTGTTTGCCAGCCATGCTGGAGAAGAAAAAAGGAGCAGTGGTACACTCAAATTCAAACGTGATTCGCATTTGAGCTTGACTAGGCTCGTCTATACTTTCTTTGACATCGGTTTTGTTACCCGTTCTAGCACATGCGAATTATGCCATCTTGACTGCTAAGGCGAGCCTGTCTGTAACAAAATCAGGGAAGCAGCAGCGGATGTTCTTTTTTCCGCACAAAACATATGTAAAGAGGACTCCATGAAAGAATAACATAAACATTCCTTTCCAGGTCAACATAGCATCTATCTCGGGCGTCAGCTCGAGTCCGTTGCTCACGCAGTACTCTGCCACCAAGGCCTACGTAATCCGGTTGACCGAAGGCTTGAGTGCGGAGTACGAAAAGAAAGGAATCCATTTCCAGTGCCAGTATCCGCATTTTGTCACCACAAAATTAGCCAAGCTACGCAAACCCTCGCTCACCATCGCCAGTCCGAATGCATACGCGAAAGCAGCGGTGCGCGCAATCGGCTATGACAGTATACTTGGAAACTACACTTTTTCTATCGGCATTGCAATTCGTTGTCTTTGCTTGTGCTGATTGAAAAAAAAATCGATGTTAAAACCGAAATAACAGCCCTGATCAGTCCATATTGGAGTCACTACGTGTGTGCCGAATTGCTGGCGAAGTTACCGTTGAGTCTGCAGAGCATGGCCTTAATGCAGATGCACCTCCCCATCCGCTCGAAGGCGCTGAAGAAGAAAGCAGAACAAGCCAAGCAGCAGTAATTCTAATTGGGGTTCCGCATTCAAGCAGCCCGCGCAGTATGTACATTGGTTGGAGAACCTGCACGCAGCGCGGTGATAGACGGGAAGCTTTTGACGAAATTTTTGCTACTACGGACGACGCTACCATACCTATGAAGTATGTATCGACATCAAGTACAGCTACAGACGACTCACTTTTTTTTTGCTTTTAAAGATTTCACTCTGTACGCACACACACAAAGATCTACTCCAGCGACATCATATTATTCATACGCGGAACGATCAGTCAGCATGCTGACTTCTACTTCACAAATATCCCTATGAGCAACTACAACCCCTTTGATGTCATTGTCAATCCCTCTTTTTTTGCGTTTTGGCTCATGTCGAAAGTACACCACGAGCTGACTTTTGTGGTCCCCTGTCGCGGGTATCTATCATGACCAATCAATGTTTTGCGACCTCACCTGATGCTTTCTGACGCGATCGTTGTTATTGCGGAACTCGGAGAATCAAAAAGCAATACATGTTTGCCCACACTGGCGCATGTCATCTAGCAAGTCACGAAGACTACAACTGACTATTCTTCAGGCCTTGATGGCAGTTTTTCCACGCGGCGCTGCCCAAGATAAAAGCAATTTATGCAACCGATTTGCATTTGGTAGATGGGGTAAGCGTAAGAGAAAGAGTGCGAAATCATGTTTCCAAGAACCGAGAGAGCCATGGGAGTACAACGAGGACGACGGTCAGCGAAGTTCTTCTTCTTGTGAATGCTTCAAATTTACGTGCTGTGTGGTGCGGCTTCGAAAACTTAAGAGAAGATGCACTTTGAGTGCAGAACAAGCAAAATGTGAAGCACCAGCAGTGCTGCGTGGTCCTCGTACGTCGCAGCAAACACAACTGGAAACAGAGAAATGGAGAAAACGCCTTCCAGAAGCGCCGCGTCACCATGCCCGAAGGCATCTCCGCGCGATCGTGAAGCCAGTTCTTTTGCCGCGTCACCGAGACCGGTTCCGCGCCGGAGTGCGTCGTCGGCAAGCATCAAAACCGGTGCCGTGGTCCCGCAGCTCAAATTGTCGTCCGTCTCGGAGAAAATACGTATGACATCATAGACCCCCGTTCTTTAGCTGTTCTTTTTGACGTAAGTACAATAAGAAAGACTCGTCGCTGCAGTCCTCGGTTGCGCTACCTTTCGGTTTCGTTGCAGCGCTTGTTGTATGTATCTCGCATCGCACATCGGCTGTATTCTTCCACTGTTTCGACGAGTTTTGCATTTTAGTAAACACAGCTGAAAGAGTCTCGCTCGCTGATCTATCGTTCCTCCGTTACTTCGACGTAAATTTTTCCGTGGTTCTTCGCATGGCGCGGATCCTCTCGTCGTAGAACATCTCGCTGGTGCTGGTCTATTCTCGATCTTTCCGCTCATTCCTCGTACGAATTCGAATAGAAATAACACATTCTGCTGCAGTCGTCGTCAAGAACCGTATTCGTGTTTGCACATCGAAGTCTTCAGCTGTAATTTATCTCATTCCGCTCGACACGTAGAGGTACTTAGAAGCACGAACAACGGGTGGTTTTTTCCGCCGGCCAAGGAGGCCGCGGCCGCGCATATGTCGCGCGTGATCGGTCGTGTCTGTGGCGACAAATCGGAGCTGGTGGCTGCCGATAATGAAGATGATGATGATCTTCAACAAGAACAAATTCAAAGTGACCTGGCTGCAACGCCACAAAGTTGCACACCGTTGGTCCAAAATGAAGATGAAGATCAACAAAAGTTAGATGTCGTAAGAAATAATTTATCATCACCACGTTCATCTGCAGGAGATAACGAGTCAGAGACCGAGTCGCAGTTTGCGCATGACGAGTTCGACCAGAGCCTACTGCAGCGGCTGGAGGAGCGCAACAGCGCCGCGTTGGAAGCCAGCAAGGCGCTTGCGTACCTGGAAAGCTGCAACAAGGCGCTGCACCAATCTGCCAAGCAGTTTAACAAGCGCAACTCGTGCACCAAGCAGGACCTGCGAGGGGGGCTGGAGACGGAAACCCAAGACTGCTCGGAGGACGAGGAGGATCAGCACGATGACCTCTACAATACGGACGCGCAGTCTAACGCGAGCCCAGTACGGCAGCCGCGGGCGGGAGGCACACAGCACGTGCCGGAGTGGCGTGACGTTTGGTCAACGAGCATTTCCGATATCGGCCGGTACGGCGTTGGGTGCCAACTCTACTTCGATTTTCTCAAGTGGCTCATCCTCATCCTCGGCGGCATGGCCATCTTCTCCTCACCCCTGATGTACACCTGCCTGCACGGCACCATGGTCTCCAGTCCCTTTGGCGCGCTCGCGCGAACCACAATCGGAAATTTGGGAGCCCTACCACCAGATCTGAGTGCTGCTTCCTCCAAGGAGGAACAGATTGAAATGCTGCGGAACCGAAAATTGATGCTGGGTAAGATGCAGAGCTTATTTGGCTTTTTTGCACTTGCTCTTCCTCTTGCTTGTGTCGCCTGCATAATTTTTTTCTGATCAAGGCGCCTTCTTGTTGCGAAGTGTAAGCTGTACGTGGTAGTCTCATTGTCCTCCATAAATTCTAATAAAACCTTGTGGTTTTTAAAACCTCTGCACAGGTGACCGCGAGTTTTCCATGCACAAATTCACCACGTTTTTTGGTTTGCTGGATGGGTCGATGATTCTGGTCTTTTTCCTGTGGTCGTTTTGGTATCGCAAAAAGCAGCTGATCGCCACAGTGGAAACGCACGACGTTGCGAACACCACCCCGAACGACTACGCCGTTCACATCGCGAATCTGCCCTCTGCTATCTGGAAAAACGGCGTCCGCCTGAGCTTGGACGAGTACGAAAGTCTGTTGAAGGAACACATCGAGGGCGTTCTGCGAGCGAACGTGCAGCGTTACCGGGCGGAAAAGCACGGCGAGCTCGTTCGGCGCAAGAAAAGGGAACTGCTTTTGGATCTGCGAGAGCAGCACAACGCAAAGTTGGAACAGGAACAGGAAATGAACGCCGCCGCAACAAGCGGCTCTGCTGGTACTAGCACCCTCAAGACGAGGATCAGCCGGACTGTTACGCAGACGTTGCGCGGCGGGGGCCCCGGGACGACGGCAGCCGCGGTCGGGAGCCAGAGAGGTAAAACTGCGTTCGGAAGTAGTGGTGGTGTCGAACACACCGAGAGGGCCTCCACAAAAAGCAGCGCCGCATCCGCAGCCGCGCCGCCCGCCGTGCGCCCCAGCCTCCTGGCGCGTGGTGTGAGCGGTTCCAGCTCCAATCTCGCGGAAAAGAAGGCCCAACAAACCGCTTTCTACTACGACGGCGGGGAGGTTGCGAAGCCATCGGAGGAAGAGAACACGGAGGCGAGCAGCTCCGGTTTGGTGGACGAGGACGACGAAGAAGACGAGCCCACGGTGGCGAGCGACGGGGTGCTGGGGTTTCTTTACAAAACCGCAGCCCGCCGCGTCCGACAAGCGTTTGCCTCGGTGTCCGGTGTAGAAGCGGCCAACTACGGCAAGCGGCGGAGGAAGTCCTCGCTCGATTCCGTCAGTCGCAGCATTCGGCGGTACTTGAAAATGGGATCCTCCTCGACCAATAACACGCTCATGGATGTGGACCCCACGGACAACGCACTGGACATCAACCCGCACCGCCCGCAACCTGCTGCCGACGCACCCGCGGGGCAGATCGTGCTCGCCGGTGGGTCGCTGCGCAATTCCAAGGGCACGTCCTCTTCCCGCGAGCAACTTGATGTGGCGCTGGCCGCCCCAGGTGGGACCGTTTCGCGGTCGCGTCAATCCAGTAAGGAAAGTTGTGCAAACATAGAGGTCGACCTGGATAGCGAGAATAACTGGCAGCCGGTGCCGGAGCTGCAGCTCGGAGAGTTTGTGTTGTGCTGCCGGGACCACGGCGCCATGTACGCACTTGACGAACGCATTCTGCTCGGCAAGAAGCGACGACGACTTCAGTATGAGATTCAGGAGCGCAAGATGGAACTCACGTCCATCGAAAACATTTGCAAGCCCCGGATGTTGACCGCGACTAACTCCACGACATCCTCGGGAGAGAGTAAGCGTAACTCAAACCCGAACTCCGCATCGAAGTTCTCGCTGGGCCGCGGCGGCCAAGAGGAGGAGGGCGCAGGTGGAGAGGATGTCGACGAGGACCAGCGTTTGCATGCTCTGCAACGCGAGTTACAGCAGCTCGAGCGACACATCAAGCGGGTCGCAACGCGACTGCGGAAGCGCATCGTGAGCCGCAAAGAAAATGAGGTGGTGCGGGCCTTCGTAATCTTCGACAACTGTCTGGACAAGGAGATCTTTCTGTGGAGCTACCGGTACGGCGTACACACCGACAAGAAGGAGCTGCTAGGGAAAGTTGCGGGGAATTCGGAATTTCTGCGGAGCCTGTTTGGGTACGATGTGCGCGAATCGCCCCTGGCGTTCGAGGGGAAGCTGCTGAAGGTGACGCCCGCGCCCGAGCCCAGCAACATCCTGTGGGAAAATGTGGACGGTCTGCCGGACAACTTTTTCAAAGCGTTTCCGCGAAAGTACGGCGCCACCATGGCCGCCGCGCTCTTGCTGTTCGTCAGTTTCGTTCTCGTGTTCTTCTGCGAGGTGCTACCCGAGGTGGGGTGGTCTGACGTGGACGCCTTCACGATCGGTGCGGAAAATCTGCTGGATCCATTACCGCTCCTGCGGGCCGACGAGGGATTCAGCCCCGCTCCATCGCACGAGTTTTTCGCGCGCGGCGGGATCGAATACGAGTTGACAATGGAAGTCAACGTCCCTCTCCAGTTCGTCGTCACCGAACCTTTTCCGGTTCCAGCGCTGCCGAATGCCGAGACAACAACAACATCCACGTCGTCCGTGCTGCCAGCCGTACTCGCCACTACCGTGGCCGCTCCTGCCTGGTTGCCGTCATGGTCCACGAGCGACGAACTCGCAGGCGTTACCGTGGAGCCTGCGCTTTCTCGTGCGAAAGTGGTACGCGAAGCCGAATCGCACTTCCTACAAAACTTTCTTGGCGAGAACAGCCTGTTTACTGGGCTGGGGAAGACACTTTTTCCTTGGCTCTTTGTGCATCCGGTCGGAGCTGCAGGAGAGGCTGTTACACGCCCACCGTACCTCGAAGGAGACGCAAGCAGCTCTTCCGGCGTATCATCGGCCACTGGAAACAGCCACACGACAAGTAGAAGCAGCGGTGTTGCTGCCTCGGCGGCCGATTCGGGCTCATCTGCGCGGCTCGTCGCGGCAAGCGATTTGCGGCTTCGGCAGGGAGTGCATTGTTCGAGTCTGCAGCTGTACTTAGGCCACCTGTTCTCCGCCACGCAATTTTTCCAGGGCCGTCCCCGCGAGGATCCAGTGGTCGCGGAATCTTCAAGAAGGGCAACCATAGCAGAGGTGGAGCTGCGTCAAAGTACCCCAGAGGAACAGGAACAAGCCGAGGCTGCGGCGGACGGGGAACGCAACGCGCCGTTTTTTTACTCCGCCAACTTGACGTCTCTCCTCCAGGAGGAGTTTGAACTCACCAGCAGTGAGGCGGTGGCGTGGTCTACTGCGTCGTTGCCTTGCTCCAATCGGACCGTGAGCGAGCTCTTCCAGAGCTGTCTGGCGTCGTTGCACGCAGCGGTGCCGGACCAGCAGTGTGCTCACCTCTCTTGGAGTTACGAAAGTTTGCGTCGCAACCAGTTTCCTTTGATAGAACAAACAAGCGTTAGTACCTTTTCGCAAAATAGCATCGCGGCCGACAACTCGAACAGCGAAGCGCGCGTTGAAGTCGCCACCTTTCCCTTGATTCGACGCGAAATTCGGGCCCGCTTTCGACACCGGGCTGGAAATAACCAGCAGATTGTCGGTTTTGGAGCATCATCACCTCCAAGCAGCGACCACGGGGATAATGCCGACCCTATTGCGGTGCGACTTCTGAGCTCCCCCGTGAATATCACAGGCGTCTCCGTATGCGACGGTGAGGAGTCTTGCGCCCCGGTCCGGCTCGCGGTTGTAAAGGATCTAGCTTCACTTCGGACGTCAGCGATGCCCGAGGACGCATCTGCGCAGAACGAAACAGCGGCAGCGACACCAGAGGACGCAAGTGCCGGCGGCACAGTGGTCGAGCAAAGTACTACGGCCTACCAGCCTCCTACTTTCGCCGACCAGGCCAAGTTCTACACGATTCCGACGTTTGACTGCGACACGGACGGTGCGACGCTGGAGTTGAGCGACGTACTGCTGTGGAACCGGCTGGGAAGCAGACTCCGCGACGGCCTGCTTCGCGCCGAAAACCACGACTTGACGGGCGTCGACCACTCGTCGCGCGCCCCCTACGCGGAGCGGGTCGTCGGGTGCTTCTGCGGGCAGCAGTCCTACATGACCATCGCGAGCAATCAGCGCGTGCGGTCGCTGTGCCACGCGCACATGCTGCGACTACTGCGGCAAACACTCGGGTTCGTCTTCGGCTCCTTCATCGTTGTCGGCATGAACGTCGTGCTGGAGCACTGCCTGAACGCGATGAGCATGTGGGCGCGGCCATTGTCGATCACGGCGCTGAACAACGCTTTGATGTGGAAGCTGTTCCTGATGGAGTTCGTCAACACTGCCATCGTGATTTTGTTGGTGAACACGCGGTTCGACTACAACGGGCCGTTGCTTGGGAAGGGGGACTACACCGACTTCGAATTCGACTGGTATGCCGACGTGGGTGTGGGGATTGTTGTCACCATGATGATCAACGTGTTCTCGCCGCACGTGGGCACCGTGCTCAAGGGCTACCTGCGCAAAAAGCGGCGCAAGCGACTGCTGCGAAGCAAGGTCAAGATCGCGGAGGACATGACCGAGCTGTACCTGGGCGCGCAGTTCGAGTTGGCGACGCGGTACTCCACCATTCTGACCGTCGTGTTTGTCACGCTCATGTACTCCGCGGCGATCCCGCTGCTCCTCTGGATGGCGACGCTGACATTCACGTTGCTCTTTTGGTGCGACAAGTGGACGCTGCTGCGAACTTCGCGCATCCCCCCGGCGCACGACGAGACCATCGCGAAGGGCGTGGCGGAAGCTCTTCCGTTCGCGGTTCTGTTACACATTTTTTTGGCCATTTACATGTACGGCCACGATCTGGTCTTTCCCAGCCCGAGCTTCGCGCCCGACGACGAGCAACTGGCGGCGGCCGGATTTTCGACCTCCGCCGGCGGCAGGGGCGCGGCAGACGACCAAGACGATGACGCCGCGCCCTACGCGGACTACCAGGCGTCCTTGCGGTTCTTCCGGGCAGCCACTTTCTTTCTTTTCCTTGTCCTGGTCTTCGTGCTCGTGGTCATGGCCCTGGAGCGGTTTGCGATCCTTCTGCACGCGCTCGTGGAGAAGTTCCGGGCCGCCTACCATCCGGTATGATAGCGCGTTATTTCTTTTCGAGATTGAGAAGATGATGGAATTGTGTAAACCACAAACTTTCATCTTCGTGGTTTACTTCTTCGTATCTCTCTGACGGTGAACTTGAAGATCTAAAGATTTGAATCTCCGTATTAAATTTCGCACAGCTGCTACGAGACGCTCATCCGAACCTGAAACGTCGCTTGGATGCTGTTGTGGAGGTTGTCCTTCGGCTATCATATTGAAGAACTTTTCACCTGTCAAGTCATGATTACTTTTCCGAACTACATGCAGTTCTGTGGATTCGACTTGGAGCAGCAGCTCCAGCTGCCGCTACATCAGCTTAGTACGACATAGCAAATTTAGGCTTATTGAGTGGACGTACAAGTTTAAGTACTTAAAAGTCAGGGTACTTTTTGCGCTTCATGTGGGCCGCTGCTGCGAGATCTTCCTTGGGAAAATGAATAGGTGAAGGAGTTCTTGTCAAGCGTGATATCGCTTACTTACTTTTCTGATCGGCGACTCAGCGGAAGACGACCTGACGGAGGGGCGGTACACGGAGCAAGTCGAGGGGATGAAAAAGCAGCGATTCTTGCACACCTACCGGCCGGAAGCCAACCTCAGCTACGCACGACGCTTCCAAATGCTGGATCGGCTGCGCGAAGGCCGAGGAGCTTCCGCGGCAACGCGACTGTCCGCCCGGAGTTCACGCGAATCGGCTGCCGGACCGCAGGAAGGCGGAAGCCCGGGCAACATCTTCACGGTGCAGAAGGGAGCAGATGATGAGACGGACGAGGCCTGCATAGCGGATCTTCACAAAAGAAGATCTAGAAAACTCAGCCGGAGTGGAACATCACATGTGGACGAGGAGGACGACGACGAGCAAACTCGCGGCACGGATCGGAAGAAAAAGAAGAAGAAAGAAAAAGAAGCAGCGAAACGCATCATTCGGGTGCCAGAAATGGGTATCTGTATTGAGTTCAAGGAGGAGCCATAGCCCGAAAAACTCCGACCGCGTGCGCGCTGCACATGCCCTGGAACAGTCCTCACGCAAGTGGGGCGCCTTGGTGCTCGTCTCTACAGCTCTCGGGAAGGAACAGAGTGGTTGGGTCACGTTCGCACTGAAATTTTCCATCCCTGTACTTCATCTTTTGACGCCCGACATTCGGGTTCTTTCTCACTCTTCGCCACAAGCAAAATCAAAATGAAACGTTGGAATCTTTCCATGTACAATTCACTCTTGACAACTGAGCGTAAGATTTTTAGTGACCCGACCCTGTTTAGCTTCAGGTTTTACTTACAGCAAATGAAATTACCACACGTTATTTGGCGGGGCCGGCTGAGGTGTGTCGAATCTGCTTGTCGCTACGTCTTGCGAAATAAATGCGACCGTAGCAGTAAGTTGGAGTTACAGTGACGGGCGGTGCCGCGCTTCGAGGTTCGTCCGGTAGAAACATGGCCAAAGTATGGATTGACTCGTTCATATCCATACCCGAACGTACGAAGCGCGGCTTTGCTTGCCGCGACAAGGAACTTACTCTGTAGTTACAGATGGAGGATTCTACTGTACCATCCTTGTACAATGAGCGACCAGTAGTTTCAATGTACCACATTGCTCAGTTGTTTCCCAACGCGTTTTCAGCGACAGTATTGGAAATTGTTGCTGCGGAAAAAAAAGGAAAGGAAGTAGCAGGCATGCCGGTTGCTAGGTTTTCCGATGTTGGCTCGGTTCGGTGGTGTTCGTTTTGTCGAAACGCATACCAAATCTTGCTTCATGATGTTGAAGAGATCTTGTAGATCCAATTACTTAGCTCTTGATCCCACTGGACCAAAAGACAGGCCTGATTTTGAACACCTATGTCGCCTGACGTCGACGTCCCATATCAAAAGCAGATGGCAAAGCGCTCGGCATACGGCATCAAAACTCGGATTGTTATCGTTAAGGTTAGCTTTCCCTTTCAGGCTGAGGATCTGTCGCATGGACATTCTACCAAAGAACTCGCTTTGCTGTCAATTTTTTTTTTACGGTCTCGATGATCCTCCAAACGACCAGCGAACAGTCTCTTTTGTGGTTTCGGATCTGTGTGTGAATTAGATAGAAAGAATAGTTCCTGTACAATACAGATAAATGCTGTTTTCCTTAGACCTGAAGCTCAACTTCATCGTTTTGCTGACATAGTGCGTTTTTTTTCAGTAATCTGCTTCTGAAGTTGTACCGAAGTTTTCTTTTTTACCTAGAGTGCACAGTCCACAACTACATGTAAATGTATCAGCATTATGGCCCTGCATATTTCATTCCCACAGGCACACGTATTTCGCTTTTGACAGCCAACGGTTTGGGTTCTCCGTGATGTGCCTGCTTCCGACGCTAAGGGCTTGCTGGTGATCAGAGGCCATGTGCCGGCCGATGGCAGCGGCACCAGCTGCAGCCCGCTTTTCTCCTGAGTCCAAAGGAGGTGCGTCGAAGTATACATCGAGAGTAGAAGAAATACGACGCGAGGAAAATCCCGAGCCGATATCGTTGCGCACGGTGGTACAGTAGCACCAACAGCTTCCAGTTGTTTCGCCGGAGAACATCGGGCCGGGCGGTACTGATCCGAATGGCAAGGAGTAAAACGCAATGTGTGGACGGAAATCAATGTGCTCGCACGAGCCGAGGATGTGAGCTGCAGCTGATAGTGTGAGTGAGCAACATGAATTTCTCGTGAGAACATCACCTTCGTTACCACGAATTCTGTGTACGGTATGCAGCAGTAAGTACACCAAGTTGAAGAACGAAAATGGGGATTCCTAAGTTTTTCCGATGGTTGCGGGAGCGGTACCCCGCGATCGAAGAGCCGCTGGCGCAGGGCGAAAGACCAGCGATCCATATGCCTGTCTGAGGTGTGACAATGCTCAACTAGTAGCAGAATTTACCGTTTGATTTCGAGACCCAAAGTCGGCATTTTTCTGTACCCTATTCTTTTGTAAATACCTGCTCGGTTCTTTTTGCCTAGCAATAGCGCCAGCGCGAGTTTGGGCACAAACATCATGGAAATGGCAAAAATTATTAAGTACCTCAAACCGCACTGAAAGCCGGAGATCGTTACGAACTCTTGCCATTCATCCGGGCAACTAGCGCTTTCTGTACTTCGTCTTCGCATGAGAAGATGCAGGGAGTTTGATTTAAAATTAAAATTATGTCGTGCCAAAACCGTTGATATTGCCACACCTTCGCAGAGCATAATTCGCTACGATAATTTGTATGTAGACATGAACGGGTTGATTCACACCGCGGTCGCCGCGTGTAAGCAGGAGCTCGCGACCTTGTGTGCGGCAAGTGACGAGGAGGATCATGTCGCGCCGGTTTCTCTGCTGGTGCTATGCATTGCAAATATGTCTGGGTCTGGAAGGATGCGACTTGTGATGCTGTCTTTGGATTCTAAAGAAATCTGTACTGCATGACCGGCAAGAGGAACCCAGTTGGTGCTACGCGGAGAGGGCATTTATTATCATGCTAAAGAGGCATCAGAGCAAAGCCCCCTAAACATCAGTGATGCTAGGTCATGCATTACAGGCAACATGGGTTATACAAAATATGCATGACCAATCTCGCAATCTCCCAGACCCAGACATCTTTGCATTTGATAGGTGCAGATGGTGTACCACGAAACTTGTGCGGCGGTGGACCGGTTGGTACAACTAATCGAGCCACAGCAGGTGTTGTTTCTCGCCGTGGACGGCGTGGCGCCGACCGCGAAGATGAACCAGCAGCGGGAGCGCCGGTACCGCGCAGCCTGGGAGCGGTTGCATGCGGAAGCGGACGCGAAGTCCTCTGCGCTCGCGCGGCCACGCCACCACCAGCGCACGAGAGCGTGCGGAATCGATGGCACGACACGCCGAGGAGAGCAGGTGGAAGACGCGATGAGCGCGGGTCCTGCGGCCAGCTCTTTCGACAGCAACTGGATCACCCCGGGGACGCCCTTTCTCTTCGAGTTCGGGCGGTACCTGCAGCGCTTCGTCGCAGCGAAGTGCGAGCACGACCCGATTTATCAGCGACTTGAAGTCATCGTTTCCACCGCGGAGCAGCCGGGAGAGGGGGAGCACAAGCTTGCGGATTTTTTGCGGCAAGAAAAACGGCTTCTGCAGGGAACCGGGCGGCGGAAAACGCACTGCATGTACGGTCTGGACGCGGACTTGATCATGTTGTCCCTAATGATCCACGAGCCGCGGTTTTCGCTGCTACGGGAGCGCCAGCACTTCGACCGCGGGGAAATCAGCGAGTGGAACCCGGCGTGGCAGTCGGAGGAGCGCCGCAACGAGTTTGTGCTCGTTCACATCGGCCTGCTGCGCGAGTATCTGGAGTTTGAATTCTCGCCGAAGTACGCAAGAGACCGGGCCCTGCTGAATCCGACAGAAGTAGATCGGTTTAATACCGATCATGGTGGGGTCGCAAAGGACGAGGATTCCGCCAGCGAGGAGACGGATAAGCCCAGTGGTGCCACGATGAGCTCTTCGACGGAGCAACAAGAGACAACTCGTGCTGGTGACGACGTTGCTTCGGGGGTTCTTGCCGCCTCCGACGAAAAGGATGCCCTAAAAATGGCGTCGGGACTCGTGAGACCGTCGCGACCAACAGAGGATTTTTTGAAGAAAGGCAAAAAAACTGTTGCGAGCCGCAAGAAGTTGGCAGGCGCGCGCTTTCTCGCGATAGATGATGATGCACCTGAAAATACCGTCGATAAGGAAGTACCTGATGAACAACAGCCCGACGGCGCATCATCGTCTTCTACCGGGAAAATGAAGACCACTCAGCCCTTGAAGGGAAGTGCGGTGGAGGAGACAACTAGGACAGAGAAAGCAGAACAAAGATCAAGCAGTTTATTGCCCAGCACCAGCGCCAATGGTAAAGATCATGTTGGTGACAACAATAACCATAACGATAAGCAAGACCGCGCTGTTTTTGAAAGAAGTGTGCAAGGATCTTCACTTGAGATGGATCATTACGCAGCAGCAGCCTTTGACCTGGAACGTGTAATTGATGACTTTGTGCTGCTGAACATGCTGATAGGCAACGACTTTCTGCCCGCAGTTCCCTACGTCGACGTCCACGACGGAGATCTCGGCGAGATACTTCGTTTGTACCGCGACTTCCTCTTTGCTGGCTTTGAGGAAAGCGCGAAAAGTCTGGTGCAGAGTGGTTATGCTCGAGGCAATGCTTCGCAGGTCATGAACAAGACGCCCGTGGTGTACGATCCATACCTGACCTATGACGGTGGCGGGAATATCCGATGGAGCAACTTTCGGCGGTTCCTGGAGCGGTTTCTGGTAGCGAACGAACGTGAGCGGATCGACAAACGGTTGAAGGAGAAACTGATTACTTTTGGAGTGTCGAAGCAGCTTCATGCTGCGCCGAAAGAGAGCAAAACGCGGTCTCCGCGTGAGGAGCAGAATGGACAACATACGGGCAAGAAGGTAAAAACCGTTGTGCAATATCCAAAAGATTTTTACGAGTGTCGGGCGATGCATTACGAAGTGAAACTTGCAATACCCGTGGAGACCACGAGCGCTGTTGCAACTTCATCATCGGGAGCGCGGCGGGAGGCCGCCAAAAAAGGCACCAAAGCGCCGCTCGGACAGGGAGACGGCCAGAGAAGCAGGACTTTGTTGTCAGAAACAAGCCCAGAGCACGACCCAATTGCCCAGCCGATTGCGCGGGTATGCGAAGAGTACTGTGAAGGGCTGTTATGGACCCTGAAGTACTACTATCGTGGTGTGGCCGAGGCAGGATGGATGTATGCCTACCCCCATCACTATGCGCCCTTCTTGTGTGACCTTCTTGCCTCGCCCTTCCTCCAATCCGGCGGTGTGGCGGACATGAAGTTTCGAATCGGGAAACCAGTCGAACCGTTCGAGCAATTGTGCCGCGTGCTCCCGTATCTTGTGCAGAAGTGCCGCATTCCCATTCGTTAAGTATCTATTTCTACGGTTGTATCTATAGCCCTAACGACCTCCTCGAGGGCGACACGAGGACGAGTCTGCGCTAAACGCATTCTACAACTCTTGTGGTCATCTATTAAAGAGCAGATGATTTGAAACTCATTCATTCTATCTTTGAAAGAGGAAATTCAAGAAACAGACTCGTGAAGCGGCACTTCTGCACAGGATGCGCCTCTGGCTTCCGCGGTGGGTGTACTCCCGCGTGAGTATTTGGAGCTCATGGCGCGCGAGACGCAGTTCTTTCCCAAGAGCCTTGTCATAGACACGGACGGTATGAAAACGCCCTGGGGAGGCACGGTACGACTACCCCTCGTGGATCCCGACGCGCTGCAGACGCTGCTGAAGAAGACGCGTTGGGTCGCCAGTGCGGAAGAGGCAGAACGCAACACGAACAAAGCCAACGCACTCCTGTACTTGAATATCGACTCGTGCCTCACAAAAGCGAACAAGAAGCTTACGTCGAGTGCTGACATTTCGACTGCTGGCCAACCGGTAGAATTTCAAGAACTGTCGAAGCAGGCTGGAAGTGGAAACTCGTGTTCGGCAGGAGAGCCCAGTACTACGAGCAAAGACGCTGATGGTGCCGGCACTGTTGTCGCTGGGAGTCGAAGTTGTGTGCTTTCCTCGTTGGACTTGCACTTTGCCAATACCACGACCTCCGGTACTGCACTTGGATTGGCGCCAGCAAAGGAACCGGCACAGCTTCTTACGCGGCTTCCCTCGCAACTACCTACGGACGCGTTCCAAACGCAACTTGAAGACGAGGCTCGCTCGGTAACAAGTTGGGCGAAAACAATGGAGCATGAACTGAACCCTCCTAGGCCCGTTGCGGTCTTTTCCTACCAAGTCGAGCCCGCAGATTTGCAGGACCGCCGCTTTTCCACGCGAGCGCTGGCCGCATCGGACGGCGAGGCAAGCCTGGAGTCTTTGTATCCCACTTGGCACGACGATGTCTCCTGCTCCTTGCAAATCCGAGAAACAGAAGGAACTGATGCATACCGCATTCCGATTCCGCCACGGGTACTCATTCCAGTGGAAAATCGCAGAAAGAAATTTCGGGGTGATTGGATTCAGCCAACGGTTGTGCTTTCGGTGCCCCGCTTTATTCCCGACCCCACTTCGAAGCTGATCCAAGGTTCAAGCACAAAAAAAAGCAAGAAGGTCCGTGGTAAATCTACAGCCCCCGCGCAAGAGGTTTCTCCTCTAGAAACCACGACATCTTCAAAGGCGATAGCTCCACCTACGGCGGTGGAAGTAGTTTGTTCATCATCTTCTTCGTCGCGGGCAGAACTGAGAAGTGACTTTGATTCGACACCGGAGCAAGTATCCAACGGTCCAGAGGTAGCGAATGGCACTACGACGGCTGCTGCCGCTGCGACAGTGGACGAGGGCCTTCCTAGCGGGCACCATCCACAAGCGAAGATGCCGCAAATTCGCGTTTTGCAGCGCCGTGCGCCTGCGACTGACGCTGCCGACCATGCAGCTGCGACCCATCTTCTTGCGAAAGAAGAAATAAGTGCGCCGGACCGAAGCGATGCAGAAACAATCAAGGCGTGCACGATAGACACTTCTCAGCAAGCACTGAAATTAGACTCGCAACCGCTTGCAAGTAGCGGCGGACCTACACAGGAGCAGTTTCTGGGCGAGGTCACGTCAGAAGCGACTGTAATTTCAATCGGACACCCCTGGATCCATCGACTGGGAGTTGTGGAGTACGTCGATCAGAAACCGACCCCGGCACTGCTTGAGCAAGTGTACCAGAGCGCGTGGGATCTTGCTCCGGGAAAAGCCTGGGTGCGATCTCGCGACGAAGTCGCCCACCTCCTAGCCGCGGGAGGGCGTCTTTCCAGCAAACGCGCAGAAGAAGAAGGTAAAAACGAGCGTGCGCTGAAACCCAGTCGCTCGAGAGCGCGAAGCCAGGGTCCTTCCGTATGGCGCGCACTTCTGGAAAGGGGCTTGCTGCCTGCACCGCTGTTGCACGTTCGGCCACTCGTACCCGGTCCGCGTGGACAAAACCGGTTGGCAAACTGGCTCGAGTATCGGATTTTGGACGACGTGAATCCGGTGGCCGCTACTTCGGAACAAGCCACTGCAAGAACTGGGCTCAGTAAACAAGCCGATTCGGAGAGCAAGCGAGATTTGCGAAGTAAAGAGATTCTCATGGCGAGGAAATGCAGCCAGGTCACTTCAGGGGTAGACAAGGAAGCGAATGATCTGGCAATGGGTGCGGTTCCATTCAAGAAAGTTGTCGCGCTGCCCGATCTTCCGGGAGTCGCGGAAACAAAAAATTCAGCAGTATTGTGTAACAATTTTCGAGCCAGCAGGTATTACGGGGAACTCGGGGTTCTTGCAAGAACGCAAAGCGAGGAATACGTGCGCGTTAGCGGATCCCTCATTGGATACCCCCTTCGTTTGCTCGATTTCGCAGCGCGCACAGCGTTCGGAGACCGCGAAGATTTCGCCGAACAGCTACAGGTGAACTGGAGGGCCGGCTTCTGTGGAGACGCCGAGCAACGGAAGGCGCGGCTGAACGCACTGGATCGCCCGCCATCGGACCAAGAGCTGGAAGACCTGCAGCAGGTCCTGGAGGACAGCCTGTACGTGTTTTCCCGCCCGGAACGGCGGCTGGCGCGCGAGGTTGACCGGTTGCTCGAGGTAGAGGAAGGTCGGAAAAAGTGGTACACGCTGCAGGAGGTCAGCCACGAGACGGGAGTGACCACATCCGGTCTCGAAATCATGTTCGGGTCGGTCCTGCTCTCCTGGTCCGAGAGCTTTCACGACAAAGAGAACGCTGGTATGAACCTGACCTGCCGGCAGATGGACGCGATCGCGCCCGCATCGCCGCACATACGGGTGGAAGAAGGGGAGGCAGGAAGGTCGAACAAGGTGAATAATTGCAGCAAGTCGTCGTCTTCTGCTGGAGCTTCCGGTGACGAGGCGTTCGCGTACGACCCAAATGTGGCACTCTCAGCCGCTTCCGCATCCTCCGCAGTCGGGCGAGGCACGGATAAGAAGGCCACTCAGACAAGAAAGCAGCGACCACCTACTTCCGGAGTTGTACCAAACAGCTCTAGCTCCACTTTCAATACGCCACGAAGCAGCTGCAATCGGGAGGACGACAGCGCAGTAGATGAAGAAGAAAAAAGAGAAGTGCTGGACCAAGCTCCGCAGACTTTTGGCACTGCTGTGACGAGCAGGCAGAAGACAAGTGTTGGTCGCGCAGAGTATGAGGTGCTCGGAAACGGAAAACAAGCTTTCGTAACCGAAACAGAAGCACAGAAGGACACCCCTGGCCTTGGTTTTAGGCGCACAGATGAAACAGATGCGCATCGCTGCCTAGATCCGTACTCCGCAACCCTCGCCACGGCGTCCTGTTTTCAGATCGACCTTGTTGGGAAAGAAGACAAACCACCGCGGTCGGCGTGTAGAATCGCAGCAGCACCGTGGTACGTCAAGCCTGGCTTTGTGCGCGCTGGGGTCGTTCGCGGCACGGAAACTGGAGAGACAGCCGGTGAGCGAAGGAGCAAACACAGGCGCAACCGTGATAGAAATCGTAGTGCGAAAAGCGTGGAAGACATTTCGTTTTTCTACAGCAGTGACGTGGTCAGCGCGGTGGAGAAGTATCGAGCGGCATGGCCGGAGATTTGGCAGTATGCGGAAAAAAACGGTACAAAGATCTTGAATGCACGCAGAGCAGAAGCGGCCGGCAAACGAAGCAGCAGCAAAAACAACAAGCGCAGCAGCAGGGATACCGAGGAGGTTTTTGACGCGGCTGCGGTTCTCTTTTGTCAAGAAGAAGAGGTCGAAGTGCACGAGCTCGATGCATCGGTCCTGAGGAATATGGTGTGCCAAGCTGCAGGCTACGTTTCGGAGCAGGCGTTTGCTGCGGCACCTCTGGTTCCCTGGACGCACGTCGCGCTTCACGATTCCACGGTCCGAAAGCTCGCTGCAGCGCTTGGCGTCAGCCCGTATGCCAAGATGGCGCCAATAGCAGCTGCAACCGCGAGTACTACAGCAAGTACCTTTACTTCGCGTCCTCTGCACATGATGAGCGATGCACCTGAGAAATTCGCAGGAGGTGAAATTTTCCGTCCAATCGACAGTGCAGCAACTGACGATCTGGCCGCAAATAAAGGTGAGGATCAAGAAGCGCTTGCCGACACTGTCTCAGTTTCAAGCAAGGAATCCAAGCGCCGAGGAAAAAAGAAACAAAAGAAAGGCATCCAGTTCAAAGCTAGCTCGCCCGAAACCAAGGTCGGATCACAGGGTGGCCCCTCGGCCATGATGAGCACGCTCATTCTGGATGAACACGGTGCGGAACAACGGGAGCATCAATCGGTAGGTCGCCAAGCGGCGAAGACCATCAATCCTGCAGGTGGAGGGAGTAATTTTGCGAGCATGCGGGGTCGTATACCGGTACCGGAGCCGCCTGTCATTTTGCTCGATGCGGTTAGAAACGTTTCTTGGGCGGAATGGTCGGGATCCAGTAGAAGTCCAGTTTCATCTGCGACTTCATCTTCAGATCAGCCTGATGTAATTCGCTCAAATCGAAACGTGCACCCACTTCCCCTCGGTACCCGCGTGCGCTGCAACTTCACGGACAAACAGACGCAGGACCAACTCCAGGGGAAGCAGGGAACTGTGGTTCTGGTACGGTTTGGTGACGAGGGCGTTGTACCACGTGGGGGCGAGAAAAACGCAGCCAGAACTACGGAGTCTGTTTCTTCAGAAGAATCTAAGAAAAACGTGCGTTTCTGTTACGATATTCTGCTGGATTCGTCTGCGGTTGGATGTGATTCTTTGCTGCTCCCGCGTCTCCACCGCATTCGTGCAGACAACCTCGTGCCACTTGAACTGCCAACTCCTAGCGGGGAAGATTCTACTCATTTGTTGCCTGCCGGAGTTCTTCTTGCTGATGAGAATGCCAAAGTCCTGCCTGACAAGGTCAAGGAGGAGACCAGCCACGTACCGGACTCAGGCGGAAAATACAGTCCGTGGAATTTTCAGCCCCGACAGGTCACGGAGATGTTCTCTGCTTACAATATGGCCTCGTTGCCCGCTGGTCCCAGCAAAGCTGACCCCGGGACGATTGCCGGAGAGAAAACAAAAAATTTCGACAAGGACAGAGGCTTCTTCCAGCACTGCATTCTCGGGGAGCCTAAGTCTCGCACCCAGGAGGCCAAGGATATCAAAAAAGTGACGAACAACAACATCGTACAGGAGTGCAGCAGCACAGCTAGAGCCGCGCCGGAAAGAACAGAGCCTTCGCAGGATGTTGACGCTATTGTGAATACAAACCAACACCGCGGCGGGGAATTTGTTATCCCGCGAGTTATTACGCGGAATGCGGGACCAAAGAAATCAGTACCTCCTGCGGAACAAGCTGCAGAAAAAAATCGGGACAGGAATCATGCTGAGACCCGACAACATCCGGTTACTGGAATCCAGGCTGCTTCCGCGAAAACTCTTCCTCGGACATCAGACAAGGCACAAGTAAAGACACGTAAACGAAAACTGGTGGCGGGTTCAATGCCGACGCCCGTGGATGAAATGATTGACTCAGCGAAGGCGGGATCGGGAAAGGATGAACAACACTTGCCGCCGGCACGACAGACGGATACATCAGTAAATACGGAAAATTTACTCGCAAAGCCGGTGACCGTGGTCCCCAAACCTTTCTTGGCATCCGAGGAGAGTGAGCAGAAACCGCCCCGGAATAAGAAGAGCGAACAGAAAAAACGACAGACACAGAAAGCAAAACAGAGTCACGCGCAGGCTCGATTTTTGTCTGTAGAGGACGATTAAAAGTAAGCATACATTCTGAGACTACATGTCACCATCGATTGGCCTCATCGATTTCACAGCGCGGATTTAGTTAGTAGCTCGTGATCCACCGCCCCGTCAGGAAGAGCGTGTTCATTTTCGAGAACCTTTCAAGATCCACGCGATACTCTCCTGCTGGCGTTATGTACTAAAGTGGGATCTTGATCTTCTATCATTTCATATTCTTTGTCTTGATCGACGATGTTGGTCCAAGCGGGCGTGCCGCTAACCATTCGAAGATCCGACATAGCGTCTGATCTACTTAGTTGGACCGAGCAGTTGTGAGATACCATTGATCCTCGATAAGACAACATTGTCGCAGGTTGACGGACATGGAGGCACATTCAGATCTGACTCAACCTACCAGAAGTCGATCTTGTTGTGCTGCCCATTCTTACTCCCGCCGCACACGAGATCTAGCTCTATTTTTGCGGCCGAGGTGATCTACTTCTGGACTTACAACTTATTGAATCTGTGCTCTGCAGAGCACCGCAAGCAAGTAGATCAAGAACTGTGCTCAACAGCCAGTAACATTAACGCAGTAAGTAGGCGACATTGTCAATGTTGAGCGAACACGGCTCTCCCCTAATGTGACTATTCTTGTCGCTGTTTGACTGAATTCGCAAAGCAGGAAGAAAGACCTAGGCCATTGAAATATTGGGATTGACACTTTTAGAAGAATCAGGTATAGCGCCAAGGTTGGTGTGTACAGATTCTAAAGCAGTAGATCATTTACATTTTTGTCCGATCACACGTTGACCGCTTTATTTTCTTTGGTAAGGAAAAGTAAACAAAAACAAAATTTGTATTATTGGGCCCGATAGCGATACCATCGATTTTCTAACGGTCCAATAAACCAAGAAGTTGTAGTATTGGTGCAGTTCTGCGGCTGCTACTTTTTGGTCACTCCTTTCGACTAGAACCAATAAGAAATCCGAACCTCGAGGCTGTCGTTGTCTCGATCCTTTGTCCGGAACGAGGAAAACAATAAATTTCAGCGCCCCAACGCGAACGCACACCTCCGCAGGAACGCCAGAAGTGAATATTCACCGCCAGGCTACCCTTTGTGGATTGATTTGGGTAACTAGTACTACTTTCCACCACAACGTCAACGGAGAGGAGAACCGAAGGTGATTCTGGAACACGAGCGCACGAAGACCAGGGCACTCCGTCTCGAGGCAGATGAAGACGAAACAGCAGCAAAGCCAAATGTTTGTGGTCTCTACTCCGGCGCGCAGAAGCGCGCAAGCGCTTGCGGGGTGCTTTATGGTTTCTCTGATCATGCACGCAAATGCCGCCAGCTTCGGTGGAATGGTCCAAACTCCATTTTTATGCAGTGCAAATAGCGCCTCTCAACTTACTTTTTATTTCGTCATTTTCTAAAACTAAAACTGGTACACGTGCTATTTACGATGAATTAGTCCTCTGCTCCTGCGTTGCAAGAATGCCGGAGCCGGACCAAGAATTTTTTTCTATGTGGTACGCTTTTTTATTTTTTCATTCAACGTTCACGTCCTGCAGGAGCAGGACGCGTGTTGGTGAAAAAGACTGACCAGATTCAATTCTCTCGAGTAACAAGGATGTATGCGAGAGTGTATTTGCATTGTACACTCGCAGGACGAAATACGGGGTTTTCCCTGGCTCGACCCCAAGAAGCCCAATGGCAGTGTTGACCCGCCGAGTCAGACGGGGGTGTGGTTTGCCCAAGGCACGGTGCAAAAGGCCTATCTTCTCTGCAACGCTGGCCTCCCGTGGTCCACCGAAGACTCCGAACACCGCCGAAAATTTCAACCTGCGCGCCGGGTGGGAGAGCCGAACGCGGACAACAGGTCCCAACCGTGGGAGCGCAACGGGCGCCGAAAGCTGGCCCGAGAATGGCCGGGGAGAAACGGCGTTCCGCAGCCCCGGATCTGGGCCGATCAGGACGAAGGCACGGTCTGGGAATGGTGGGACGTGAAGGAGGGGCTGGGCGCGCATCCGGAAGACAACACAGAATGCCTCATTGAGGCTACGACGCTCGTCAACCCGGACTACGCAGCGCTAGCCCACCAAAGCAAGAGGCTTCTGGTCCTGCCCACCTTGTGCCAAGAGATCGTAGACGGGCCAGCGAAGGATGGGGGGGATCCGACAGCGGATCTATGATGAGGAAAAGAACTACCGTCGCCCCAGATGAAACAATATATATAGAAAATGAATATCCTCGCTGTTGTCTATCACTCGCAGATGCTACATGCAAACAACGTACCAACGTGCATCTTTTGTCTGGTATGTTCGCATAAAAAAGAGTTATATGTGCAATATTGCGACTTGAAGAGCCGGAACGACGACCAATGAAGAAGAAGTTTGCGAAGAAAAGGTATGAGCGCAAGCACATTCACGTTCACATTGCGCGCAAGTTTGTTGTTCTTTGGCATTTTCTGTTCTTGTGAAAGTGAAAGGATAATGGAAGGAAGGTACTACAGCGACGCAGGTACGAAATTTTTCATGCTTGTCTGAGGGCGACGTCTTTGTTCCCCGTGACAAACATTCGTGTCCGACCAGGGACGTAAGCGCTGCCGTCACTACAACGTGAGGTTCGATAGGAGCGCCCACGACGAGGAGAAGCGCAAGCAGCGATACACGGCGGCACCCGAACCAAAAATGAGCAACCCGCTGGACCAGGGCGTGCCAAGTTTCGCGCAAGTCGCCGTGGACCAGGCGAGCGCCACGCGCGACTTCCAGGGACTGGTAAGCGAGAAAAACATCGAGAAGTGGGTGCACCTCGGCATGCAGTACGTGAACTTGCGGTCGATCCAAGCGGGCTTCCAACGCGGTTCCGTCTTCAATGACGTTATGGCAGATTCCCCGGAGGGCGACGACGTCGACGATGGAGGAAAAGCGGACGCTGCGCGGAAGCGGGCAGAAGAAGCGGAACTGCAAGAGGAAATCGAGCAAGCGACCAAACAAATGGAAAAGATGATTCGGATGCAGCTCAGCGAAGAGCAGAAGCAAAATCTAGGAGAGGAGCTGCGAGAGAAGTTCGAGGCAAAAAAATTGGCCGAGGCCGAAGGGGCAAAACGCGCGGCCGCGGCAAAGAGGGAAGCAGAGCTTGCCAAGCGACAGCAGACAGACGACAAAATGGGCATGGAGCTGGGGGCTGACAAAACACGAATCGTGGATCCGGTCTTTGCTGTGTCTCTAGAGATGGGCGGCCTCGCGCAACTGCGGTATCTCGCCGAGCACGGGCGCAGACGCGGCGTAGGTGTCATTGTGGATGTGTCTTTCACGGAAATTGGCCACGTGTGCAGCCCCAAAGGCTACGACTTTGCCTTCACCGCCCTGACTGTGCCCTGCGTGTGGCTGCAAAATAACGGGGGCGCGATGGCAGCCGCCGCCGGGGCCCAGGCAGGTGCGGTAACCCGGGTCGTTGCCAATCGACCAAATTGGAAGAAAAAACCACTTTGGGCAGCCATGGTCGGCTTCATGCGTCTTCTTCTCATTCACTCTCAAGTGGCTGGCTTTCGGATCCAGAACACAAATCAAGTCCTGCGCGACTATGACCCGTCAGGTACTATAAATAAGGAATCACTTCTTGAACAGCCTGAGTTTTCCCGAGCTACAAGCGGACTGGTGTTTTTTCTCACGCGGATTTCTTAGAAGGTTGCATGTTCGCGTTTGACACATTTTTTTTTCGAATTCCATTTCAGGTGCCACGCCTACGGACGTATGCCAAGTGAAGTCCCGACTTCATTTGAAAGACAGCGACTTTCAAACCTTCAACCAGCTCGCGGCCCTCGGGGAGGATGGGTTTGTGCGTTTGAATGACGCTGCCACATCCACGGCCTGCTGGAAGTACTGCGCCCGGATTCCGGATTGTGAAGGGGCAGTGTGGCGACACGAGCGTGCGCGTTCCCAGAAAGACGCTTGCATGCTCATCAATGAACTTGCCTTGGAAGACCCGAGGGAGCAGCGGTAAGCACTTGTTAAGTAAGTACTCACTAGAAGACTTTGATCAGCACCCCTTTCTCAATGTACTTGATGTCACAAAAATTTCTTTGCCCCGTTTGTCCTTAGCATTGTTTGCGGGTTGACCTTTACCTTTTCTTTCGTGGACGCTGATTTTGGTAGCCCTCATCAAAGAGAGGCTTTGCTTTGTGTCGTTGACTTAACAGTTGTGATGCAAATTTCCAGGTTTTCGCCGAACTTTTTGGGCGGAAGGACGCAGGCGCACGACCTAGATGAGTACGTCGAAATGGAACCAGCATGCCGCCAAGTTCTCACGACTCTATCAGGTGCGAACTTTTGTTTTATCAAACTATCCTCGAGTTTCTTTCTTGTACTTCTTTGTCAAGCCATTCTTTGCTTCGACCCGCTGAATGAACTTCGCGAAAGCTGTTCTTGCACGAGATGAACGTCAGAGCCGAAAAAGAAAAATGGAATATGAAAGAAATCAAACAGGACTGGCCGAGACAGATGATACGGCGACTGAACGTCAATCACTGGGGGAGGGAGAGGTACGACGAGACGATGCTGGGCACCAAGCACTCGATGTGGAACAAATGGAGGTAGAGCTTCGAGACACTTATAAGAAGTGCGCGGCACTGGTGCCGCGCACGGTGTATATTGCGGGTTCTGACGATGGGGACTACGCACAGATCGCAAACCAAGACCTCCCTCCCTCAGTCGCAGGATCGGCGGTCACAAATTACTGGGAATGCCGACGAAAGTACGGCAGCAATCAAAACTAGAGACACGACCAGAGAAGAAGGGTGGATTTTCCTTGTGCACTTTATGTTCGTTCTTTTTCACAACATGCATGCGACTGCAGCGTACGAGTGATGTGAATCTGACGGCCGATTCACGAGTTATTTCCTGGAGGCCACAGCGAGACCATATATCGATATCGTCTCATGGATGCTTCCCTCCGCGCAGTCGATCTTGATGAATGTATACCGCTGACGCGTCACCGTCACGTGTTGTAAGTGCAACCTCTACTTCTAGAAAAATTTGCGCGCTGCCACCAACAGATGAGAAGACGCAGCGAAAGCACTTGTGCAGATTCCTTCCTTTTCTAGCTCGTGTCAATGGTTTTGCTTTCATAAGCGTTGCGCGCGTACAAAAGGATGCACCGCCTGGTCCTTCGTACAAGAGAACGACGAAGAACAATCTGCCGGCTGTAACCTGCTGAAAACCCCAGGAAACTCTGGAGTCTTTGCCGAAAAGGATGGGGCAATGATCTTGTCATTCCCTGGAGCTATTTCCGGGTCTTGCCAAGTTCAAAAGAGTACAGATGTTACATTGATATATGAAGATCTATTTGTATTTACTTCGGACGCGCCCCAGAATGATGATCTTCACTTACATTCATGTAAAGATTCACTTGCCAATCAGTTCTCCACCTGGACCGCGACGAAAGATTTCTATCGAGCTTGATTGAGAGTGTTGTGTGTTTGGCCACTCGCAACGGGTTTGCCCCGCTTGTGTGGCCGGCATTGACTTCCCGATTGATTCTGCAAACATCTCAAACGCAGATCCGACTCCCCGAAACCACGACGAGGGGACATGGAAGGCAAGTGCGGCGGGCGCCGATTTCCTCAAGACCGCAAGTTATACGATCCACCGCAATTACGCGAACGAGATGGCGGCCTTTGTTACGCAATTAGAAAATACTGTTGACCTCGACCCTCGATCACTATCGGTGTCGTGTTTTTCTTCTGCCCGACAGAATTGATGAGGCATTAGCACACATGGAAGAACCATGCTACGTAATACATGATGTCCGTTTTTTTTAGCACGTGATGACTTCTGTATGTTGCGCTGAATCAGTTATACGGAAAAATATCCGGTACTAGGAGGAATCTTTGTCATCCCGGCAAGTGAATTTGAAAATGCAATCGAACTCCTGTGTGTGGTCGTGGTGTGTGTGTGTGGGTGTCTGTGTGTCGTGTGTATCCGCGATACATAGCGATAGTGATGAGGTTTTTCTCCCTATACTTTGTCTCGGCAAGCGCTTCGGTGACGACAGCATGCGCTTCTACCGTATCCTTTTTCTGGGTGATGACGATACATTCGCGGAACGGATGAATCTTGTCGAGACCTCACACGCCGACGTGAACGGGGGTGAGGAAGGAAGCCGATACAAAATAGCTTTCGACGGAACGACACACGCAATGCTACCACCGAGTGACATAGGCGGAGCCTCCCTCAGCGATCTTGCCGGCAGATTTCGGCAAGAAAACAGCTACGGCAACAGGGCGTCGCCAAACACCGTTCTCGCCCCCGTGCGCAAAGACGACGAGCTGCGCTGGGTCAGCAGGACACTGAAGCAGCTATCCAGCACGCCCCGCCGCTCACCGCGCTCCGGTGCGGTCGTGGAGCAAGCGAACCTAGCGACTGCTGCAAGCTCCGTGTTCTCCGACCCGCAGAATCGGGGAGTAGCGTTGAAACACAATCTCTTGCAGCATTTGTTGCTGGCATTGACGCGCGGAACGATGCACTTCGGACCCGGCACGGAATACCTCGGACTGTTGAAGGGACCACTATTTCAGCAGTGGAGTAAAGCAGGTTTCCAGCTCTTGTGGCAGGCATTCGCATTTACCGCTGGGCTGATCCGGTTGCGCAAGCAGTATGACGCGCTCCGCGACGGTGCAGTGTGGCTTTTGCCGGCCCAGCCGGGAACGCTGCTCTTCGAGAAGGCCAGTCCTTCTGCCGCCTCGGTTTTTGGACTGCTGCGATCGGCGCAGCATGGCGGGGGAGACACCGACTCCAGAGACTACCGCACGTCTTGGTGGATCGGCTCTTTGAGTAGTGCGCGCAGGTATATCCTTGGGGGGCAAGAACAGGCATCTGCTGCGGCCCGTGGTAGAAGTGCCGGTGCCCTTCCTCCGACTCTTCTCCCGCGCCACTTGCGCGCACGCATACTTTTGGACACGAAGCGATTGTATGCCTATTCCGCTGCGCGTTCGGCGGACGGCGAGCGAGCTTCGCAGCAAGGCCCGTCGGGAGGCGCGGCGCATGCGTCGGGAACGGAGTTCCTTCGTCGAGAACAATCCGAGCAAGAGTTGTTCCCGAGCGCCCCGGCTGCACAGCAGTTCAATCCACCGAGTCACGCTATGAGTGCCGAATTCCTGAAGACATTCGCGGGGACAGATTTTGAAGTGCAAGAAAAACTGAAGCAAAATTTGCGACAAAAGAGCACGACGCATTTCAGAAGTCTCTTCACGGGAAAAGAGTGGGAAGACCTGGAGAAAAAACTCTTGGCCCCACGGGGGTCCTCTGCTGGACGCGCAGCTAGAGGTCACTATGATCCTAGTGCTGCTGCTTCCACATCCACCGCGTCCGCCACCCCCGCGGTTTCGCTAGAAGTTTCGACGGCCGGCAGCAGTGGAGCGTCGTCTGCCGAGACGCCAGTAGACCACAACCGCTTCGGCTCCTGGTTGCCCCCCCACACGCACCGCAATTTTTTACCGGAGTTCGCACCCGTCGAAGAATGCGACTTCGATCCCTCTGAACTTTGCGTGCGGGCGACGGTGGAACCCGGAACCGCAGTGCTGCTCTCACTCGAATTCGCCGGCGGCGATGTAGTTGAGCAGCATTCTCGAGAGGACCACGTGGCTGCCGAGGTGAACAATTATGCTGACCAGGCCGAGGAACAAGGGGACCACGAGATAGGCGAACAAGACGAGGCTTTTCCGGTCGCTGGCCGCGACGCGGAGCCGCGAGAGGGGATGCCCTTCACCTACTGGCTAGATCCGCTCGAGAAAAAGGACTGTGCCTCCCTCGGTGCGGGCGTACTGCGGACGGCCTACGTCACCGAGACGAGCGCGGCGTTGGAAGAGCAGCCGTGGTCCGCGGGAGTCGCGGCAACGGAGGCGATCGTCGATCTTCCCGCGCGCTTGGCGCAAGTCAAAAAGTTCTGCATGAACGACCCCCGCTGTGTTGGCGTTGCGGAGGAGCGGGCGGGGCCCGGCTCCCTGGTGGGGCACCATGGGGTGCATAACTTGTGGCTCCTGTACGGCACCGGCGCGGGCGGCGGCGCGGCCCGGTCCCTGCAGCTCGAAAAGTGCAGCAACAGCGACGACTATAACACGCATGTAAAGGCGACGAAGCCCGAGTACTTCTTGCGCCGTGCGGGATACGACTGCCTATCGGATTCAGTCCGTGGGCTCGCGCAAGTATCTGGCCCATACCAAAAAACGCAATGGAGCCTCCTGCAAGTGGCCCGAAAGTGCGAGGAAGACCCTACATGTATTGGGGTGCAGAACGCCAGCATCGACAACAACGAACGGCAGGATGCTCTATGGCTCCTACACTCACATGAAGATCACCAAGTTTTACCCGGAAGTTCGAACATCCTCGGAGCCTGCAGTGTCGCGGACACTGAGTTGGGGCTGGTGACTTTTTGGGAAAAATTCAACGAAAATAATCGAGCTAACGACGCTGCTTTGACAGACTTCATGGAGGCAAATTTTGGACAAGAGCAAGAGGAAGGCACGGCAAATGATGGCGATGCAGTTCATGATGTTGACCAGGTTGCGGATCAGTTGGAAGGCATGAACCTCGGTCAACAGTAGCAGGTAACAGGATTCCTGACCTGATACACAAAAACTTAAATGACCCCGAGGGGCCGGTCCATCGTGACTGGTGATACAGATTGTATAATTGAAGACCGTGTGACTGAGCTTTTCCTTTTCCCTGTACTTACATAACAAGACATAAAGATTATGATTGTTGCTCTCCCGTCGCACAATAGTAATTCATCTGTTTCTGATTTTTTGCAGTACGGACACGATGTGCAAACGAAGTTTGGATTTGACTTGCATACAGAAAAAAACTCTGATGGGAATGGCGCTAAGCGAGTCAGAACAATTTATTTTGCGCAAAACCGATAGGTAGACATGGCATGGTGAAGACGTATACATTGCAAGTAGGTCTGTTTGATTTCACAAAACCATTTTCTAGATAGACAGCATATGTTTTTAGCTCACAGATGAAATGTACTTGTTATGTATAAAAGTAAACGCTACGGCATTGGTGATGACACGCAAGAGGAAAATTTTTAAGGTGGGCAAGACTGCACAATAGCAGCGAGCTGGATCGTCGTTGGTCTACTTTCTGTTGGCGTCGCAATAACTTGTGTTGTTTACTTACGCAAATTTAAACCAACGAAAATTATGTCTCACTCTTTTCCTAGAGCTAGAGCTCTACACATTTATTCCCCAGGAATTCTAGCGCTGCGAGGACTACAACATAACCAGCAGACACGAAGAACATGTACATCAAAGGTATGACATATAGCGAGATAATATGAGAAAGAATAAGAAACATAATAGAGAACGTCAAACGAAATTGGCCAGAGCAAGCTACCTAAAGAGAAAGGCCCAAGGTAGCAGTGGAAGCGAGAGATCATACTTCACGCCCCGCCTGTACAATCTGGCTTTTATCCCGGGTCTTCGTCTTCTGTAGCCGCGTCTCCACAGCAAAAACGCTCGTGATCGTATGGTGTCGCACTGTCTACGTAGAATGACAATTTCAAGTGAGGGTTCTGCTAGCATCAACAAAAAATAGAGAAGTGAAAAGCACCACGGAGGGCACGACAGCAAGCACATGACTTTACGTTGCATCGGTTCAGATTTGTCAATGGCTGTAGATCTGGACTCAAAAAACGTGTGACAAAAATTTCGAGGATTTCGTGCGAGTTGTATGGTAGGCTTCGACATCGAGGCCCTGAAAATAGAGAGACAGGGCAGAGGATGCGCGGCAGCACCACAGATGACACGTCGTCGCGGTCCTTGTCGCAGTGATCGAATGCTCCGTTTGTTTCTTGTGACTGCGAGGGCGCTGGTTATCGTTTCATTTACTAGTTCTTCTTCGTGTGTGAGTGTGTGGGTGCGGGTGGGTGGGTGAATCGTCCCAACAGAGGCGCCGGAAGAATCAGTTTCGCAACACCAGGCGTAGTTGTTTCCTCAGACTGCAGCTGTCACAATTGATAATTTTCATCTCCTACTCGTGGTGGACGTAGTGCTATTTCAATTTTTCGCGTTCCGATTCCAACCAGCGTCAAGAAGTAGTCGAGCGTTTGCGACTTTAAAAATCGGCTTCTATTTCTGCATCATCTTTGCGCAGAAGCAAACTAACATAAGTGGTCTAAGCATGGCCTGTTGTGGCACCGACGGTCGGAAAGAAAAGGTACAGGATGTCTCGTACCCTGGCCCGATTCAGCCGACCGCAACCGTGTCCCTACCGCCACAAGATCTGCGCGCAACCCCCTCGGCCGAGCAGGAGCGTGACTTTGTACGCATTTTCCAGCAGCAAGGTATCTACCTGCTGAACGAAGAAGAGGTCGATCCGGTCTTGCTGCAGCACGACAAGAAAGTGCAAGACCCGGACGATATCATCGAAAACTTTCTGGGTCTCCTGCGGGACCACGACCCTGCACGAAATCTGAAAGGTACACTAGTAGAACGAAGCACTGGAAAATAGCAATAGTTGTTATTCTTCTTGGAGCACTGGACAATAGCAATAGTGGAGAAAGAAAAATTCCCATCTGTAAACTTTTCGATATCAGACTTCACCGACGAAGAGCTTCGGAGATACGTCGCAAAGCACATTTCGGTGTCCGAAAGCTTTGACTTCTGCATGCGCGAACAACTTGCTCCGCTTTTTTTGCAGCCCGTGTACCTGGTCCTCCTTACGCCACAACATTCAGCACCGGGCGCAGGTACGTAGTAGTAATAGTGAAAGTGAAAGAGGACAAGGAAGACAATGACAAAAAGCCGCTTTCGAATTGTACCAAGAGGCGAAATTGCATATTTTACTGTTAGTTTGTTTTTTCTTTTCAAAATGTTTCTGTGTCCATTTCGCGTCAGGGCTTCGGGCTGTCACAAGAATGGCGTGCGATTACATTCAAACCGACGCATTCTCATTCATCATGCACAAGGTATTGTCGTCGTCATCTATGGGTTTGTCGCAGAGGCAGCGAAGGGGCATCTGCAAGTCGTGGGTGACCGACCGGAAACGAAACGCACTCCTTGGATTGCACGGCTGGAACTCAACCTGCGTGACTCCACGCTAACGCACACGGTGTTCCCGCAGAACCGTTCCGCTGCGTTCACGGACTCCAACAGTTTCATGATGAAAGACCTCGACGCACTGCGTGCGAAATACTTTCGCTCGAGTCCAACCAGCTGATCAAGCGAGGAAAAACGACCGGGCACTGAAGTACTCAAACCAAGGACGATCTTCAGTACTAGAAGGCAACCGAACGAAGTGCAAAGAACAGGTGAACAAGTCAACCTTACGGCACGAGGATGAGGACGACCCCGTGGAGAATCGCGACGCTACGGCACGATGAAGACGACACCGCGGGGGATCGCGACTTGTGAAAAACAAGAAGGAACAGTTGAGAACAAAAACCACCTCGCGAAGGAGCTCAAAGAATCCGCAAGCAGCCTGTTAAGGAGGGAAACGGCAAGAAGTGGTCGTAAGCAGTAGCTGGAAGAAGGACGAAACAAAACACGTCACCGGCGAGAGAGCTGCAGTCAACGCAAAACACCTTCCGTGGGCAGAAATGGGCATGGGGAAGCTGTGTGGTGCCGACGGGCGTATTAGAAGAACCGCTGGACATCGTGGCCGATTTTAGCATCACGACCACAGGGCCACCCAATCCACTTCCATGCGAGAAGGACAACTGCGTGAAAAACGAAATACTAGAGAGGAATACCTCTAGGGGAAGGCTTACCAGAAACAAGGAAATATCAAGAGACCTCGGCCACATCGCGACGAGACCTTGAGCGTAGCGGCCCATGCAATGAAATTTCAAAACATGAAGAAATCGGGACTCATTCGACTGTTCTTGAACCAACTCTGAAATTCGTTTAAGCCATCATGAGATTGACAATCGCGGCACAAATTTTCGTAATGTGTCTGATGAAGATTTGAATAACCATTACCATGTGACAAGCACGCTCATTGTGTCTGACAAAAAGTCATCCTCGCCTTTCTGGACAAGGTTCCGGGCAGATACTTATTTAATATTAGACGATGACGATCTAATCTCTTTTTTACCTTCGCTCAGATGCGCGTCGCGCCTGCACATATACATCGATCAATTCTTTCACTTCAGATCCGATGCTACTCAGGATAATAATAAACCTTCATCTATCGAAAAATATTACTTATCGATCTTCGAAAGAACAAATGATAGAAATAATTTCTCGAATCAATATGGTTACTCCGAAAGCGGGGGTCGTAAAGTCGATGGTGCAGAACTTCGCTATTTGTAGTTCAAAAGTTTCAGAACAACAAAAAACGCAAGAGGGTTTTTCTGTGTCCCAGGTACAGATTATCGTGGTGGCGTCGCGCGTGGCTCCACCTCCTGTGATGCATCAGCTTCGCAGGAGCGCCCGGCTTAGCGCCATGTATGGTGCGTAGCGCATCATCTGAAGGTTGAGGGAAGTCCTAGTGTCTCTCAGGAAAAGTATTGCAAAGTGCGGGCACTGTAGCAAAAGTTTGAACATGATGTGGCCAGGTGTGGTCTTCTATATGCTTACGAAGCAGGAACAGCTCGCCCTGGGCGAGCGCTTCCGAGTTGTAGTAGGAATCCCGTCGGGTAGACAGGTCGGCTCTGCCCCAGCAAGTAGCTGGAAACCTTCGGGCAAACAGACGGGCCTCTTGCGTTTGCGTTTTTCGCATCTAGTTTATTTTAGAATTGAAGTAGCAGGTGGAAGTCACATCCGCCTGACGATGATGCTATTGAGGGCTGCTCTCTTTTTTGTTTCTCCTTCTCGAGATAAAAAAACGATAACGAACGTGACAAGCTTACTCCCTCGCTTTGTGGCGCGAATTACATACCGGGCTCTCCCGTTTATTCTGTTGATTCTTGCACACGCCAACCTATGAGTATGAAAATCAAAAATAATCCGAGCGCCGTCGCCCAGCAGGAATTTCGGGAGGGCGGTGTGTGGGAGCTTGTTCTCCATGCGTTGGGTTCGTTGGATGGCAGTGCTGGCAAACCGTGCCACTGAGGATTCAATCAACATGCAGAACATGGCCTGGGAAGGAGCTGCGTTGGAGCGGGAGAAAAGGTCACATTTATTTTTCACCATGGCATGTGAAGCGCAGCTTTTTCGCAATAGATAGGAGCTTTTTGTTAGCTTTTGCATCTCGCGATGAATAGGAAATATGCTGGCATCGATCATTTGCATTTTTATCGTCCCCGCCCGCGAGTTTGTGTCTTTCTTTTCAATTTCATTTTGAGCTCGCGAGCGCATGTGCGAGCGCTTTAGTTTTTGGCTGTTCGAATCCTAACTCAAACTCAACTGCTCGAGGTATGCCGTTTTCGTCGCCGTGTGCTGGAGCCGGCCTATCAGCGCAATTCCAAATAGCCCGGCCGACCTTTGGGACGAGCGCGAAGGTGGCAGTACAGCTTCTGTCTCTCTGGGGTGAAAACTGCATTGCTCTCTGGGGAGCGAAAGGAGGCGCATTGCTGCGCAAACACGGACTGCAAGGAGGGGCAGCGCAGGTTGTCGGCGACGGAGTTGGGCTTGGGGCACACCAAAGACTTCTACGTCGGCGCTAGAAGTTTTGGCATGGCCACTGCGACGGGGGCTGCACGGTCGGCGCTTTTTGTCGGTGGAGCACGAGCGGCTGCGGCACTTCCCATGCCATGTGTTTCCGGTGGATGAAAGCCCGATGCTCGCGAAGTCATGAGGAGCGGGTACCAATAAGCCGAGGGCCAACATCAAGATCGAGAACAACTTGACACGGCAGCTGCGCGCGAGGACAGGCATTGGAATAACGGGGCGGAAGTCGCTGCGCGTCCGTTTGAAGGCGGGACGCTTTCGGGATGGCCGCGCGGACAATTATTGCAGCCGGAGGCCGCAACGCGGCATTTTTTGGAAAAGTCAAGTGGGCTCGTGCTGCGGATTTGTCTTGCGTGGCAACCAAGCAGGACCACGGGGCTGCAGCAAGAGCAAGCTAGGAACTACAAGTAGCAGTGCGAAGATGGATTAACATGCAAAGAGCATGAAACTGAGGGTGACCACGCCCGCAATTTCTGAATAGCGGAGCACTCAGACTCGTGCGCGATGTTACCTGGACTCGTGGTCGTGCGCGATGTTACCTAGCTTACCTAGAAAATTACGCGACAAAATTTCTCGGCTCTGAGTCTGCGCACGATCGAATGAGCTGAGGAGAAGAGCCTCGAGCTTGATTGGTAAGTATCAAAGGCTCTGCAGGTCGTGGCTCTTGATTTTCACTTATAGTTATAGCGATAGACATACGCGAGCTTCGTTGATCAAGAAGTTGAAGGAAAAAACAGGAAGCAGGCGACAAAGTGTTTACTTGCGCAAACGCAGTGCGTTCTTTCGCGCCTTGTCTCGGAAGCGTGGCGTGATCGATGTTCCCATCGTCGTCCTGTGTTGTTCGCGTCCACCGAGGCTCCGTACGACCGCGCTGTTGTTTGGTGACGAGGCTGAAAGTCATAACACGAGAACTGTCTCTTTGGCACGGAAACGGAAGAGCAAACAAGATCCAATGTCTGGCCACGTTTGGGCACGAGTGCGCCCGTGTGCGAGTTCGCGTGGCGCGCTCGGTTTTAGCATGATCCGCCGTGCACTTAAGCGGCTGGTTGGTAGACCGTGCCTCTTTGATGAAGTGGCTTCTTTGCGAGTCGAAGCCTAAATTTAAACGCAAACGCATTCGCTATCGATAGATTGGATTTTAGTTTACAGTGCCAAGCTGATGCCTATATAAAGCACGATGTCTTTATTTGTACTCGAGCCCTGTTTCCCTGGATTCCTAGGCTTTTACTTCTAGCTCTGAAATTAGTACTAGATGGCCAAAGTCTAAGTCAAAAGACAAAATCGAAAGCGCCACTCTGGCTATTCGGCTCCGCGAACGTCTCAGGGAAGGTTTTCCTCGCCCCCGCAGCTTCCTCCGCAACGAAGCCGGAGTCACGAAGCACCTCTTCAACATTCTTGGCGCGACATCAAACGAAGGGGCCGTCGGCAGCAAAACTAACCCGCCCCCCGAACCCGACCGGGTCGTCGTCGTGGCAGCCGCCCGTAGAACGAAGGCAACTCGCCATCGAGAAGAAGGGTCCGCGTGTTGCGTCGTTGCGCATACGACCCACGGCCCCAGGTGCAGCAAGCACACGCGGCGAAATGGCGCAAGCAGCGGGGGAGGCCCTGAACGTCTTTTGGGCACCCAGAGGACCATCGGACTACTGGTCCATTTTCCTTTTTGTTTCTGAGCGTTGGTGCAGGCACCTTCTGGCGTTGGAGGGAGAGGCAGCTGCTTCAACAAGTCCAAGCGCGACGTGCAAGATTTCTCTGATGCACAAGAGCGAGCTATTCGAAGCCGGTGACTACGCTTACGCAACTCTGTCGGTCACGGGCAGCCAGGTGGATGAGTGGATAAAGAACCACGGGAGAGCAGAAGGTGCGGCGTTTCTATTTTTTCTTCTTTTGCGCTCCGGCTACAGTCTCCTAGTGAAGCTTCTCTTTGGATTTTGCATTGCAATATGTGGGTTTTGGGTTGATGAATGGCTTTCATGCTAGCAGAGCCCGGCCTAATATATGGTCGGCGAGAACAAGTAGAGGCTTTCCGTTTCAGTTTCAAACCCATCTTGGTCAGTTTGTGACTGCAGCCTCCCCCGGCCCAGTGCCAGTTCAAACGAATTCAAACCAACCGCATTCCAGGTAGCGACGATATTTCGCACAGGCGGTCCCGCCTCATCGTGCGCACCGCATCGACGAAGACGGACTGGGAGGACCGGTGCAGATCAACGCTGATCCTGGTTTACGAAATGTCGCCGCTTTTCCTCCATGACTTGGAGCAGGCTTTCCCCGGCACCGCGAAAATCCCCCAGGCAAAATTCCGGCAAGAAGCGAAGCGGTTGATGACTAAGGACGGCGCCGCGGCTCGATACTGGAAAAAAATGCAGTACTGGCGGTCGAAGGAGGACGATGTCTACCGGGAGAAAAGTCAGTCGGAGCTTTGGGGCAAGCTTGAGGACAACGTGCAGAAACTTCGGAAAACCGACGCGGGCGGCAGCCGAATGGACAAGACCGACCTGATGCGACACGCGGTAGATGCGTGCGGTGTTTGGAGCGCCAGCAAAATGGTGTTGTGGATGCAGCACAGCTACAGAACCACGCTGGGGGAAGGCGAGAGGATGCCCCACTGCC